ACTGATGAGCTGTCGGTACGCTTCAAAAATACTCTGTCTTTCAAGATGATAAGTTCGTAACCCAAACTGTTAAAATAACCTGAGTTGAACGGCAAAATAAATGAAATCTTGAAAAAAAAAAGATGCACAACACACTCTCACTTGCACGCCAGGACCGGCTGGGTCTAGAAACTTTAAACCAAACAGCGATGATAGATTGGTGCCAGCTTTCGTGCACGATTGGTATAAGGGTGAAAATAATTTCTATTTCTTTTCGAGTGGAGCTGTTAGCGGTGGAGAACAGTCGAGAACAGTTGATAGAAGCTGAAATGCTCAATGATGAGATTTGAACTGTACTATAATGATTAACTAGTCTGTGGGGTCTCAACTTGGTACCTTTTGTTATTGTTTTGTAGTTCTCTTTTGCACAACAAACGTTGGGTCAGCACACACACATTTTTGCTTGGAACTGTAATTCAACGCAGACCGCTTCCGGTGTGCGCCTGCAGTAACCCAATTCCGTCCCACATAGAACACAGTTTTCATGGTTCTTAAGATCATGAATTAGTACTCATGGAGCATTAACCAGTGCATGGTTCATAGTAAGTGTTTTGGAACTGTGAACAGAAATATATATCGTCACATAACTGTGTGACTCCAAACTCCAAGTTGTGGGGTTATTCTTGGGTATTATGGTCAAAGAGGGTCCTTCTGGAGACCCTACCTGAGGGCGTAGGCTTCAAAATCGTCATGTAAAAACCATGCAATTTGAAAAGAGGGCGGAGTTATAGAAAAATGATTCGACGATTCAACGCATAATTCACACACGCATCACAACTCATAACCTTCACACTACGGCAGTAGTACGTTCACGGCATGTGTTTTATCTGAGTGCAGTAAAATGGCTCACTTACGGTGGTGGCACCAGGCTCCCAGACATTAAGCATTTGAATTTCAGAACTCAGACCTCCCCACAGATTGTTGTGAAATTAGTAATGTGCTACTAGTCTGACTCTCGGAGAAGCGCTACAGAGTACACAACTGAGGTATCGGTTGATGTACGAAGAATAGCAGAGTTTCACTTCCGATACTCCATTTGTCTTTGGAGGTGCTGAATCGTTGTTCTTTCCCCTTTGAAATCATCATCGATGCTTCCGTGCTGAATCGATACACGAGGCGGAGCACTTTTGTTCCCTCTGAACACGCGAAGATCGGCATTGACAGTCATAGTGAATAAGAACAAAACAAGCTGACTCTGTTGAAGGTGGTTGTTACAAGCCGCCAGCCACCCATAACGACTGTCTGGAAGAAGTAAGAATGGGGATGTAAACAGATATTTATACCTTGTTTTTGTGTTTGCACATTGATTAGCCGCCGATAATGAGAACAGCAAGCCCTTTCCCGCTGTGATAGAAGGACACACCAAGAACAAACACCTGGACATTACAGCGAAGCGGGTTGAACACTGTACATCTCCTCTCACTGGAGGGAGCGGGTGGGTGTTGGCGAAGGCTAAGCGTGTCTGAACGGCGGTGGTGCTTTGAACGGCGGTGGTGCTTTGGACGATCATGATGCTCCGAATGAACTGGCTCAACAGCTTCGGTCAGTTAGCTTTGCTCTGTGGCTTGGTGTGCTCCTCTAAATGCTCTGGCGGACAGCTGAGTATGTTCAATTGACCATGTCTTGGTGGCACTGGTTCACAACTTCCGTATAACAAGTTGTTAAGGGGACGGCAGATTCCGAATCTTCGACAGGCAAGTCATATTCATTCTCAATCTGAGATAACAGGCGAATGAACAGGTCCTCTAACATTTCTCTGGAGATCTCTCATTGTAGCTCCTTTGCTATAATTTGTTTGAAGGACACTGCATCTGCTCAGGCACTTCTTGGAGAATACGGAAGCAAACATCCTTCATGCTACCCATCTGCTTAAAACAGTTCCATAGAACCGAATACATATATGTTACACTGCTACACAGTGGTGCTCTTCTATTGTTTGCACTGTCTTCTTGTCTCCTTGGAGAATAGCATCCATGTTAAACTGAGTAAATCTCCTACGCTACAATCATGTTAGATCTTGCATACGGCACGCAGAAAATGTGCTTCCAACCAGTGCTTTGGCCGCAGTGCTCTTCACTTTCCACTGCATATCGCATTAGTCGTTGATTGGTGTTAGTTTCCACCTCTTGTTGCAGAAGTTCTATTTGTAGTTTCAGGGTCGACTTGTATTACTCAGATGGTTTTAAAGGCTGTACCACATATTAGCATGTGATGTAACTTGATGGGCTGCTTTTGTCTTGTGTCTCTATCAGGTATGATTCGCATCATAAGCCAGTAGTAACGCACTGCTTCGATGAGTAAGTGAACATGAACTCTTCCAGTTATGCCTCGATTGAAGCATATGGCTAGAGTGACCACACATCAGAGCTTGGTATATGACTGTGGTGTATTCTGTATATCCTGTGTTGGATTACTCATCTTGATACAACGGAGGTGTTTTACGCTCTTGACTTTACAGTCGAATCCCGGCTTCGTGCTATGTGCCGTATTAAAGGACGATTATCAATTTTCACACATGTGTATAAATAGTGCGTATAGATATTTATCTGAGTGTCATGCTGAATTGATTCTCAAGATAGTTGTTAGGTTCGGTATGATCTCCAGTAGAATTTCGACTCATTGGCGTGCAATTTCACTCAGTTTTATATCCACCTACCATGCAAGGCCATACGGTCATCCGAAAGAAAGCAGCCCGAGAACGGATATATACGGAATCATGGTGGTAGTCCATAGATGACGATCAGCAGCAATTGGTTTTTATGTTTTCTTTTTCGTTTATATGTCGTAGTTGTCGACTTATGAAGGCTCAAAGTATGATCAGGCTGAAGTTTATTAGGTCCACAGTGTTTACATTTAACCACATATTATGATAATACGCAGTTCATTCAACCAGTACACGGGACTTACAAGGAGAGACTACTCTCATGAATACAATCATTTGCTCCTCCAGCAAAACTTCAAAGCACCTAAATTTATCAGGAGTTGTGTATGATTCCTTCTCATTTGGCTTCTCTCTGTTCCATAAGCTCCCGCTCGTGTTCTTCAACTAGAAGTCTAATACACTCTTTGCCAGCCTCCGTCTTAAAGTGCCTTCCTAGTGCATCAGTACGGGCAAATCTCTTGCCGCATCCCCAAACAGTAACACCATCCTTCAAAGTACCACGACATTCGTACTTCTTCTCACCGCTATGCAAAGCCATATGTCGGTTCATGTCATGTTGTCTGACAAATGTACGAGAGCAAACTGTGCACACATAAGGCCTTTCATTGGTATGTGTTCTCAAATGAGAACTCAGGTTCGACTTCCTTGTAAATCGTTTGTCACATAGATGACAGCAAAAGATTGCTGGATTCTTCTGTGTAGTCGCTGTCGCTTCATTTGTGGATGCTAACTCTAGCATCTTTTCACGGTTAACTGAAGGTGAACGTTCCCTTGAGACTGACCCTGAGTTGGAACGTGATGTTGAGTGCCGACGTTGACGTCCTGCACGCATTTCCTTATGTGAGTCTGGTCTTAACAGCTCAATCTCTCCGCTAACACTCCCGTTGTCACTACTGTTCGATCCACCATGACTATTGTTGTAGCTTTCGCCCATATCTGGTGAAAGTAAATCGGAAAAATGACCAGATTTAATAGTCGTAGAGTGCATCGACCCATTACGGGAGTGGTTGGGCGAGTTGTTGCGAGATGATGCATTCGACGAGAAAAGAGATGGTGTTCTCTCAGCAACATCCTCGGGTGCCTCGTCGACGGATATGGTCACAGGCGTAACTGGTAACACACCGTTCTGACTCAACGAATCCAACTGCAAGCTTAAGAAGTCTATCTGCGGGTTTTGCTCTGTTGAGTCGCCATTAAGGTCTTCCAGCAGCACATTCGAATGGACATCATCACCTCCATAGTTTGAGCCAGAATACGCACTCAGATATGGCGAGCCACCGTCAACACTGGATAGGTCACTCAGCGAACCAGCATTACTCAGTTGCCGTAGCTGCTCGAATTGTGAGCCTTGAAAGTTGGGCTGTAGGAAGTTTGATTGATCTCCAATAACCTGTTGTTGGTTGATGTTGAAATTTGGGTATTGGGCGCTTGGATTCTCATCTGTGGGTGGAGTGGATATGATGAACGGCGGCGTGGACACTGAAGCTGTTGAAGGAACACTGGCGGGTGGTAGGAATGACTGTTCAACGGGCATACCAAAGTTGATGTTGTGCGTATTGGACTCTGCTTCGGTAATCCAATCAAGGTTTTGTGAAAGTTCTTTACTTGTTCCCTCATTGGGCACATTGATCGATGAATAAGCGTCATTGGTGCTTGTCTGTGAATATTGTACGGGTTGCGGAGTAATAAAGGACGTGTTGCTTGTCAATTCCAGGTTCAGGTTTGGATACCGTTGCGAATTCAACGCATCACCATCGGTGCTGGTGCCCATTAGACCACTTGTAAACTGGTTGTGAGTTGTGTGGGAAACAGGAACGTCACTGTGAGGACCTGGGGATGCTTCTGTTGTGCCAGGGGACAGCTGGAAGAACTGGTCAAAGAGGCTATCGTCTTGTCTGATAGGTGGAGCATTTGACCTCTTGGGGTCACCGTTGAGGTGGTCAGCTATGTTGTTGTTTATCACCATGTCTGTTCAAGATAACGAGACAGTTATCTATCTCAAGAGGCCCACGTATAAGATGTGTAATAATAGTATCGACACAGCGAGTTAAAACACAAATGCACAACAAGATTAGAATGCCGGGCACTTAGTAGAGCAGGAGACAGCACCTGAAGAATATGAAGTGCTATTCAGTAGAATATGGAGAGTGACTTGAAGTGAAGATATCACACTGATGAGCTGTGAGTTCTCAAATTCAGATGATGAACAAATTATGGCTCAAGTATGTATGACAAAGTGGAAACGGTAAAATAAATCAAATGGTTGGAAAAGAAACTATACCAGGACCAATCGTGTTCATGAACCACCTGTGTAATTGCGAGCCTTAGGGTGAAAATAATAATCAGAGAAAAAACACACACTAGTAAGCCGGGTTGATAGAACACCTTATGCTTTGGCAGGCGACAACAAGTGTGAGTCCTATTGTGATAAGTTGTAGTTTCAGAGAATGAAAGATTGTTCTTTTTTTGGTATTTTGCGTTTCTAACCACCTGAGAAAGGTTCACACAGAATCCAGGACCTTGAAGGAATTGGGAGCGGGGCATTCAAAACGTCTCATGCCAAACTTTAGGTTCATACTCTCCACCTTAACTTGGGAATACTTTGCTGCTGCTCATTGCAGGCCGTTTTCTGTGTGTGCACCGTTTGCAAATTGCTCAGATACGAAAATAGGTGCAGCCAGAAGACTGCGCCCCCAATGCAGGTGTAACACGCATCACAGGTTCAGCTAAGCCGTGAATACGAGTAGTTGACCAGCCTGTATTTCAGAAAGTATACCTTTTGTTTGTATCATCACACACACTCACATGTATAAAGAGTGCGACAGTGTAGAGGGAAAGAGCCGGGAAATGCAAACACCCTGGAATTGTAACCATTCTTGAATTGTACACTGGTCCTTTTTCTCGTTGGCATTGAAGGAAGTTGTTCCAAAACTGTACCCGAGAGCATGGAAGTGGGCTTTTAAAACCAGTAATGTAACAACTATGCGATCTGGAAGGAAAGGGCGGTGTAGTGGGCATAGATTTGGCTATTCGCCAGGCTCTTCCACGGATGCACCACAAGCAACCACCTTCACAGTGCACAGTGTTCACCAAAGTGTTAAAATAGCACATCCGACCAGAGATGCTTGATGTACAAAAGACCCCAGCAATTCTTAAGTTAGTACTGCGTTACAGGCTTATCTTGGAGACAGGCGCTACGTCGTCACAGACCGCGGTATCTGTTGGTATACACAAATGGTGAAGTTTCTGCCTTCACTCTCGCTTCCATGGTGTGTGGACTGAAACGTTGTCCACAACAGTCATCGGTGCCTCTATGGTAAATGGGCATATGAGGATAAGCCCCTCTCGTACCTTCCGTCGTGGAATTCATCAACATCAACGGCAGCGCTGGTGGCGAACAGGTTGGCACCGTTGACGTTGGTGTTACAACTGGTTAACCGCCCATAATGACTACTTAGAGGATGAAACAAATGGGAATGTAAACAAATATTTATACTTCATTTTGTGTGTTTACACAAAGACGCGTTGCCAGCCAAATCTCTATGCATGCTTACCCATTTCAGCCAGTACTTCCGCTTTCGGCAGTCAAGACCTTTTGTTTACATTTTGTCCCTTCGTTCGTGATAAAAAACGAAAATCTGCAGCAATAAACCAAAAAATTCTCCGTCAAACTGGTCATTTTCATACACAATCCCCATAAAAACAGGAGAGAAAGAGGTAAAAAAGGGTACAATCCGCCATTTAGAACCCATCTGCTACTCAATTGAGCAATTTGAGTCCATTTTTCTGTTGTTTTGACCTTGTTTCCCCCTTACTGAAAGCACTTCTCACCCTGTGTTTACACGTGTGGCAGAGAAACCCTTGAGCCTTTCTATTTCATTCCTTTAACAGATTTCCATCGTTCCTTTGAGCACTGAAGGACGCAGTGACTGACGAAGCACGATAAAAGACACCAACAGAGGCTGAAGAAAGAAATCTCTTGACCTACTCAGAAAGGCATCTATCCCACTCTCGACTTGCTGACCCACGTTGTATTAACAGTTGAGTGTAAAGAGACTTTGAAATTGTTACAGTTGACTTCCCTGGAATTTTACCCGTTTGGAAACGTTGGAAACTGGCTTTGAGACCACGCCGAGTTACTACTTGTTTCGTTCTTTCTTATCCTACCTATTCGTGTGCCTCCTCTCTACTGTGCTGGTATTGCATTTATACTTGGTTGAAACATCGTTCCTTTTGTCGTCTGTACACACTATTGAACTATGTCCGTTGAAGATAAGGGTGCTACTGCTGTTGACGCTGAGACCACGGACCAGACCACCACATTGAAGGTTGTTGTGCCTCCAGCGGAGGATGGTTCGGTTGTGGAGCCAACTGAGTCTGAACAGACGGAGGAAAGTGGCTCCGATAATGCTGAGGCCAACGCTAATAACGGCACTGACGTTACCGAAGAGTCGCCAAAGGTTACACCGGCATTGGCATCGCAAGGTGGGCGTGAAGTATCTCACAAGATCCTATACGTTGGTGGGCTAAACGCGAAAGTTACCGACGAAACAATCCAACAGGTGTTTGGCGCAGACGGCGAATTGGCCAAGGTCAACATCCTAGCTGACAAGAACAGCCCTGGAGGAAGCTTTGCCTTTGTTGAGTTCAAAACTGAAGAAGATGCAAAGTGTTGTTTCGACAGGTTCCAGGCCGAACCACCAATCATTGAAGGTGGGAAAGTTGTCATTAATTGGGCTTATCAATCGCAGCAGGCGAAGAACGATCCTGATGCAGTTAACGTGTTTGTCGGTGATCTCTCCACAGAGGTTGACGATGAGACACTAAGAAAGGCATTCGAACGATTTGAGTCGGTGCAGCAAGCCCATGTGATGTGGGACATGCAAACTGGCCATTCTAGAGGTTATGGTTTTGTATCATTTGGTGACGAGAAGGATGCATCTCTGGCAATTGAGAATATGAATGGTAAGGTTATCGCTGGTCGTGCCATCCGTTTGAACTGGGCTCATAAGAGCAATGGAAAGCATTCTAATGGCTACCATGGGAGTGGTCGTCACCATGGACAGAACAACACCATCAACAATCACAGTAACAATGGCAGCAGCAACAACAACAACGGTCGTAACCACCGCTATAACAACAACCAAAGACCACACCATAATAACTATCACAATGGCCATCACCATGTTAACGGATACTACCAGCAACAACATCCACAAGGCTTGATCCCCATGGTTACAAGTGGACATAGCTCACCTCACATGGGTGGTGGTGGTAATCCATTGCCCTTGGCCAACGTTGGCTTACCAGGTGCACCAATGATTCCTCCACAGAGTTATGAGATGGTGTCACGCAAGTCTCCAGTATGGCAGACCACTGTTTACGTTGGTAATCTGGCTCACTTCACCACGCAACAGGAGTTGATTCCACTGCTACAAACGTTTGGATTCATCGTTGACGTGAAGTTCTACCCTGAGCGTGGTTGTGCGTTTGTCAAGTACGACACCCATGAACGTGCCACCATGGCGATTCTTCAACTTGGTGGCTTTATCGTCAATGGTAGGCCTCTGAAGATGGGGTGGGGCAGATCTTCTCATCATCATCAGTATCAAAACACCGGTGCTAACAGTGGTGCCAATGCCAATGCCAATGGCAGCCTCAATGACGAGGCAGCACCGCCAGATGGGTATAACAGTCAAAGCTATGGCCATGCTGTTGTGTATGGCCAATAGTGGGTGGGCTTTGCCGGAGTGTTTGTGCGTTTATATTGTGATTTTACAGACATTGAAGTTCGTTAATCTGATAGAGTTAAACTGTTTTGAACTTTTACAACGAGTAGAGTAAGAACCGTACGTATATAAATATAAAATTAGAGTGTATATATATACATATAGTGATTTCAAGAAAGGAAAGGAGGATGAACAAAGAATAAGACACACACGAGCAACCATTGGTGAAGAGCCCCCAATCCCTGCTCGACTGTACAATACCGTTCAAAGAGTTATAGCACATAGGAATAAGGGACCAGAGGAGCTGTCGCAGTCGTTAAGACCTCTCCAAACCTCTCTGATGGCCTATGCATCGGTGGCATCAGTGCTCGTGCTGGTGTAGTAGGAATCTGCCTCTCTGTTCGTCTGGTTTCCCGTTTCCAAAAAAAATAAGAATATATAATAAAACTCTGTCTGTAAAGGTTGTAAACATGCTGATCTGTGTGTATTCTCCATCGTCTTCAATCGCCAATCCCTCTTCGTTCTCCATTCACTCCACAATGGCTGATTCAGGAATGAGCCCAAAACACCAACGTCAACCACCCTAATGGTGGTGCTCATCTTGTGGCACACCAACTGGCTTCAGCTTGTAGACGGAACCACACTCCCAGCATCTGGCAACCTGGTCGACGGTTGGCTTCAACCACAAGATGTGGTGGGAGTCTGCTGGCGCACCAGTACAGCCAACGTAACGGTAGTCATCGTAACTCTCAACGAGAATTGGGTCTGCAAGGGTACCGGTTCTGGACGAGTCCAATGGCTTGGTGTCGAAGAACTCGACACCCTCGAGCTTAGCAAGAAGCTCCAAACGCTCCAAACCAGTGGCCTGCTCCAGGTCGGTTGGGAAGGTGCCGACTTTGGCACCTTCACCAATCAACGTCTCTGCACCGTCAACCTCAGCCAAAGTGGCAGCGGTCTTCACCTTTGGCGTGGACTGCAGCATGGCTCTGCTGGTGGCAAAGGATCTTGTTGCTTGACGAGCAACCAATCTTGTACGGAGGGCAAACATCGTGATGGTTCTTTTAGTTGTGGTGGTGGTGTGTTGTTTTCAAAGGGGAGAGTAAAAGGGAGAAAGCTTCAAAATCGCACGCTCACGGTACACACAATTCGGGCATCAAAAAAACATTCGAGATTTCTGTGTTGTTTACTGCGTAAAAAAATTTTGGCCTATGACTTTTCCCGCTGTTTGTTTGAGGACTTTGATGCGCTGCTATTGGCTGGAATCGGGTACTTCCCGAATAGGAAATGCTAGGTGAAAGGGGTCTCCATTGGTTGCGGGATGGGGCGGGGGTTCGACTCTCCGCGGTTGCACTTTTGGTCTGTGATTTTCCGGGCGGGTCGTTGGTGGTGTGTGGGTGTTGGGTTGTGACTGCGTTTTTCGCAGCGCGCGGGCCTTTGGGGGGTGTTTGCGGGTGTGGTGTGTGTCCACCCGGACACCAGGCTGTTGCGCGCACGCCCGCTCGCGGCCGCGCGTGCTCCACCGACTAACATCAAAACAATTTTTCATTCTTTCCAAGCGTTAGCTCTAGTGGTTTGGAGCAGAGTATACAACTTTAAAGGACAACGTATGTGACATTGGTGTTGATGAAGGCGAGCGGATGAGGAGCAGTGTGCGTTCTGTGTGATGCTATGTGATTCTGTGTGATTCTATGTGATTCTGTGTGATTCTATACCATTCTGTTGTATTCTATGCTATCTTCTACCGGAGAATTGAGAGCGTTGTGCTGTTCCAGCCCAGGCGCCAATTAAAGAGACCAGCACCACACACAGCACACCAAGCGCTCCCTCCAGCCCTCGCGTGCCTTGAGCCAAGTACTAACCAGTCGACAGATGCCAAAAAAGAGAGCTTCCAACGGTAGAAACAAAAAGGGTAGAGGTCACGTCAAGCCAGTTAGATGTGTCAACTGTGCTAAGTGTGTTCCAAAGGACAAGGCCATCAAGAGAGTCACCGTCAGAAACATCGTCGAGGCTGCTGCTGTTAGAGATTTGAGTGAGGCTTCCGTCTACTCCGAGTACGCTCTTCCAAAGTTGTACAACAAGTTGCACTACTGTGTCTCTTGTGCCATCCACGCCAGAATCGTCAGAGTCAGATCTAGAGAGGCTAGAAGAATCAGAACTCCTCCACAGAGACCAAGATTCGGTGGTGCTAGATCTAACCCAAACGACATTGCTAAGAAGGCTTTGTAAATATGATCTAAAAATACAACACTGTTTTTATTTCGACACAGAGGGTTGGGAGTGTATAGCACTAGGAGATATGTTTAGCGCATGTGTAATGATTTGTCTATAAGAATAGGCTTTTATACTGTTTCTGTAGATCAGGTGTGTTTGCTGGGACGTGTTTATGTATGGAAGCTATAGATTTGCCATGGCAAAGGCCTGCGATGTCTGTTGCTCCTGGTTGTAGTGATCATCGTCGTCACTGTCACGCTGGCCTGCCTGTGAAGCCGCAGTGCCATCCTCATCGTGGTCTTCATCGTGGTCTTCATCATGGTCTTCATCATGGTCTTCATCATGGTCTTCATCATGGTCTTCATCTTGGTCCTCATCCTCGTCGTTGCTACCTTCCAATTCAGGTATATCTACCGTAAGATCAACATCCTCCACCTCTTCGCTCAAGGAGTTCAGTTCGTAGAACAGCATGAACACGCCAGGTGCGTCCAGGACCTCGCTCTCGCTGACAACGTCAATGCTCTCGTCAGATGTTCTCCACCACACACCTCTGTAACGTCTATAAGCAATGTAATGGCCATAGTTGTGAGTACCATAGTGCACAATGACAGAACGTAATTGATACACCAAGGGACCTTCCAATGAATCGTTGGACATTGGGTTCTGATACTCAGTGTACTCCTGTTTAGAGCAGATGGACTTCTCTGTGTCGTCGCTTTCGTCGTCACTGTCCGATTCCTCGTCCTCACGCTCCTGTTCCTCTTCCTCTTCCTCAGCAGGCTCAGTATTGACAGGTTCAGCAACAGTCTTCTTTGACATTGGAAGTCTGGCATCGGTGTTGATCTCATCAGGCTCCGCAACGAACTGATCAAGGTCCAATTTCAGCGGAAATACCACCCTGGCATTGTTCTTTCTGACTCTGTAGGTCATTGGATCAAATACAGACCGATTTATATGGATTGCAAGCAGAGGTGGCGGACGTGACATCAATATCTGTTTAGACTTGGACGACTTCTGCATCATGTTATCCGTGAACAGGTTCTTGATGGCATCGTCATCGATTATTGGCTTCTTCAGTTCGCCTTCGATCTGAGAAATACGTTCTTCCAGCTTGTCAATGAGCAATGTTGAAGATGAGCCACTGGACGTCAATTTGTTTAACTGTTCCCGTTGGTAATCCAGGACATGGTTCAACGCACATCTGTTACAGTTGACGCCTTCGATGATCTCTGGCTTGATCCATTCCTTGAGCAGATCTGTCAGTTTCAGAGCTCCGTAGTTATCACTTGGTAAGTTCAAGCTTAGCCCAGAGATCACGCTGTAACGGATGCCACCCATTTCACCACAGTTCAAGCAGCCAATACGCTCTGCACTGAGGCCATCGACCGGCGTGAGCAGTGTATAAGGCACATATCTGTCGTTGGCATCTTTCAGATTGGGGTCTATCTGAGAAGCCGGGACGTAGACTTTCCCCAAATGGCCAATATTGGCATTCCCCAGCACGGCATCTTGGGGCAATGCGCTCGAATACACAGCCTTCTCGTCGTCTGACGAGGATGAGGACGAAGAGGTGGCTGGCGTGGAAGGTGGAGACACCTCATCTGGCTTCTTGTTCTTCTTGAGATCGGATTCCAGCTCACTCAACAGGGTCTGGAAGAACTCCTGTGCATCCTCTTGGTTGTAACCGAGCAAGAAGTTCTTGTCTGGTGTCTTCGTCATGGTCTTGAGCAACGCATTTGTCTTATAATCATGGCCATGCTTGTAATGCTTCGTGTTTAGCTTCTTCATCAAGTTTCTGAACGCACATGAGAACTCCCTCTCGTTGAGTGAACTGTCCTGTAGCAGTGAGACAAAGGTCTCTGAGGACGCCAGTGACTGTAGCACCGAGTTCATGAAGCACGTGTTACCATCGTTGACCAGGCCACCGATGAGTCCACCACGCTTCATGACGGTGTCGACGGTATCGTCTGAAACACCGCTCCCTCTACCGATTCGACGCCTAAACCTTGAGGCCCCACCTCTGTTGAACAAGGGATCCATGATGAGCTGTGTGATCGAATCGAACTTGTACAGACAGATTGACGTGAGCGAGACGAGAAGGAAGGATAGGACGAGCTGCTTGTTGGAAACCACTTTGCTGGATAGAATACGTTTTAAGATCCGTAACACAAGTAATGCTATGATGACAACCTTGAAGATGACGTTCTTCTTAATGCTCATGGAAACAGCTTACTTCTTTCCAATGAGATCGGCCTGTGTCGAAGAATCAGCTCCAGCAACAGCTTCTAACGTGTGATTGTTTAAAGCGATTCCAGCTCAGATGGGTTCGATGACTGTGAAGCGTAAAATGACCAGGAAATTTTTCACTTCCTCGATGAGCGTTGGTGTTTTTCCCTTATTCTTTACTATGAGGAGATATAATGGCAGGGGTATTCCTTCAATTGGGGGTTTTAGGGGTGTATAACCACAACCATTGGATTCTTGGGGCTGTGACGGTTCTGATGGTACCGCTCACGTGTCCTGGGCCTTGGTGTATCACGAGAAGTGATGGGATGAGTTCCATATAATAATGTCTGTAGAGCCTGGTGTAGTGTAATATAATCATAATATAATATTATGTACTATAATTTAACATGATATAATATAATATAATATAACATAACATAACATAACATAACATAACATAACTACACCAGACATAATGAAGTTATCCCAATTTCATTTGCTCTTGCTCCCAACAACCATCGCCAACATTACTCAGCTCAAAGGATAAACATAATGACAGAGGAGATCAAGGCGACGACCAACGACTACAGAGAACAGCTCTACGCCTCAACCACCACCCCCTACCCTTCGTTGCTGTTCAGTGGGATGTTGTTTGCTACCCCATTGATCACTTCGCAGCCTGAAGCTGTCACAAGAATGAACGCCGATGTCAACCGAGGCGTACTGTTTAAGACTGCAAAGAGACTACGTGTGGGTCCAACCACCGTGAGCTCTGTGCTGTTTGGAAGTGCTATGGCCCTCGGTAGTTGGATTATGTTTGAAGGTGATGTTGAGAGTGGCTCTGGCTTCATCACGGCATGGAGCTCTCTCTACCTCATAGTCAACGGTAGACAGATGTTCAATGGACTCAGATACGCAAGAGTTTGGCCAGTCGTGCTGAGTAGTGTTGCTCTGGGAGAGGCCGTGCTCCACGGTAAGAGGTTCTTCTACGGTGTTGGCCAGTGAAGATGGTTCTCCCTACTTTATATGTATCAATGTGTGTTTAATATGTCTAACCGTACATCACCAGTGTAGTGGCAGCCATCCCTTTCTCGATGCAATCCGTGAGACTTGCTCTTCGTTGTACATCTCTATAAACTGAAGGTCCAAAGGCCTTGCCTTTGGAGCTGCAAACCTTCGATACTCCTCGAATATCATGGTGAGCGACCAGTTCTGTAGGCGTCTTATACATCCAACAAGGCACCCTGTGCGGTGTTTACCTCTATTGCAGTGGATCAGCAACGGATGGTTGGAAGGGTCAATGGCAATCTCCAACGCTTTGGACAGCACGTCGTCTGGTAAATGCACAAAGGGTTCCTTATTACCACTCATCCCAACCTGGAATAGCCTAATCCCTTCCTTCTTGACAAACTCCATGTTCTCGGTGGGGTACTCCTCGGGTATCAGCATCAATATACTCTTCAGCTTCAGCTTGGAGAGAAAGCCAAAGTTCTCAGGCCTAGGAAACGACGATCTATAGATCAACCCACATACAGGAGAGAAGTTCTCAGGAGGTGTCATCTCTTCATCCTCAGCCACATCGCCACCAGCATCCTCTCCCGTCTCCGTCTTATCGTCCATGTCTTCGTCAGCATCGTGGTGCCTTATATGGCCATGTATTTCGCCTCTCTGGAACCTCTCCTCCGTCTCAAGGAGCCCTCTCTGCTGTAGGAAGCCATCCGTGTATTCATCGTCATCCATCCCTATATAGCGATCCCGATAGTTAACACGCTCATCGTCCGAGAACTGGACATCATCCATGGGGAACTCCATCCTGTCTCGATACAGAGCACAAGCCAATTGATCAAGACTGGCTACTGTCCCACATGGGAGGCGTGTATGTATTGCTTTCAGTGAAGTTTGGGTAACCATCGCGATCTGGTGAGCTTGACTTCCCAATGCGGTAATTCTAAACCGGGAGCGTACATACCTATATATCGCTGAGGTAGATATCGTTGTTTGAGAAGAGCGAGTCGAACACGAGTTGCTCTGCTGGCTGGAGGGTGAAGAGGTCGAAGCCCATGTCACTTAGCTGAGACTCAAGAACTGCGTTGAGGTCCTTAGTCAAGCCCTGTGTGACCTCTGCAATTCTCGTGGTTGTCGAATCCAGCTTGTACGATTGCATGAACTGAGAGATCATCGAGATGTAGACAAGTGTGGCCTCCTTGTCGAGCGTCACATGGGTTCCTTGGATGTCCAGAGGTATCTCCCATGTGTCGTTGGAGCCGTTACAAAGGTATATGCAGAACAACGACAGGCAAAGCGAACTGATGTAACCAACCATACAGTCCTGAGATATGCCACCGTTATGGAGGTCTAGAGACATGTGCAGCGTCGTATCCATTGTCTGTGCAATGATGACAGCACTCTGGAGTCCCATCTGGACAATACTCAGGAGAGTCTCGTCACTCAGGATCTTGTAATTATTCGTGGTGATGAACACGAGAAAGGGGAGCGTCAGTAGAGTCATGTAATGGTGGTACAATATGCTCAATTTGAAGTCATACACGGTGACGATCTGTGACATTGGCTTGATGTTGATCTCGTAGTACAGCTTGTTCAGTTGAGTCTTCAAGGCCAACGTGCGCTCAATGTTTATCAACGACAACGGTTGCTGGGCCGTCGCTACTCTTCTCTCCTTGATGATCTTGCTGAGGAATCTCGAGAGCTTCAGCGTTGATAAATAGTACTGTTTGAAGCCATCTGAGACGGAGAGCTCATTGGTCAGGTCTGGATAGCCAATGGTGATCTCTTCTTCGTTTATAGTGCTCTGTCTTCCAAAATTGGAGCACAGTGACAGCTCTGTTTGATAAAGAGTCCAAAAGATCTGTGCATTGGTGTTGTCGTTGGCCATGTCTCTGTGCAGTCCTAGGGACATCGCCTGTCTTATTGCGAGCCCAATCAGGTTCCATGAGGCATCCCTGTTCTTCTTCGAGTGTAGATACGTTGCGTAGAGATAGAGGAACTGGATAGAGCTCGTAGATGCTCCCAACGTTGCATCTGGTAAGATCAAATGGAGCACTTCGTCGATCTCATCGCTCCGTTCCAACACAACATCGCACATCTTGCTTGCAATAGACCATACGAGGAAGATACACCCGCACATTGGGTTATCCAGAGCCGTGTAGTCCATGGCTGGGTCATCAACAGTCAACTTCTGCCAAAACAGAGAATGCAGCCTGGAGAAGGCCTCTCTCTGGAAAATGAAGTAGAAAGGGTGCACCTTGTCGAAGAACGTGTTGACCAGCTTCTCAGCTATCTCCCTGGACGATATCAGCTGGATCACGGGAAACGTCTTGTGGGACAGCAGCGACACTGAGACTGCTCTGTAGTCCTGGCTCCTGACAGCAGCGTTCTGGAAAAGCGTGATCTTGTTATCAAACGACAGCGTCGGTATCAGCGATCTCTTCAGCAGCAAGTTGCACAGCAGTGTGAACAGCGATGGCGTGCCACTCGAGCCAACGTAGTGCGAGCCGCCTGTGGAGTCGTAGACAACCGTTTCCCTGACGTTGGCTTCACCTTTCAACTGCTCAGCATGCGCTGCTGCTGCTGCTGCTGAGTGCTGGCCCTCAGCACTCGCAGAGGACTTCCTGCTCGCCTCCCTGGCCACACCGCTCACCTGTGGAGTGAACGGCTTCAGCACCTTCGCCTCAGCCTCCAGCAGCTTGGACTCGTCCACAACGTCGTCCATGTTTATCCCCAGCTGCCGCCCCAGCGACATCAGCTTGCCAACATCGTTGATGTCGATGTCAGGGTACAGCCCCTGTACCAGCGAGATCACCGTCTGATAGTGGATCCCCAGGTTCTCAAACGACCCGTACACCCTGCGACGTCTCGGCTGCGACGTCAAGCACTCGACTCCTGCCTTCAGGCAGTTCCGGCACGGATGTGTCTTATCATCAAGCTGATGCCCACCAGGTGGCACGATCCTGATACACTTGGTCTTCTTACTCTTGCACCTGTCACACGAGTACGCAGCGCGCTGTCGCTTGTCTGGTGCCACCACACGAGGCCGTCTGCTTGCCATTTGGAGCCCTCCTTGCGATGCAGTGTGCTCTACGCCCGCACTAACCGCCGTGGGAAGGATTTTGATGTTGTGTGCGGCGGATCACGCAATCTACGAAATGTAAACAAAACATCAACACTTCAACATCAACAGATCCACAACTCCTTGTTTTGCCCCGATATCTGCGCTAGAGAACAGTGGCGACCCTGTGCTCGATGGCTACAACCACTTCCTCTGTGATCAACCTCACCAAGACCATCATCGGTGCCGGTTTACTGGCGATTCCCTTTGCGTTCAGGGCGGACGGCATCGTCCTTGGGCTGCTGCTTGTGCTGCTTGCTGCCGTGACGTCGTGGTTTGGGCTGTTCATCATCTACAAGGTGTCTCACCACGTTGAGGGCCAAGTGTCCTTCTTTGCGCTGTGTGCGATCACGTATCCGCAGCTGACGCTGCTGTTCGACTTCTCCATTGCGATCCAGTGCTTTGGCGTGGCGGTGAGCTATCTGGTGTTGTTTGGCGACTTGGTTCCAGGCCTCATTGGCGGAGCTTTGACCAGAAACCAGGTGATTCTGCTGTCGCTGGTGATCACGGTGCCGCTGATCTCCTTTCGAAAGCTCGACTCGCTGAAGTTCGGCTCCATCGTGGCTCTTGTTGCCATTGCGTTCTTGACCGTGCTCGTCGTGGCACACTCCGTTGCGGATGAGTACACTGATAGGGGCGAGGTGTTGGTCTGGGTGCCGGGGAAGCTCAGCGACGTTATCTCGACCTTCAGCATCATCATATTTGCCTTCACGGCTGCTCAGAACATCTGCACGATCATCAACGAGATTGACGATAAGTCCAATACCAATCTTGTCATCGTTGCAGCCTGTGGCATCTCGTCCGTCTTGTTCTCCATGGTTGGCTTAGCAGGCTACTGGCAGTTTGGCTCCAACGTCCTGGGGAACGTCATGATGAACTATGACCCTGAACTGACCTCGACAAGGGTTGGTAAAGGTGCACTTACGCTCACGGTTGCGCTGTCGTACCCGTTGATGTTCCATCCTTGTAGAATATCCATAAACAACATGTGCTATTGGATTAGAAAGCACAGCTCAAAGCAAAACGAAGGAGAAGTTGGTCCATTGTTGCAGCACTCTGACGACTCGATCCATGAGCACATCCACGTTGAGGTTCCGTTCCCTACAAACGACTTCTTCATCGTCTCGTTGGGCTTAACATTGGCAACTTATGGGCTGGCACTGAGCGTCACCTCTTTTGAACTGGTTCTTTCCCTAGTTGGAGCCACGGGCTCCACGTTGATCTGCTTCATCCTTCCTGGTCTCTTTGGTTATAAGCTGATGGAGACCGGAAGCGGCCAGGTCTATTCCATTGCACTCACCGTGTTTGGACTGGTGGTTATGGTTACATCTGTATTTGCAACGCTCTACTTCTGAGCAAGCTTTGAAGTCACTGCAAATGTATTTGTATTAAACTAATAATATGAGGAACAGAAAAATAAATATCCCAGTTGGTGCTTGATGCTCTTTAGCTCCTGTTACTTCTTCTTTTCTCTCTCTTTTGTCTTCTCTCTCACATACTTGTGAAAGTAATAGACCCCTGCCATTGCACCACTCAGTCATCCTCATCATCGCTTCTCACATCTTCAGCATTGGAGCCTGTGACGACTTTAACGATCACTTTGACGATGAGGTACATCCAAATTATAGTGATGATTTGCAACCCACCCAGTAAAGATAGGAAGACCGTAATGACGTTATCTGTCCAACATCTTTTCTGATGATTAATTCCTTCTATAGATAAACACTTCCCACTAGCCATTAAGGACTTTGCCCTGGTTGCCGCATGCCAAAATAGGTAGTTGTATAGCCCATGTCTCAGTACTATCCATACAACAACAAACAGCCCAAAGAGTACGTCACACATTGTCTGGAACCCGCAGTATCTTAGTATCTTTGCGCTTGATAGGAAGATATCGACAACGTCCATGATGGACAAGATGACATGGCCAATCTTGGTGAAGTAATAGTAGTACGAGCCTCCTAGAAGCAAGCACGTAATGATATGATGGCTGAACATCTGGTAATGATCCTTCCGTCTCGCTTCAATGTTCAATATGAAGATCTGCTGTAACCAACATGACATCTCCAAAAGGTAGTAGCTCTTGAACAACGCAGACATGTGATCGTGCGGCCATGCAATGTACAGATTGTCCAAGTTATTGTAATAATCAGAATGATAATACAAGATGTATAGTCCCGCACTGAACGAGATTGAGTAGTAGATCAGGTACCAACCCTGCTCCATAAACCTCTGCGTTGCACGGTGTTTGTGTATGCCGACAGCCTCCGCCAGTGGCCTCAGCAGATAGTTCATCGACACTGCACGGATGAAGGTCACCAGGAACATCCCGGTGAGGATGAAGAAGCAGTCGTTGACGCCAATATCATACTGGTCTGTTCCTGGGTAACGGTGTTGTAAGTGAAGGAACTTCCCCGTGTACGGTCTCATCTGCGGTAGAAACCTATCCATGCAGTAAACGCTCGTCAGGAAGAACAGTGATATCTCCATCTGGTATCTATCCAGGCTGTTGATCTCATTCAGCCTGGGAGAATGACCACCGTGATGGGACTCGAGCTTATCGGCATCGACATCGGGCTTATCAGCCAGAAGCTGTGTCGTCAGCACTGACGAGTCGTATTCAGCTTTCTCGTCCATGTCCGAGCACGACGACGACGACGACGTCTCGGACGAGCCTCTGAGCGAGGTCTCAAGCGCCTCCACCTTCTCCATGGCTCCTGTGCTTATGAGTTCGTCTTCACGGCCAAAACAACACCAGCTACTGCTCTCTGGGGCTTTGTCGAAAACAGCTGGAAGAATGTAACGAGTGGAATGAAAGCAGCACAGTGATCGCACGCTCGGTCTCTCTGCCTGTCTCCTGGTGCAAGTTGTGTTCAAAACACGCTGATCAAAGCCTTCTGGTCCCACCAAAACGTGTTCAGAAGAGATTTTACACGGACGCCCTGCTGACGTGAACGTAGAAGAAATTTTCCTGAAGGCAGTGCGAATGAAAACAACCCGCTGGGAAAAAATGCTCTCTGCCTACGTTTGTTTACATTCTCTGCCTAGGCGGGATTTCACTCTGCGTACGGCTCTGGCGTGCCTGGCGCGCCTGGCGTTTGCTCTCTGCCTGGGACCCAATGGGGAAGCGCTACGGTGTTAAGGCGGTTACCCTACTGTGTGATTTGTCTAGTGACAGTATATATAGAGGTATATATACACCATCAATTGGTGCGATACTGGTTCGAGAGGGCCTGAAAGAGAGCTTCACCTGTTCAGAAGAACAAGCTCGAGGGACTTCTTGCACTTGGCCTCGTCGTAGCTCTCCCACACCTCGTATAGGGTGACCATCTCCTGGACTGCTTCTATCACTTCCTCGAGGTCGATGTTGGAGTAGCCCAGGAACTGGATGAATACCCTGAGCCCTTCGTTCTGCGCTCCATGGTGTGATGACGATGGTGCTGCTCCGCCGGTGATGGTGCTGCTGGCAGCATTGTTGGCTGGGTTGGTGGCATGGGCCGTGCTGTTGGTCGTGCTATTGGCTGTGCTGTTGGTGGGGGTGCTCGTCGACGCACTCGTCGTGGCATTGGCAGCTATGCTCGCTTGGTGTGACACCGACGACGATATGCTCTCGTTGTGGAGATGCGTGATGTGGTTGTACTTCAGCACCAGCGTTAGGTATACCGACGCCGCAGACACTATGTGTGGTGGGTATAGCAGTGGTAGATCGGTAACGTACGAATCGTTTATAACGGACCAGCTAGACTGCAATTCCTCTGGTGACAAGTTCCACTGTGTCGAAGACCCTGCTTGTTTCTGGTTATACTCCAGGAGCACCTCGTTTATGATCATCAGCGACCTGTAAGGGTGATGGACAATGAGATACGTATCCATCTCCTCAATGAGGTAGAACTCAAACTCCGCAACCTTCGAAATATCCTGCGATATGTACTCCGGCCACAGGTTCCTGGCCTCAGACACAATCGTCCTTATATGCTGTGGGCATTCTTCAATCTTGCAGGCCAGGTAGATGCATGTCGTTATCAACAGATAAAGGTTCACCTCTTTCAAACAGCACCTCGTGAAGAACCGCATCAGATAAACCTCCGCTGTGGACAGCGCAACCTGTCGTACGTTCAGCCGTCTACCAAGCTTATTCACCAAGCTGTGGATATAGATCCTCATGTGAAGGTCGTAAGCGATCTCATGGCTCTTCGATATCATTCCTGACTCCTCCATCGTCTTCTCCAGCAGTTTCAGCTCTCTTCTTGCATCCTCCAGCGACTCTCGCGTGAACTTCCAGTGCAGCCTCTGTGATGAGTTCCAATAGTTAGCGGACATCCTGCTGATTCCTCTGTATCCCTGCAACACAATTGGATAAACAGTGGTTGTGTATATACAAAGCAAGAGCATTCACCGCCAAAATATACCGTTTGCCCTAAAAAAAAACCCCGGGAGTTCACGGAGTAAATCCCGACATCCGTACACCTAAACACCCGCACACCATACACCCGCACACCAACAGCATAGCCTCGTGGCTCCGATGCCTAAAAAAAATTTTCACTCACTTTGTCTCCTCTCATCTTCCCTCTTTCCCCTTGAACTATGGCTCGTGGACAAAGAATTGTTACTTTCGAAGCTTTCAAAAGGAATCCTTTGATTCATCATTAGCTTTGGGGAAAGTCTCCCACCCAACATTCACGGAAATCGTAGTGGTGTTTCTTCCTAATGGTGAACCAACCCACTGGAATTGATGTCTGCTTCTGTTGATCTCTGCTCCAGAGGACCTTCTCGCTCTGTCTATGAGTGTCTGTGGCTGGTGCGTTAACCTCTTGAAGAAGGTCTATGAAGTTCTCAGGTGCTGCTTATGTGTTTCTCTGATGAAGATTTGTATGGCGAGACGTGTATGTGATGCCTTCTGGGTTATGCTCCTAGTATTGAGCCTCTTGTTGAATCCTTCAAATGACTCTTGGAACATCGCAATCTCGTCCTTGGTTCCGTACTCGTCTGATATCTTGAACATGGCACCTGAGAGTCTTTTCTCTTCTCCAATTGGGCATCTCTTCATGGGCTCTCTAGGGATGAGGATGCTCCTTCTGGACAGGGGTTTACTGCTGCGTCGTTCCTGGTTATCATTCATCTTATTGGTGGATTGAATATCATTTATGATATATCTTCGGTATTCGGGGCTCCTAGCCTAGACGATAGTTATAACAATTGATCATCTTCTTTAATGATTAACCCAATGGAGCTTACTCTTGTCACACCACGAGCCACCCCCTTCTTTCTCCCAAGTCTGCTCAGTTTACAAGGCCTCTCTTGTGGAGCTGTTGCACAGTCAAATGTGCCGGACTTCATGCTACTAACCAATCCAACTCCTCTTGGATATTCAAATTGATAGGACCATAAGTATTCAAATGCTTCTTTTTAAATGATGAGATACCAACGCAACATAGAGTCAAGCTCAGAGTACAAAAAGTACTGGGACGAGACTTGCATTCATATTTTCTGACTAAAGAGAAGTAGAATGTCTTTGATGTCTCTACAAGTGGGTTATACAGGCGTATAACTTGGATATCCATATAGATTAGAATTGTGTTATGTAGACATGTATGTACAGCTCTGTTATTTACCAACCTCTTGATGATAACTTCTCGTTATCTTTCAATTGATCAATGGCGACACCAAACATCAACTCACCCAAATCTGTAGAGTATTCGAGCAACTTTTCAGGGTCGTTATAGTGGGTCACGGCATTGACAATGGCTGTTGCCAACTTCTCTGGGTTCTTTGACTTGAAGATGCCTGAACCAACAAAGACACCATCACAGCCCAATTGCATACACAGAGCAGCATCTGCAGGTGTGGCAACACCACCAGCTGCAAAGTTAACCACTGGTAGTTTGCCTCCATTGGCTTGCAGCTCTTTCAACGATTCGACAGAGATTCTCTCCTGTTTAGCAAACTGCTGCAACTCTTCATCATTCATCTGGAGAACTTTGGCAATCTGTTCCTTGATAAGTGTTAAATGGCCAACAGCAGAAGAGATGTCACCAGTGCCAGCCTCACCTTTGGATCTGATCATTGATGCACCTTCCTGGATTCTTCTCAACGCTTCACCGAGGTTCTTTGCTCCACATACAAATGGGATTTTGAATGCAGTCTTTTCAATGTGGTACTTCTTGTCTGCCGGTGTCAACACTTCAGACTCATCGATGTAGTCGATGCCAATGGCCTGAAGTATTTGGGCCTCGACGAAATGTCCAATACGGCACTTGGCCATGACCGGGATGGAGACTTCCTCCATGATCTCCTTGATGAGCTTTGGATCACTCATACGACACACTTGACCAGAAGCTCTCATATCAGCTGGAATTCTCTCCAGCGCCATAACGGCACAGGCACCGGCTCGTTCAGCAATCTTTGCCTGCTCGGCATTGACAACATCCATGATGACACCGCCTTTGAGCATTTGGGCAAGCCCCTTGTTCAACTTGAGTTCATTAGACATCTTGGTTTCACGCACTTGTTCTATCGCTCACTGCTTCAAATCTAAGACTTGAGACGGCAAGAAGTCCATCGCGTGGGTTTTATACAGTTGGAATCCACCTACCCTTTTATACAGACCCGCAGCAGAACACGACCACCACCAGTTAGTGCAATGACTAATATAACGGTATGCACAGTTGGATAAACCAAGAGATTGCACTGCACAACAGCCAATTACAGTCCAAGCGTTGAGCAACTTTCACAAACAGTTGGGCAGAGTTACACCTGGCAAGGCCCAAAGTGACATGTGAAAACCATCTCTTAAAGGTATATTCAGATAGAGCAAATGAGTCATAATGGTGCCCCTATTCAAAATGACTTCTCATGACTTCTCTTTATGCATTTGTATGGATGCTTTGACTGATTTGATTCATTTTATCCTTTAACCTTTGCGGGTGCAGCATCGAGGCTGTCGTAAACATGCGCCTTGCGTGTGACTCGGTTCCAAGCGCGCTTGGTTTCCACGGTTCCCGGTTGAGTCATCTGACTCGGTTCTGTACGTTATATGCGGATAGCCAGTACCATCAGTGGTCTCTTTCAAGGTCTCTTTCGAGATCTCTTTTGTTTGAATTGATCTGCTTTGGAAGGTATTCACACCCAGGACGCAGTCGGAGAGTGGCCACATGACCGTCAAGCAGTACACCGTTGGTGTGTTATCCTTGCAAGGAGCGTTCAAGGAGCATATCGACCTCTTCAAGCTTGCGACTGAGAGCCAGCATGAGAAGTTCCACTTCTTGGAGGTCAAGACTCCACAGCAGCTGTTGCGATGCGACGCTCTTGTCATTCCAGGAGGTGAGAGCACCTCCATGTCGCTGATCGCAGAGAGAACGAAGATGATACAGCCACTGGTGGATTTCATCCACTCTGGGAAGCCTCTTTGGGGTACATGTGCTGGTTTGATCTTCCTGTCTAGAGAGATTGTCAATGGGCGTCCGAATCAAAAGGCCCTTGGAGCCATTGATATCCAGGTCAAGCGAAACGCCTTTGGAAGACAGCTGGACTCGTTTGAGTCGATGCTGGACTTCAGTGGGTTCATCGAAGCCGTCGATCAGTTCCCGGCCATCTTCATCAGAGCACCGGTCATTTCCAAGGTCTTGCCCACGGAATATAACGAGGAGTACATCACAATGAAGCTGGTGGACGACCAATCCCCAATCATCAGGAGCGAGAACGAGTCTGTGAACAAGTCAAAAGTGGAACTGCTGTACACGTTGGACAATGGCCTGGTTGTTGCGGCTAGACAGGGAAACGTCCTGGTAACGTCGTTCCATCCGGAGCTAAGTGACGATTGTAGATTCCACAGATGGTTCATCCAAGAGTTTGTTGCCAGTACATAGATCTTCAATGTCTACATCACAGGTACAATTGCAATGATAATATATAGTAGTAGAAGTAGTGGCAGTAATAGTGTACACATGAAAAAACCAAACCAGCATGTGGAAACCACGAGGCAGAACAAAGTAAAAGAAAACACATACACACACACAGAACAACAAGAGGACAAGAGAAGCACAACGTGGGGTTAACCAATGAGAGAAGACGGGTGAGATGAGATGAGATAGCAAAGAATTGAAGAATGAATGGTTTGATTAAAACATGACTTGACTTTGAGTGTGGAGGAAACAATGCAAAACACATGACAATCGTACAACATGATCAACCTCAGGAGTCTAAAATTTAATAAAGTTAGATTTATTTAGAAAGGATCTCATTTGGATTCTTCGTCAACCTCTGTTATCTTTTGCTTCTCTTCTTCACCGGCACCCGGTGCTGCTTGCTCACCTTCGTTTTCATCCTCTTCTAAGGTGCTCTGAGGCACACCGAGGGAGTTCATTAGGTTACCACTGTCCAGGTAGAAAACTCCATTCTGGTTTGTCAAGATGCTCTGTTCTAACAGCTGTTGGATTGAGAAGCTTGTCTTTGACCCATCACCTTCGGTGTCTTCAGATGCAGCTTGGGCCTCTTGATCAGCGGCCTGTTGTTCCTGATCCTCTGAATAAATCTCCTTGGCAACTTCTTCGAAAGGCTGTGAAATGGGACCCTTGTTATCAATCACTGACTGGTACCACTCGTCCAACGTCTTGCCTTGTAAGAGGGCAACGATGATCACAGACATGTTGTCACATCCGATACCGGAACCATACGAGTTTGGTGCGAGACAGATGTCGATCATTGCTTCACAGATCTCTTCGAGGGACAAGTGGTCGTTGATACCCTTTCTAACAACCTCAACTGCTTGTTGAGAGGTCAAACAGTCCCAGATACCATCACATGCCAAGATGATGAACTCATCCTTCTCTGTGATCTGGTGTTCCAGAACATCGGGGTAAGCAGTGACAATCTGTTCCTCTGGAGGCAAGTCTGCGGACTTCTTGAAATCAAAGTCTCCAATGGCTCTGGACAATGCCAAATTACCATTCACTCTGCCGATATCGACAAACCCACCGGCAGCACAAATTCTCGCGTGCTCGCCCTCGTTGTTTGGCTTATGGTCGAACGACAAAGGCTTCGACTCGCCTGCAACACTCAACACGGTTCTGGAGTCACCGGCATTGGCACAGTAGATCTTGTCCTTTGAGATGATCACGGTGGTTGCGGTGCAACCACTCTGATCGTTCTTCAAGTTGAAATCTTTCAAGATCTCAACATCGGCGGCCAGGAACGAGTCCTTCAACGCCTGCGAGTAGTTGCCCTTCTTGAACTCCTCCTGTCTCTTCAAAATCTTGTGGAGATTCTCCCCAGTGAACTGTGCAATCTTATCACCTCCATGGCCGTCAAACACACCGAAAAACGCAACAGACTCTTTACCCTTGGAGGCCTCGCCGTCGTCACCCTCCTTGACAGCATCCATGTCCAGCACAGTGGTGTGTGCGTCCTCCATGTTGATTCTCCATCCTTGCATGGAGCTCAGCCCAAAGGCATACTGAGCGTCTTTATCACTGAAGGAATGCTTCTCCGTGACTGGCTGTGAGAGTATCTGACCCATTCTGTCGTAATCTCTCTGTCTCGCGTTCGTTGGTTGTTTCTTAGGAGCTGCCTCGCTTGTTGCTGTAGTAGTCTGTGCAGTGTGGCGTGGTGCTCTTCGTAGTTGTTGATGTTGTTGTTGATGTTGTTGTTGTGGTCGTCGTCGCTGTCTCCAAAGGAAAAAAAAGAGAGGAAGTAATTTCGTTCGCCAGCGGTTTGCGAACACGAAAAAAGGCGAAAAGCAGCGGAAAAAAAAAGCGAAAAAAGTTTACCGCGGTGGGGTGTGCGATTATAGTTATAACTGTTATTATAACTGTTATTATAATTGTTATTATAATTGTTATCCTTGTTATAGGTATTTAGGGCTGTGGGCCGGTGGTGGGAGGATGGGAGGTGTTGCTGTGGAGATGTGGACTTGGGACGGTGGGAAGGGCTTGATGTGACGAGAGCTGTGGTGGGAATGAGCACAATTGATTGGTTTTTGCTGTGGTTGTTGGTCTTTTATCTGGAACGGAACAGCTGAGCAACACGGTTGGGAGCGCTGGCACGGTGATGAGTTTGGCACGTGATGTATCACGTGTGCTGGGTGTGCCGGGTGAGCAGAGTGTGCTGGATGAGCAGGGTGCTCCAGTATCACCTGCTTGAAGACACCACCTCCACAAGTATTACCATTGTACTAAGCTGTACGCGATTCGTGTAAGAAGGTGGGACAGAATCGCTGGTTGTGGAATAGCACACGCACCGTGTATAAGATCAACGCGTAGATCACTTGTGACTCTCGTAATTACGCCGGTAAAGCCACATCTGCACACCAGGTGACACCATCACGTGCTACAGCACGTGCTCCAACAGATGAAACCGCCTTCCTTCAAGTCACGTGTATACCACGTGTCTCCCCACGTGACGTAGTACTCAGAAACTCAATGGAAAAAGAGTCATCGAGAAAGTGGAAAAAAAGTTATAAACACAACGATTCTTCCCTCGTTTCTCTCCTCTGTTCTACATCAGTTACCATAGCAGCAGAGATGCCAGTGAGTAGAGCTTACACGTGGAGCTTTGTGCGTGGCGCTTTGTCCAATGTGTGTTTTTTGTGTGCCTCCCTGTTCCCAGCTAACGAGATGTCCATAGGCCCCAATTCAACCTTCTATTGATTCGCTATTACAGATTATCCATAAGGACAGAGAACAGTACAGCGATGATCTGACCACGATTCCCAACATGTACCCTGTGTACTCATATGTGACCTCGGACTCGATCACTGCGCATATCGCGTACCTCAAGTTGACCAAGATTGGTGATGAAAGCAGTGCCAAAACTCAAAGTTTCCTCTTTGAAAGTGCCAAAAATGGTGATACCGTTGATCGTTACTCGTTTATTGGCTTCCAGCCAAAGAAGATCATCAATACTGGTCCGGATTTCGGGTTGGAAGTTGATCCTTTGAATTTGCTCGAGGATGAAATGTCTCAGTATAGACAGGCCCAATTGCCAGGAATTCCAAAACTGTCTGGTGGTGCAATCGGCTACATTTCATACGACTGCGTGCAATATTTCGAGCCAAAGACGAAGAGACCTCTAAAGGATGTGCTACACTTACCAGAGGCCTCACTGATGCTCTTCGATAACGTCATTGCATTTGACAACGTGTTCCAAAGATTTCAAATCATCAACAATATCGTTGTCAATCTGGACGACTCTGACGAAGAGATCAAGTCGAAATACGCAAAGGCAAGGGATAACATTCATGCCATTGAGACCACCTTGTTGGATGACTCAACTCCAATTCCATATCCTAAACAGGGTCCAATCAAACAAGGACAAGATTTCACTTCGAACATCGGACAGGAGGGCTATGAGTCCCATGTCAAGACTTTAAAGAAACATATTCTTAAGGGAGATATCATTCAAGCTGTTCCATCGCAAAGAGTTGCAAGACCAACTTCGTTGCATCCGTTCAACATCTATAGACATCTAAGAACGGTTAACCCATCTCCATATATGTTTTACGTTGACTATTTGGATTTCCAAATTGTCGGTGCAAGTCCTGAACTGTTGGTGAAATCCGACTCCAACAACAAGGTCATCACACATCCGATCGCAGGAACTATAAGACGTGGTAAGACAGCCGAGGAAGATGATGAATTTGCCCTTGAGCTGAAATCCTCTAAGAAGGACAGAGCCGAACATGTGATGCTTGTCGATTTGGCCAGAAACGACATCAACAGGGTTTGTGATCCAACCACTACGAACGTTGATAGATTGCTTACAGTGGAGAGATTCTCTCACGTCATGCATCTGACCTCGCAGGTCTCTGGTACCTTGAGACCAGACAAGACCAGATTCGATGCGTTCAGATCCATATTCCCAGCTGGTACGGTCAGTGGTGCGCCAAAGGTTCGTGCGATGGAGTTGATTGGAGAGCTCGAAGGCGAGAAGAGAGGTGTCTATGCCGGTGCTGTTGGCTCCTGGTCATACGATGGTAAGACCATGGACACGTGTATCGCGTTGAGAACAATGGTTGTCAAGGATGGCATTGCCTACTTGCAAGCTGGTGGAGGTATCGTGTTTGACAGCGATCCATACGATGAGTACATCGAGACGATGAACAAGATGAAGGCCAACAACAACACCATTGTGGAGGCTGAGAAGTTGTGGGTTGACAAGCTGAACCAACAGCCACTGTGATGGTCCCGTGTATAAGACTTGAGTAATGTGTATATATATAGAAGTTGGTTACCTGTACTGGTCGTCTGATCAATGTGGTGTCCGGATGTATGGGTGTCCGGATGTGTAGCTGTCCGGGTGTTTGGTGTCCGGATGTCCGGGTGTGGCCCCCTCTGATCGTCGACAGCCAAATTTTTCCCCTTAAAAATCAAACTTCACAAAAATGGATCATCGTTAACACAACGCTTCCCTCCGTTTACGCTGTACTGTTTCATTTCTGGTACAAATTCGTTCAATTAACCCAGCTGGAAAAGACACCGAACTGTGCTTTTCCCTGCTACAACCACCGAATCGAGTCCAATCGTTGAGTGCGTGCCATCTTTCCCCCGTTTCAACGTTTCCACCACCCCCTAGGGCCCTTTTTCCACGCTTTTGGAGCCTTTCTGGGAGACATTTTGTGCACTTTTGAGGGTTTCAGGAGTAAACAAAGAACAGGCCTGGACGATCAGAGCGTGGCCTGCCGTGGTGATTAATACAGAGCATACAGAGATACACACGTAGAGCGCAAGAGGCGAGAGATGGAAGACTACAACTTCAAGTTCAGCCAATGCTTTGGTGATAAGGCTGATATTGTGATAACAGAAGCAGATATCATCTCCACGGTGGAGTTTGACCACACGGGAGACTATCTTGCGACTGGAGACAGGGGAGGCCGTGTTGTGCTGTTTGAGAGGAATAACAAGAAGCAGGGGTGTGAGTACCGGTTCCACACTGAGTTCCAGAGTCACGATGCGGAGTTTGACTACCTGAAGTCGTTGGAGATTGAAGAGAAGATCAACAAGATCAAATGGTGCAAGCGGACCAACCAGGCGCATTTCCTCCTATCCACGAACGACAAGACCATCAAGTTGTGGAAGATCTACGAGAAGCAGATAAGAATGGTGTCTGAGAACAACTTGAGCTCCTTGAGCTCAACAGGTTCGAACATGTCGGTATCACAGCTGAGGTTGCCCCGTATGACGCTCCACGACAAGATCATCGCAGCCACTCCCAAGAGAATCTACTCGAATGCACACGCATACCACATCAACTCGATCTCCATAAATAGCGATGGTGAGACCTTTATGAGTTGTGACGACTTGAGAATAAATTTGTGGAACCTGAATATCCCAGACCAGAGCTTCAACATTGTCGACATCAAGCCAGCCAATATGGAGGAATTGACCGAGGTGATCACGAGTGCAGAGTTCCATCCACAGTCGTGTAACTTGTTCATGTACTCGAGCTCGAAAGGTGCCATAAAGTTGGCTGACATGCGTGAGAATGCCCTCTGCGACTCACATGCTAAGGTATTCGAGGAGTACGTTGATCCTGCGAACCACAACTTCTTCACGGAAATCACCTCGAGTATATCAGACGTGAAGTTCAGCTCTGACGGCCGGTACATTGCGAGTCGAGACTACATGACGGTGAAGATCTGGGACATAAACATGGAGAAGGAACCGATCAAGACCATAAACATCCACGAACAGTTGAGGGACAAGCTCTGCGACACGTATGAGAACGACGCCATCTTTGACAAGTTTGAGTGTGTCTTCAGTGGGGACGGTAAGAGCGTTATGACAGGGTCATACAACAACAACTTTATGGTGTATCCTGACGTTACAGATGCCAGTAAACCTCAGGAGGAAATCGTGTTGCAGGCTGATAGATCTGCCTTGAAATCCAAGAAGCAACAGTTGAACAAGAGGAAGAACGGCGTGCCTTCGATGCTCAAGAGGGACTTGGAGTTGGACAACATTGACTTCAAGAAGAGCATCCTCCACTTGTCATGGCATCCGTTTGAGAACTCGGTTGCAATTGCTGCGACTAATAACCTCTACATCTTTTCAACGCTGTGATCAACTAATCCCTTTACATTTCCCTAATACTATATGAAAGTCCCCCTTCTAACAAGCGTGTAATCGTCTACGTTGGCATGCTACTCTCCCACTACAGCTGGAACTATCTGTAAACATGTTGTCTTATAAATGGAGTAGAATCTGAAAAAATAGAGCAGTGATAAATAGATTAATCCTTGATGTGTCTGTTGATGACCGGGTTCCACCACAAGGTCTTGTCACCGTCACCCCAGAAGAATGGCTTGGATCTGATGTTCATGTACTCGTACTGCTTTGGCCATTCCTCGTCTGGAACGTGGGACAAGTGCTCTCTGTGCTTAGCGTGCTCAGCCTCGACAAAGTAGGTGTTGATGGCTGTGGCAATCACAGCTGGCGCAGCAACTAACCACGAGATCTTCTTCCACAACCCACTGGTGGACTTGGCGTGGTGCTCAGTGGCAGCAAGCGAGTCCTTGAAGGCCTTAGCAGCTGCTGGGTCTCCCTTTGGGAACGCTGGCTCAAGAGCCCATGGTGGGAGCTCCGCCTTGTGAGAGGCGTTTCTGACGGCTCTGGTGGCCTTGCTGGACTGTCTCAATGTCTGTCTGAACATCCTTTTCTGTTCCTTTCGTTTTGTTACAAAGGTTCTATTGTTGTTTCGAAGAGGGAGAAGGAGACGAATTGGCTGATTTTTTTTTCTATGGCCTACTGGGAGTGGGCTCGATTACATGGCCGTGAAATTTTCGCGCACTTCAATTGGCTAGCAGGGTTGACTTCCTAAAGCGGTAATCCCAGGATTGCCTAGCGTACTATACTAGAGAAACAGGTGTTGGCCTTGAGCTTGTTGGCAACGTCTGTTTCGAAGAGCTGGGAGCCGTTGAGTTGGTTTCCGATGGCTATGGAGAGGTGTGTTAGTGCGTGGCTGGAGAGGCCACGGTGCTGATGTTAGGTGAAGAGAGAGGGTATACTCACTGAGCCATCCAGGTCTGGTGTTATGATCCCTGCCAAAGATCTCGAGCTTGCGTGCGTGAGGGCCAACGAGCCTCTCGATCATGCCGTAGAGCTCGTCCGGCTTCCTGGAGGTCTCCCTGGTGGAGGAGACCATCACGTCGACGTCGTTCAGACGGTCGAGCCATTCTGGCTCACCCTTTACTCCAACAAACAGGTGTTCTTTGGAGTGGTTGAGCCAATGGCCAGTTCTTCCGGTGCATATTGTTCTTGACAGCTGGTTTGTCTTGACCCATATGACCTCGTTCTTGATCTTGTACCCCCATTTCATCAGGGAGGCCTTGCCGATCTCAATGGCACGTCCCGTGACCCACAGGAACAGAACACCTTCGTCCTGGATCGTATGGAGAGGCAGGTTCAGCAGCTCGGTGTCATTGCACGTGCCATAAGGCAGGTTCATGTGGATGTTCCACGCAGGATCTGCTATCACGGCAGCAAACTTGCCCAGCGTCGTGAAGTCGAACGTTCGAACGTCACAGTTGATCCACTGAGGTGGGAGTGTCTCTCTGCTGAGATTGCTGACCGAGCCATTGGGCATCCAGGGTGATATTCTCTCCCAGTATGCAATCTCGTCGTTGAACTCCTCACATTTGGCGAGTTCCTTCGACAGTCGCTCGTGTGGGACATGGCGTGTATAGTGGACGTAGCGACAGCTATCCAGCTTATGGCATGTGTCCAAGTAGGAGCAATCACCCAGTGAAACATCGGTGTGTGCCTTAATCATCGGAATGAAATGGATCTTATTGTTCAAGCACTGGCGTAGGTCCTTTGGCAGCTTGTTCAGCTGTACTGGAGAGCTCGACGCCAGCATTGTAGAGTGCTGTGGATCGTTACACGTTGGTAAGAACGGAGAACGAGGTGTCGTTAGCGCAAGGTGCTTCTTTGAGAGCCTATGCCCAGTGCTTTCATAGTTCAGCAGCTCCCTCAGCTTGCTCAGTTCCTCTGATTCTAGCGGCTCATCGAGTAGAGAACTCAATCTATTCGCTAGGCTGGCCCTTGAGCTCTTACCAGAGGTCGACGCCTTGGCCTTTGGTCGTTTCAGCTTCCTGGCCTCCTCAGAGGCGGCACAGCTCAACGTCTCGATCAAGATCCCCAGGTTCAGCTCGTTGATGAACACAATGGAGTCCTTGAACAGCGAGTATTCAATACAGTTCCTATCGATCTCCTGGAGCTCGCACAGCTCCCTATCAAACTCCTCTTGTGACATCGGAACACCGCACGCTTTCCCGTTGAATAGAGAGCAAATCGACACCCTACACCCATTTATCGGCGAAGCACAGAGGAAGTGTGCGTTCTCCTTCAAGAACAGTAGCAGCTCGACGTTCATGCTCAGAAACTCGTCCTACTGTGCGCTGATTGGCTGTTGTTTCGTTCAGCTGAAGCTGGCGATGAAGTTGAAGTTTGCGGGCCTGTGTAGATGTTTACTTTCCGGTGGCGGTATTTTGCCAAACCCGGGCCCGGCCTGGTGGAGGGAATATATACGCATGAAAGCGGTGATGAGCTCTTTCAATTAAGGTCAATTTGCGGGTGTTTTTAATTGTTCTCAAGTGTTTGGTGATGAGGAAAGCGTGGCTTATGCTCTCAGAGCTTTGGATTGAGCGTTCAAGGTGAGGTCTTTGGTAGACCTGTTATATATGGCCGGCCCTCGCTGCGTAAGTGGTGCGTGTGTCTGGTGGACATCTTCATGGACAGCTCTGTATAACAGGCATCGTGGTACTGTGACTGATTGTTGAAGGGGAAGAGTATGCAGAATAGCAATTTGGCTGGAGAGTCGACGGTTTCCAAGTGGCATTACAACAAGTTCCTCTACAGAGATATTAGGCCATGTGGCGATGTTGTGGGTCGGACGCACCCCATTTTGATCCTCAGGAGAAGAATCTGGGCGAATTGGTTTAGAGGTTTGTTCAAAGAGGACTCGGAGGACTACTACTACTCCAGCGGGCTACTCCCGAGCTTGGAGCTAGCGAACTACTTGAAATCGTCAACCACGGTTGAGTTTGAGGAGTCCAAATGCCGGTATAAGAGTTGTATTCTCAAATTGCGCTCGCCAAATAATAAGTTCTTTGATAAGGCTCGCATCAACATCATTTGGAAGGACTCGGTCTCGATAAAGATGGCATTGTTTAGGCTCATTGAGGATTTGAATAACAGGTGTGAATGGTACTCGTCGTCGGCCTGTTCCTCTTCTTCGCACGAATCGTTCAAGGATGAACATTTCTGCACTGGGCTACCACTAGGCGAGTTCGACTTGAGATTGGTGTCCAACGTCAAGATACCGCACAGGCACTGGCCCTCCATCCTTCAAAAGATGATGGATATCCCATTGGACCACTCAACAAGAAAACTCTTGACGATAACGGTTCCCAATGCCGTGTCAAACACAGATCAGAGTCAGTACATTCTTGTCTTGAAGAGCACGTCTTCAAAGACCAGGAAATACATCAAATCCGTGATTTCTAAAGCTGTTAAGGGCGACTGGAAGTTCACTGAAAAGGCCAATGCACAAGCACAGGCCAATTGACTGCTCAGCAGTGGTTATTCTTCCCCCATATCGCCATACAACTGCTGCTGCTGCTGCTGCTCCTAAGCCCTATGTGTCGTATAACATCCGCACACCACTCGGCCGGATGATCACTCCCGAGAGCGGAGGGCTCTCCTCTCTCTAAGGGGGGAATTTGAATAAATGAAAGGGAGTTGAAGGTATTTGTCATTATCACCAGCTTTTCCCATTCAATTATACCTGAGATCAACGTCCAGTCGTCGACCTAAGCACCATGTCCAACGTATTCAACCTGGAGAAGCAATTGGTCTTTTACAGATCGTACCATTACGAGACGCTCAACGTGCTGGTGCACTCGGTCTTCGTGCCAACCATTCTGTTCACAACAATAGGCATCTTGGAGAACGTGCCACTGGCCCCTGTCAACAAGCAAGTGTACAACCTGGGGAACTTTGGGTGCCTTATCTACGGGGCCTTTTACCTGCTGCTGGATCTGAGCGGCGGGTTGATTGCAGCACCTATCATGTTCCTGATCGGGTACGCCAACACGCACCTGATCCAATCTGTCGAGAACTACACGTACTGGCTCACAGTCCTGTTCGTCGTGTCTTGGATCGCACAGTTCATCTCGCACGCGGTGTTCGAGAAGAGGGCCCCGGCCCTCCTCGACAACCTCGTCCAGGCCCTCGTGCTGGCCCCCTTCTTCGTCCTCTACGAGGGCCTGTTCCAGCTCGGCTACAGAACAGACCTCAAGCAAAGAGTCGACGCCACTGCGCTGAAGAACATCCAAGAATTCAAGAAGAGAAGCTGAAACCGCAACCCATCGCTTATCTATGCTGGCACGCACGTAGCTTTATACTGAAACGGTACGATCAACCCTTTGCAATACAAACAACAGATATGTATAACATGAAAGAGTCGTGTAGGGAAACCCACGCCGGTATCGGCGTCACAATGAAAATTTTTTAGAGTCACATCCTCATATGCACCACCGCATTGGGTCCCTTAAACCGGGATGCCATGCCCGGCTTTATAAAAGAGCGATGAGGCCACTGGAAGGGTTCCTCTGTTGGTGTTTTACACGCTGTTTGCTGTTATTTTGCTGTTATTTTGCGTTGAAGGAAGCCGTGTGTGAGCCCTGTGTTGAAGCTATGGCCTCCTTTTGGGAATTCACTGATTTGCTGCTGTCCAAGACGGTGACCTTCCCTCTGCTGCTGTTTGTCCTGTACCGGACATTTGTCGATGACAAGGTGAAGGGTGCTGGGGAGCGTGGTGAGGAAGGTAGAACTGGTGGAGGCGCTGCTGCTGACGAGCACGATGAGGAGAAGATTGTGATCCATGCGTTGAAGGACTTTGACTGGACCAAGGAGGACCCGATCAAGTACAGACCGTTCAAGAAGGGAGAGTACAAGCTGACGATGGGCATCCACAACATCCCACCAGACGAGTGGTTTCTCGTGGAGAACACGTACAAGGAATACACCGACTTGAAGTGGTCGTATGCGACCAACCCTGATCTGAAGGACCACGGCATCTTCATGGCTGACGGGTGTGAAGAGGCCACGATCGAGTTCTACCAGAGAAGTACGCAGTTCATGGTTGATCGCTATCCTGACTGTTTCCAAGTGGAAGGTGACAAGATCATCAACAAGATCCGTGGGGACTGGATTCCAAGGGACCCTTACTCCGTTGCGAACAAGAAGGACCTCCACCTGTACCTCTCCAGGTTCCTGGAGGAGGACTACATCATCCTGTACCCTGAGCCTGAGCGTAAAACCGATGAAGTGATCTTCAAAGGTGGTGTGTTTCTGTTTGCTGCTGGTTTTGACCCTGCCACTATCTTCAACACCCCCTTGACGAACATCCACGGCCCTGTCCCTGAATATAAGAGCAAGCTGAGACCGCAGATGAACAAGTTCTTTGACAAGTTGAAGCCCGGAGTGTGGGTCAGAAGAAACAACTGGAGTGTTCAAACGCACAACCGTGTCTTTGTCATGAACGACAACAAGGGTAAAGAGGACGAGGAGATCACCGATCTCGACCCAGATACCCTCGACTTCCAAAGAGAGGTGTTCTTCAGATCCGAGAGACAGATCCTCACGAGGCTGCCAAAGACCGGTGCCATCATCTTTTCCATTAGAACCTACCTCACGCCAATGAAGCAGATCCGTGACGAGGGCAACGACATCGTCCTGGAGCTGATTGGAGGCATTGAAGGTATGCAAGGTGTCATTGGCCAGTACAAGAGAAGACCTGCCTGGGGTCCTGCTGTGATTGCCTACATGAAGGGAGAGTCCAATGGTACCGATAAGCCATGGATCAAAGGGCTACAATGAGCCGTTTTCTGCTGTATATAGAAGCCATACACTTAATCATAATTTATTCATTGCTAAACACTGCTGCTGTGTATAGAAGTCTCCACTCAATCATAACTTATTCATTGCTAAACACTGCTGTTGTGCTGTATATATATGTCACTATATGTCACGTGCACGCAGCTGTTGCCCTCCACCAAAATAGTGGAGACAAAACCGATGAGCCCATAAACCATTATTATGTCTTCAAGAGGGCTGTTGAGACCAGAGCTGTTGAGACCAGAGCTGTGTGACGATGAGTAGGCCGGTGCTTACAGTCTATGAGCTTCTACAGTTATCTACAAAGGAGCAGAACAGGCGTCTTCTGGTGAGGCTCTATAGGCTGAGTCACCAGCTGCCCAAGAGGAAGTATCAAGATGTATACGGCCGGCTCATAAGACAGAGATGCCTAATACCGTATGAGAGGAGACTAGAACTGGTGTTAAATAAGCAGAGCACCGAGCTCAACAAGGAGCAACAACTCCAGAGAAGGCTGAACACGCTGGCGTTCCTCGAAGATGCCCTGCTGCGTAGAGATGGGTCTAAGCATCGAATAGTGATGAATCTTCTAGAGCACGAACTGAGCAAAAGGGTGTACATACTGCGCCATGTAAAGGCCTCGCCGGCCCTGGAGAACAGCATGGATCACCTGCACTACTGGGAGCCCGGTAATCCACTGTACAACCATGATCTGCTGGCCAGCACAAGGCTCTTCGATCAGTGCCTAATGATGGCTAATGAATCGGCGCAGATGGAGCTTTGAACGACAGCCGGCGACGAACAACGCTGCAATTGGCCGAACAGCCACGATATCTACCCTTATATACTGGATCCAGGACATGTACATACCTCAACTAGGAGTTTCGTAGCAATTAGACGAGTTCATTCACTATACTAGCGTAGGTCTCAGTGCCTTTCGACGCTGTGTCACGTGATTCTCCTACACACACTACATGCACAGATTTCCACTCCCAAAGACGTGAGCGGTTACAGTGGCCGAGTGGTTAAGGCGATGCCCTGCTATCTTCTAAGAAGCTGTTAGGCATTGGGTTCTGCCTGCGCAGGTTCGAATCCTGTCTGTGACGCCATTTTTTTTGCTGATGTCGCGGGTGGCTATATTATATTATATTATATTATATTATATTATATTATATAATTATTATAATCGTGCTATGGGTATTAATACCCAATTGAAGCAAGGAATCTATGATATTGCACATCTGGCAGGGGAAAACCCACCAAAGCACTCGTCAATTATCACCACCTGGCCGGTGAAGCTATTTACAATCCAACAAGGCTCCGTGAGACACCACACATCACTCTCTCTCAGGTCTGCTAGCCAACGGTCTCGAGCCTTCTGGAGCCTCTCTGCCACTCCATCTCTCCTGTTCCTGGTATCTCATTGGGATGTACCTATCCAGCACCATGTTCTGAGTCAGTGAGAACGCATTGGAAGAGATCCAGTACAACGCCAGTCCGCTGGGAGCCTGTGTTGCAATGGCCATCAGGAAGACGGTGCCGAATCTGGAGATGTTCAGTATGGACTCCAATGGTGTGATCCTCAGCGAGCGACGAACATGGGTGTTCTGTAATGAGTACGTCTTTGCATTCCACTCGACGTTGGTCAGTGCCAGCGTCCCAAGCACAATTGGCAATATTGCCAGGGGGTCACTGAGGGTGAGGTCGCTCACCCACAGGAACCCCTCTGTAGTCAAGGCTGGGTCCATTGGATTCGACGTGATGTCTGTCCATCCGGTCAGATCTCTAAACGTGGCACTCATCGCAATCCACAGTGGGATCTGAACTCCAGGAAGGATCAGATTCTTCCACATCTGGCAGTTGTGGTCCTTGTACAGCTTCTTCTGCCTTCTCCTTCTCTCCTTCGACGAGAGAACCATGATCTGCTCGTAGCTCAACCCTGCAGCCTGGCCACCAATCATCTTAGCCTCTGGTGACTGCTGCTGTGACTCCAGAGCCTTTGCGCTTGTAGCCCTCTGTGCCAATTTCAGCCTCAGAATAGGACCCATCGCCTGGACCAAGGGCGTCAGCTGTGCCTGTCTCTGTGTTCTTCTTCTCTGGATTATGGCTATTGGTAGCGTAAACATGGTTCTGAACGTGATGGTGGCCATCGGTATTATCATCCACCACGTCAGTGGGGTTGTCGAGTGGAGAGCCTCGAGCCCTGAGGTCAGCACCGTTATAACATCCGTTGGCGAGGAGACAAACGTCCTCTTTTGCATGTGCAGACTGCCCAGTCTAAGCTGTGGTCTTAGCATATCTCCCTGAGTACGTCGTCACCGCGTATCACTGTGAAAGAGCACTCATCGAGACATAAATGTTGAAACGTCTAATATGCGTGTATTTTTTTTTTCACCCTCCTCGGACAGCCCACTCATCCCATACTACAATGGCAGACATAAATCACAGTCAATTGACTACTTTTCTTTACAAAATCCATACAGAATGACCATCACGGGATTCACCGTCACATTAGTCCATAACGCTTCCATCCCTTGGTCTATAATTAGGTATATTCTCCGCAAACTCCCTCGGTAAGCGTCCTTGCACCTTCACGGCGTATAGTCCCGGTATGTAGTTACTCACTCTGAGCCACTTGGCCACCCACGACTTGTCAGGCTCGCCGATGGCCACCAAGCCTTCGAACGTTGGCGACGTCGTCGACAGGCCAATGTCGAGCACATCGACACAGTTCGGACACCCTTCCTCCTGGAATCTCTGGATGTGGTTGTTAGTCGTGACGGGGTCTTTGTTCCTTGCCTCTGTGCCTAGCGGAAGTTAGGCAGGAGGCAAAAGAGAGCACAACTCACCTTGGCGGGCTCCACGATCCCGCACAGCATGCACGCCCTGTTTGAGCTCATCGTTCTGTGGTCTGCTGGGTCTTGATATGCGAACTAAAGGGCTCGTGATGGTGGATCCGTGGCGCCTTCACTGTGTGTTTTGAGTGGTTGGTGCTGTCCGTACGAACATTTTGGAGCTGGTGTGTGATCTGGTGTCCGGGTGTGTCTTACGTAAGCATTGTGTAATTATTACGTAAGTATCACGTGACGTGTGCTTATGTAACGTCTTACGTAACAAGTCACCCCATACGCACACCTCCGCCCCTGCTTCCCCGGCAAGCTACACCGTTGCTAATACAACATCATTTCGTATACATTCAATATATACAGGTCAAAATGCATTGCACCACTCATCCTGGTCGTATATCGTTAAAAGGCCATCATCATTACTCGTCATCTCTCTCTAAAGTGTCATCAAATTGCACGTCTCTATCACTCCTCCTTGATCAGCTCGTCATACTTCTGAACCTGGTCAAACTTCTCCTCGTGCTGGGACGCGTTGGAGCCCCGTCTTGCCTTGCCAGCCACCGGTGGAATCTCGCCTCTGTTGATCAGATCCTCGAGCTCGTCGCCTGGCGAGCCCCAATTGCCCTTCCCGGCTCCGTTCTTCTTGGTCTTGTTTGGGTTGGTGTCGGAGTGGCCATTGTGGGTGAAGTAGTGGGACTGGGCCTTAGCCTCGTGCTTTGTCCACTTGTGAGTTCTGGTCATTGTTAAGATTGCTTGTTTAGTAATGCGTGTGTAGTAAGTATTGTAACTTGAAGAAGTGGAAAGGAGGTAGGAAATGAAACAAGGAAACCAGAACACAGGTGCTCCTTTTATAGTGATCCGGGGATCAGGCACACAGCACAATTGCTCCCACACATATCTCGCACGGACAGCCCCCTAATTGCCTTATCCGTCAGATAGGTGGCGCAACCCTACGCTACCACGGTGCTACGGTACTACGGGGTAGTGACGTTACAGTGTGACGGGTAGTGTGATTAACAAATGACGTCTTATGACCTCATCTGGTATATTAGGGGGTGGCATCGGGATGGCGTGTGACTCACTGCTTCATCCCACCAACGCCAGAAATGGGGGGCAAATTGTTGGGCAGCAGCCTCCCCCGGTGTGCCAGCAACACCAGCCAAACCTCCACAAGACTCCACAGACCTCCACTGGGCTCAATTGGCGTGTTCTTCGTTGATAATTGGGCCCGGCTGGGCCAGTGAGTATATACAGCATGGTGTGCGGGTGTGCCCGCGCTCATAACCCCTTCCCGATTAGGAAGTTAATCTGGGGCACGCCCCCCCCCCGCCTCAGCTACATCCAGACACCACATACTTCACACCGTATACTGCGCTCCTACATACTATGGCCTGTTCTATCTATCTAAACGAGCACTGCTGAGTCGTACAGCTCCGGTCCAAGCAGCCTGTACAGGTCAATTGTCACTCGTTGATACTCAGGCCTCAGCTCCAGGAACGGCACCTTGATTGGGTGTCCTGGTTGCTGTGCAACAGTTATGTCCAGTAAAGGAAGAACAGGGATGACTCTGTCCAATGGGACGAGGCCTGGGACCACGGTGGGGAACTCCAGCCGTGTGGAAGGCTCCTCGTGGTAGCTGATTCCAAGCCTGCTAAGCATTCTGACGGCCTGTCTTGTGCGCGAGGTTTCAGCCTGGAGGTATGTTGAGGAGATGTCCTCATCCTGGCCGTTGAAGCACCAGAATCCAACACGCTGGTGGAAGCCGACATATCTGTTGTCCAGTGGATTCAGCAGCTCGCCGCCGAACTTGGCCTTGTACTTCATCTTCGCACAGTCTTGGATGTAGTATCCCATGTAGTAGTATTCCAGAGCCAGCTTTGTCCTTGTCTCTCTCATCTCAAGCAGTGCAGAGATCTTTCCCAGTGCCATGGACTTGAAGTCAGGGTCATACATGAAGTAGACGGACGACAAGCCCGAGGGAAGCACGTCAAGAACACCAATGGCGATGAGCTGCTCTTTGTAGTAGTAGCATTGGTGCAATGAGCCTCTCAGCTCGGCAACTGAGGAGTTGGACAACGGCGAGTCGCAGAGAAACTGTTTGAAGCCACTGGGGGAGCACTCGTCGTCGTCGTGCACACCACGCTGGTACTTCGCAAAGAGAGCGTACTTAGCGTCTGAGTACTCGTTGGACTCCCATCTGATCGCCAGATCTGGCGTCAATTGGTCCAGGCTGTCCAGCACCTCCTCGTACGACATGGTCTCGCTTTTGGCAACGTCCAACGCCCTCAGGAACTTCCTCACGTCATGTTTATGTTCCTTGGTCCATCTGAACTGCTCGTACGAAGTACGAATGGTGTACATGGGACAGCACGTGCGCAGCACGTCGCTCTTGTAGATGAAGGTCCCGGACCGTCTGAATCCCATGTTGATGAGCTTGTCGTACTCGTCCACGGACATCTTCTCGCACTGGAACCCCATTGAGATCGAACTGTGCTTAGAGCCATGGCAGTAGCCACAGTGTCGATCCCTGGCATAGATAGCGTGAGTTATCAACATCCTGGTCTTTATGTCCCACACAGCTGGGTATTAATTATGAGTAGCAGGCATCGGTGTTTAAATAGCGAAATTTTCCACCACTCTCGGTCGAGAAGCCAACCGAGACATAACTCCAGCAGCAACAGTACACGGCAATTGAGGATGTTCTCGGTGCGTAGAGTCTTCAGTGGTGTTGTCCAGCTCAGCCAGGTCAGATCAGTGAGCAATCTCTTTGAGGTGTTCCCCTCGACGTTCAGCAAGCCGCAGTTTGTCGTCAATGAGAGGAAGTTGAGGAAGGAATATAGACAGCTTCAGCAGCAACAGCACCCAGATTTGACGAAGAATGAGGACGACACGCAGTCGAGCCTGCTGAACAAGGCGTATACCACGCTCAAGTCGCCGCTGACCAGGGCACAGTACCTGTTGAAGCTTCAAGGCGTTGATTTGAGCGATGAGACGGATTCGCAGAAGTACTCACAGCCGGACGTTTTGTTCCAAGTGCTGGACATCCATGAAGCGTTGGAGAGTGTGGATAAAGAGGAAGAGCTCGGTGCGTTCAAGAGGGAGAACGACGAGAGGATCCGGCAGAGCGTGGCACAGCTGGAGGAGCTGTTCGGGAGCGGAGACTACGAGCAAGCTGCGAGGGAAACCGTCAAGCTGAAGTACTGGGTCAACGTTGACAATGCCATCAAGAACTGGGATGGCAGTGTTACAGTGATGCATTGATATTCCATTCTATGATATACGTCTTCTTATACGGCCAACTCCTTGTAGATGAACTCGACGCCGGAGACAAAGGTGCCCAGGAGGAACAGCCACGATGAAACTCCTACACCGGACTGCCATACCCACTGCACGATTGGAATTGGTAGCACATTCGGCATGTAGAACACTTTGGTCTTTCTGTACCAGATCTTTATGAAGAATCCCAGAAGCGTGATCAGCCTCTTGAGCAAGGTGGTCGAGGAGCTGAGCTGGTCCTTCTTGGCCTGCAGTGCCTTCTCCGCGGTGTCGATCTCGCTGTTCAGCTGATCAACTTTTCTGTTCAGCTTGGTCCATTTGGCGTACTGGTCCTGTGGTGACAGTTTGTTCTTGGCTATGTTTGTATCGTATCTGTCCTGCTTTAGCAACTTCACCTTGTGGAACTCGTTGGAGTAGCGCACCAGCAGTTGGACTATGAATTCGGTGATCAAGCCTAGCAACTTTTGGATGAAGAAGAAGCATGTTGCGAAGATCAACAGAGCGATGGGTTCCATGGTGCGATTATCGTTGGTGATTGGTGGCCACTGATTGCTGACCACTGATTGCTGACCACTGATTGCTGACCACTGATTGCTGACCACTGACTACTCACCAGCGACCACGATCAACTTTTTTCTCCTCGACCACAAAAAAACCAAAAAAAAATTAGAACTTCTCAACATCAAAAACAAACAAATCACACACACAACCACAACAACCACAATGAGTGACGTCTCTTCTGAACTGGAAACTTGGATCTCAAACTACTGCTCCCTCTACGGCCATGACTACTTTGTCGAAGTATCACAAGAGTTCATCGAAGATGACTTCAACCTGACCGGGCTAAGCTCAATAGTGCCGTTCTACAGAGAAGCCTTAGATATGATATTGGATTTTGAACCTGAAACCTCCATAGCCGTTAGTGATATGGCGTTGGTACAGCACTCTGCAGAGCTGTTGTTTGGACTCATCCATCAAAGGTTCATTCTAACAAAGATGGGATTACAGATGATGGCCTCGAAATTCGAACAGAAGGTATTTGGAGTTTGTCCTCGTTATCTATGTGATGGAATGCACCTATTACCAGTGGGCACACAGGACGTACCAGGGCTTGAAACCGTCAGACTGTTCTGCCCGTGCTGTGCCGACATCTATCTGCCAAACTCGTCACGTTATCTGAACATTGATGGTGCCTTCTTCGGAACAACGTTCCCTGGCATGTTCATGGATAAGTATCCGGAAGTGGTAAACCAAGCAAAGCTCAGAGGTAAACAACAGTTCCAACTAAAGCTATTTGGCTTCAAAGTAAATGAATCATCACAAGTTGGCCCAAGAATGAAATGGTTAAGACAGGTGCCAAAGAATGAACAAGAGAGAAGAGATTACGAAGAATGTGCCTACGCAATTAAGAACGACTGATTGGTTGTTCTGTTTGTTTTGTAAAACTGACTAATTAATATACTATACAAGCCCTTGTTCCTTCCCGTAGTTTAAAACATCTTCACAGCAGTGGAAGTCGTTAAAATACTTATCCTGTGTTGCACTGTCGTCGTCCTGGCTGAGTTTCTTACGACGTGGGTTCAACACTCTTAGCAATCTCTCCAACTTCTCACGGGATTCATCACCACTGAGATCTGTGATGCCTTTACTCCGTACCAATTTATCCAACAAGTAGTGCAACCACATGAGGTTTGTTCTGAATGAACTTAAGCTCCAATCAACCTCACTATCCTCACTTTTTTGCAATGATTTGAGCTCAGAACGCATCATTCTATAAATGTCAAATTGATAATCACCCCGACCTTTGAAGAAGTCCTGGTGGTCTAGCCTGGTATGAATGACGGACCCATCTGAGCTTTGAAGCCTAGAGAGTGTATAATCAATTATCTTCACGCTGAATTCATCCTGGCTTAGTGTTGGACCCTCATCGTCATCATTCTCCTCAATAAAACTCAGATCTTGGAATGCATCTTCCAGTCTATGGCTTCCATGTTGGCTCTGTTTGTACTCAATAACGATATTTCCCCAATGAAGATCACGATGTTCAAACTGATAGAGCTTTTCAGCCCTGGTTAGCGAATAAGCAACACTCCAAAAGATCTCTAATGCCTGTTTCCACTTCAAAAGTTTGAAGTGCTCTAGATCAACACCGCCATATTCCAAGTCCATGAGGAGATATCTCTGTGTCGGTTCGAATTCAGGTCTAAAATTATTGGAACCTTTTAACTCGTTGTAATCGTCCCATAGCTTCAACATCAGTTTTGGATAACAACCTTCAACAACGTGGCATGAGTTTAATTTGATAAACCCATCTAGAGAGTTCAATTGCAAATTGACTTTCAACTCTTGGATGACATTCTCCAAGCAAGGTTGTTCAAATCTTTCATCTCCAAATGGAATAACCTTGAAGATCTTTAGATTTTCCTGTGTTAAGTAGTTCTTCAGGACAAAGACTTCACTATAGGATGCTTCCGCATATTTGACCAAGATTTGATTCTCCATATTCACGTACTGTGAGATGTAACTTTTGAAATCGAGAATTCTATCAGTTGAAGTCAAGTTCAACAACGACTTCAACTGCTGATCGTCATAGCTTGCCAGTGTGGTGCAAGGAACGATGGAGCTTGGTGCTCCTGATATCACACTGTTAATTGAAATAATAGACGAACTGTTCTTCAACTTGTTTTTCAGTTTATTTGCCGAATCTGTATCAGGTTTAGGTAATGAAATCATCATTTTGTCAACAGATTGTCTCCTCTTCAAATCCTGTAACGATTCTTTCTTAACCAATCTGAACAGTGATTGTTTACTGGAGGACATTGACAATACGCTTTTTCTCATATCACCAAAGGATGATCTTCCTCTGACAGTCCTTATAGATTCGCTATCTCCCGTGTCCTTCTTCGAAGAAGTGAACAATGAACTCAGTCTAAATCTCGATTTGGATGATTTCAAACTGGACATTGTGTTTGTACTCAAAACACTTAATTGATCTCCCTCTGTAGAGACGCGAGAGAGGTCGTTCCTGCTATTTGGATTTCCGTTAAACGTTTGTGAGTAAACTTGAGATCTTTCTGCTTGGTAAGAGCTCTTGATAGTGGCATTTGTCACCGATGACACAGCCATGCTGTATTTTCTTGGAACCACCGGTGAAGAAACTGCTGGAGCGTTTGAGCTTGAGAGTGGTCTCTTGTTAGAGGATGCCTCTGCAACTGTTGGGTTTGGAATTACCGTGGAAGGTTCATTGACAACACCAGGTTGTACATTTTTGAACGGGGTTGATTCATTTGATGCATCGCCAGAGCTTACTGAAACAGAGGAAAGGGCATTGCCAACTTTTGAAACAACGTTTTTGAAACTCGAAGAACTTGAGTTGGCTGAAGAGATTGAGAATCTCTTTGAGATGGTGTCACTCTGTAAAGAGCTGATTGAAAATCTCTTTGTCTTTACTGAGTTACCACTGTCATCGTTAAAGCTCAGCATTGACCACCTTTTGCTTTGGTTACTGTGGACACTTGATCTGTTCTTCTTCGATAAGTTTGACGAAGAAGTCCTTGGTAGTGAAGGTTTACTGGACAGCATCACCGACTGTCTCTTTTCTTGCGCTGTAACGCTGGAATTCGGCACATTATTCAACTCTTGCAGAATCGATTTGCGTTTACGATCGCCTGTTCCATTTGACGGTGTCTTTGATGATGTCTTTGACAATGTCTTTGAAAGTGGCCTTGGCATCGTCTCATGGGAAGCTAAAGAGGAGGATGACAAAGGTCTAACCGAAGAACCTGCCGGTTTTGATACCGTTTGGTGTGTGACTTCTTGTTGTTGCTTGGCCGCTGGCCAGACACAGTACAAATTCTCATCATCTGACTCGTGATCTGAAACGGCAATGGAAATGATACCGGTACCACCCCTTTGGTAAATATCATCCAGCGTATCATCATCTGCAACATCAACAGGATTGTGGGCAACTGCTCCGGCGTAGTCCTCTTCATCTTCAACGTCACTCATCTTGAAGCTATCGTTCGAAATGTCGAAATCTTCAGCCCTATGATCATGGGCCGTCGAATCTAACACAATGTCGCTCAAGGTGTATCGAGCTCTGTTTGACGCCTTGTTGTACTTACCGTAGGTTGACCTCTGCTGTGTAACGATCAGCCCGTTTCTTCTCTCTCTATTACGTAGCATGGTCTAAGTGGCAATCTGAGTAAAAAAAACAAGCAACAATAAAAAGAAGGTGATGTAAACAAGGAAAGCTAAAGGCTGTGAGTCTGTAAGATCCCGCCGTTTCCAAGGGTAAAAGCCACTATGCTAGATAAACCTTTGATCTGATCCGGCTAATGCTTGGGGAAAATGATAGGAAAAGAAGCAACGGAGAACGAGCGAAAGGTTTATAGTTAGGAAAGATGGTTTAAAAGGAAATATCACCGTCCGCCCCCTTGGTGTTTCCTTTTGCTCGTGCTTGTTTAACTGGAATTTCAAGTGTTGAAGATCCCGATTTGCGATGGCGGCTAATTTTTGTGTTTTGATTTGGTTTTGTGGTTATTTTTTTGTGTTGTTGTTGTTTTCGGGCGGCGCGAACAGCATTTTTTTGCTGTTTGTTTACCTTACACCGGTTACCACGGTGATTAAGGGGGTTTCAAAAGCAAAAGAGCAAGGGAAAGGAAAAGCAGTATGCGGTGTCTGGGTGTTTCACCACCGCGATCTTCACAACCTACAACATTAATACACTATGAGGTGCACACCATCAGAAGTCATCTACATGTCCAAGTTCCGAACTCATAACTAATGTACAATTAAAACCATAAAATATAAAACCCTTCCCAGAAAAAGCTCTTTAGTTACCGAAACCGTACAAAGTTCTACCTTGTCTCTTCAAAGCGTAAACGACATCCAAAGAAGTGACGGTTTTTCTCTTAGCGTGCTCAGTGTAAGTGACGGCATCTCTGATGACGTTCTCCAAGAAGGACTTGAGAACACCTCTGACTTCTTCGTAGATCAAAGCAGAGATACGCTTGACACCACCTCTTCTGGCCAATCTTCTGATGGCTGGCTTTGTGATACCTTGGATGTTATCACGGAGAATCTTTCTGTGACGCTTAGCACCACCTTTTCCCAAACCTTTACCACCTTTACCTCTACCGGACATTGTTAATTGATTGTTATTTGTTTTGTTGTATTCAGGAACCAAAGGGAGGCAAGCACAAGAAACAGTGGGAAACCGCTCTAGTTATATACGAATCACCACCACACGTCTTCAACACTCGCTGTAATACAAACACAACCGCGTCGTACATTGTGTTTACGTTCTGTTAGTTACGCACAGGCACAGCGTAACTTTCAGCATAGAATTTTGTTTACATTCTGAAATTTACTGCGTGTTGACAACCCCACAGTGTAAATTCCATCACGGTATTTGTTAGTGCTGATATTTACGCTGGGCTTTATGCGTAAATATGAGGATGGACCCCAGTTCTCTCCAGCGTTTGCCATTCCAGTTTTTACACTTATCCACGCCCTACTAGGGTAAACACCTGTGTAACTCTCAGAACGGAACATCCCCTCGCCGTCGAGGCAACGCAAAGGGGTGGCGCTGGAAATCAAAACAAAACAAACAGTGCGTACGCTTCCACCACTCAAGCTTTTATAAAAGGCGAAACAATCATCCACTTTTCTCCCTCCCATTGTAACGTTGAAGAGAGTATCGAAACCAAACACAATGGCTAGAACCAAACAAACAGCAAGAAAGTCCACTGGTGGTAAGGCCCCAAGAAAGCAACTCGCTTCCAAGGCTGCCAGAAAGTCTGCCCCATCTACTGGTGGTGTCAAGAAGCCACACAGATATAAACCAGGTACCGTTGCTCTTAGAGAGATCAGACGTTTTCAAAAGTCCACTGAGCTTTTGATCAGAAAGTTGCCATTCCAGAGATTGGTGCGTGAGATTGCCCAAGATTTCAAGACCGACTTGAGATTCCAATCTTCTGCTATCGGTGCCTTGCAAGAGTCCGTCGAGGCTTACTTGGTTTCTCTCTTTGAAGACACCAACTTGGCTGCCATCCACGCCAAGCGTGTTACCATCCAGAAGAAGGATATCCAATTGGCTAGAAGATTGAGAGGTGAGAGATCCTAGATCTGAGGTGTTCCGCAAACTTGTATATTAGATGGGAATTGAATAATGTTTATGGTTATAGCTGGCTCTGTAGGCTTGTAGCACTAGCACCACTGCCTGAAACGGGTTCTTTCAAAGCAATGAACAACCATTCAGCACTGTCGTCCATTGAACAGCATTCCATTGAACAGCATCCCATGCTTTGAACCTGGTTGCTTATGTAAGCCTCTTCCGGCAAATCGCCATCGGAAACAAACAAGCGCAAAAGTAGCAAAAGGCATCTGGGCGCAAGGCGAACTTCCACTTCCACAACACCCTAAACAGCTACAAAGGAGGCCGCCCTGACCAAAGACTGCTATTTCGGGAAGGAAGAGACCTCAGTATACACAGGATGATTGGAAGAGTACTGAACCAGAGGTCTTCGGCTGCTCTGTTGCGCTCTCTTCAGGCGTGTGGGAAAGGGAGAGTGTCTACGTTCAGACCCCGTCCATGGACGGTGTCACCAAGGGCGTTCTCTACGACGCCATTGACGACGTTTAAACACTCGAGCAGTGTGTTTGAGGATAAGAAGGACAAGAGAGATGACGATAAGGCGGATGAGAACAAGGCGGGGCAAGAGAAGAAGGGCAAAAAGGGTGACAAGAAGGATGATAAGGACCCGTTTAAGGACATGTCACTGTCAGACTACTTCAAGTCGAAGGAGTTCCTGCGCTCGGTGTACATGACGCTTGGTTTCACGCTGTTCTTCTACTTCCTGTCGCCAAACGAGGCCAACAACCAGAATGTGCTGACATTCCAAGAGTTCAAGTCGAAATACCTCGAGAGAGGGTTGGTTTCGAAGATGTATGTTATCAACAAGTATGTCGTTGAGGCGGAGTTGAGGCCTGAAGCTGCCTCCCAGATCCCTAACGGCGGACTGTTTGGAGGAAAGCCAATCGTTGCCTTCACTATCGGCTCTGTTGATGTCTTTGAAGAGCAGATTGACGAGATTCAAGACCGTTTGAAGATCCCTTCAAGTGAAAGAATCCCAGTTATGTTTGTCGAAAGACGCTCAATTTTCAGTTTGTTGGCTCCATTCTTGCCTACGATGCTCTTGCTAGGTGGATTGTTCTATATGACTAAGAAGATGCAAGGTGGTGCCGGTGGAGGTGGCGGAATGTCCAACATCTTCAACGTGGGTAAGAGTAAAGCCAAACTGTTCAACCAAGAGACAGATATTAAAGTCAAGTTCAAAGACGTTGCCGGTTGTGATGAGGCCAAGGAGGAGATTATGGAATTTGTTGAATTCTTGAAACGTCCTGAAAAGTATGAAAGATTGGGTGCAAAGATTCCAAGAGGTGCCATTTTATCTGGACCACCAGGTACCGGTAAGACCTTGTTGGCGAAGGCCACGGCTGGTGAAGCCGGTGTCCCTTTCCTCTCGGTTTCTGGTTCTGAGTTTGTTGAGATGTTTGTCGGTGTCGGTGCCTCTCGTGTTCGTGACTTATTCAAAACTGCTAGAAAAATGGCTCCAGCAATCATCTTTGTCGATGAAATCGATGCCATTGGTAAAGAAAGAGGTAAAAGTAACATGAGTGGTGGTAACGATGAAAGAGAGGCCACTTTGAACCAACTGCTCGTTGAAATGGATGGTTTTGAGTCTTCCGATCACATTGTCGTCTTAGCTGGTACAAATAGACCAGATGTCTTGGATCCTGCTTTGATGAGACCTGGTAGATTTGATAGACACATCTCTATAGATAGACCAGACATTGAAGGAAGAAAGGCAATCTATAAAGTCCATTTGCACAAGTTGAAATTGAAGATTAACGAAAACGGTATCGCTAAAGAGGCAAATGAAGAATTGGCTGGTAGATTGGCTGCTCTCACTCCAGGATTTTCAGGTGCTGATATTGCCAATGCTTGTAACGAAGCTGCCCTTACTGCTGCAAGACTAGGCGATGAATTTGTTGAGTTGAAACATTTCGAACAGGCTATTGAACGTGTCATTGCTGGTTTGGAGAAGAAGTCAAAAGTATTGTCTCCTGATGAGAAGAGAATTGTTGCTTATCATGAAGCTGGTCATGCTATCTGTGGTTGGTATTTGAGATGGGCAGACCCACTATTAAAGGTTTCTATCATTCCAAGAGGTCAAGGTGCGCTTGGTTATGCCCAATACTTGCCTCCAGATCAATACTTGCTCAGCGTTGATCAGTTTATGGATAGAATGACAATGGCACTGGGTGGTCGTGTTTCTGAAGAGATTCATTTCAAGTCAGTCACATCCGGTGCACATGATGACTTCAAGAAAGTTACAAACATTGCCGAGTCCATGGTTACCACCTTGGGTATGTCTAAGAAGATTGGCTATATCTCCTACGATACGGATGGTCAAGGTGGGTTCCAGATTCAAAAGCCATATAGTGAAAAAACCTCAAGAACAATTGATCTGGAGAAGAGACGTATAATCGATGAGTGCTACGACAGATGTAAGCAACTTCTCATTGAAAAGAGCGATGATGTCGAGAAAGTTGCACAACTCTTACTGAAGAAAGAGGTGCTTACTAGAGACGATATGATTTCACTTTTGGGTCCAAGACAATGGTCTGAGAACGCTGAATTTGAAAAGTACTTGAATAACGGCTTAAAGAGTGATGGATCCGGTGCTGAAGACGTTGCACCTGCTTGAGATCTCAGAACAGTTGGCTGTTGTATCTTTTTTTCTGTACATAGAGAGAATAATTAGAAAACTTATGCATTCATAGCAGTTTGTAACGTTATAGAGTATTATACGATTCAAATTATCTTCAAAAAGTCTCCTCTTCCATATCAATGTCTGCAGCGTGTTGCTGTTGTTGTTGTTGGTGCTGCTGCTGGTGCTGTTCCTCTTGTTGTAATTGCTGTTCATCGATATCATCATCTGGAATTAGGAATCCCTCTTCTGTGCTATACAACACCTCTTGGATCTTGATTAGGATATCCTTCAGAGATGGTATTTCCACAGTAGAGGCTGCTCCTTCTTTCAACAGATCACTTGTAGTTTCAGTGAGGATCTCAATTTCACGAAGCTTGTTAAAGTAGAAGTTACGTTCAGATTCTAAGGCATCGAGGGCCCCTTTATACTCTCCAAGCTCCTCCTCAACTTGTGCCAACGCACCTTGTGTCTGCTGCAGCTCCAGTTCTAGCTGTTTGTTCTGCTGTGACACCACTCTAGAACCTGGCGCCGATGTTGATGACGACGACACGTTTCTAGTTCTTGGTAACGCTGAGGAAGACACCCCGGCTGCTGAAGAGCCTGAAGCTGTGCGACGCGAAGAGCTCAACGTCGACGTAGTCGGTGTTGTGCGTCTCGACTGTGCAGGTGTTGCTCTTGCGCTTGTACTTGGAGGAGGTGTGTATTTTCTTCTTGAATTTGGATCGTACTCGGATTCGTCCTTATTCTCTTTCCAGAACTTTCTAATCCACTGGAAGAACTCCAAGTTATCCTGGAATCTGCACTTGATGAGTCTCTCAACAGGAACAGATTTCTGGATCTTGTGCTTCACCAACGCGGACTGTAGCACCTTGAAGTTGTTCAAGTACTCGTACTCCTTCGTGGCATCGAACTTGACCCTGTTCATTGGCACATCGAGAAAGATGGAGTCCAAGATCTGGCAGTACGCAGCACCTGATCCCAGCTGTTCCACCTTGGTGTAGTTCAAATCCAGCATGCTATTCAGCCAGTTGAGCAGCTCGGTACGTGATTCGGTCATTGCATCCAATCGCTTAGGGCTCAGTGAGTAGAAGGTGAAGTCCGTTACGAACAGAGTGAAGCAAAGTGAAACAACGTTAAACAAAGTAAGAGCAGCGACGAAAAGTAAACAAAGGGCCGCGTTTTCGCGCTTTTTTCCTCTTTGGGGTGTCACGTGAAACAGGATGTCGTGTCATGTGACCTATAAGTTCTACACGGTAGTTTCTACAATATTGAGCCAATTTTGCCCTTTTCTTCTGGGTTTTAACCCTTTGCATCACTGGCGTAGACAACTGAAGCCTCAGTTTAGCTGGTAAACCCACTGTTGTAGGGGTTATTGTCTCGGTTAAACTGCCCATTTGGGGATAACATCCGTGCATAATCAATTGCATATGTATACTAGGCTCATATAAAGAGGCCCTCTAATGGTTTCCTCTCATTTGTCTTCACTCTATGGCATCTCCTTTTGCTTGTGAGTGTGTGTCATGTCCTCCAAGCACAAGGTTCTCTTTGCAACAAACCCAGCACGTCGTGAGGTGCCAACCATTGCGGAGTTTAAGCGGTTTGAAGAGTTATTCGAAGTTGTTGTGTACCCGCTGGTCAGCATCGAACAGTTCCAACATGCGTTGCTTACTGACCTGAACGACATCTCAGCAATTTGGATAACAAAGCCACTGGTGCACCATGCTACTCGTCTGAATAACTATATAGACTATCTGCCACCAACGGTGAAAGTGATTGCTCTAAGCGGTGTTGGCTATGATATGTACGACGTCCCCAAGTTGAAGTCAAAAGGTATCAAAGTGTGTAACATTGGTGATGCGCCTGCTAATGACGTTGCAGATATGGCGCTATCGCTAACGTTGTCCACCTTTAGATTCACTGCGTACTTTGACAAGCTGTTGAGAAAATGTGACGGTGATAGTTCTAAAACGAAGAGGTTTCTTGGAAGTGAGGCTGTTGATGCCAACGGTAGGCCCTTGGAGGCACCTGATGAGAGGTTTAACTGGACTAAGTTTGCCACAATTGGTGGTAAATCACTTGAGAGTCCTAATGGAAAGACTGCTGTCATCATTGGACTGGGCTCAATTGGCAAACAAATTGCCATTAGGCTCTGGGCCCTGGGTATGAAGATTGTATACACCAAGCGAACACCTTTGGAAGAAGGATCGCTGCCGTTCGACACTGTGTACTATCCAACTATTGAGGAAGCACTTCCAGTTGCAGATCTGATAGTACTTGCTGTGCCGCATACTGAGCATACTGTGAACATAATCAACAGAGATTCGATTAAGCTGGTAAAGCGTGGTGTTAGAATCGTCAACATTGGAAGAGGAAGTGCCATTGATGAGGATGTCTTGTTCGAAGCGTTGGACAACGGTACAGTCAACTCTGTGGGACTTGACGTGTTCCAGCACGAGCCACACATAGACAAGAGGTATCTCAATAGGCACGATGTTACGATCTCACCACATCTTGGGCCATTCACAAAAGATAACCATATATACATTGCAAAGAGGCAAATGGAGAATATCATTAACGTGCTGATAGAGAATGGAGATGGTATTAATCCTGTCTGACACGCCAGCACCATCCTCCATAACTGTACACCGTTGCTCTGTCGAGTGTGCCATCTTTGTTGAATATTCACAGTGCTCTCGTTTCCCAGCGCAATGATAATCGTGGTTCTCTGGTCCATGAAGAAAACACCATCTGAATGGTTCTGCTCTTTCGTTTCACTGTAGGCATTCACTGTACACATTCACTATACACATTCACTGACAATTGTTCAGGATCTTTACACTCTCCTCGCCTTTCTCACATTCACCTAAGAGTGCCATAACATCCTTCATGCTCATCCTCGAGTAGCGGAGGCTCTCATTTGAAACCTCATCTCCCATACGTAGATCCAATGGCCTTATAAGCCTAAAGAGAGTACAAGAACTGCAGTTTTTCCATTACAATAACAACACCATATCAGTGCCTACTTCCATAATCATCATCATAGGTCTTCTTGTGTAAAAGATGGTTCTCCTGGTGAGAAAATGGAATAAGAACCTTCAAAATTGGTCTAAAATAGTGCTTACGATGTGTTGTTCCTGATAAATATGTGCTTACATAATCAGACCTTGCCACTGGGAAAACACGAAAGAAACGCGAAAATGCGACGCGTAAATCAAAAAAGTCAAAAAATGGAATAAGTTCTTTCTGTTTACATATCATCAAACACAACAAAACCACGGCGGTTGACGAAGTAAACAAGGCGGTTAACTTTTAAACGGTAGGAAATGGGTCGCTTGATTGGGTTGGAGCTCCATAACTTCAAATCGTACCGTGGGACGGTGAGCGTTGGGTTTGGTTCGGCGAACTTCACGTCGATCATTGGTCCAAACGGGTCTGGTAAATCAAACATGATGGATGCCATATCCTTTGTGCTGGGTGTGAGAGCAAGCCACTTGAGATCTAACCAACTGAAGGACTTGATCTATAGAGGTCGGATCGTTGATGCGGATGATGCGGATGGGTCTGATAACGACGATAACAGCAGTGGTGATGGTGCTACTGGTAGAACTGCGTATGTTATGGCGGTGTATGAGAAATCCAATGGAGACGTTTTGGAGTTGAAGAGATCAATCAGCTCTAACGGTGCTAGTGACTACAGGGTGAACAACAAATCGATCTCTGCTGCTGAGTATTCGAATCTGCTCAAGAAGGAGAATATCTTGACCAAGGCGAGAAACTTCTTGGTGTTCCAGGGTGACGTTGAGCAGATCGCTTCGCAGTCGCCATCAGACTTGAGTAAGCTGTTGGAGGTTGTTAGCGGCTCCATTGACTTCAAAAGGGAATACGAAGAGCTGAAAGAAGAGCACGACCAGGCTAAACAACAAACGGCGTTGTTATTGTCGAAAAGAAGAACGTTGTTGAGTGAGCTCAAACAGTACCAAGAACAGACTGATGAGGCCGAGTTGTATAAAGAGAAACTCTTGGAGAAAAATAAGCTGATTCTCAACTCCACGCTGTCAAGATTGTACCACATGGATCAGGAAAAGGAGAAGGTGGAAGGGTCCATCAAAAGCTCTAAGAAAAAACTTCAGTCTTTGAAACAAGATGTTACAAAGCAGGAGACCCAGCTAAAATCAATCCAATCCCAATACGTCAAGGGATCGCTAAAGCTAAATAAGGTCCAAAAATTGATTGTTGATAAGAAGAACGAGGTCAACGTTACCAAGAGAAGCTTGCTTCCAATGACCACGGATATTGAACATTCTAATAAGAAGCTCAATCAACTGAAGAAAAATAAACAACAACTCAAGTTGGATATTGAATCCCAAGAGTTGAAAGTTCAAGCTTTGGAAAGAAATATCAAGACTGTTAAGTCTGTCCAAAAGTCTGCAACGAAAGAGTTGATCAAGGACGCTGCATCCATCAGCGTTGAAGATCAGGAGGAATACCAACTATTGAAACAGAAGTTCTTGAGTCAAATGGGTGGTGCTTCAGAAGATGAAAAGTTGTCCCTCTTGGTCAATGAGAAGAGAGAAATCGAAGCAATTGTTGCAAATTTGGAGAAGCAGAAATCTGTTTCATCTGAAAAGATTGAAGAGTTGACATTAAAGCAGAACGATTACAAGACACAGTTGACTAACGTCTCTCGTGACTTGAACGAATTAAATGAAAAAGTTGCAAAGCAAAAGGCGTTTATTAAAGAGATTAACCTCAAATCTGAGGATTTTTTCAATAACGAATACAAATTGCAAACTAAGTTACGTGAAACTCTTGTCTCACTTGACGAACTTAACGCTAATCAGAGAGAAACCAATCGTGAACGTCAGCTACGTCAAAACGTTGCAACTTTGAAACGTCTCTTCCCAGGTGTTAGGGGTTTGTTGGTAGATCTTGTACAACCAACAAATAGACAGTATTCTGTGGCGCTCAATACTATATTGGGTAAACATCTTGATGCCATCATTGTGGAAAGTTCCTCTGTCGCACACCAGTGTATCAACTACTTAAAAGAACAGCGTTCAGGTGTTGCTTCCTTCATACCTTTGGATATCATTGAATGCAAGCAGGTTGATCCAAGACTACGTCATCTGGACCAAGGCGCTCGTCCTACAATCGACATTGTGGAATACGAACCATACTTGGAACGTGCGGTATTGTTTGCCTGTGCTGATTCAATGGTTTGCGATGATATTGAAATTGCCAAATCCATCAGATGGACCAAGGGTGTTGACGTTAAGGTGGTTTGTTTGAATGGTACTTTGATCTCTAAGTCCAACGCAATGACTGCAGGTTATTCTAGGAATCAGGATAGACGTTGGAATAAAGGTGAAGTACAAAAACTGAATGAATTGAAAGACAGATTGGCGCATGAATTAGAAATCTTGAACCAGTCTAGACCTGATCCTATCTTCACTAAGAACCAAGAAACTGAATTGGAAACTTTACAATACGAAGTTGGCCAAGTGAGAAGAAAACGTGTGGAGTTGGAGAGATCTCTAAACGATGTCAATGCTGAAATCAATTACTACGATAACAACGACGAGTCGCAAAAGAAAAAAGAGCTATTAAAATCTTTGGACCAGTTGGACAAGTCTATCAAGGCACAAGAGAAGAAATTGGAGACGCTTCAGGAAGGTATCTTCTCTGACTTCTGTACCAGATTGGGCTTCAAGAATATCAAGGAATATGAAGAATCCACCGGTACTAAACTTCGTGAGCATAATCGTGAACTGCGTCAATATGAGACGGAGCTGTTAAAATTGCAAAGTAAACTGGACTTTGAGAAGGAGAGATTGCTAGAAACTCAGACGAGATTGGCCAGGGTTAGTAAAGAGGCTGACAAGTTTGAAGCTACTTTGAAGGATTTGCTAAAGCAGAAAGAGGTGGTTGAAGACTCTATTGACCAAATGGAGAGTGAATTGGAGGTTTCCAAGGATGAGCTGGAGCAGTTTGAAAAGGCCAATGAATCCAAGTTGTTGGAAATCAGAAATGTTGAGGATACATTGAATGAACTCTTGACGGATCAGGAATCTCTTAAGAAAGAGATAGAAATCAATCAAGAGAAGATAGAGGAACTTGAAAGTGAGAGGCTGACCATACTCACCAATTGTAACATAGACAACATTAAACTACCTGGTATTGAGTTCCCAATTGATACAACTGGAAAAGTTGTAATTGACTATACAGATCTCGGTGGCAAGCTAAAGGGGGATGTAAACTTTGATGAAATGACAAAGGAAATTGAGGAATTGGCTAAGCAGTTGGAAGAACTCTCGCCTAATGTGAAAGCATCTGACAGATTGAGCGAAGTTGAAGAAAAGATGAGTAAATTAGCTGAAGAATGGAATTTGCAGCGTGCTAATGAGACAAATATTCTCAAGAAATTCCTATCTGTGAAGAATAAGCGTTATAAGTTGTTTATGGACTCATTCCAACATATTTCATCAAAGATTGATCCAATTTACAAAGAGCTCACTAAGGCTAACCTTTCAACACAACTTGGTGGTGGGTCTGCATACTTAACTCTGGAAGAAGAGGACGAGCCATACCTTGCAGGAATACGGTACCACGCCATGCCACCTATGAAACGCTTCAAAGATATGGAGTTCTTATCTGGAGGTGAAAAGACCATCGCAGCACTTGCATTGTTATTTGCCATCCATTCTTTCCATCCGTCTCCATTTTTTGTCCTTGATGAAGTCGATGCAGCCTTGGACAATTCAAACGTCAACAAAATTGCCAACTACATCACCACGCACGCTTCTGCTGATTTCCAATTCATCGTGATCAGCTTGAAGAACACCTTGTTCGAGCGTTCTGATGCGCTTGTTGGTATCTACAGAGATCAGGATGAGAACAGTTCAAGAACGTTAACTCTAGACCTGAGAGTATACCCTAAAGTTGCTTGAGATGGATCTCTTCTCCTAGGTTGCTACTTTACTTTATACGTCCATAAAGAGTCTCTTCTTCCAATTGCACTTGTTATAATTTGCTATTCAAGAACTGTACATTTGCTGATACTTGACTAAATCTTGCATTGAAGTTGCACTTCCACCACAGACTACCACTACGACAATGTCATCCTCACTGAGACGTAATGACTTGTGGATGATATCCTCATACACTGAGCACAGTGCAACACCACAAGCAGGCTCGACGATGATGTTGTAGTCCACACAAAATCTCAGACACGCATTGGCAGCCTGCACATCTGAAACCAAATGGTTAAAGGTTTCATGGTTATGGTAGTTGTCCAATGACTGCTGGGTGATGTATGGGCAGGCCAAACTTGTTGCAATGCTGTTGAAGCTCGACAGAGTCACTGGTTCACCTCTGTCAATTGCAGCTTGGAACGTTGGAACAGAGTCTGTTTCCAGGGTTACTATTGGAACATGTGTCAATCCATGTTTCTTCAGGCCTTGAACCAAACCGTTGTATAGACCACCACCACCGACAGAGCACACCACACCCTTGAGACGGTTTAGAGAGCCTTCAGACCTCAACTGGGCCACAATCTCATCAACCATTGAGGAATGGCCTTCCCAAATCTCAGGAATGTTATACGGATGGCAGTAAACCACCGTATAATCCTCCTCCAACGAAGGAATCAGCACTGCCTGTAAGTACTCGTCTGCTTCTCCGATGGTGTTACCTGCGGTGATCAATTGAGCACCGTTACCAGAGATCTTGGACTTCATGGACTCGGTGGTACATGTTGGCACAACGACAGTGGCATCAACGTTATAGAAACTTGCTGCCAATGCCACTGCGTTCCCAGCGTTTCCACCACTAGCAGCAACCACACGGACTGGTTTTTGAGCCAGCTGTGCCGGGCTTAGTGACTGAAGCCTTTTGGCAACCAAATGCGACAACCCACGCAGTTTATAAGAGCCAGAAGGTTGTGTAAACTCCTGTTTGAGTCTGATATGACACTTTGCCTGCTGAGACAGGCGTGGCGAGTAAACCAGCGGAGTCTTTACATACGGTTTCAGACTTTGCAGCAGAGATTGAGTCAATGGTTGCTTGAAGTTCTTTATGATGGTGTTTGCAGTGGTTGAAGCAGGCATTGATTGAGCACTCTCAGCACAAAATCTGGGGTAACGATGAGAGGAAAACCAGCAGAAGAAGAAGAAAGAAGCATCTCCAAATGATGGAGGAGACTAGGTGGTTTATATATGTACGGGCATTTCCTCTCTGCCCCTCCACCGTGTGTCCATTGGCTTGCAAACGAACATCACCTTTCTTTTCCATCGTGAAATGCCCCCAGTTGCCGTCTCTGGCCGCAAGGGCTTTTTTACCGTTGTGTGCTCCTTCCTCGTGTGGCTCTGCCCCTGTGAATCTCTTCCCACTGCCTAAGGAGATGTTTGACTCAGAGCCTCGGTCCGGAGTCTGTCGGAGCTTTTGCCCAGGGAGGAGTCAAGAACGGCCAACGGAGTCAGCGAGGGGCACCAGCTCTGTGAAGGCTCAGCCAATAGCAGACGGCCGTAGTGCCCTATGTTTCTCTCGTTATCTCGTGTTATCTGTACTTCTCTACAGTGTACGGAACAAGCTCAGTCTTCAGAGGCATTTATATAGCGATGTGGTTCATTACTGGGGGTCAATGGCCGTAGTCGAGAGCGTCTTCCTCGACAATGCCTCTGGCCTCTTCTCTTAAGTCCATCCATGTAACGTTGCTGAACTTTGGGTCGTTGCGTGTAAGCCTGTAGAAAGCATCCAATGATTCCTCAATGACCAGTAGACAAATGGCATCATAGCCTCCGGCTCCTGGAACAACAGCAGCCAGGACACCGGGGATCTGCAAACAACTGTCGAGGAGTGCGGTCTGTTGCTGAGGCTCAATCTCTGCGCCGGATTCCCTCGTTATGTATCTCATGTTGTGTCTGATTGTGCTATTGGAGCCAATAAGTCTGTGCAGCAGTGAGAACGATGGCTTGTTAAGACCAGCAATCTCGTGTGAGTTCAGACTAGATAGCTCATGGAGCAAAGCCTTATAAGACTCTGGATGCTCTCTGAACATTGTGTTCAGCGAGGAAAGACAGTCCACCAGCGTCATATTGGCCCTATCTATGCCTTCGTATACACTGGCACTCCTTGGATCGGTTTCTCTCCACTTGAGGACTTTACTCACCAATTTAGGAGTGTTGGAACCTCCTCTGATATCTCCCATAAGAAGCTTAACCCCGTGTGGTAATGCCACTGGAACCATGTGGATATCCCAGTCTCGAGACTCCACCAGTGACTTGAGAGAGTTGTGATACTCTTCAAGCGTTGAGCACTCCGCAAGCGGTTTCAACTCAGAAATCAGCTTTGGATCAAACCTCCTGTAAGTGATGGAACCAAACGTGGCAGCAGCGACGTCAAAGCCTGATCCTATTTTCCCCTGAGCTTGACAGTGAGCCACCTGCGCTAGGTTATGAATCAATTGAAGTGTCTTCGGATCTTCCAAGTCCACACTCGGTTCATAGTATGACAACAGCGCCGTCGTCAACACAGTGACAAGGCCAGCTGATGATCCCAATCCGGTTTTCGCAATCTTGGTGATTTCATCAGAATGGTAGTGGAATACTTTCGCACCGTGAGTTTTCTTCACGGTGTTCTCCACAGTATGGTACGAGGAGTCAGAGTAGATTGTGATCTCAATCTCTGACTTGCTCTTCCTCTGTTGATTTGGTGACGAGGCTACGTACGCCAAAACCGTCTGCACCGACAATTGCGCAAACGGATTAACTCTTCCGTTAGCTTCAACAATATCGAGTCCGCCATTATCATCGTTAATGGAATAACGCCATTCACCCTGTGCGAACTGTGGGCTCTTGATGGTTATCACAGTATGCTCAAGCCCATCAACTTCAGTGCCGGAGATCACAGCGTGCATTCGTGCACTGAGCGCTACAACGTACGATTTGAACTGTTTATCCAACACAAGATAACCTCCTGCTAAGAGGGCCTTCCCCGGTGCGCTAAATGACCGAGCCATGATCAACTTTGGTGTTTTGCTTGTTTGTGTGTGTGTGTGTTTCTGTCGTTTAGCTTTATGTTGATGCAACGTCTTCTGTGATGTTGTTTTTTGTCCGTTGTTTTTCCGCGCGATGTTTGTCCTTTGGTCTTTCTCGAACGACATGCAGACACGGAATAACTTTAGGAATGTTAATTGGATACATTAAGGATCTTTAAGCTGAGGGATTAAAAATCAAGGCTCAATCCATGTATAGCCAACTTCTCTTTGTTTATTGTAACTTTTAGGCTCTTGTTTAGCATTTGTATTTGCGGGTTCCAATGATGATCACTGGACGAGACATTACCACGGTGCATATGAACACACTCACCACGCAACGTCTGGCTTTACGCCAGTTTCCGTGCCAAGGTGGAAGGGTGAACGCATATTAGTGTCATGTACATGATCACAATGATGGTCACTTGTCGATGTCCCATTATACTGTGATCACCAAGATCATGATTTTATAAAGGTTCAATTGCAGCGGCTAGGGTCCCCTCCCCACCAAGCATCCCTCCAAGCGCGCGCCTCGAAAAAAAAATAATGGATCCTATGAGATTCGAACTCATGCATCTTACGATACTCGATCTTGAGTCGAGCGCCTTAAACCGCTCGGCCAAAGATCCATTTGATGAAATTTAGAGCTCCACGGGTTTCCATGTCGTCTCATTATGGAGTCAAGAGTTATAATTATAGCGGAATAAATGGTGAAAGACTTGTGTTTAATTGTAATAAAATTCATAATACAGTAATACCAGTGTTTCTGATGATATAACTGGAATTAAACTTTCATTAATCACTGAAATTGTGCTTACTCATTGCCAACTTTTTAATATTAGCCTTAGAATAAAAGTTGCGTAGTAAAAATTCATTCCAATATTTAGAAAATAGCTATATTAATTAACAAACTTATTATACCAATTGTCATATTAAATATGGACAGTAAAGTGTAGTAAAATGCCCATATAAACTAAACCATTGTTGTTTATACTTCCCTACTGGGAAAAAACCGTTCATTATGACTCCAGAGAACCTCAACATGAACTCGAGAAAATTTGAACTTTTACACATCTCCCCCTACTACTACTCCGACGTATCACCCTGGAGGCTCTAGAAGCGATGTCTGAGGAACAACCAAAGTGCCCTGTTGATCATTCAACCAGATCAAAATGGGTAGAGCTCGGTAAAGAAGCACCACACCCTATTCCTTCCGATGGCTCTAGTAATGCGGATAAATGTCCCGTTGATCATACTGCAAGGTCCAAATGGGCAGAGTTGAGCAAGAGTAAAGCCATAGTTGACGGTAAAAGTATCCCTACTGATGTCGAACATCAACAGGAGCAGCACTCGTCTGACCTCTTACCTGAGACTCCAGTTTATGAGACAGACGTTCCGTTGCCGGAAGAGCGTGAGGTCTCATCGATTCCAAGAACCGGTGCACAGGGTAATTGGATATACCCATCGCAAAAGCAGTTTTTCGAAGCCATGAAGCGTAAGCAATGGGAACCTGAAGCCGAAGTGATGAAGGCCGTGGTTCCTATACATAATGCTGTTAATGAGAGAGCATGGGTTCAAATTCTGGATTGGGAAAACGGTCGTGGTGGTGAATCATGCGGAGGCATCCAACTCACCAGTTTCAAAGGCGATTCCAAGAAGATCACGCCAAAGGCGTGGTTCAAGTGGCTCATCCTCGGATATCAGAAGCCCTTTGACAGACACGACTGGACCATTGATCGCTGTGGTAAGGAGATTGATTACGTTATAGACTTCTACAGTGGCAGACCGAACCCGAAGGCTCCAGGCATGGCCAGTTTCTACCTCGATGTTCGACCAAAATTGAACAGCCTTGAAGGTGTGAAGCTAAGGGTGTTGAAGTTCTTTGGCCTTTGAATGCGGGACAAGGTCGCTGTCTTGTACATATATATCACAAATTCTTTCACTCAATATAACGTCAAAATTGCTGTACGTACACACCACAGGACATGTACATATATATACAAGAAATATGAATCACGGTCTTCCAAAGCTACCGTTCTGACCCAGCTTCTGCATGTGCTCGCCCACCTGGACGTTGACTGCGAAGTATTTGGCAACACATCTATCGATACACAGCGATTCGTTCTTAGAGATATCGCCTTCAGAGTAGCTTCTGTTGATGCACTTCTGGTGGCAGTTATCGACAAGTCTGTTGAACATGTCGGTAACCATATCGAGCTCGTTCTCTGCAGCTGCGATCTTCTGCTCAGACGAGATTTGTGGAGCACCACCGAAACCGAGGAAGGACATCTTTGTTTATGACTGGGTATACGTCTCTAGTTTCTGCCTATGGAAGACCGTTCAATGTTGGATAAAACCGTTGAAATTTTTCACTTTTCGGCAAGCTTTCGAGAAGAGGCTCAAAAAAGCAATGTAAAAAAGGAAATTGTACGGTGTTTCGATGGTGGGGGGGGGGAGCCAGGCAGAATCCACGGAACCAGAGGGCCAATTGGTGTGGAAGGAGGCCTGGAGCATGGAGGAGGCACCGCCAGTGGGCACTTGCTCCCGTACGAATCGGCGTTGTGAGCGCAGTGGGAGGTGGGGAACGACGGCTTCAGAGGAGGAACACCCGGGCCACCTAAACACCCGGACAACACCCCACACCCCCACACCCGCACACACACCCGCACCCCCACACCCGCACACACACCCGCACACCACATCAACATCACGTTGCCAGCGCGCCGCAGCCGCCCACCGCAAGCTTGCCGCCCATTTCATCCCCTTTCCCACGTTCCACAACATCAACATCAACAACAATAGCAACCAAACAAGCGACGACTGCACCAAGTTCACGTCCTAAGCACCAAGACACCATGAGCGGTAGAAAGCACAACAAGAGCCAAAGCGCATTTGTAAGTCTCAGTCTCAATTCTCTGTTTATACCGACCAAGTGAACGTGATCTAACTGTAAACAAACAATGGTAACAGGCATTTGACAACACGACAACATCTGTTGCCGCCAGCCAAATGCGCAACGCTTTGAACAAGCTGGCTGACACTGTGCCATCAGGCGAGGAGAGGGCCAAGTTTGAGAACGAGATGGACTCGTTCTTTGCTCTTTTCAGACGCTACTTGAGCGACAAGGCCAGCGGCACTGCGCTCGACTGGGAGAAGATCAGCTCTCCCACGGCGGAAGAGGTTGTTGATTACAAGACGATTGCGGAGCCAACGGATAACGCGCGCAACTTGGACAAGTTGGCTGTGCTGAAGTTGAACGGTGGGTTGGGTACGTCGATGGGGTGTGTTGGTCCGAAGTCTGTGATTGAGGTTCGTGACGGGAACACGTTTTTGGATTTGGCGGTGCGCCAGATTGAGTACTTGAACAGACAGTACGACAGTGACGTGCCGTTGTTGTTGATGAACTCGTTCAACACGGACGAGGACACGCACAACGTCATCAGAAAGTACGGTGGGCACAGAATCAGAATCAAGACGTTCAACCAGTCCAAGTATCCAAGGGTGTTGAAGGACTCGCTCTTGCCGGTGCCATCGTCGTACGATGACCCAATTAACTGCTGGTACCCTCCAGGTCACGGTGACTTGTTTGAGTCACTCCACGCCTCTGGTGAGTTGGATGCGTTGCTGGAACAAGGCAAGGAGATCCTCTTTGTCTCTAACGGTGACAACTTGGGTGCCACCGTTGACGGTAAGATTTTGAACCACATGCTTGAAACTGGCGCCGAGTACATCATGGAATTGACCGACAAGACCAGAGCAGACGTTAAAGGTGGTACTTTGATCAACTACGGTGGTCAAGTTAGATTGTTGGAAATCGCCCAGGTTCCAAAGGAGCACGTTGAGGAGTTCAAATCCATCAAGAAGTTCAAAAACTTCAACACTAATAACTTGTGGATCAACTTGAAGGCCATCAAGAGATTGATCGAGTCCAATGCGATCCAATCCGAGATCATTCCAAACGGCAAGACCATAACCAACAAGCAAGGCCAAGAGGTTAACGTTTTGCAATTGGAAACAGCTGTTGGTGCCGCCATCAGACACTTTGACGGCGCCCATGGTGTCGTGGTTCCAAGATCAAGATTTTTGCCAGTTAAGACATGCTCTGATTTGTTGTTGGTGAAGTCTGACTTGTTCTACTTGGAGCACGGTGCCTTGAGATTGGATCCTTCAAGATTCGGTGCCAACCCATTGATCAAGTTGGGTTCCCACTTCAAAAAGGTGTCAGACTTCAACTCCAGAGTGGGTCACATCCCTAAGATCTTGGAATTGGACCATTTGACCATCACTGGTAACGTCACCTTGGGTAAAGGCGTGGTGTTGAAGGGTACCGTGATCATTGTTTGTCAAGACGGCCAAAGAATCGACATTCCAAACGGCTCCGTCTTGGAGAACGTTGTCATCACTGGTAACTTGACCATCCTGGAGCACTGATCTCCGCACTCTTTCCAATTCGTCTGAGTAAATCAAAAAGAAGTTCTTTAGTGGAGCCATATATATAAGTTGTGTTACTTATTTCGCTAAAGAAGGAGAAAAAAGAGCAAAAAAAAAAGATACCATCAGCACGAACATGTTGATGATGATTTTAAAAGCTTTCTTTTAGCATTGTCAAGATCTGTTGTATATACCAAAGGGCATTTTTGTTGTAGATTGAAAAAGCGAGAAAACCTGGCCAGCGAGAGGCTTTTTCGATGTTGATGTTGGTGCTGATGTTGGAACAATAGCGAAGCTCAGCAAGAAAGCATAGACGGACAATGCCACGCTTGTCACCGAGCGACGTAGTGAAAGCGAGGAAGATATCAAAACTCCTTCCATTAGTGCTGAGCCACACGAGGTCGCTAGACCTCGCTAGCAGAGAGCTGGGGTGGATCCAGTTGGAGTTGCCGAAAGATCGATGGCTGGAAGCCTGTAGACAGAGAAGTCGAGGAAGGCCGTTACAGTACATCCTAGGCTCTCAGCCCTTTGGAGAGCTGGATGTTAAGTGCAGAGAAGGCGTGTTGATACCGCGATGGGAAACAGAGGAGTGGGTGTTGAAGTTGTGTAACGCCATTGGAGGTGTTGACAAGAGGTTCAGAGCGATGGATATATGCTGTGGTACCGGGTGTATCGCGCTGACGTTGAAGAGGCAGCTGGGTTGTGAGGTTGTCGGTGTTGATATCAGCGAGGAGGCGTTGGAGCTGAGCCGGGAGAATTCGTTACGAAATGGTGTGGAGGTGCAGTTCATGAGGTGTGATGTGCTGAGCGCTGATGCTGGTGATGTGCTGAGCGGTGATGCTGGTGATGTGCTGAGCGCTGCTGGTGATCCATTGAGCGCTGGTGCCGCCCAGCGGTTCGACCTCATAGTCTCAAACCCTCCGTACATCTCAATGGACGACTACACGAGCAGCGAGGTTGCCAAGTCGGTAAAGCTCTACGAACCGCAATTGGCATTGGTTGGCGGCGGCGAGTTCTACCATGCGCTGGCTGATATCGTACAGAGAACCAAGGCCAAGGGCTTCGTGTTCGAGCTTGGCTACGAATGGCAGTACGAAACTACAAGGCAATGCTTGCCTGCTGCGCAATGGGAATGTTCGTTATACTATGACTCTAATGGGAAGCCCAGATGTGTTGTTGGATGGATGAAGCACAGCTCGTTGGCTCAGCTATCAACACTTTGCTGATCATCAATCTTTCTCTTTTTGATGCCTCTGCCCACGGCCTGGACACCCTCTTGTAACGGGAACACTCTGATGGCGTGGAAGAGATAGCCACCGCCTCCTTTCATGGTCATGAGCGGGTGTAGTCTACCGATGATGGTCTGGTATGGTCGACATCTGGTCTCGTGAAGAGTTGGTGCCAATAGCTCAAGATTTTGCATCGATTCCACTTGCGTTTCCACCAATGGCTCCTTATACTGTGAGTACACAACGATTGGTCTTGAGCCACCAACCTTGGCGATCATCTTCTTAACAAGTGTTGGTGTGTATAACGTTGAAACGATGATCAAGGCATCAAAGTCACCCTTCACGGCGTTGTCAATTGCATCGTTGATTTGAATGGCATTGTCCCTTCTTCTATAGTAGTGGGCCTTTTTGCTAGATTTCATCTCTTCAATCTCCTGTTGTGATAGATCGTTCCATTGGACTCGCTCATCCTCTGGCTCAAAGAATTGGAGTAAGTTAATGGTCTTCACCATTCTGTCGATCACAGAAGGTTCGAAATTGGAGTACTTTAGAGCACTGTGATTTGGATGTTCGTTCTCATGAACAACCAACAACTCACCAGAGCCTCTCATACGATCCAGCAGGGCATTCACAATGACACCACCGGTTTCATCAATGACCAGATAACGGCCACCAGGCTGGACATTGGCAAGCGAGAGCAATAATCCCATGGACTCCTCACTCATATCAAGCACCTTTGTAGGGTCCTTCTCGAGGAAGTATTGCAGTAGTTGTGAGGGTCCCAGCAGATCAACAGTAAACCTTCTGAGGAACTTCTGTTGCTTTCTTCTAAGGTATTTCTCCTGGGAGTGCTTGGTCTTTTGGGAGAAATTGACATGGGATTTGATCAGCTTGTCGATGATCGCTTCACCAATATTGGCACCATTAGATGTTTTCTTCAATGTTTCGATCTCCTCTTGGGTCAACTCTTGTGTAGCATTACCAATATCAACGAGATCTCTATTGGTCTCAGACGATTCAACGTCCAATTGTCTAAGATATTGGATCTTTTCCTTTAGTGAGTCGTCCTGCTCATCGTCTTCCAGCTCCACCAACGAGCCCTGGATAGGACGAACGTTGTTGTCGTCGAGGATTTCAAATGACTGGCCGTATGGAAACCCGACGATCTGATCAACGGCAAAGGTACCGAATTTACCTAATTTAACAATACCTTGAGGTCTTATTTCCACTATTTTGATGCCTTCTGAAGGTAGGCGGATGAGACAAAACTGATGGTATTGGACAGTTGTCTGTCTCTTTATGAAAGTCATTTGTCCTTATCCTCAATGTCTTTTGTCCTTAATGTTGTTTGATATCTTTGTCCCAAATGTCTCTGTCCTTAATGTCTTTGTCCCAATTTACTCTTTAATGTCATTAGTCTTTAATGTCCAATTTAGAAATCTGCCTCGAGAAAATTTTCCGATGCGATGAGATGAGCTGCAGAGAGACAAAAAAAAATCTTGAAAACTTTTCACTCCACTAACTGTTTAAAAGTACAAGGCATAAGTAAACAAGAAGAAAACAATGGGAAGTAGAAGACATAAGAACAAACAAGCTGACCCACCTTCATTTGAAGAGTTCACACAGAAGAAGGGCAGAAAGAGATCAAACTCTGAATCTCAGGAATCTCTCAATAAGAAGTCCAAGGGCGTGGAAAAGTCCAAGGGAGTGGAAAAGTCCAAGGGAGTGGAAAAGTCCAAGGGAGTGGAAAAGACAAAGAAGAAGTCAAAGAAGTTGAATGAAGAGGAAGAAGAGTTGTTGAAGCTCAAAGAAGAGGAAGCCAAATTGCCAGAGGTTGATTTGGAAGAGTTGTCAAGTGCAAAAAAGTCGTTGTTCGATGATTCTGAAGACGAAGTTGGCGATGATGATGAGTTTGACGTTGAAGATGAAGCAGGCGACGAGTTCTACGACTCCGATGAAGAAACTCGTGCTCAACCTATGTTTTCAGATGATGATGACGATGAGGATCTTGAGACACTGAATGCTGCTAACATGGAAGCACTCTCCGCAAGACTCGATGAGGAAGCTGCGCAGGAAGAATTGGACGCAGAGGAAGAACTGTTACAGACAAACATTGCACAACCAAGAGCTAAAATCCTTCCAAATGAAGAAGAGCTGGCACTGGAGTCTCAAGGGCCAAAGGACTTGACCGTGCTACGTACAAGAATGATTGAGTTGGTCAAAGTATTGGAAGATTTCAAGAATCTGGCCGAGGAGGGAAGATCAAGACAAGAATACACAGATAGACTCCTACAGGATATTTGTGACTATTTCGGCTACTCTCAGTTCTTAGCAGAGAAACTGTTTAACTTGTTCTCTCCATCTGAAGCTATGGAGTTCTTCGAAGCCAATGAGATTGCAAGACCAATAACAATCAGAACAAACACCTTGAAGACCAGACGTCGTGACTTGGCACAGACCTTGGTCAACCGTGGTGTTAACTTACAGCCAATTGGACCATGGACCAAGGTTGGTTTGCAAATCTTTGATTCCCAGGTTCCAATTGGTGCTACTCCTGAATACCTAGCAGGTCATTACATCCTTCAGGCTGCGTCTTCGTTCTTGCCTGTTATGGCTTTAGCTCCTCAGGAAAACGAGAGAGTGTTGGATATGGCTGCTGCTCCAGGTGGTAAAACCACCTACTTGGCTGCATTGATGAAGAATACCGGCTGTATCTTCGCCAATGATTCCAACAAGGCTAGAACTAAGTCATTGATTGCAAATATCCATCGTTTGGGATGCACAAACACAATCGTATGTAATTATGATGCTAGAGAGTTCCCAAAGGTCATTGGTGGCTTCGACAGAGTCCTATTAGATGCCCCATGTTCAGGTACAGGTGTTATTGCTAAGGATGAATCTGTCAAGGTGTCCAGAACTGAGAAAGATTTCATTCAGATCCCGCATCTACAGAAACAGCTGTTGTTGAGTGCCATCGATTCGGTGGATGCTAACTCTCCAACAGGTGGTTATATCGTCTATTCTACTTGTTCCATAATGGTTGAAGAGAATGAAGCTGTTGTCGATTATGCCTTGAGAAAGCGTCCAAATGTTAAGCTCGTCGAGACCGGCCTGGAGATTGGTAAGGAGGGCTTCACAAGCTTTAGAGGGAAGACCTTCAACCCAAAGGTGAAGTTGACCAGACGTTATTACCCACATACCTACAACGTGGATGGCTTCTATGTTGCAAAGTTCAAGAAGATTGCTACGAGTCCTCATGATGTTTCAAAAGCAGGTGCAAAGGAGAAGGAGAACGCTGCCAGAGCCGAAGAGGAGGAAGAATCCCTTATCCACGGTGACTTTGCAACATTCGATGATGAAGAAGATACTCAGTTCATCGAAAAGTCTAAGAAGAGACACTTTAAAAAGAAAGGTATTAACCCACAGTCACAGAAGTAATCATTCCATAGCTTTGTACACTATACAATTATACTATAAAAGCATCTAGTTCTTACTCTTGTATGACGTTAACGTTACCGAGACGGTGTTCCTTGATGTAGTCAGGCCCCATCTCATCATACTCAGCTTTGGTCAAGTAGCTATCCTTAGATTCGTCGGACAACCCCCATTTGGCCATGCCTCTCCAAGCATCGCACAATGGATCGTTGGCCAATCTAACCTTGAGAGGTGCCCCGGAAGGTAGGAAAGACTTGAACTCAGAGTGTAGCCTATCATCAAAGTTCTGGAACAAGGCCTGACCACCAGTCGCAAAGATATCCTGTAGGACGTTATAGCTGTCACCAGAAAACCCACTGCCACTGAGTCTATTCAGTAAGATGTTTTCACCAATTTCGACAACACTGGCTTGATCAATACCAGCCATTGTAGGTTGGAATATAACCTCTGGTATACGAATCCTCTCAACGTTCAAGTGCACTTGATGATTTTCATGTGAATCCTCAGAATTGAACGGTCTTGGGCCTCTAAGGAACCTGTGAAGGATACTCTTTCTCCAGTCAAATTGTGCTTCTAGAGTGTCTTCCTCCGTGAAATTTGGATCATATTCCAGAAGCTCCTTTTCCAGCTTTAATATCTCTTGATCTTCCTCCTCAATGATCTCTTCATCATCCACGGTAGAGATATCCCTGTAGATGGCCCAGTCGTCATCATTAGCACCAAAGGTATCGTTAGGATCGTTGTCGATGGTGGCACCGTTTCTCTTTCTCTTCGCACCACTCGAACGGACAGTTTCGTCTGCTGCTAAAGATGCTATACTCTTCATACGCATCTGTGCAGCCAGCGATTTCCTGTCACTTAGTTGTTCTTTCAACTTCTGTCTATCTTTTCTTCTCTGTAAGATGGCTTTCAGCTTCTCACGACGGTCATGGATCCACCCACCAAGGTCGTTCTCACGCCATTCTGCATCCTTTTTAGCCTCTTCCGCAACTCTGACCTTTTCATCTTCCTTCTCTTGTTTAGCACGTTGGCGAGCATCATAGTTTGCCTTCATAAGCTTCTGTTTCCTTTTCTCTTTGAGCTGTTCTTCATCCAACTGGTCATCTGGAACCTCCAATAGTGGGAAAGTTGGCTCTTCCTCAGGCTCGTCACCAACGTCCTGCTTACGGGCCCTTCTTAACGAGTTCTCGAGACTTGCAATGTATTTGTTCAGGTCTCTTTCGTCTTCAAAGCCTTCATCCTTTATAGTTGAAGCCTGTAGTTTTTTGTTCATGGTGGTCAACTTCTGCTTCAGTTGGGTATAATATTCATGCTCTTGTTCCTTTTGAATCAATTTCTCCAATCTCTTCTGTTGAGCCTGTTCCTGTAGTCTTCTACCACTCTCTTTACGCTTTTCAGCTTGACGAGCCAGTTCTTCAGGCGACTTCTGCTGCTTTTCAACTTCAACAAAGGGTGCTTCACAAGTGATGTCTTTCTCTTCCAGCACGTCGAGATTAAGCATGTCGCTCAGCTCCTTTTGATAGTCCTTAGACACATAGCAGAAGTCTTTGACCATGTTATCGACTTGATAACTGGTTATCTTTGTAGGGAAATATGGATATTTCAGAGCAAGCAGACTGTTTAGATAGTTTGAAGCTTGATGACCTCCCCAATTCACTCTCTTGGACTCAGACATCACAGCCTTACCGTTTATCACGGGGAAGACGTGTGTCGTTTCATGGCCTGTGCCTATGACAAGACCATTGTTACCACCATTTTGGTAATATGAGAACAAACTATCGATTCCCAGGCACACCTTTTGAGCTCCGTACGACTCGTACAGCACTTCGTACATCCCCTTTCTCTGTAGAAGAGAGGCACCCGGTCTTTCAGTGAGTATCAATGGGTTATCAACAAAGCCCTGTGAGTCAACTCCGAGATGTCTGAAGGTATAATCAAGAATATTCTCGACGTAATCCCAATTGGTTATAAAGGCCCCGTCGTATGGCGATCTGGCCTGTGACTTGACTGAGGGATCCAGCAGCACATCATTACCAACGTATACCGACGACTTACCGGTCTTACGGTCCCTGTATTTGGACATGATCGTCGGGAAGTTCAGGAAGGGGTCCTTTTCAGTGACCAGCCCGGCCCGAATCGTCGAAGAGCCAAAGTCAATAGCTATTGGAACACCTGTTTGATACCCTGTTGAGAACCTCTCCGGAGTCTGTGACTCGGCATCTTTCAATTCAAAGATCTTCCTTTTGGCCAGCTCTGCATCTCTTGGTGTGGCAGTCATACTCTCACTCCTTGTACACGATTGATTGATTGTGACGGTATGTTGTAAGGAATCATCATGGGCCTTCTGTTCAAAAAAGTGGTTGATCGAGGAGGTTATGATAACACCCGGACACCTGTGAACCCGGACACCTCACACCCGGACACCACACCCGCGAACCCGTTTTATAAAAAGCCACGTCCACGGGCGTGGCCTTAGCGGTGGCTTTGGCCGAGGAGCGTGGGTGGGCCATAACTGCGTTTGGTTATTTGATCTATTTCTCCCTTTTATCCCATCATTACTCGTCAAAACATAACGGATAAAGATATGACAGACATCAATCACGATAAGTTCACTGAATTGTTCAAACGGTAAGTTCATGCCACAGTTGTGGAGCTCAAAGGTTTTGCTCGTCGCACTAACAGGGTGTACAGTCTTGAGAAGGCCACCAATGCGTTAGAGGGCATTGTTGAAAGAAACACTGGTGCTGGTGCTGGTGAAGGTGTTGTGGGTAGTGTTCAATCGGCTGGTCAAGCTGCCGGTGTTTCCGTGGCTGGTACCACAATCAGTGATGTCGATGCATCTTCAGCATCTGTCAACGTTGTCGAGGAGACCCCTTCTACGAAGGGTTTCAACGAATTCTTGGAGTTGTACGTTGAGCCGTTTGCCTCGCTGTCCCAGGAGATTGACCCAATTGTTGGCGAACAAGCGAATTCTCTGGCAAGGGCGTTCAAAGAACAACTCAGTTTCATCAAAGCAGCTGCGGTTTCGAAGAAACCTGACTTCTCTCGCCCAGAGAATGCCTCTTTGCTCTCTTCTCTGCAAGCAACCATTGCTTCCATCAACGATTTCAAAGATGCCAACAGAAAATCTGAGTATTTCTCCCATCTCAATGCAATTGCAGAGGGTACAGGTGTGCTGAGTTGGTTCTTGACCGAGACTCCAGTGTCTTTTATCCCAGACATCAAGGATTCAGCCACCTTCTGGACCAATAAGGTGTTGAAGGAGTTCAAAGAGAAGGATGCCAACACAACTGAATGGGTTAAACAGTATCTGAGTATCTTTGATGGGTTGAAGCTGTACGTCAAGCAATATCACAGCACAGGGCTGACATATAATGCCCAAGGTGGTGATTTTGCAACCAACTTGAAACAACAGGAACAACATTCCTCTTCTGCTTCAACCACTGAGCGTAACTCCACTGTTGCACCAGCATCCTCAGGTGCACCACCACCACCACCACCACCAGGTGCTGGTGGTCCTCCTCCACCTCCACCTCCACCTCCAGCAAACATCTTTGACGATGTCAAGTCCTCGTCGACGGATTCTGCTCCAGCAGCTGGTATCAATGCCGTGTTTGCTGAGCTGAACCAAGGCGAAGGCATCACAAAGGGATTGAAGAAGGTTGACAAGTCCCAGATGACCCACAAGAACCCCGAATTGCGTCAATCCTCTGTCGTTCGTGCACCATCTGCTGGTGGTAAGAAGTCACCTCCAGTTCCAAAGAAGCCTTCAGCGTTGTCTTTGAAACCAAAACCAGAGCCTATCATCGAGCTTCAGGATTCTAAATGGATAGTTAAGAACGTTGAAGGTAAGCACGACATTGTCATTGACGGTGAAATGTCACAGTCAGTCTTCATTGGTGATTGTAAGGAAGTCACCGTCCAAGTTAAGGGTAAAGTCAATGCGATTTCCCTTTCATCAACTTTGAAGACCGCAATTGTTGTCGATTCTCTTGTCTCTGGTATCGACATTGTCAACTCCAAGAAGTTTGGTATTCAAATCATTGAAAAGGTTCCACAGATCTCTATCGATAAGAGTGACGAGGGTCAAATTTACTTGTCAAAGACATCGCTGGAGACCGAGGTTTACACAAGCTCGACAACCTCGTTGAACATCAACGTTCCACAAGCTGAAGAAGGTGGTGATTTCAAAGAGCTTTCGATCCCAGAACAGTTCAAACATACGTTCAACGAAAAAGGTGAAGTTTCCAGTACCATCGTTGAACATGCTGGCTAACCTGAAATAGCTAGGATACATATACGCCAACACACACGATTTAGAAAGACTGCTTTTTGTATTATGTATGTACAGAACTCTTGATTTATCTATATATCGTAGAGGATTTCTTGACGTTCAGTTTCTCACAACTTTGACTCTTCTTGTATACCACATGTAGGCTCTTTGTTGGACTGGTAAACCGAATGGAGAAATGACTTCAGATTTACCTGGAAGTGCAACTGGATCTCTGAGGTAGACAGCATGGCAAGTCTCGAAGGAGATCTCAATGTGCGAAGGTAAGATAGCGAATGGAGCTATGAATGGACGAACCTTCCATGGTGTGAAATAAGGCTTACTTGGTTCTTCACGTCCAAACAATCCCCTTTGCCATGGCAAGTTGACCTTTACGGAGGATTCGTCTTCCAGTGCCTTTGAAACTTCAACACGTTTGTGGAAAGTCAATTTGTTTGCCCATTCTGGATCGTATGGAATCTCCCTTGTTGATGGGTCGAGTTTCTTTGCATCACTGGCCTTTCTAAGGTCCTCCCAGTGGATCGATTGTACAGATGAAACCAGCTGCTTGACCTCCGAGAAGATCTTCTTCTCAGCATCACTTCTCTTAGCCTGTTCCTCCTTATCTAGTGCCTTGGAGACAATGGTATCTAGCTCCTTGTCAGATCTGGTTTTCAAAGTCTCAACGGTCAAACCAGGAGCTGTGATCACCTTCTCATAGAGCTTGAGGGCTTTGCCAGCAGCTTCTTCCGAAAGCTTTGGGAATGTACTGATAGTTGGGGTCTCGGTCTTCAGCCCCAATGTCAACACATCTTTCAAAACCTTAGATCTCGTGAATTCCTTTTGATCTTTGAGCATTTGCGACTCCAAGTTCTTGTTGAAGGTCAACACCCTTTGTTTCAAAGCCTCCTCTTCCTCTGCATCCAGCTGTTTCCCCAATCTCTTCTTCTCCCTTTGTGCATCCCAGACGGCCTTTGGGTTCTTCTTGGCCTTTGCCACGTATTCATTCCACTTGGATATCTGAACATTATCAATCTTAGCAGCTTGTTTAACAGAAGGCTTCGTAGCACCCAATGCGGACAACACCTTCTCCGGCTTGACGCTAAAGATATCACCTGGGGATAGCGTGTAGCCCGGCTGCTTGATCTTGATCCCGTTAACATGGACATAGCCATGAAGAATGTACTGACGGGCTTGTCTAACAGAAGAGGCAAACATCGATCTGAAAAGGGCAAAATCTAGTCTCTTTTCCAGTACTGCATACGTTTGCAAAGGCACCGGGGTGGTCATATGGTTCTCACCACGCAACGACGCATCCAAGTGCGCAACGGACTCCAGCTTCTGCGAGAAATCAGCCTGGAATCTCTTCTCAGTCATGTGCTCACCGTGGTATGCCCTTGTTTCCTGCTTGGCGGTCCATTTCTGCTGATACAGGTTCTGTCCTTGGAAGCTCACACGGCCCTTCTTGTACAAGTTGAACAGATTGTACTTGTTCCACGAAGCACGAACACGTCCACGCGACAGGGAGTTCAACACCTCGGCTTTTCTAGGCATCCTTTCCCGTGATTGTGTGTAGAAACAGTCGCTTGTGAGTTGACCAAACGTTTGTTTCGAATGGGCAAAAACTTGCAAAGCCAACGAGTTTTGTCGAGTTGTCGAGGGAATAAAATTTTCAGTAAGGGGCAACATACACCCGAACACTAAACATCCGGACAGCTAAACATCTGGACACCAGATGAATTCCAAAGTAAACAACCATCAACAACAACAACAACAGGAGCATCCAGCAGAGGTGGGCCACAATCAGCAATACACAAGCTGCTTTGTTTCGGGGCTTTTGTCGACATTTAATCATTTGAGACAAATACCATGGTACACCAGTGGACAACGGAGGAGGATATTGTACTTCTTAGGTCGATCTGTCTCTTCAAGCCGGTTGGTAAGTTGTGTGTGGTTTCAATGTTGTTGTATATACAACGTAGTTGATGGAAATAACTAACATTCTCGGTCAAGGCCAGAAGAAGCACTTCCACATGATTGCCATTTTGAAGGCATTGAACAATGGTAGAGACATGGATGATACGATAAGTGCACAGGATGTGTGGGATAAGCTTGCGATGCTCTATGATCTGGAGGGACTGGATTCCTTGGAGGATGAAGATGAGAGCACTGGTGATGACGACGATCGCACCGTTGAGGAGAAAGCTGCAAAAGGCACTGTTCATGATTTCTCGTTACCGACAGAGAAGTACAGTGACATCATGGAAGATAAGGCCAGGGCTGTGGACTCTACAGAAGTCTCCGAAACCGATGGTGTCAATAAAGACGCAGAGAAAGAGGTAGGAGGACACGAAGTAGTTGCTCAAATTGTCAAGCATGACAATGAAGGAAAGACAGAAGAAGATAATGCCGAAGAGGAGAAGGTTGGAGACGAAGGTGAGTCGAAGCAAGTGGAGCAAGATAAAGCGGAGAAAGAACTCGAGAGGAAGGAAGAAGAGACTACAGAAGATAAAGAAGCGAGCGATGAAGTACAAGGGATCGAAGATGGCCCGAAAACGCAGATTGAAGCGAAAGAAGACGAAGCTGTGGAAGAAGCAGATAATCTAGAGGTGAAAGTTGAGCAAACTAAGGAATCTGCAAAGGAGGAAGTATCTGAGGATGTTGTGAAGGTAGACGAGCAGTTGAAAGAGGAAGAAGAAGTCGAAACTGAGGAAGAAGAAAAGCGAGAGGGTGGATTGGAAAGACAAAGCCATAGGGACGATACGGTGGAGACAAAGGTTGATGAGAAAGAACAGGAAGAGGAAGAGAAGGAGGAAGCGGAAGAGGAAGAGAAGGGGGAAGAAAAAGAAGGAAAAGAGGAAGTACTAAAAGAGGAAGAAGGAGAAGAAGAACAAGCAGAGCCAGAAACAGCAGCCGGGGACGGTGAGAAAGATGATGATCTTGAAAGTAAAACTACAATAGAGATGAAAGAGAATGACAAAGAAACAAAAGAAGAGGAAGAACATGAAGCTACAGACACTACTCAATTCCCAGTTGAAAAGCAAGAAGATGACAAGAAAACAGAGCAGAAAGAGAACATAGATGATGGACACAAGGAGGATGATGAGGAAGAAGAAACAGAAGAAAGAGAAGAAGAAGAGGAGGAAGAAGGAGAAGAAGAGGAAGAGGAAGAGGAGAGAGAAGAGGAAGAAAAAGAGGAAGCGAAACATGAGGAAGAAAATGAAGATGAGAAGGAAGTTGAACCAGAAGAAGAGGACAACTTACCAAGAACCAGAAAGAGAACTCGAGCAAGTACGACAAGTACGACAAGTACGACAAGTACGACAAGTACGGCTAAGCCTATAACTAGGAAGAGAACGCGGAGTGTGAATCAATCTCCCCCACCTAGAAAGCTCAGAACAAGATCGCATGACGTTGATGACGCCAAAGAAGAGCCTAAGAAGGCACCAAAGAAATCCCCGGCAAAGAGGAAACCACAGCCTCCAAAGACCAGGACGAGGTCTCAGAGTCAGACAAAACGTCGTGGTGGGAGACGTAGCTGACTGAACAACAATTCTAACTGTACATACAGATATTAATGATTTATTATCAAGGAAAGCGTATCTTGTAGCATTGATTAACGTTACTTATACTCACAACAGACAAACTGTTGAAAGATCTAGTTAATCTTCAACAACTCAACGTCAAACACCAAGGTGGCATTTGGTGGAATCAAACCTGGGAAACCACGATCGCCGTAAGCCTTGTGGCCTGGGATGGTGAGGATGGCCTTTTCACCGACAGACAATTGTGGGATACCTTCGTCCCAGCCCTTGATGACTTGACCAACACCAATGACACATTGGAATGGAGAGCCTCTGTCCCTGGAAGAGTCGAACTTCTTACCATTCTCCAAGGTACCGGTGTAGTGGATGGTGACCTTGTCACCAATCTTTGGGAAGTTGACACCGTCACCTGGTGCAATTCTTTCGATCTTGAGGTCTGACATGTTGCGGATAGTAGAAGTGAAGGTTCTCTTAAAGTGCTGAGCTCTAAAAGTTCTAATTGCAAGCATTTAATACAAGGCTCCAATTCGCAACAGGAGAAGGAAAGAATCAAACGTTCGCCATCTCTGTCGAGTTCTCGGGGGTTGCGAGTTGAGAGCTCTGATGCAATTGCGTGCCAGGCGGGAGAGCATAGGGTAATGTAGTAAAGTACTGGGAAGGACTATATATGGTATATTTCCTGATATGGTAATAATGTATTGATTTAATTCTGATTATTCTTAAAACTGCATTAAACAAAATTGTGTAATGTTGCCCCGACGAATATGTGCTACAACATCAACAAACAACAACAACAACAACAACAACGATTTGATCCAGCTTTATACCACTCTGAGCCTTAGCAAAACGTATAGATAGAGGAAGAAGGTGTGTGTGATGGAGTCATACCCATTGCAGCTGATATCTCATTTGTCGCCATTGGTGGTGATCCAAGGAATCGACCCACGGTGCAAGTCCTTAGCCACAGAGACAACACTGAAAGATGAGGAGGACATAAAGGATAACCCGCTGATGAGGGACACAGAGCGCTTACACAGGAAACAACGCTATGTCGATGATATCCCGCTGGTGAAAGATGTACTGAAGATATGGATGAAGTATCATCTGGATGGTGTTGTGTGGGACTCAAACTCTACAAAGCAACAGATGCCAACACATCAACACAGATATCGGTTGAAGCCAGTTGATGATGATTACGCTTTACCGAACAAGACACATCCCTCTGAATTATCACCGGGAGAAGAGGGCTCCATCATAACTGCTGACTGGTTGCAGAAGTACAGATGTATCATTCCATCGTTGTTCATTGGCATGTACTCTATAGATACGGATTTGACAGACGAAGCTGAGATTTCGAAAAAGGATGAAGATCTGGCAATGGAGATCCATATACTGAAAGATCAACTGATGAAGAGAAATGTGAAGCTGTTGGTGATTCTCGTGTCTGAAAAATCTGTGGCTTTACACCCTGATTTAGAAGACCGTGTTAATGATATACGGAGAATTACCGGATTGAACAACAGAAATGGCCTTTTGTTACTCTCTTCTGGGACAGCAAAGGAATTGCAGACGTTTGCTATGGAAGTGTTGCAAGTGATGAAGGTTTCATCGTCAGATTACTACGGAAACCTGGATAAAAACGTTAGAAGGAAGAAATCAAAAACCCTTTCCACAGTAAAGTCACCAGACCAGTCTCTAAAGAATCGCATAGAAGCAAGATATTCGATAAAGCTTGGTGTACTGAGTGAATTTAGACAACAGTATGAACCTGCGGTAAAACATTACGAAACTGCATATGAAAATATCGTTGAACTGTTAAACATGATACAACTGGATAATCCAAAATGGAAGGAAACAAGGTTATTGCTCGACACCACGCTGTTCCACATAGTTAGAATATATTTCTATTTGGAAAAGACCAATACCGCTTACAAAAAATTTGATGTTCATACCCAAACAGTGATGTACTTCTTAAAGGACAAGAGTGTTCCCGCAAATTCATTCGCTGTTTCTTGTTGGTTATCGCAACAGTTCAAATGGTTGGCACAGCTTTCAGATCTCTCACCGACGACTCTGGTTCCATCAGATACACCCTATAAGACGGATTCATTGAACAGGGTCTCTCCATTAGTACTACCACATTCAGGGTACTTGTACCTTCAAGCAGTGGATCTCTTGAAAAGAAGAGGCCCGAAGAATGAAGAGGTTGAATTAGATTCATATGCAACGGGATTGGTCACTGAATCTTATGAAGATTCATTGATCAATTTATTGAAGTTTGCCAAACTAGCGTTTCAAAAGAAGGATAACACTTTCAACAGAAGTATCGCCTACACCAACTTTCAATTAGGACAAGAATACTTCAATAATTATCAGTTCGAAAAGGCCATGAAATTCTTCGAGCAATCGTTAGATTGTTTAAAAGAAGATGAGTGGACTCACCTTCTTGCAGCCATCCACATGAAGTTACTGAAGTGTTCTCTCCATCTGAAAAAGCATTATTCATCCGTATTAAATCTTCTGGAGATTAGTTTATTACCTGAAAGCCCATCCATGAAAACTGCATTGGGAACTGCAGAAGATTTCACAAATGATGAAAAAGACTTTGAGAACCTCTTGAAATCATCAGATGAAAGCATCATAATCAATGCGGATGTGGATTCGAATCTTGATCTTTTCGAAACCTGTGTCTTATTCAAGAGAACAACTGTACCGTTGTCTAAAAATATTGAATTCCAGCTGAGAATTAGATCGCAGACAAACCACGCTTTGAGAAATACTAAATTGGATGACGTTCTTGTTACCTTTGAAGGTCAAATTCCTTCACTGATATTGAAACATGATCCAAATGCGGCTAACAATGATGCCAATGTAATGTTTGATAAAATGGACCTTGATGAAGAACGGAAATGCTATCCAGTAACTGCCAATTTGTTATTTCAACCGCTCGAAGAGAAAACTTTCACATTTATCATTCCTGCGTTGCATATTGGCTCAAGTTCGTGTACTAAGATCTCAGGTGTCATGTCCTATGGTGAACTTTTTGAAGTGAGGTTATTAAGTTTACCGATGAAACAGAGTACTCTCGAATACAGACACGAATGGATCAATGCAAATGGATCAATAGATATTGTGCCAACGCTTGATCCTTTCACCACTGAAGTTGTTCCAAGACAACCGGATACAAGAGTTTCTCTAGTGAGCACACCGAGTGCCGTGGTTTATGGAGAAAAAGTTTCGGTTGATATGTTAATAGACAACGAAGACCATGAGAACGTTGATATGGATATTTCTGCCAAATTGTTATACGGAGAAAATCAGATTAACCACACCTGGAATGGGTCACTTTCTGAGTTGAAGCTCGTCTCTATCCCGAAGAGCAACGATATCAAAAATTCGATTAAGTTCGAAGTTCCACAGTATGTCAAGGAAGAAGAGATTCGTGATATTCAGCTACGCATAGACATTGTGTACTACGTTAACCATGATAGAGAAGTCCCAATGAGAGATTCTCTTCAAGTTATCATACCGATTGTTAACCCATTCACCATTGGTGTTTCCATCTACCCAAGAGTTAGAGAGGACGATCTACCAAAGACCTTTGAAATTGAGGAAGGTGATGTTGCCATTCCCAAACCATCAAGATATTGGCTCATGAGGCTGGCCGTTGTCACCGAGCCTGACACTGGTATCAAAGTGTTTGATGATACGCTTCATTTGAAATCCGGAAATGAGCATGTTCTATGCAGAGAAATAGTTGATAACTATCGTCAACGTACGAAAGACGCTGGTGATATTGAATCCGATCATTACATAGAAACGGTGATCAATGATGGCCACACGTACCGAAACATCGCATTTGAGGCCGTTCTTAGTTTGAAATGGCAAAGAGAAGGAAGCGACACCGTTAACGAGTATATCCACGAGAAGTGGAAGCTCAGTTTCCCACTGCTGGATCCAAGAGTACTTTTGGACATTGATGCGAATGACAAGAACAATGACCTCGTATTGACGTATCTCATTGAGAACCCAACGTCTCGCATCTTTGCCTTCTCTACAACGCTCATCGAGAACCAGGCTTTCCAGGTGAGTGGGACAAAGTCTCTGAGCCATCTTTCAGTGCTACCTTGTACAAGACAAGCTATCGTGTTCCATGTTACTCCTTTATCCACTGGCTTGCTACAATTACCCCAGTTGAAAGTTTACGATTTGGACTACAGGGTTAATCTGCCAACGCTACCTATCACTGACATTGCTCGTGCACATAAGCAAGAGGTATTCGTTCAAGTTGACGATATTTAAAAGGATATATATATATGGACAAATGTTTGGATTAATAAACCGTAAGAATTGTTGACAATTGTCCTAAGTGGAGGGGGGAGGGGATTGGAACCGTGCCGTGGCTTGTAAATTCTGTACAGATTTCGAGAGTTATTCTTCCGGCGCGCGTCTGCACAAAAAGACGCAACTTGCATTAAAAAGGACAAAGGACAAGAGCAAGGACAAAACAAGAATCTGTCACTTGCGAAGGTGATAGATGCGGGGACAAACATTAAAAGTATAAAGATGGGCGTACAAGACCTTCGATCTGAGGATCCGAATTATCTCTGGGACTCCTGATAAACAGACTGATTATGGCGTATAAGTACATCCTCACATCGGAACCACGTAGTGGTGTTCTGCAAGTTCAATTGAACCGTCCAAGGGCCTTTAATGCATTGAATACACAGATCATAAACGAGCTAAAGGACGCCATTGGTCAAGCAGATAGAAATCCTGATCACTTTGGTGCAGTGGTCATTACTGGTGATCACAATGCCTTCGCCGCTGGCGCTGACATTAAAGAGATGGTTGGATTAACGTCTCAAGAGGTCCTGAAAAGAAACCTCTTGTCCAATTTGGACATTAGCGAATTTGGTGTTCCAATCATTGCCGCGGTGGAGGGGTTTGCCCTTGGTGGAGGTTGTGAATTGGCTATGAATGCAGACATCATCTACGCATCCACTAGTGCACAGTTTGGACAGCCAGAGATCTTATTGGGCGTGCTGCCAGCAGCTGGAGGTACACAGAGGCTGATAAGAGCAATTGGTAAGTCACGTGCGATGGAGTTCATCCTCACCGGTGATACCTTTTCAGGTGAAGAAGCCGAGAGGTGGGGGTTGGTATCAAAGGTATTTGAGCCCGGCACGGTGCTTGAGAATGCACTAGACTTGGCTGAAAGGTTGGCCGATGGTCCAAGGATAACAGCCAAAGCGTGCAAAAAGGCAGTGAACACAGCCAATGAAACAGGTCTAACCAATGGATTGTCCGTTGAGAAATCGTTATTCTACGCACTTTTCGGCAATGATGAGCAGAAAGAAGGAATGGGCGCGTTTATTGCAAAGAGACCACCAAAGTTCAATTCAAAGCTGTAGATTTTTCTTCTCCAGTATCTATTTCATAATGCGATGTTCAGTTTCAAGTTTGTCAACTTGTTTCTTCAGGTCCAACAACGTGTTTATGGTCTTGTAGAGTTCATCCTGTTTGGCAACAACACTCTCCGTAGACATGACAGGCTTACGTCCAAGACCCAATTCGTTCAAGATGGCGACGATTCTGTTTTGAACGTTTGGTTTATAGGTTGGGATCTTTGAAGACCTTAGAAACACACCAGGTGTAATCTTTTCCGCATGTACTTGTAGACCAAAGGCTGCTTCCTCTCTTGGTGTCAAGTTCTTCGAAAGAAGCATAGATATTGGACTATCCTTAACTCTTTTATGTTGCTCCATTCTTTCTTGCTGTAGTTGTTTCTGTCTAGAGAGGTGCTGTTGCTTGAACTTCTCATTCAAAGCAGCTAATGGGTTTTCTGGGGCAGGTGAATCCACCCTGCGTTTACGCTTCTCTGTCATTAACTGGTTGTACAACTGTGTTAACCCTTGAGACGAGAGGTATTGATTTATCGAGCCTGTAGCGTGGGGTGAATCCAACAGTTGCAGTAACTGGGCTCTTTCAGCAATTGTATTCTTTGCAGCAGCCTCGAATTTTTTGGCTTCGATCAATAAACTCTCCTCTTCAGCGATCTCTGCAGGAGATCTCTCCAATAGTCTGATAAGGTACTTCTTTCTTTCAATCTCTTTGTGTTTGTTATAGTTGAGATTCGAGATCAAGTTCGAATTCTGTGCAGTTTCTTCTTGTTCGTTTTGGTATATGAGGATCCTTTGACAAACCCCGTAGAATCTCTCCTGGAGATCCTCTAAGGAACGACCAGTTGGCTCCTCATAGTTGTATCTATCGTTTATGACTATCCATTTCAGGTCAAACGCCTTTGCAAGGTCAAACAGGTATCTGGTCTCCTTATAGCACCATGGAACAGCCTTGTTCTCTGTTTCAACCTCATCAGTCCTCGATTCCGATTCTGATTCCTGCGTCATCTGAGCATCTTTCGTCTCTTCTGTGGAAGTGGTCTTCTCCGTATCTTTCTTATCTGATTCACTTTCAATGGTCGATTTCTCCTTAGAAAGGTTTCCATCAATCGGCGTCACACTCGAATCAGTATCTTCGACGGCCTTCGTGGCTTCACCAGACTCCATATCAACGTCAGCCTCCTCCATCTTGTCCATATCACTGATAAAGGTCAAATAGTCATCCTCAGTGAAGTCAGGAATGTTCAACTCAGTGTTATACTTCTCAAATTTGTATGGAAGCTCAGAGGCCTCAACGGTTTCCTTGGAGCCTTTCACCCAATGATGCAACTTCAGCCCATCCGTTCTCGCATTGTTCTTGAAAGCAGCCCAAGTCCAAGAAGACGGCTTCTCCAGCGCATTCAGCCTGTCCTTGAACTTCTGTTGATTTCTAACAGCAACAGGAGGCGTGTTTTGACCTAATAACTGGAATAATTCTCTATTCATACCGGTCAGAGCTTTGGCCTTCTGTTCTGTTTTCTGTTTCTTCTTTGGAGGCTGTGATGAGCTCCCCGAATGCTGAACATTCAGCACGTCCAGGATTTCAGATGACATTTCTCTTTTTATGGCCTTGTAGTGTAATCCCAAGGTTGTTGATGTTGTTGTTGATGTTGTTTTCTGTGAAGTTTGTGGTTTTGATGCTCTCTGGCAAAAAAGAGAAACAGAACAATGTGGTGTTTGGGTGTTTGGGTGTCCAGGTGTTAATATGTCCAGGTGTCCAGGTGTCCAGGTGTTCTGAAACAATAGGAGAGGAAGGCCCCGGCCAGTAAATAATGCTCAACATTTCAATACTTTGAGTTGAATGGAATAAACAAACCCTTCAACAAGAACCCCCCTGACGGGCGAGATATCCATTTTCTCATTGATTTGATTGGAAAGTATGATTCCAAGTAACAGAAGGGGGAAGATCAGAGCTCCTAGAAAGGTATGTCTCATAGGGATTATGTCTCGCGGCGAGAAAAGCGTTCAACAATACTGACTAATTGACTAGAACCTCACCAATGAAGTTGCCTTCGAAGAGTCATGGCAGGTGTTGGCCGATGCCATTAAGGAGATAGAGAAGAAGAACGCATCCAAGCTGTCGTTCGAGGAGCTGTACAGAAAGTCCTATAACCTGGTGTTGAGGAAACATGGGAAACAGCTCTATGAATCTGTAGCACAGTTGGTTGAAGCTCACTTGTTGGAGCTGAAGGACTCGCTGAACAACAAATTGGCCTTGAAAGTGGACACACATGTGTTCCTCAAAGAGGTTTCAAACATATGGAGTGACCATCTGCTCTCAATGAGAATGGTGAGCGATGTGCTGATGTATTTGGACAGGGTATACGCAAAGGAGAATCACCTCCCACTGATCTACGATGTTGGTGTGAACTTATTTCGTGATAACATCGTGAAGTATGATAACAACCACATTGGAAATGCTCTGAATTCTTTGTTAATGGAGGAGATCACCAATAACCGCAATGGATTGATCATGGACATCTTTTTGGTCAAGTCAATCATAACAATGTTTGAATCTTTACAAGAAGAGGAGAGAAACCTCCAGACAGGCGAAAATTACTACACTAAGTACTTTGAACCATACTACTTGGAAAAGACTTTGGAGTACTACACCAAGATTAGTAATGAACTCTTTGCATTGGGTAACGGGTTAGTGTACATCCAAAAAGTTGACACTCTGATAACGAACGAACAGGACAAGTGTGTCCTATATCTTCCAAAAAAAACGTATGATAAATTGATCTCATTGGTCGGTAATGCACTCATAACAGTGAACATAGACAGGGTCATGAGATTCCACGCCGAGGGGTTAAGAACTTGGGTATTGGATAACAGAATTGATGAACTCAAACTGCTGTACAATTTATTACTGAAAGTTGATTATCTAGATGGATTTCTGGAGCAACTTCATGAAATCATCATGGAAGAAGGTATGTCATTTGATACACATGATAACCAGCTGCTTGAAGAAGCTCCTACACACTCAAAGCCTAAGGGGAAACATAGCTCGTCAAAGAAGGCAGCATCCCAAGCAATAGTATGGGTGGAAAAGGTGATCTCACTCAAAGGCAAATATGATACCATCCTCAAGAATTTGAACAATGATTCAAGTATCCAAAAGACTATTGATAATGCATTTGTCGAGCTTTTAAACAAGAATCCAAAGATTTCAGAGTACTTGTCGTTGTTCATTGATGAAAACGTGAAGAAATCAGCAGATAAGTCTGAAGATGAGTTGGAAACTATGATGAATAACGCAATCATCGTATTTAGATTCATAAAGGATAAGGATGTTTTCGAGAAATATTACAAGAACCATTTGGCTAAGAGACTGTTGAAATCTTACAAAGACATCGAAAGATCCCTCATCTCCAAATTCAAAAATGAAATTGGATCATCATTCACCTCAAAACTCGAAGGTATGTTCAGAGATATAAATCTTTCAAAAGAGGTTTCAAAGAAATTCAACAACAAGAACTTTGAGATAAACGTGTTGACGAAAACCTTCTGGCCCATTCAGCCACAGGAGAACTGTCAAGAAGTTGTTCTTGCCCCGCAGTTGGAAGATTTGAGAAGTTCATTTGCCAAATATTACCTACAACTGCACCATGGAAGAAACTTGAGCTGGGCCTATAACTTTGGGTCTGTTGATATCAGAATCCAGTTCGAAAAGAAAATCCATGAGCTGAACATGTCTTTATATTGTGGCCTTATAGTATTGCTTTTTGAAGAACATGACTCTTTGACTTTTGAACAAATTGAAATGTTGACGAAGATACCTAAGACTGATCTTGTGAGAAGCTTGCAATCGGTGGCAGTGGCACCTCGTACAAGAATCTTGACAAAGAAACCAATGTCCAAAGATATCAAACCTGGTGACGTTTTCAGATTCAACTATTCATTCTCAGCTCCTATGACGAAAGTCAAAGTGCTCACAGTGGCCAACAAAGTTGAAACGGATTCCGAAAGAGCAAAGACCATTGAGAAGGTTGACGAGGACCGTAAGTATGAGTTGGATGCTGCAATTGTTAGAATTATGAAAAGTAGAAAGACCTTGTCACATAACGAATTGATTGTTGAGACGGTGAAACAGATCACGAGGTTTAAACCGTCACCACAGTTCATCAAGAAAAGGATAGATGCTCTGCTGGAAAGAGAGTATCTCCAAAGGGATGAAAACGACAGAAGTACATACCACTACTTGGCATGATTTTATAAATAGAATCGTTTTTTTCTAATCTAAACTGTAGAATCCGATGTCTTTGAATATGTACGTTATTATTTATTAATCTAGTGTCCTTGGTTGTGACTAACAGTAGTATATGGAATGACTGTGTGATGTACCAGAGGCATGGGCTTCAAGGAGAATATTGAACTCATTAAAGAGGTCGAAAAGAGAACATCGATGACTATTCATTGCTTCCCCATTGATGAATTTGGCCTGAATATTTGAGTCCGCATGTGCAATGATATTCTTGATGTTGAATGGTGGCTTGAAGAGATAGTTTGGTTCGTATGGGGGACTAATAGGCTCATCTAACACACGTGAGTCAGTGAACAAATAGGTCAGACTAGTAAAACAATCCACATCGTTTGACCCATCAAGTAATCGAAACGTTAATATCAACAACTCGTAGACATTTACAAGAGTCGATCTTTCAAGTTTCTGGAAAGACACCCTCCGATATGACAACATGAATGGTAATAGTCTTACCGTTTTCATCAGGCAAAAAAAATCAACAGCTTGAAGATTTCTGTCAGCTTCGAGTAGCGATAAAAGGGCTCTCGTCTGTTCATGCAAATAAACCCAACATGAAGGAAACTTAGCCAATGATTCAATGCTCAACGAAATTAAGCAACAAAGAGAAAATAGCTTAGAATCAGAAATATTCATTGAGACAGCCACCTTCGATGGTTGTTGGATAATCATTGGAATAAGATATTCCGAAAAATCCTTTCCTTTATCCAAGCAAGATATGAGCATTTCTTGTAAAAATTTGACACTCTCATAGATCTCTCCATCAACTCTGAAAACTTGCTCACCATTTGAGAGAAGTGCTTTCCTCTTAGAGATGTCAAAGATAGCACACAAAGTCTCCATAGCCTGGGACGTGCCAACATAATCAGAAGCATATATGTTGAGATATTCGACAACTCTTCTCACAAATATTCCATATGATGATTGTGGATCTCCACCATTATTGTCAAATTCAAATTTCAATCTGTTGATTAAAAATGAAAGAAATCTCATACGGGAACCTGCTTTTTCGTTGTTAATCAGATTGTGAACAAAGTTTAGCACGATCTGTAAACGATTTGTCTGTATCAAGGTATTTTGACATGACAACAACAGGGGATCCACTTTTGAAACTTCCCTAATGAAAGCGTTCATGCTAGGAGAGTGGGTTGAAACCAATAAGTTTTTAACAAGTGATATGAGAATAGTTTCACGGTCATCTCTATAAGCTGTAACCCCTGAGTGCTTTATTATGTAGGCAAAGATTCTGGGCTCATCTTCAAACCTATATGACCGAATCAATTTACTCCAATTTGTTAATCCAGCAGAAGTGGTTTTTGCAGAAAGCGTTAGCCACAGTTTTAGAGACGACGATGGGTCCATTGACCTTAAGTCATTCATGAGTGTCACTAAGATACTTCTATCTTGTACATTAGAAATGTATTTCTCCAGAATGACTTGTGAAGGAGCAAATACTTCCCTTCTGGTACAGAAGTGAGTCAAAACACGAATGAAACTCAATTGCGTTTTTGGTAGCAGTTTTTCAAGTTGTAGACCACTAACAAAGTCAGACCAGCAGATAAGAAACTCCTTCTCGGTGATATGAGATTCGATGAATTTAGTCAATGGACCCATTGATGTAACAAATTTGTTCGTATTGTTGATTTCAATCAGCATATTGAGTGCCTGGAAACATCTCTGAATTGCCAATGTCGAAAATTGATGATGCTGCAACAGGTCAAAAAATCTGGAGTCCAAGTTTTTACTTGAAGCAAAGGATAGGACAAGTATAATGTTGAGTCTATTACACAGTATAACAACATCCGAAGAAGTAATCTTAGACACAGGAAGCACCCTTTCCAGCATCCTTGGTTTGATCCCACTAACTTTACTGAACTCGATGAGTAAGTTGAGATACAAGTTAATTACTGAATCTCTGTTCAAACCATTATTTGATAGGATCACAGGAGGTGAGTGCTCCATGGGAAAGTTCTTGAACTTCATTTCCTTGATGCTATCATACATGGTCAGCAATATTCCTTCATCAATCTTCCATCCCAAACGTGTGAATTCATTTATCGACATTAAGGATATAGCGGCTCCATTGAAATCACCAATTTCAACAGATTTTCGAACACTTTTTGAAATAATACGCCAAAAAGCCTTTTGAGGTGGGAATCTTATACAAAGATCTCGTAATAGACCAAGATCCTTCAGTCCTGAATTTGCATACACATCCCAAGTCATATCGTTCTTACCTGAAAATAGAAATGATACAGCTTCGCTGAATAATCCATCTTCATTAAACTTTCGTCTCAAAGTCCCAGGACTGATGTACGATGAGAATTCAAAGAACAAAGAGAAGACCTCTCGTGATTTCTGATTCAAGTCAAAGATTGAGAGGTAATTGGTCTCAAAGATTCTATTGACACACATATAGAAGATGTAACACGAGGCCAAACAGTAAAGCTCATAATCTCTGATGGTTCTACTGGCCCTTATTTGTGATTCAAGGTTACCATAGAAGTTATCCACCATTAATCTCAAAGATTTGGCCTGTGTTACGTCAAGATCGCAGCAAAAGACCATGATGTCCTGGATGTTCTTTATAAGAGTGAGCTTTGGTATGGATGTGATAATTGAAGAGTCTATCAATGTGTCAAAAAGCTCACGAAGATCATTGTTCACATTCGAAGATAACTTTGAGAACTTGAGAGTCTTTTTGCCAAATATTGCTTGAAAGGACTTTACTTCAAAATTGCAACACCCTTTAAAAAGAATATTGTAAGCCTGTGAATTCATGAAATGACTCATATATGTTGTTTGCTCATGAATGTGTGCAGCATCGACTTGATCATTGTACTCATCAATATTAATGACATTTCTCTGGGGTAACTTTCTTGGTAGAACTGAATAGTCGTCAGCCAAAGTTTCAAATACCACTGTTGACATGTGTCCATGTCTTCCCAACATAGAATTACTTGTTGGCCGGAGAGAATAGTACTTGGATGAATTATGGTCTCGTCTACTGTCCTTGGATCCTTCGGCTGCATTATGGCTTTCCGTGATATTCCGAAGTGGGACTCTAACGACTGGTTTCCTCGTAGGCACTGATTTTGGAAACATAGTACCGATGCTTGTTCCTCTCGTTCGCTTGGTTTTTGATATTTCATTTATGTCGGAACTCCTCTTCTGCGAGTCTGGCGATGATTTCCTTTGGGTAGGCGTTTTCACACTCACAGAACCATTGTGCTTGCGTTTGAATATCTTTGGTGATGCTGAACGATTGGCTTTACGTGTTTGATTCTTTGCATTTGAAACATGTGGTTTCCTCGGTGCTGATGCAAGCATTCTGTCGCCCCCGAATCCTCTGTCTTCCATTGTCTCGAGATCATCATCGTTATCGATAAAACCCACCGAGGTGACACCTGAAGGATAAAAGGTCGTTTCTTCATCTCCGTTATCAAACATTTCAAGTGCAGGCATTGGATGAACATTGCGGATATCTTCGTCATCGGACAGTACTTCTCCAACCGATGCGAGCTCTTTGAATCCATCTTCACCTTGAGAATCATTTGTGAATATCGAATCAAACCCATGTACTGTTTTATCTTGAGCAGAGTGCTTGATTTTCTTTCTTCTAGCAACACCAACGCGTTTGTCTTCTAGGTGAGTTCTCTTCTTAACCACTCTCTTTGAACTTGTCTTGAATACACCCAAAGAAGAAAAGTAGGACTTGGGCAATTTTGAAACTCTTGCAAGTTCATCAATGCTTGTATAGGTTTTACCCCTGAAGGTAACATTAATGCTGCTATCCTCTTCTTTATCGGCACTGTCCATAGTAGATGAATCTCTCCTCTGTTGTAGAGTGTCATTACTTGCCCCATTGTCATCTTCTTCATCATCCTCAGAAGACGACGAATCTGTTGAAGGTTCTGACCCCTCACTGTAAGATTCCTCTTCTTCTTCCTGCGCCCTTAACTGTTGTATATCAACGTCTTGGATATCCATGTCCTTGATGTAGGTGCCTGTATCCTTATTACCATTGCTACTTCCATTTTTCCTCGTCTTCTTCTTGCGTGCAGAACCAGTCTTCAAGAATTGTGGCAAAGTTCCCTCGTGGAACATCTCTATGAGGGCTGGGTTCTTTTTCACCAAATCAGTAGCACTAGCTGTATCTATGCCCAATGTGTACGATACACAATCGATAGTGTATATATGCTGTTGGTAAAAGGATATGTTTCTTCTTCGTGAACCTCTCCCGTAGTGCATCTCTCCATTATCAGAACTGGCTGATCTACTAGGTACCGGGGCATCAGAAGGGACATTATGAGGGGAAACACCCAAGTCAGATAACACGTCGCTATCTGCAGCATCATTAGGAGGCAGTGGCTTATGCAATAACTCTTCAAATCTATCGAAAAGACCACTATCGACCCCATCTGTTCGATAGATCTCTGTCGCTTGACGTGTTTTCCTCGTCCTTATAGCGCAATCCAGCTTCCTTTGAGACAGTTCTAAGTGAAAGCTCTCTTCATCAACCTCAGAGTCAGCGCAGCAACCCTCCAACTGCTGGTCTGTCATATCATAGAGAGCCTTATTCTGTGTGTACTCTACCCTCAGCGAGCCAGAAGGAAAGATTGTTTGTTTACCTTTTTTGCTCTTCCTAGGCCGATGGCAGCCAACGCGATTTTCTAGGCTCGTCCCACCGACCAGTCGCGCTCGCGCGGGCGCGTAGGCTGTCGGTAATTTACTAAGAGAAAGAGACGGGCAGAGAGATTCGTGGTAATTGCACCAATCGAAGAGGTTTATATCATAAAATGACATAAAACACTAACTCTAGTTATCATGAGATAACTCCATCTAAGATCATGCAAAACACACTGCTATATAACCGTTCAATTGGAGTCATTCTATCATGTGTACTCTGGGAGTTATGTTCTGGTGTCCGGGTGTTTCGGTCTTTTCATTTCGGTCCTAACCGCTCACGTCACCATCAGCACGAAAAGACAACAACCATCACCGGAAAGCGCAACCCATAATAGGACCAGGAGGACGAATCACAGCTCAGCAGTGGGGACCACGCCTATAGGGACTGTTTTTACTACGAGGGATAGGTAAACAAGCAATTCGAGACGGCACAAAATGTCCCAGTCACCGTCGAAGAGACACTCAGTATGTTATTTCCATTCCAATGTCAGCGGTTAAACCAATCGCGTTGTGAAGTATCGCTTAGAACTAACAGGTTGTTCGAAGTTGAGTACCATCGAGTCCAGTGTTACGAGGTTACTTGTTGCTACGAAGCATTTATTGGAGAGCCTTACGCAATGGGCTAAGGGATCGGCATCCGAAACCGATATATCTGATGCTTACGTTCAGTTGGGTAACGAATTCAAGGTTGCGTGTAGAGCCTTCACAAATGCTGGTGTTAATGTTAGTGACCTGGGTGATGTTCCACATGCACTTCGGGTTGTCTTGGAAGAAGCACTATGTGAGACACCATCACAGGAGAGCCTTGATAAGTATTTGCCTTCGATTAGAGAAATCATTGTCTCGTTATTACAGAGCCTCAAGACGAAGCAGAACTTGGCTCGTGCGATGAAAGCCAATAAAGCTAGAGATTCGCTGAGATCAACACCAAGTGGCGAGCCATCAGCAAGAAGCAGCGGCGTTGCTTCTTTGCCTCCTGCTGTTTCTGTCTCTCAACAAAGCTTCCAACAGGAGAAGCAAAAGTTTTTGCATTCACCAGATTCACAGCAATCACAACAACAACAGCAGCAGCAGCAACAGAAACAGAAACAGCATCAAAACCAGACAAAGATTGAAATACCTAAACATAGGTCTGCATCCGCTGGAGATACATCAGTTGGAGATACACCAACCCCGTCGCACAGAGCTGTATCGGACAATGTAGAAACAGCTTCAAGACATACAAACAATGCTTTGGAACAACTACAGAAAGGGGATTCTTTACAACGTCGTGCTTCAAGAAGATTCTCTGCTTATCAATACGCTAAACTCACGAGTTTTTCTCCTGGTAAGGACCCTGAATTGCCAGATTCTTCCATCTTGGAGAGAACCAAGAGCAATATGAGACGTAGTAATTTGAGTACCACGTCAACTCCGGTCAGCAAGATTGGCAATAAATCAAATTCTATCACTGTTTTTTTGAAGATTCGTGATCGTGTGAAGAAATGTGAGCTGACAGCCCCTATTACACTCACAACATTGCGCTTGTTGTTTGTGGAAAAGTTTGCATATTCTCCTGGTTCAGGTCAGTTTCCAGATATTCTCATATTGGACAAAGATGCTGGTGTTTCTTATGAGCTAGAAGAGTCCATGTTTTCAAGTATAGAGGATGGTTCCGTTCTTTCGTTAAATGTCAGTGTGAATGCTGACATAATGGAAACTGTTAACAAGAACATTGAAAAGTTGATGGAACAGTTCCAAGAGAAACAAAAGGAGTTTTTTCAGAGTACACGTGATTATATAGATAGCTCCACTACAGATATTCTGAAAAAGCTTGAAGAAATGGTTGAGAATTCTGTCACCATTCAACAACAACAACCGCAACAACAAAGACCATTGCAACATGAAGCAGGAAAAGAACCTTTGGAAAAGGAAATCAAGAATCCAAGTACTACAAAGGATAAGAACACTGCTAATATCCTCTCGGATATGTCTGACCTCTTGAACATCAGACATGAAATTTCTGTGATTAAGCAGATCAATAATTCAAACAAAATGGCGTTCAAGGCGTCCATTGATAAGGTTCTTCAGAAAGTCAACGATTTCAAGTCATTATCGTTGGACTCTTCTAAGGCTTCGACTCGTACTTACATGGAGGAATCACAGCAGAAGTTATCTAAGGATTCGGATGAGTTACTCACGAAATTTGACGACGTCCAAGATTTAATCGAGGCATTGAGAAAAGATGTTGCTCAGAGAGGTGCACACCCTTCAGAGAAACAGCTGGACTATGTTCAAAAACAACTTAATGAGGCGCAGGGTGACTTGGATAATATGGTAGAATATATCAAGACTGAGAAACCAAACTGGAAAAAGATCTGGGAATCTGAACTGGATACTGTTTGTCAAGAGCAACAGTTTCTCACACTGCAAGAGGATTTGACATTTGATTTGAAGGAGGATCTTGCTAAAGCCACAGAGACTTATGATCTGGTGAGACAATGTTGTATTGAACAAACTAAAAACCCGAGAACAAGAACAACAACGTTGCCCTTGGCAGAACCCGGAAGCCTTCCTCAAATTAGAGACGCACTCCTCTCAGAAGTTGAAGCTTTGAAACCAAACCATGACAGCCGTGTTGAGGCGATTGAAAAGGCTGAGAAACTTAGAGCAAAGGAGAGACAGTTGGCAATGATGAACAAATTTGAGGAAGAGCTGGGTGGCTTTGTCGAAGATAGTAAACTCAAGAAAAGTGGTGGAATTGAAGAAGTTGATAGAGTACGTCGTATGAAAGACGAACAAAACTTGAGGTCGAACTTTCCACCTCCTTTCTGAAAATGGCTGGTATTTCCGTTTTTCATTGACTTGACCTATCAAACATAGCCATTTTGAAGAAGCTTGATATAACTAATACACTGAGAATGTTTTGAGTTCTTCTTTTGAAGTTCTTTTAAAAAAACGCCCAACACAAGTTCCTTAGTATTGATTTCAAACTCAGATGGAGCATCAACCTTTTCATAACAGTGTTCAATGATACTGTCAATGAATTTGGCAAATACGTATAAATCAGGTTTGAAACCTCTTGTGCTTTTGCAGTACGACTTTGCAATGTTTTCACATAGGATCCTAAGCTGTTCTAAGATCACTTCTTTGGAATTGACTTTCAAGCTTAGTGTGTTATAAGCTGATCTTGATTTGAATATATGACACAGTTTTGTCAAAGTTTTTGAGTATGACGCTGTATGCGGACTACACAGATCATCAAATCTCTTAACGACCCCAAGTGTAGCATGGGAAATATCAAACCCACAAAAAGTTGTGCTTGTCTCCTTTTCGATCTGTTTTTGAGAATCAAAGTTCGTCGAAGTCTTCAATTGGTTAATTTCAAGTCCATACTCTTCGACACCATCCTTTGCAATTGTTTCAACTTTACATATCAAGTCCAGACAAGGAGATATGATTAAGAAATCATCTGCAATCCGAAGAATCAACGAATTCGTAAACTTGAGGAATCCCAATTTCCTCTCAATGAACTCCTCGTATACAAGATCACAAAAGAGACTCGAAAGGTGCAATCCTTGATAAACACCATCCTTTCTGGTGAAATTCGAAATGCCAATTTTGGTGATTGTGTTTTGCACTTGAATGCCAACGATTTTGAGTATTTCACTACCAGATAGTGTTGTGCAAGCAGTTCTCCCTTGTATAAAAGTCCCTTGTTTATCTGCCAAAGACGTTTTCAGATCTGTTAATGTGGATAAGTATCTTGAACAAGTTGAGGATCCATCTGGTTCAAGCTTCCTCACTTCATAAATTGAATATGTCTTATGTTTATCCACAAGTGACTGTATAATCCTCATGATTTTTTCCTTTGGGAGGGTATCATAGCATGACTTTGCATCAAATTTGAGAAAATAAAGCTGTGGGAGGCCATCATATGTCGATACAAGATCATCTCTGTAATTGGCAATTGCACGTGGAAGCTGATCGATAGAAGTCAGATGCGGGAAGAAAGTGGTATGTGCAAGTCTTAGTCTATTGAGGATTCTTCTTGCTGGTCTAACTTCATTCGTCACATGATCTTGGTACTCTTTCATCTCTGAGAGATCTCCCCCTTTCAATGGAATGTTGATAACCCTAAAGTCGTTGTTCTTCTTTGGCATGACCCTAGTTGTACACATCATCGCCATGTTGGACTCTGATTGTGTTATACTCTCGAACTGTGGGAGAGGCTGTAAATAGGTATCTCGATAAAAATCTGTGAAGGTTTGAGACACGTTTCTCCATGTCGTGTGTTTATAAAATAAGAGGTCCTTAGATGTCGATATATGAGTGATGTGAAAGAACGACGTCAACAACCTAGGGAAAAAATATGAGAATAACCACTCAATAAATTGTTTCAAAATGATCTGTCTCTTGACAAAATCTTGCTTATTGATATTCCCAGAGTAATTCTTACCGAGCCATGGTATCTCTTTTATCTTTAGACCAGATATTATATCTACCAGACGAATTCCAAATCCCCGTTCTCCATTGATGAGCTTTGCCAAACAATGCAGGATATGAGACTTATTCGATTTGGAGCCTAGCATCGCCAAAGGTATTACCTTCTCAAATATCACAGAGCAGAATCTCATCACATTGGACTTGGGTACAGCCCTTTCCAAATTGTCGGTGGATTGTGGTTGTGGGCATATATTGTCAAAAATTAGGAAGTATCTACACGTTGTGTGATTCTTCATAGTAATCAGAGCCAAATGACTGAATGGAACCAGCTTCTTTGGAGTTCTGGAAGGATGTTTCAACTTCTTGTATTCCTCTTTGAAAACAGTTTGAAGGAAAGACAGCTTTGTATTTGGTACTGGGTTCATTCTCCTTCTCTCTGACATTGGCTTATACAAGCACTGTGTAAGGGTGAACTTGTCTCTTGAAGAAACTTGAGAATACCTTTTCCTTAGTGTACCCCCAAGCAGCTGGACCATGCAATTCTTATTCTCTGATATTCTGAATGCTGCAGTGTTCAGTAAGATATCAGCCATGGTTTTACAACCCAATATCATATGGAGCCTTCTCCATGGGTACGTTCTCAGGTTATTAACTGAATCTACCGATGTTGAAGAGAACAACTCTGATTCGTTATTTCCAGTTGCATATCCTTCCACAAGTATGTTTGAATTGTACCCTAATTTGATTAAATAAACTTGGCAATGGTGTAGGAGTTGGTGAAACGACCATTCGTCGTTTACCTGCATTGATAACCGTTTGTTGAAGGGTCTAATAATCAAGACATTATCTAGTAAATATTTCATCTCAGAGTCGCAATCCTCAAGGTTAATATCATATTCCTCTTTAGCAAACTGTCGTAGTGATCTGAAACCATCATCTTGTTCCATAATTGTGGGTATAGATGTCTGTTCACCCGCTTTAGATGATGACAGTGTTTTCATGGTGGATCATACAAAAAGCTAGGAGAAAAAAAAAACAGACATCGATGAGGGCAGAGATCACCACATTAGAACCCCCCCCCAGGCTACTGATAAATGGTTAAAAAAGGAAAGAATAAGCATCGAATAGACTATATCCACTGTACAGTAGATGATAAACTGCTCCAAATAAGCAATAAAAGAACGTCTTCTGAGCTTTCTCTTGTCGATGTATGGTCCATAAAGATACAACCACATGATTCGCCAAAGGTGCTAGGTTTGATACGGGATATGAGCAACGATGATCCACATCCCTTACAACATGTTAAGCGACTACAAAAACTGGAAGATGGTCTACTGACGGTGATATTGTGCAGTGTCGATTTGGCCTCACGTGAAGAAGTAGTATCGCTTCTTGGAGAAAAGGGACTTGGAATCGAAACCATCGAGGTGAGACAAGTCCCAGCACATTGTCCACCCACAAAAGATATGGCTTTGGAATGGGGTAAACTCTATTGGCCATTGGTATGGAAGGGCAATCCAAACGATCAGATTCTTAACGAAATGGTGTTTAACTTTGACCACATACGTTCTGATTTGCAGTTAATATGTACAAACTCTTCGAAATGTTGTGAACAGTTGCCCATTTCCACAGTTATTGTGGATCCGCTAACCAACGCTGTCATTGCATCTTCTAATGATGAAAGGCATAGACACCCTTTAGACCATAGTGTGATGAGATGTATCCAGTTGGTGTCTGAATATGAACAGCAGAGACGTGAAAGTATCGATGATCCTTCTGATCATCACTACCTGTGTAACAATTATCACGTTTATACGACACATGAACCTTGTACTATGTGTGCAATGGCTTTGATCCATTCAAGAATAGCGAGGTTGTTTTACCTCAAACAAAGTCCAAAGACTGGTGCGCTGGATCCTGAGTCCGGACCTGGTTACACCATCCATGATCATAAGCTCTTGAACTCCAAATTTGAAGTCTTCAAATGGATTGGAGATGAATATCAAGTCGCTGACCTGGATGAAAATGTCAATGCATAATAGTAGATTCCATTCATTCCTGTAGAGATTCGAACTTCTCAAGCAATTCAATAAGACGGCTTAAGCTCTCCTTGTCAATAGATTCAGTCTTGGGTATGGCAACATTCTCCAACTCTGCCAATAGATCTTCTAGTGACCGTTGCTCTTTCGAAACTTCCTGTTCTAAGGATTCGATCTCCTTGTCCAGTAATTTCGAAACATCGTCTAATCTCACGACTATATCATCGGTGTCAGCTTTGGCCGTCTTGTTCTTTGCTAACTCTTCTTCAGAGATTTTGATCCGCTTGGCTTCGTCATTCGAAATCTGTTGAACAACGGCATTGACTCTGTCGAGCCTTCTCAAATACCTTCTCTTCAAAGTCTTGTGAAACTCCTGTACCATCTCATCTGGGGCGTTGTTGAAGTTCTTGCTGAACTTTCCCTCTGGAAACAGCTCGTCGAAATCAAGCCTCTCAAGAAGGAAAGCCGTAAGAACCTCAGCTTCAGAAACCATTGTTACTTTGAATGTTTATTTATGTCCAATTTGTGTTTCCTTATGAGACGCGAAACGGTTGCAAGGTACACAAAAGACGCGGTAAAACTACATTTTGATGTCTTTTCGGATGAAAAAAATATCAACATACGTGCCTGACCCATTAATCTCATGGAGAATAGAAAAGAGAATTGCTTAACGAATATCTAAGTCCTCATATCTCTTTCTATAACTTCTTCTCTTATGAGAGCCTTCGTCTCCTTTCATGGATTCTCTCTTCAATCTTCTGATGTTTCTCTCTCTTTCCATTTCTCTCTTTTCAATTTCCCATGTAGATAATTCTTCAACGCTTGGAGTCCATCCGGCACCTAGGGTTTCGTGGTCTAATCTGATACCAGCTTCGAATCCAAACGCAGACTGGTTGAGGACTTCCTGAGGCAAGCGTCCATCTATACAATCCTTTTTCAACTTGAGTATGGTTTCGTGTAAAGTGTGTGCGATTGCTGGGAGGAACTCTAGAGGGAGTCCCATATCCTTGACCACGTATTCTGCAAATACCTCTGGCGTTACACGCTCACTTGTCAAATCCCATTCGAACTTGTCCTCGTATAAGTTCTTGTCCAGGTTACATGACATGTTAATTATCACATGGATATCTATATCCTTTGGCAATTGTATCGTCACGAGATTCGTATATTCTTCAACTTGTGACTTGATGGAGGATGCAATTTGCTGCTGAATGGACGTTGGTAAGTCCATGTCCTGTCCTGTTATTTGGGAAAAGTGCTCTGGGGTTATCAGAGATTCATTCAAGTTCCACATGAAGAAGTCCACTATTCTGTTGGAGTTGTATTCCAGGTCGATTCGGATCGGAATCATAAACTCTTCGTTTTGAGCATTCATTATTAGATCATTCTCAGAGAATTGTACATGTCTCGTTTTTACTGCCAGTTTACCAACGTTCTGGGTCTGCCCATTGTTCGATGCGCCACCGTTGCTCAATCCGCCATGCCCATACGAGCGATAGCTGCCAGTTTCAAAGTTACCGTCGTTATCATCGTCAAAGTTTAGATCTTCAACTTCTGCATAATTAACAACGGTCTTCGTTCTCTTTGTCGATCTCGTAGGAACAGCCTCGATGTAAAGAGCAGTCTGCTCGTTTCTCACTCGGTTCTGGAACGAAGTCGATAAGGCTTGTGGTGCAATCGGTCTCTCCATTGTTGTTCCTCTTATTCTTCCTTGTTTACATATTCGATTGGGTGGGAAATCCTTTTGAATTTTGCCCTAATTTGTCGGAAGCTGATCATTGCAGCGTAAATATCAGAATGGAACAGTCACACGTGTAAATCCCAGCACGGAAAGTTATTCTCGCTTACGTAACAAGAAGGTTGTTAATTCCGCCATGTGTCGTTAATTATTTTCCTAATTTTTTTGCTGTGCAGTGTTTTCGTTCGACGTTTTTCCTGCCCTTTTGAAAGAAAAATTTTTTCCATCTTTCACTTTCTTTCTTCTTCTACTCTTTTCGACCTTTCTTCTTTTAACCAACTTAACTGAAAAAATGTCCTTCACCGATTTCTCTAAGGCTGATACTTTGAAGCAATTGAACACTCTCTTGAACGAGAAGTCCTACGTTGCTGGGTAAGTTACATAAATGTGTTTTTGGAAGGTTAAAATTAGATTCTCTTCAATCATCTTCTTGGCCCTATTTTTTCTCTCGCTTCCACGAGGAAAAGAAAGAGATCCTATAACGGTGTCTCTTGTTGATGACGACGACGCTTAACTCATTTCCTTTCTCTTTTAATGATGATCCAATTGGTCCATGTTTATGAGGTGGACTCAAGACCCACTGCATGAGTATCAAACCCATTCAAGATTCACTTTCCTGACAATTTGAGATTGGAATTGTTTTATTCGTCCATTGTATTAATTCTTCTCTTTGCCTTCCCCTTCTATGTGTTCTCTTATACTAACATATAAACTGCAGTACTGAGGCTACCCAAGCTGATGTTACTACCTACAAGGCTTTCCAAAAGGAGTACCCAGCTTTGACCAGATGGTTGAACCACATTGCCTCATTCTCTGAGGACTTCGAGTCCTTGCCAGCTGGTGAGGCTCCAGCTGCTGCTGCTGCTGCTGCTGAGGAGGATGACGATGATGTTGACCTCTTCGGTTCCGACGATGATGAAGTTGATGAGGAGGCTGAGAAGTTGAAACAACAAAGATTGGCTGAGTACGCTGCTAAGAAGGCTGCTAAGGGTCCAAAGCCAGCTGCTAAGTCCATCGTCACTTTGGATGTTAAGCCATGGGATGACGAGACTGATTTGGAAGAGTTGTTGGCCAACGTCAAGGCTATCGAGATGGATGGTTTGACCTGGGGTGCTCACCAATGGATTCCAGTTGGTTTCGGTATCAAGAAGTTGCAAATCAACCTTGTCATTGAGGATGCTAAGATCTCTTTGGATGAGTTGCAACAGCAAATTGAGGAGGATGAGGACCACGTCCAATCCACCGATATTGCCGCTATGCAAAAGTTGTAAGCAGGTCTTCCCCTTTGATCTTTTGTCTGTATTATCTCTCTTTATTGTTGTTTAAAGGGTTATAATATATACCTTTTATCTAATGTACTTATTCAAGGTTATGTTATGAAGAATATGGCATTAATGTATTATGAATTCTTAAAATATGTACACTGTATGTTTTTTGTTGCTCGTGTCGTATAGAATGACTATTAATATTTTCACACAACGAGAAAGTCAATACCAGACCCATACCACTCTTTACCTGCAAGTACTTCCTCCCAAGTTTTACCAGTTTCCCAACACTCTGTCGCTATCGCTTTGATTGAAGTTACTGTACCCATGTTGATCGTGCTATGTAACTTGTCAAGCAATTGTCCAACTTTTGAACGTTGATACTCAGTAGTAGACGCACATGCAATGGCAAAAATTGGCCAAATAGTCTGGGTAATCTGTGGTGATGAGGTCTCCATGGATGAATAAACTTCGATAAACTCGTTCACCATGGCCTTCACAGTCACCTGGTCATCTGGCTTCACTAACTTGTAAAGGTTTACAAGAACTGCAAGAGCCCAACATTGTGCACACTTCAATCTCTTGTAATTCTCTAGCTCAGAAATGTCCTCTTGATAGATCACATAGTCTCTATAACTCAATAGATCATACTTCAGAGCGTTGAATTTGTTCTCGGTACTTAGATCAACAATGTTATAATTGTCCTTCATCTCTTTCCTTAACCTGCAAAATCTTGACACTGTTCTCATTATCTCTCCAGGACATCCCATAAGTTTGATAAGTGACTTTGGTGAGTTCTTCATACCATACCAATTCTCATCGCAGTACGGAAGTCTGCAATCTGGCGAAACAAGCGCAGCAATGGTATCAAACCAGGAAAGGTTAGCGATTAAAGTGGAACTCTCCTCTATTTGATCCAAATATGGTTTGAAAGAGGCATCCTTCACAATTGCAGCAAACAACTCGCTAAAGTTACGCACCAGGGCCGACCTTCCAGATTCAACAACACTAAATAGAAAATGAATATGAATGAGAAGCAAAATGACAAAGAAATTGGATCTTCTCTTTTCAATTGGCTGTTTCTTCAAATTGCTGATAATCTTTGGGACGTCTAGAGTATCCTCATCCCCTTCGGAGTCCTCACTTTTACCCTTCAGGTATTGAATCAGGTATTCTAAGGTGTTGTTAACATAAACCATACCAGTTCTATAAAATTCTTGGACACCTTTTGTCTCATAGATGTGGATACATGCTAAAGCAATGAAGCAACTTTTGGCAATCTCAAAATCACAATACTTCAAAGCAAGCTGGGGCCATGGGGTACTTGGGTGTGCATCTAAGAGTGGTAACAGTCTCTTAAAGAAATGCTTGATCATCATATTTTCCTCATAGTCAGTCATCTTTGTCCCAGATGCACCATTACCATTGGCTGAAATGTCAGGTTGGTGACCATCCCGTACATCATCAAGATGGTCAAGATGAGACATCAAGTCCGTGTGCTGTAAGTTATCGATAAATGATGGAATTTGCTCATCAGCAACACCAGAGGGGAAAAGGTCATGGAAAATGTGGAACTCATCGGCAATCTTGATCCTGGAAGGTTCAAAATGGTTAACATTGACGTTGACATTGTTGAGCAAAACACTAGGGTTCACATTTTCATTCGTAACTGATGCTATAGATGTACTCGTTGGAGGCTCTGTTTTTGTAGACTCTGAAATGTATGGAGTAAGTTTCCTTTTTTTCGTATCATCCTTGAGCTCTTCAGCTCTTAACTCTCTCTTCGAAAGACTCTCTTTGAGTCGTGGTCTACCTCTGAATCCGTGAATCACTTCACCTTTTGAGTTCACTTTGGGTTCTTTACTATTTCTGCTATCATCAACATCAAATGAGAGCTTCAGCCCATACCCTTCACATTTTCTTCCTGCTTTGATGCAGTTATTACATTCTGGCTTTCCTTCATCGCATTTTCTACGTCTATGTTGGAAATAGTGTAAGTTAGTACACGAGAATTCGTGATGTAAAGACAGCCCCCCGCACCATAACGCTCATACCTTTTCTTGCATGTCCAACATCCAGTTCTGACTCTTTTGATCTTCGAAGCTTGATCAGTTGCATCAGCCATGGTTGGATCTCTTGTCTGTTTGATAAATAAATCGCCAGATTGAAAATATGACACAAAATGAAAATATTTTGTACTCGACCTATTTTATTGAAAACTCCCGGGCCTGATGGGGTCTGCCCTTTTGAGAGTGGATGTTTTTACCCTAATCGGTTAATATTTCCCAGTAGCATGCATTTGTGTAGGAAAGATATTTTCACAACGGGAAGTCAAAGCAGCGCTCCACAAATCACTACGTCCTAATTAGAATTAGGATAATAGTAATAAAAATAGCAAACCGGTCTTGAGATTTTCCCAAATTACACCAAACTGTAGTTAATACTGGAACTAAGAGGTATACAAAGCATGAAGATGTAATCTTCTATACAGTTTTAGATATAACAATTCAGAGTTTGTGTGGTCTAATCAAGAAAGACGCATACATTTGCTTATATCACAACCACATAAAGTTGAGGAACTTTAAGACTACCGCACACTAGAACTGATTTCTATCATCCTACATTTCAACTTTTAACTTGATTGAATCAGTGGCTCCTTCACAATAACTCAGGACGTATTGCTCTACATATATTATTCTGGTTCTTCGTTGCCCCAGCAATAGTAAAAATGTTAGGATGTTTCCAATTCTTATAGGCATTGCTTACATTTTGAATTCTTATCAACACAAAATGACACAAAACCAAGACAGTCTCATACACAAATACCTAAAGTTCGAAAGATAACAGAAGAAGGTCAGGAACAAAACATGAGACAACAAAAGCAGAAGCCCTAGAGGACAACCAAGGAATAGACCAAGGGCTCTTCATGAAACTTTCCAACGACGTCCTCAACCTGAAGAAGAAACATCAGCGGCTAATCCAGAACCACAGCGGCAACTTCAAACGAATGGAGGTACGACATAACAAGAGGACACACTAACTCACCTGCTATGAGAACAAGATACGGGACCAAGAAACCTCCAAGCACTGTCACAGAATACCCATCCAGAGATCACAAACTTAACACAACAGCGGGACTTAGCTTGGTATCATTCTAACATATCCACACCATACACACACTTGTGACTACATATACGAACTCTTATGCCACAGTTTTAGAAGACTCTTTAGGCGTTGACTTCGTTAGTTTTAAAATCATCATTTTATTAACGAGGGACCAGGCATTAAAGTCAATACCCGACGAGCCCAGCTGTGTCAGTTGATCCTCTGAAGGTAGCGATGATTCGAGATTTTACCGGAGCGTTGGCGAAGGAGCAAATCGTGTTCACGTACAGAAGCACTACAGATCAAACTTGTACATTCTAGCTTCTCCTACTGAACATATAGTCATGTTCATCTGAAATTTCTTTGAAACCAATATGTTGTTCTTAAAGATGTTGTACCCCACATTAAAAACAAGTCACCAAATTTCAAATGACAGTTAAACATATAACGCCAACTTATGATGAATGATGAGTATTAGGGTCATATATTACTACTGCTCAGGATTTCTCAAACAATATTTTACATAGAGAAAGGAAAGTTCAAGCAGAAAACACACAGAGACACACACATACTCCAACAAAGAAGCTAAATACAGAAGAAATTTGGACAACGTAAAAAACATGAACATGAAAAGAAAATATTGTCATTTGGTAAATCGGTGGGTTTTCCTTCTTGGATTTTTACACTTTCTGTTATGCTCTTCACCTTTCGAGAAATTTTAAAGCCCTCTGTTTTATTGAACTGAGGTTGTACGTTCAAAGATAAGTTCGACTTGAAATTGTCTTCCATTTACGTGAATCCTCATACCACCCACTTACATGTCCATCACAATTCAGCAATACCTAACTCGAAAGAACACCAAACTTTGAAATCCTTCTTCATTGATTCGTGTAATGTAAACCTCTTATATATGTTTGTTTTCCAGCTGAAATTTAGTGAAAAATGGCCTCTCTTGATGCTGATATAGAGTACATGAAATTAATATACATAACAGCAAGGCAACAACAAAAGAGCTTGAGAACCATACTAAATCTAGATTGCATTATGCGCTCTACTATTGAAAATAGCTTACGAATAAACAAATTCCACTAAAGTCTTTTTTTGATTTTGTTTTTCGTTTTGAAAATACCAATATCTTTAATTCTTCGCCATTAACTACAAAATAAATTACTTTATTTCAGCCATCTTTTCCCTTGATACTATTTTATTGTTATCTTTGTTCAGCTATTTAGATGTCTCTTTTTTATTAAAGATAGTCCACCTATGGTTTCCATGGTATAGAAAACAAAACTCACGTTGTTCGTATCCTTAATAAATATTGCGTTTAACTTTATAAGGAAACAGGACGAAAGATTGAAAACAGATTCCAAGTCTGAGCAAGTGCACATTGCAAACGTTCATTAAAGCTACAAAACTGGCTCTCAGCTTGAAATTTTGGTCATCTAATCAGAGAAAAGATGACAAACGTAACCCAGTGTCCCAAATATACAAAGTGATCCCAATATACTATTCGAATTTACTTCATTACAGACAAGTTTAATTCAGAATCACCAAACCCACATAAAAATGCTAAATTATTTTTAAATCCTAAAAGAAATGTTCTTAATATTGGTTCTCATATTACTCGGACTTTCACTATTTAATGATAACGATGGTTCCCTATTGATTAATCTTTCACTCAAACATATTTAGCTTTCAGAGCAGTAAAACATCCTAATGCATCACGAATTATGATATGCCAATAATAAAGTATTACTTTCTTCATCCCCATATGCTGTTACACTTTTAAAGAACAAATTACTAAAGAACACTCATCCTAATAAAATTTATTTTTTTGGTAAACAGTGCCTTCATTTATATATAATACTTTCGAGGTAATAAAACTACAAACAATTACGAAGTATTCTTAAAATAACTGCGAAAACCCCATTGGCGCTTAAACATAGCAACCTGGGATGTTTAGAATCAGCTTTTCCATCTTGCACATTTTATGTTCGAACCATCATTCCAAATTTCTCTATACAATCACTACTAAAAGCTTCTGGTTGCCAATTGATTACATACAAATCCTTTAATTATGTTTTCTTGCTCAATGATCGAAAACTCTGATATAGAGTAACTTTTCTTTTTATTTATATTGAGAGAGCAGACTTGATTTGTTTGATTGTTTGTATCAGTTCATTAGGTTGCCTCTATTTTTTGTCAGGTTCCCATGTATGATTCAATTTTGTTTTATGATCTTGGATTTCTGGTCGTGAAATTTTATTGTGGACATAATAAACTGGAACTCAATTTAAAGTGAGGATAAATTGAGAAACTGCTGTCTTCGAAAAAAGAAAAATCAAAAAAAACTACACTCTATAACAAGGTATTCCTTTTCAATATAAAGACCGATAATAGCTAAGTTTGAATAAACAGTTATCAAGATCAATTGACCTTAATAGAAAAAAAGCAAAGAGTAAGGAGGACCAAAATATTTAAGAAAAGATTTCAAAGAAATTGAGCTTTTCAAATTAGTTTGGAATTCATTAATGGCTGGGGTGATCGTTGGGTCTATTGTGTTTGTGTTTTTGTATTTTTTTGTCTTTTTTTGTTTGCTTTTTAGTGTTATTCTTTGGTTATACCAATGGAAAACAGCGATATGCTATTAATTATTGGTTATAGCAAAGATGAATGGTGAGGATAAAAGAAGGTTTTATCGAAAATAAATATGTGAAAAGTAAACGGTTAGCAAAAATCGAATTAAACCAAGGTGTTTGTTCTGTGGTATATCAACTACCATTGTATTTATGTTGTTCCTGATTAGTATCCCGCTCTTGTGATACCATGAATCTTAGATTGTGTTAATATTCATTAAATCTTAAATCTTTCTGAAGGTTTAATTCAGTTATCACAATTATTCTGTTTGTTTTAAAAAACGTACGGTGAACGCGATTGAACCTTTGCAAATGCTCCGGTATACCTCGAATCACCGCTATCTTCAGAGTATCAACTTACGCTGCGCAGCCGTCGGGTATTGACTTTGATGCCTGGTCCCTCGTTAATAAAATGATGATTTTGAAAATAACGAAATCAACGCCTAAAGAATCTTCTAAAACGGTAGCGTAAGAGTTCGTATATGTTGTCACAGGCGTGTGTATGATATGGACATGTTAGAATGATACTAATCCGAGTCCTGTTAGTATGGAAAAGTTTTGTGTCGTGCCTTATCTATTGAAAGAGGACATCTCAATGATCAAAAGACACTCTTGCACGACTAATTGATAAAAGTAAAGCCGCCTGTAGATCTTCTTTCATACTTACTGAGATTGAAGTATGTTCTGCTGTTATTGCTTCTGCGTACCAAGGCAACCTCTTTAACTTCTGGTAAGAGAAGTAGGATCTTCTGAATTTGTTGGTGCTGTTGGTTCAATATTGACAAATTCAGCAACAGTCTCTTCTCTTGTTAATCCCATATCTGTAATCTCCTGTTGAACAATTTCTCTAACGGTATATAACAGCGGTGTATAACGATTGTGTTGAGAGAGAAATCCACCAATTTTGCCAATATAATTCTCAAGTTTATTATATTCTTCATCGTTTTGAAGAACACCTCTAAGCAATCCAAGATGACGATTTATAGCCAAGCCTGGATCTAGTGTATGAGTTTCTTCCAACTTCTCTTTTCCATTTTCGTGAGCTATCATACCATCAACTCTATGGAATAAACGGCTGTTGATAGTCATTGAATAAGTCCCATCTCTCGAATCACCAGTACTTTTAGAATCCAAGGATGATAGCGAAAGAGTTGTATTGATTGTTCGAGAATATTTGGATGTGATTGGATCCAATCAGATATCCTTCAAGTACTGTGAAGGTTCTTTGAATATCTCACCCAGTAAGACTTTGTTCCTATAACAGCAAAAAGATGGTAAATCAGTATCGATAAGAAGAGCTTGACAATAATCACAACATTATTCAAGGTCACCTGGATTATAAACTGAGTTCCGTGGTCTCTGTGGTCTCCGCTGTTGTTGTTGTTCATAAACTGGGTCATCATTCTCATTAAAACCGTTGGTGTCATCCTCAATGATGTATTCAAAGTTGGGATCATAATCAAAAGCACCACCACGTCTATTTTCTTCTAACGCTCCTTCTGCTACGTTTGCCGCAGTTCTTCGTCTACCTCTTATTCGATCAGGTATAGTTCCATTATCAAGTTCAGGTTCAGGTTCAGGTTCAGGTTCAGGTTCAGGTTCAGGTTCAGGTTCAGGTTCAGGTTCAGATAATGACGGGTGTTGTGGTACATTTGTGATCTCTAGGTGGGTATTCTGTGACAGTACTTGGAAGTTTCTTGGTTCTGTATCTTGTTCTCATAGCAGGCCAGTTAGTGTGTCCTCTTGTTATGTCGTATCTCCATTCGTTTGAAGTTGCCGCTGTGGTTCTGGATTAGCCGCTCATGTTTCTTCCTCAAGTTGAGGACGTAGTTAGAAGGTTCCATGAAGAGTTCTTGGTCCTTTCCTTGGTTGTCCTCCAAGATTTCTGCTTTTATTGTTCAATCTTTTGTTTGTGACCATTCTTCTGTTATCTTTCGAACTTTATGTATTTGTGTATGAGACTTGTCTTGGTTTTGTGTCATTTTTTGTTGATAAGAATTCAAAATGTAAACAATACCTACATAATTAGGAAGCATCCTAACATTTTTACGATTGCTGAGGCAACGAAAAACCAGAATTATACATAAAAACAAGAACATCCTAGGTTATTTCAGAAGAACCACCAATCCAATCGAGCTTAAAGTTGGAATATACGATGCTAGAGATGACATCTAGTGCTTTGTGGTGTTAGGGTTTCCAAAGTTTATTTTGTTGTTGAGATATAAGCAATTTTATGCGTTTTTTCTAGTTATACCATACAAACAATGAATAGCTATATCTCAGGAAGCATTAAAGATTACATACTCACACTTTGTGTTAGTTCGAGTGTGAATTACATTTCGGTATACTTTGGGGAAATTTGAAAATCTGTTTGCTATTTTTATTAGTATCATTCCAATTCTAATAGTTGTTGTCATTGATAGCTATAGGTAATGTTTAACCATGACTAAGTGAAGAGTCAATGTCTTTAGGTGGTTCCTAGAAACTACCCTATAGAAAGGAATCATAAAGGAAGATTTAAAATTCCACCTAATGTGTAGAAAAGCCTTGCCTCAAAAGATATTATGGTCTCCTTTAAGGTAGGTACCGGTGGTAAGTAGAATTTTCGTAGATTAATCCATACATATACTAAGTTATTCAGCTTGCTTCCTTCGGTAAACGATGGCTGGAGTGGTGTCGGAGCATTAGAACCGATACATACCCTAAATCTATAAGCTAAAGGAAAGATGTTAACAGATTTAGGGATGAATATATGAGAGTTAAAACTTAAGGAACACAAACTTTTTTTTTTTAATTGTTATTAAGAAGAAACACGATAAGTAAGAAATAACAAGATCTGATCACCTCTTCCAAATGGTTATATTGAAGCATTTCAAATCCTGTTATCTAATGTGTATATGGTGAAGATCTCAGTAAAACAAATTGAAACTTCTGTCTGTTAAACAACTGATTTAGAGGATTTTTTGTTTGACGAAGAATGATCTTAAATGCTTCAACTGCCAAACACAAGCACCACCCAATGCCACTAATTGAATGATAGACCAACGAACAACACGAGAGTTGGTGGTCTCACTCATGTCTCTAAAGATTGCCTCCCTTTCTCTGGTCAATTGTTGTTCTCTCTTAATCTCATTGACCTTTTCGTTGAGCGTTCTAACTCTGTCAGTCAAAGATTGAACAGTACCCCTCTTCTTAGAATCGTACTGTTCACTGCTACCGAGTTCAAAATCAACGTCGACTTTAGTCTTGATCTTAGCCAACCATCCTTGAGATTGTGGTTGAAAACAAATTCTGTGGTCACCACTGTCAAGAGCTGAGAAAGTGAACTCACCAGTTGGAGAACCCTTTTGGTGGACCACTCTGTGGTCGTTATCAAAGACCTCCTGCACAATAATAGTTAGTATAGGCTGGTCCTTATAGTGAGACTCTAATGTGTTCAAAATTACTTACTTCAACATCAATAACAACTCCAACTTGATCGCTGGTTGCCTTTTTGAAACTTTCTGTGGTTGGATCTAAAATAGAAACATCGTACTTTCCAATCAACACGGTACCTTGGGATAGCTCCTTGTAGAAGCACTTTCTCTCTCCACCAGAAAGGTAAAAATGGAAGGCATTAACTGCAGAGAAGATACACAACAGAATTGACAATGCTTGAAGTCTCATTTCTTAGTAATTCGATATTTGCTATTGTTACGTGTATTACACAGGTGTTCAGTCTTTTTTTTTTCCTCCCTTGACACGTCCTTCAAAAGTGCTCAATGATCTGGTAGGTACCACACCAAGAGACGCGTTTTTACTTTTCTTTTGCTACACACACACTTGATATTTGACAATGCTTTTTTTTTCACTTGAGCTTATATTAGTGGGCTACTTATGCAAACATCATCCTCAACCGTCGTGTGTGTGTTGCATTCAGACCAGCGATGAATTTATCGCTTCTTGATCCATTCGCTGCCTTAAAAGAGTACCCAGAAAGTATCACACATACCCTCTCCTTTGGACACTCGGTATTTGTGAAATACAATCAACAAGGGGATTACTTAGCGTCAGGTCTCTCATCTGGAACTATTCTCATAATTGACAATGACACAAAAAGCGTTATAAGGAAGCTTATTGGACACGTCAGACCAATTCAGTCGCTATGCTGGTCAAAGTGTGGAACTTATCTTCTGTCCTCCTCCAGAGACTGGAAATGTTTGGTGTGGGATTTGAGAACATGTAAAGCAGTGAGAAAGTTTGACTTTAGTGGTCCGATATGGAACAGTGAGTTTAACCCTAAAGATCCACAAGAGTTCGTTGTATCCTTGTACGATAACTTTCCGAAGTATGTCAAGTCAGATAATACGATACAAACTCTTCAAGAAGACACGGTTTTGGTTACTACTTTCCATCCAAGTGGTGACTACATAGTGACTGGAACAAATAAAGGATTAATAAGCGTGATATCAAGAGAATCATCCACAGTTATATTCAATCAAAAAGTGACAAACTCAAGTATAAAGAACATCATCATATCTTCGAATGGTGAAAAGATGGCCATTAATTCGTCAGATCGAATTATAAGGCAAGTCACCCTCCCCGACTTCAATACCGAACCTAAGCTTTGGCACTTTGAGGTTGAAAACAAATATCAAGACGTTGTTAACAGACTGCAGTGGAACTCGATTATGTTCAGTGCCAGTGGTGATTATCTTATAGCCTCGGCTTTTGGTTCTGCCCATAACATTTATATTTGGGAAACATCTCAATTCTTCTTAAACAAGATTCTCGAAGGACCTAAAGAAGAGCTGGTTGACGTTGACTGGAACTATAAGAAATGCATTATATGTGCTACTGGGATGGATAGTGGTGTGATTTATATGTGGAGCTTGGTTGTTCCACAAAAATGGAGCGCATTGGCACCAGACTTTGTGGAAATTGAAGAAAACATTGACTACCAAGAGAAAGAAGATGAATTTGACATTGTTCCAGATGATGAACTTAATCAAAAACAATTGGATGAAGAGGACGAATATATCGACATCATATCGAAGGAACGAACTGACGCCAGAGGCAATGTACAGGAAAAAGGTTTTGTGATCCCAATTGAGTATGGTCAAACCATATCAACGGATAACATATAAGGTGTGCAAGGAATTCATTTGTTAATATTTGAAAACTATGGACTGTATTTTACCGTATGATGTTTGGCAAGCCGTAAGAGTAATCCATGGAGTTTACTCGGTACTGAAGTTGGTGAAAACATTCTGCTAAATGTTTTGGAATATTTTCTTTCTATTGCACTTTTCTATAATTATATGGTCGTCTTTCTCCGGCAATTTAAAGCCCAATTTCATTTATTACTTCTCAAGAAGTCTGTATAAGGCTGGCTTTTATGGTGATCGGAAAGTAAATTACGGAGGCGAAATAGTGAGTTATTGTGAGGACCGAGCGGGATATAATTACTTTACAGGTAATTTGAACTTTTTGGGGTGAGTCGAAGCTTCACCCAATATCTCATACGAACACAACAAACAGCCTTGTTAGCATCTGTAACTTGTTATGATGGCTATGTAAGCGACCTTTTGGGGTCTTGAAGCCTATTATTTTCGTCTTTGCGGGTCTTTTGGTTACTTGGCCGAAATTATATAGGAAGAACACAGGCTGCTGCAAATGCAGAGAGATGCGCCGTAACGACCGAATCAAACGATAAATTATAGGCATGTTCTGGTCCATGAGAAACGTCAAATAGGAGTTCGTTACGGGACATGCCTTTCAATCACACCTTTCAACGAACTACTTACAACGTACTTCGTTTACTATTATGCTTTGAGAAATTGTTTCATTCTATTGTCCTTTTAATGATCAAGGTGATATTTCGGTAGTGCTCTCCATGGTGTATTGAAATATACCCAGCAATGTGGACCATCTCTTACTCTGATGATCATGTACTAGTCTATCCGTATAATTGACGGTTGCGTTTTATTCTGAAATGTCTCGAAAGGAGAGAGAATTGGCTTTGAATCAAGTCCCTTCCCCCTTGCGCGCGCCCTAGACCAAGGACTATCAGAAATTTCGGGCACAACGGTCAACCACTTAGTTTGCCGCTGAGTCGACCGATGGCAATGCCTATATTTGGCCCAGGCTAGTCTTCAGGTTGATACCAATATCAATCTAGTCAACCTAGTATATATATAAATATATAGTGCCAGTAGCGGCGTACACTGCGCAGCTGATAAAAGACTAAATAGGTCTGGAAAACTCAACTGCGTACTAATTCTCTAGCCCTCAAATTTTAGAAATGGAAGACGTTGCAATATTCCAAAACACGAACTACCAGCAGTTGGAGCCTTCTTATGTTTCGGTATCCAATTGAATCTTCTTTTTCGCTTTCACACCTTCCTTCAAATAATAGAAGGTCTCTACAATAATGAGCTATGTGATAGTTATTTCATAGGCAGATGGCAAGTGGCTCCTCTCGGTCAGTCAACTTCAGTCGTCATATAATCCCAATTAAAGTACTTCATTGGATATGTCTTGCTTATAAATTACCTCAGAGCTTCTCTTCGAGGCCCTTCTGCTATGGTCATGACAGGCTCAACATGATTATTTGAGTTCCGACTAACCCTAACACATGTTTCAGTTTCATAAATTAAGGTGCTTAGCTTCCTACCAAATATGAACTTTGCAGAGGAAAGAGCCAATATCAAATCTACGTAGATGACTCCGACCTTTCAGGGTTCGCGATGAATCTAGATCGTTTATTAATGTTCCAAGAATGGAAACATGTGTATATAGCCCTGTTTTTGGACCTTTACGTTGTCAGGCTCATGTGGACTATCGGCTTTAGCTTCCAAGATTATAAACCATCGGTTTGGTTAGTCGTAATCTTCGATCGTAGTCATAATGGTCAAAGTGGGCATGATCATAATCACCATTACGATGATCTAGATTACAACTGGTCCACAATATAGGAGGGAACTGATCATGGTCAATTCCAAAATATACTAAAGATTGATGAGTAGCCAACACCACTATTAATCCTAATATGATTACGTTAATGGTTAACGCTAATGTCAAATATTTTGGTACATTGGCAATGCTCTATGTATTTGAGTGCAAATTAGTCGGGAAACTAGGCCCTGTTTACATTGATCTCTAGGTTGATTTTTGTTGTAATTTTCTCGGTTAACACACAAGTTTCCCAACTCACATTGTCCTCAAGAGACTTTTGAGTCTGTAAATATGGCAGTGTTTTTTTTTTCGGTGTGAAATGTCGCACATATACCTACTGCAAAAGAAATTTGGGAGAGACACAAGATTTGTAGGTTTGAAAGGACGGTTTGGGAAATGGCATAAAATGCTGTTTGTTTCATTGGCACTGTTGAAAACCTATACCTTTGATCTAATGAGAAGCAATGTGTCGATTGATTCATGTTTCATTCCAGGGCATCCTGTGTTTGGCATAAGCTCATACCTTGTGATGAGGTAATCTATTCTCCTTTCCAACTGCTATATACGACCGCTTTCATTTCTAGGCCCTTCTCGGTTCAGAGACGCATATTTGTTATGACCACAGCATTAATAGGCGCCATCTCACATCTTGATATTTCCATAGTTACACACATACATAAAAATCAAAGGACAAATCGATGATGATCTAATTTACACAGGGGGGAAATAGGATATTTAAAAGCCAGATTTCCCACTTCATCCGCCACCCAATCTTCACGTCCACAACCACCTCTATTTGACAACGCATCATACAAATACAAATCTCATCCAATCAGTTAAGATGGTATGTTTTGTTTTTCCTTTGAGGAACTAGCGGCTTTTTGAATCCCATCTCCCAACTTCACTTGTTCATCGTTTAACGAGCAGAAGGCCCTTTATAGGGGCAGGGAGAATTATTTCAAATAGGAGATTATGTTACCAGTTATAGAACTATTGTCAATAGCTAACATATCTTTATATAGCAGAATGATAGAGCTAGACACCATCAGAATGCTTCCATTCACTCACTTACATCGATTGGTTCTATAGTTGAGCCCGTAACTCCTCCAGACCTCGGGGATCATTTTGGAACCCCATCGCTTAACCAGTTCTCAACAAATTCAGCGGGTTCCAACGGCGCATCATCCACCACAACGCCTCTATCTACGCTGAACACCAATATAGGGGGTAATACTTTTAGATCCAGACTTCGTTCGCTTCCTTTGGTGAATGAACTAGACTATAAGTTCAACCAATTTAACATCAGCAGTCTTCAAAATTTATCTCAGGGATCACCGGGTACTGCATACATTCCATCACCAAGCCAAAGTGTTTCATCTTCTAGCAGTTCTATCCCGCAAATCCCATTGAGCTCACTTTCGTCTCAGAGTCATACTGCTCTAGATACCCCACAGGTGAGAAAGGTATCACCACCTGTACCACAGCACGAATCTTCTCGTTCCCAAGCTCAATTCCAACCCCGGTTGTCCTTGCCAAACGTTCACTCTCTGGGCTCCAATAAGAGAGACGGGAGCTTCAGTTCTTCATCAAACTCTAACTACAAGAACTTTGATGAGTTAAACTTGATTCCATTTGAAGATTTGGATATCTTGAAACTGTCTGTTGATCAGTATGGTTGTCGCTACTTGCAGAAGAAACTTGACGCTGACAATGGCGTGAAGGATATCATCTTCAAAAAAGTTTTTAACAACCTGATCGAGTTGATTATCGATCCGTTCGGTAACTATCTCGTTCAGAAGCTGGTCGAGTATTTGTCAAGTTATCAGAAAGACCTGTTAGTTGAAAAGACCCATACTTATCTTTTCCTCGTGGCTGTGAACCAATATGGTACTAGAAGCTTACAGAAAATCATTGATAAGGTTGACACTGTATACCAAATGGATTTGATAATCAAAGGTTTGCAGATGAACGATACTTCGAACGGCATTGAGGACAACAACATTGTGAAGCTCATTAAAGATCTCAATGGAAACCACGTTGTTCAAAAATGTATCTTTCGGTTCCCACCAGAGAAGTTTCAATTTATTATTGACTCAATCTGTATAAATGATAATATTGTGAGAATCTCCACGCACAAGCATGGATGTTGTGTCCTTCAGAAACTTTTGAATACTGCGAATTTTGAACAGATTGTCAAGATCTCCAAAATTCTCCTTGTCTATTTGGATGATTTGATCAATGATCAATTTGGAAACTACATTATTCAATTTTTGTTTGAACTGAACTTTTTGAAAGACTCTACCGACCTAGACTTTTTGGTTGTAAGTTTCTTTGCAAAGATATATCCCAAATTGATTAGGCTCTCTTGCTTGAAGTTTTCATCGAATGTTATCGAGAAGTACATCAAAGTTTTAAAGGCTAAACAAAACTATGAGTACTTGAATGAAATCATTAAACTTATCAATGTCAACTTTGAGATGCTGATCAAGGATAAGTTTGGGAATTATGTTATCCAAACAATGATTGATCAATTTTATGATGTGCATGAGCTGAACCTTGAGATGAATATCTTGATCACAACAGTTAAGAACTATCTTCCAGTAATCAAGGCCGCGCCTTATGCACGAAAGATACAACTAAAGATACAACAACTAGAGACCAATTACACGTTTAATCAACATGAGTTGACACGGGTTGCACAGAATTTGCCAACTGGCAAATACTACGACGTATCCCAGATGACTTACAACAATGGGCCTAACAGCTTTACTCATGAGGGAAACAGTTATACCAATTACATGAATGGTGGTGGACCTCCACAGGGTTTCAACCCATATTATTCAATGGATGCGTCGTTGTATCGCTCTAGTGGGAATCTTACCAGTGTTAATAATCTGGTTATGCCCAAAGATTATCGGAACTTCAACGATTCCAACAACGGTAAGAATCTTTCAGATACGCAGAATTCTTCAAACAACCTGTATCAGTTGTGATTAGGAGTCTTTTTTTCTCACCTTTGTTTTATGTTCTATTCTCTTGTCCTTATACGTCCCCCTCCTCCCATCTGTACACTATACGCTTGTTGTATGTTTTACTCTTTTTTTGTCCTTTTTCATACCATTTCATTTCTTTTGAGGTTGTTTCATATAATTTGAACACTTTGCGATTCTAAACGTGCTTTTTTCCAATATCAAACCTTCCAATGAACTGTAGTTTGTGGTTTATCGTGTGTTTTCTGCCAAATTGTGATAAATTTGCGAAGAGTTGGGAAGAGAATGGCGCAGAATGGCGCAGAATGGCGCAGAGTTGCGCAGAGTTGCGCATTATTTCGTAATGATAAATATGAAATTTTTGCGGGACACGCGTAACCTGCATAAACTCTATTTAGCCAATTCGGCAACTTTCCGAAAGGGGCAAAACTTCATGCATACAGGCTTAATTTTACTCAAATTCCAGATTTAGAATCGCTGGCGCGACGGGACCAGACAATTAGGCTATATTGGGCAGTGGCTACAACTGTTACAATCCACTGGTCATTATCGTCTGTAATAAATTAGAAGGATGGGTTTATATCTTTAGAATGTGTTTATTTAAGAGAGTTATAACACTGTATGCCTGAATTTGACAAGGTGTAGAGAGATTTATAATTTTCCATCCATTTCGCAAACGAAATTGGTTCACCTTCTCGTTCGAACTCAGTTATAACCTTCATAGGTTCCTCATCTGAAACGTTGAATACCTCAATGAGATTCTTCGATTGGACAAAGAATTCCGAATCAGTAATCATCTCCATATTCTCACCAAAAACGTTGTATACATTTTTGTTCGAACGGTACGAACGACGAACTGGGCTTTTGCCCATTCTCAAGTCGAGCAGCTTAATGTTGGATCCAATAGAGGAACATATCACTCCATATTCACCAGCTTTCTTCAGATTTATAACTGATCTCATCTGTGAACTCTCAAATGGGCTTATCAGCTTTGGCTGACTCGATCTCAAATCCCATATGCGGACATCACCATTTCGAAATCCAACGTAATGTACAAACTGATCCTTGTTATCGATGGTGAGTGCATCGCCTTTGAACTGTACACTGTCTGAATTGATTGTTGAGTCTCTCATGTTATAGAGCTTCAGGCTCTTGTTACAACAAATTATCAAGTTCTCCGTGGATGTATTGTATAGGGATTTGTTAAATGAATCCCTCGGGCTGAAGATCTCCTTAGAGCCTACCAGCTCTCCATCAGTTGTAAAAGAGGATATCTCGACTTCACTTGGCTCATCAAATGAGCCTAACCATGTTCGTATAACTAGTGGAGAACTTTCAAAAGTGTCAAATGACCTCAACAAAGAGGTATTCTTATCGTATCGGCTCAGCATCAACTTCGGATTGCTCTCTGGACATGTATTTGAGTCATTGTGGCCACCAGCGTAAAGGTGTATATTGACTAGATCACTCACTATGAAGTTATTGGTTCCAAATGAGTTTATACTCTTCAACTGTACCGAGCTTGGAGTCTGTATCGAATTTGTCACCTTGATGGTATCAAACAAATGTCTTCGTATGGTTTTCTCGGCCTGTGTTCTCTTTCTGAAGTTCAATCTATTACTGACATCCAAATGATCATAATAAATCTTAGGAAAAGACATAGTAGTTCTTTGTTCCTGTGTGAGTCTCTTCTTCTTTCTGGCCTGTTCTTCCTCTTGGGCTTTTATGTTTGTGTCTGTATATTGATGACTTAACGTTGAAGTCGTATCCACTTTGAAATATCGCTTCTTCACGGGATCAAAGAAGAACCCTGGTATCTGTAATACTTGTTGCGGCATATGTTTCAATCTACTGTCCCGAGGTTCGCTAATGGCTATCTTCCCGCCTATTGATGATTTTAAATGGGTAGTGAAGTTGAGATATTTGTGTGCATCTTTTTTTTCTCCCCAGCACGCTGCACAGTCAGAACCCATACAAAAAAATTGGTGGAGATGCCTACTCTTTCAATCCTGGGTCAGTTTGTCAACAATGAAAGCTTCACAAGCATTCCAAATAACCAATGTAATTTAGTCTGTTCAAGATAAATTCTCAATATTTATATGTAATCTGTATACTGTACGGCTCCTGGGTATATTATTTGTAGCCCCCCAGAGTAAACTTTTGCAAAAAATGTTGAACATGTTTTAAGAATCTATAATTTAGCCTCATAAATTGAACAATAATGATAGTTATAATTTTACATTGATTAAAATGATTTTAATTACCACAAATAAGATGCATAGTATGTATATAATACGTATATCTTGTTGATGTAATATGAATTTCCCACCTTTTATTATAATACAATGAACAGTATGATTTATCATAGAAACAATTATATACCACCAGAGGAAACAACCATTATCACTTTCTGTATATAACACACGTTTCCAAATATCCTTGATGGTACAAACTTGTCAACTTCTTGAACAAGCAAACGGTATTAAAGTAAGGTCATGTATCATTAAATATTATCATAACAAGTTTAGTCTGATTGAATGAAATCTTTTTTCTCGTAATCAACAGGAACATCAATAACAGGAACAACAAGAATAGGAACAAGAGCGGCACAGCAAGTAATGATAATGAGGGAACCCATCTGCTCGAAAGATTTATACAAATCCATGAAGCATGAAACTTAGAATCATACGGGGGAATCTGCAAAATGAATCACTGTTCTTCCATGTAATGCACCTCTTCCTGAACGTCTTGAATTAGTAGCCAAAGGGTAAGGTATAGCAGGATCTTCATTAGTCAACTCTTTTGAGGCCCAGTCTGCGGGACAAAAGGCCCTATTCATGATCAGAGACTGTGATCTTGTGTTGAGCAGTCTTTCCCTCGAAATGTTTCCAGACGTTGTTTCTGCAGGCTCTTCTGCTTCAACTTCACGACGACACAATGGACATGATACGTTTGAATGTAACCATTCAACTAGGCAAGAGCGGCCAAAGATGTGTTTGCAAGGCATCCTCACGGGTATATGTTCTGGTTGAACTATAGTTTCAGTTTTTTGTGTTTTTTTGTCATCCTTGTAGACAAAATTCAACTCACTATGAGATCTGGCAGTGGCATCTCTTGGAATGACAATGCCTGGATCACCATCTATTGCCAAAAACCTTTGGCGGCTTGCAACTTCTCTTCTTGTAGCAATATTTCTGGATTCAAAGCCAGAGTCCATGATTGGGTTGTCAAAAGGTTCATAACAGATAGCACAACATGATTCATTTTCTTCCAGATCTTCAGGGTTTATGATTTCCAAATGCTTTATAGCGTCTTCAGTGGCGTGCTTTTTGGACGACGGCCCGTTAAACGCACTGCCACCTAGTCTTATAGCATTCTCAACCATATCCCTCAAAAACGGCGGCAGGTTGTTAAAATTGAACACGGGTTCACCAGCGACGTTTCCCTCGGGAGTAATGTTTGTTCTGTTAACAGTGACTGAGAACTGCGGAACGGCGGTACCAAAAGCACCTCTGAATAAGACATCAGGATCGTTTGTGGGTACCTGTTGAAGATTTGCAGCTGTTCCCAAAATTATAGGTTGTACCGATATGAAACTCGTTGTGGTTGTAGTAGCAGTTGGTCTAACATGATTATTACTGCCACCAGCATTATTATTCTGATAGTCATTTGGCATGCTGTTGTTGTTGTTGTTGTTGTTGTTCATATTGCCACCTTGGCTTTGTGCGCCGAAACCGTTTGGAACATTTCCATTAGGCTGTGACATGTCAGCTAAACAAGAAATCTATTCGTAGTGTGAGTGGTTATGAGAACAAATGGAGTTGTGTTAAATTGTTATTGCTTGTGCTTTTTTTAATAGCGTCAGAAAGCCCACAAAGACTCGATTCGATGATGGCGCCCCGCGCGTGAGAATGGAATTTTCTAGATAAAAATCGCCCTGTGTAACTCAAAAGAAAAGTTGATTACGTAATAAGACAAAAACTTTACGTAATCAAAGAACCGGCTCCCAGACACGTGACAAGCGCCTCCGGCTTTCAATTTTCGCAACATTCAAAACCACAAACCGAAGGAAAAAAAAAAGCGCAAAAAAGTTCGCCAATTTTCACCGACAAAAATTAACCTCTTTGAAAGAAAAAAAAGCGCCAAAAACACGCATCGTATACAAAAAACCAAAACAAACAAGCGGGTTTCCTAATCACGAAAAGAGCACTAAAACATAAAGTTCGTGATCATTGTCAAACAAGTCGAGCCGATCCAATACCACTGAAGTTTTGATAAATCTCTTAGTCTCGAGTGTTTGCATCGTGAGTGCTTGTCTTGAACCCAGGGAGGTCCAGACTAAATCGAACAAGGTATACTAACCCCTTCGGCCTCTATAGATCACTTATACCTACGCATAATCACACACTGTACAAACTCAAGGTTTCGTTATAGGCGGCTGGCCGAACTCTTTCATTCATTGAAACAGACAAGAATACGTTCAGTTACAGCTGAAGTGACTGATAATTCTTAGCAACATCCACCGCTGTCAAGGATGAATGTCAACGTGAGTTGAATTTAGTTCGCAATCTTCACACGAATGTTTACTAACTTGTGTAAACACATTAGATCTCTCCAGTCAATCCTGTCACTTTGAAAGACGAGCTTGAAAAGGTCAAAGCGTCAGTTCAAGAGCTCAAGACTGTTGCATTCACGAGTAATGATTCTTTGAACAAGAAGCTGAATGATCACATAGAGCGCACTACGCGTCAGATCACCCAGTTGAACTCCGTCGTGGAGATTTTGTTGAAGGAGAACCAGGAATTGAAGGGTATCCTTTCAAACCAGAGATTCGTCATTCAGCCTATCAACCCTTTCCAACAGGGTTCTCAGGTAACCCAATCTCATCAGAACCAACTGGCTAGTGCTTCACAAAATGCTTTAAACTTGCAGCTAGGTGATAACTTCCTACCAACAAATGGACTTTCCTCCACGTCAGGTCATAGTGAGGTGAGATCGCAGCACACTTCTGAGCAGAACCAGCAAGTACAATCGCAGTCTCAGCAACAACAACAGAATCAGCAGGCGCTTCAGACTCAGCAACAGCAACAAGCTCAAAAACAACAACAAACCCAGCGAGCTCAACAGGCTCAGCAAAGTCAACAGTCTCAACAACAGCAGACACAACAGCAGCAGCAGACATCGCAATCCCAACAGAGAGGCTCCGCACTGCAAAATCATCAGGGATCGACACAGGGACAACAACCACCTCAACATCACCATCAATCTACAAATGGTGTGTTGGATAATGCCCTCGGTGAGGCCTCGACGAACAGTGGCATGTTGAGATTCATCAACAACCAATACGTTGATGAGGAGCATAACTTGAACACCCAATCACAAGCCTCGAATAATCCAAACTCAAGAATCGACTTTGTATTTATGGATCCAAGTGCTAACAGATCAAGACATTACAGATCAGGCTCAACTAATTTCCATGATGCCGACCAGGATGACGAGAACTCTCCAATCACCCACCTGACTCCTCCACAGGGTAGCAGACTACAAAAATCTAACACAAGACAAGGTGAGTTCAGTGCTGAAAATTACGATTTGATCATACACAACGATTTCAACAAAGTTGAGGACATATATTATGAGTATTATAACTCTTTGAAACCCCAAGTTGAAAGGGTCCAAAAGGCCTACAAGATTAAAAAGATTAGAAAATATCAAAAAATCAAGGCATTGGCTGTCAGAATCGATAGGTATAAAGAGATCAAGGGTTGCTCACTTGAGGACAGTTTCAGATTCTTCGACAATTTACGACTTGCAGATGATAACAGCAAGAGATCAATCGCTTGGTTATATAACACACTTCCTGATATTCTGAAGAGAATTGGCCTCGAAGAACAACTAAAGAAAAATCCTGGTACCTGATTACATTGATTTTTTACATCGTCTCGGATCCTACTTTACGCTTTTCTTTCAACCTGCTATTTGTGCTCTAGTGATGACTTTGATGTTACACATTTGACCTACCAATTTATCTTCAGATTTGTCTATCTTCTCTTCTCTTCTCTTTGTCACAGTGGGATCCATTTGTACTTCTTCCCTTATACGTGTTTTCTCTATGTCTAATTTTGTGTATTATACCCCTCAATTCTCTCTTTTTTTGCTTTTATAATATTATGTTTTGTAAGAGTTTATGTGAATTGAACTTATGTATATTAGAATAACCCAAATAGAAACATCAAATCTTCTCAAAGTGTATTTCAAGCACCGATTGCAACCTCCCTTGGTTTGTATTTGAAACTCTCCATTGGTTTCAGACCCCATTTAGCCAACATGGCTTTATCCTCATCCCAGCCGTTACACATTGTTGTGAGCATTTTCTTACCTGTGAAGATGGCATTACAACCAGCCATGAAGCACATCACCTGTTCTGCCTCTTTCATTGTATATCTTCCTGCAGCCAATCTGATAATAGACGTTGGCATGACCAATCTTGCAGTGGCAATGGTTCTGACAATCTCATCAACTTCAACTTGCTTGTTCTTAACTTCTTCGTACATTGGTGTGCCCTTGATTGGCACCAGTCTGTTGATTGGAAGAGACTCTGGATGCTGATCCATTGTGGCCAAGGTGTAGAGGAAAGATACACGGTCCTCTTGGGTCTCACCAAGACCAAGAATACCACCTGTGCATGCCTTTAATCCAGATCCTTGAACGTTCTTGATTGTTTTCAATCTATCATCAAAGCTTCTTGTGGAGATCACCTTTGGATAGTGTTCCTTTGAAGTATCAATGTTATGGTTGTACGCCGTCAGCCCAGCACTTTTCAATTCAGTGGCTTGGTCTTTATCAACCATTCCCAGGGTGACACAACTCTCCATTCCAAGGTCATGGACAGCAGTGATCATCTCTTTGATTTTCTTCAAGTTTGACTTTCTACCTTTCATCTCTCTCCATGCAGCACCCATACAGAACCTTGTAGATCCATTGGCCTTTGCCTCCTTTGCAGCTTCAATCACCTCATCAACTTGGATGATTCTTTCAGCCTTGACACCAGTGTTGTAACGCTGCGATTGGGCACAGTACTTACAGTCCTCGGTACAACCACCAGTTTTGATATTCATAAGAGTGCACAATTGAACCTCTGAAGGTTGTTGGAACCTTCTGTGTTGCACCTGAGCATAGTGCATCAAGTCCATGAGTGGTGTGTCATATATAGCTTTAATTTCTTCTTTGGTCCAGGTGTTGACTGGTGTCTTCACTGACAATGCATATTCCAATGGGTTTGGCTTCTTCTCCTGTGAAGCCACTTCTTCCATTTGTTCCGTGAACACATCTTCCAAGATCTCCGCAGCAGCAGTAGCACCTGTTGCCAGAGTAGCCCTAGAAGCTACTCTAGAAGTGGAAAGAGCAATCGGACGACTAATAGCAGTCAATATAAACGACATCTCGGACTTGATTATGGGCTGTAGAAGAGTTCAATAAGGATAAAAAACGCTTGATGAGGAAAGAGAAAAAGAAGAAAAGGAATAATTCCACCAAATTTAATAATTCAACACCTCAACTAATACATGAATGGGAGTCAATCTTGTCATTCAGGCCTGAAATCGCCCAATCAAATCCAGTGTATACTGCACATCTTACACCATGCGTAATCATGACTAGTCATGACATGATTCACCAAAAATTTCCTGTTTGGGAAAATGAGAGAGTCAACGAAACGAGTCATATTGACTAGATAGAACATACGCATTGACTCAACGCAGGGCAACTGGCTTTGAGTCTAACAATCGAATGTTTCAGTCATAGAGTTGCGTGGGATATCTCAAGTCGTGGGGGTATAATCATATACGACACTTTGGAGACACTAGAGATCCAAGCTTCCAAGATCATAAGGAGGAAGGTTAAGAATTGAGTGTAGAGTTTCAATGTCGACATTTCTCGTAAGGTCATCTATCAGGTCTCCAAGCCTTACCCTTAGGTTTCCAGGTGAGTTATCGAGGGTGTTATCACTGCCACGATCCAGCTGATCTCCTGAGCCAGTTGAATGGCTGTCGCTATCATGTCTTGAGGTTGTAGACACAGAACGTGCACGGTATCTTGGAACATCATCATTTGTGTCCAAAACTGGTTCGAATGGGTCGTTTGATACTGTATCACCGTGTGCTCTTGCCATGTAGTTTGCAACCACAGTTCGCAGAGAGCAGCCTGGTGACGTCTCATAAAATGCAACCTGCTCTGTACTAGCGCCTTCCAAAGTCGTATCCAAGATGTCCATATCAAACGTCATATGGTATTTCAGCTTTGCATTGTAGACCCCCCATAAGTCGTTGGCAATTCCAACTATGCCCATGCCAACTATGTTAAGTGCATATACGATATCCTCGGGGGTTTCAATTACATGAGACAATGCGTTCATTGGTACAACCTTGGCCAGACATGCACCAACGACGGCACCCGACAATGGCCAGAGCACCACATTCAAAATCCGGAACATTGGAATTCTCTCATGGAAGGCATTGGTAAAATCTACACATAGACAATAGTTGTTTACCCTCTTGGTGTGTGCATTGACAATCCTTCTCTCGGCTGCGGTGTAAGGTGGGAAGACATAACACCAAATTCTCTTGTACCAGGGTAGTTCACTCATGACATCAGAGATTCTCTGTTTAATTTCACAGATATGTGTTTCTTCCTCAACGAACTCTTCTTCTCCCTGGTGGAATTCTTCGAGAAGACTCAAGAAGAAATGTGGTACAGCCTTTCTAACCATTTTGTAGTAAGCCTTATTCAAAGTGAACTTGTAGATCCACTTGTAGATGAAATAGGCTCCAGAGAATAGCTGTGGATAGTACTTTGGACTAAGGTAACCGGCAGCATTTAGATGCGGTACGCCTAAAGCAGTCAAGCAAAGAATGTGGAAAGTATCCAAGACAGGGTTTGTCTCCGAGATGAAGGTGTATAGGTACGCTGGGAAAGTTGCAAACACACTCAGCTGACTTGAAGTCAACTCGGTGGCTGTTGACACAATTGTGTTTCCAACATGCTTAAAGGGGATCTCCAATATCTTCATGAGTGTTGGTGTTGGCGCAATGGCGCTCCAAAGTGCAACACCAGCACACGTAGACATCGTCAGCACCGCAGTACTTGAAGAAAATGCCGCCCCACAAACCAATCCACCATAAACGGCCTTCGAGAATATATCTCTAGCATACGATCTGACCAGATTTGACTTTGATAGAAGCTGACTCGGTGTTTTAGCGACTAATGTCACCGGGCTACCACACTGTGGACATAGGATCTCTTCATCTGCCAATAACATCGTGCCTGGTCTAGGCCGCACACTGAGAACCTCTACTCCTCCAGGTTTTCGTTTACCTTGGAAATAACTCATACACGGTAGGTTGAAAGGGTTACGCTCTTTCCCAATCTCAAGCTCTCTTTCTTTAACATAGTTCAATAGACATGTCTTATGCACTCTAAGGGAGCACGAACAGATTTGTATGAGCTTTTTTGAATCTCCAGGGCTGGCTAACGGTGGCCAGTCACCGTCACCACCGAGACAAATCCAGCAGCGATCATCATTACTCTCCATTGTTTTATCTGTTGATCTCCTGCTAGTTAAGATGGTGTTCTATGTGGAGCACTTGAAATTTTAAAATGCGAGTGCAAAAGGCGCCAAAAAGTGCAACTTTTACATTTTCGTTTCGTTTCGTTTTGCTTTTCGTTTTTCCATTTTCATCATTTACGTTTTGCTTTCGCAATGCTTACTTCCTCATAGGGCACAGCTTTGCGCCAACGTAAGGGAACCCGGCAAATTATACAAATGCATGGCTATTTGGCTATTCGATGAGTACACCTGGACAAATACAGTGATACTCCATGGACTTGTGCGTGTTATTGTGCTGGTCTTCATAGTGGGCTCTTTTTGTCTAGTTGTTTTACGTAGGCATGTTCTGGTGAGAGTGCTCTGGATTTTTCAATTAACACACAATTAATGACAATAAAACACACTGAGTGAAAAGGAATAACCACCAAGGCTTCTCTCTAGTCAAGCTGAATTACAAGGTAAACTACTAGAATGAGGGCAACTGTACAATGTCAGTTCAACCCAGCCCAGCGCACTTCACCACCTCTATCTACATCTTCTAGACGCTTGCGCGCCAGCCCAGACGCGTCTTTGTTGCTTGTTTTCCCCATAGTTTCGTCCCCAATGAGGGTAGTGCTCTTCACTTACTGACAGCTCCGTCACCTCATTGGAAGGAAACATAGAGCACCGTTTGAATACTTTCTTCAGCATCTAGCCGTAGTCTCAAACACGATATGTTAAAAATGTCTGAGAAATTCAAAGAGATATTAAACATTTGATCGTTAAAACACATTATGAGTTGTTCAAGAGGATGGTGAACTAGGGAGAACCTCGGCGTAGGGCTGTAGTTCAAAAATGTTTCACCAATTCCTGCTTCAAAAGATAGAACGGTTACAACTTCATAAAATCATGGGCCATCGCGTTTAGTTTGTCAATAAATAGGATAAATGCCTGATGGACTCTTACAAAAGTCGTCTCTTGACAACGCGGAAGACCAAGAGGTTCAGGCTATCATAGTCAAGGTTGACGCATGTCGACAAAACCTCATGGATTGCAAAGCTGTGTATGACGGACTGCCAATAGAGCATAAGCAATATATTGCCTCCAGGTTCAACCACATAGTTGCTCTGATGGAATACGCGAGTAACATGGAAGGTACAGATGATGGTATTGATCAGCATGTACAAGACCACGAAATGAATCAAAAGTTGAATGCGCAAGCATCAGAAATAGAGACACTATCATCTGACACATCTGAAGACGAGAATGAAACTGTGGAATATATAGACCACAGGTCTCAACAGCAGAGAGAGAAGGAATGGGAAGAAGAAAGATGTATACAAGACACATTGAGGGAAAAGGAAAAGAAAGAGTGTCAAGAGCTTCAGCAACCTTCCGACCCCTTGGATCAGTTATTTAGCGATGAAGATGCTCTCAAATACCTTAAATTCTCGAAGAGCGATCTAAGACGACTGGCGAAGCTCTTAGAAATGAACATTCAGCCACCGCCTTGGGGAGGAGACATCAGTGGTCCTGAGGCCCTAGCAATACTTCTCTTTAGAAGCTCAGAGACTGTCAGTCTCGATGAAGAGGAATACCACTTTGGAAGGTCCAAAGATATGCTGAGACACGTCATCAATGTTGTCATCGCTTTCTTGTGCCGTAAAGTTGAGGATAAGGTTAATGTTTTCGATAACAACTTGAGAGAGCAAAGAGTTAAACTCTTCAATGATGCCATTAGGGCCAGAGCTGACGAGATTGGATCCCATGCCTTTGATGATGTTTGCGGATTTGTTAGCACTCTGCCTGTGTCAAGACGGACCCAGAGTTACGCACCTTGGTATGACGGGCCGCAAGAGTTTTACTCATCCCAAGTAGTAACGACTCCTGATGGAATTGCCAGCTCCTGTGTACGCCCAAGAAGCTCTAATGGAACAAACCCATTCGTGTTTTATGAAGTGCTCCATCGGCTCAAGGTTATTTATCCGTACAAGATCCTTGGCGACTCAGAGTACGAAGCTGTGTTCAATGAGCTTCAAAAACGACATATTGACAAGGATAATCTTATTCTGAAGTATGTAACCGATGACGACGAAGCCAATGAGGTTCTAGTTGTTAACGAATGGATGCGTCAGTCTTTAAGAACAGAATCACCTCGTGTCTTCTCAGTCACTCTACCTTTAGAGGGTGACCATCTGCACGATTTGTTTTATATAGGTGTCTTTCTATCGAACTGTCGAACTTGCTTACGTGGAGGAAACCGGATATCTGATTACTTCCACGTTGCACCACCAACCATTGAAGAGTATATAAACTCATGATATCCCTGTCGATGTTCATAAACAACTTACGAAGTGATTTACTTAGGGGAGCAATGACAGTCAAAAATACTGAAAGGTGTTCAATAGCAGTGATATGTCATCTGAGTTTTCGCATTCATTGGTAAACATTGTTTATCGATACAAACTGCTTGGACTTGTTCTATCGTGAACTGTGTTTTGAGAATTGAATCCACTTCTACTTTAATTTATTGAAGGCGAATTATTTGTGATACCCTAGGTAGCTCGCCAAAGATTGACGTGTCTTGATATTCAACCCAGTGAACCAGGTACACACCAGACAACTACTTGTTCCACAGGAATGCCTAAAAAATCAGCACAAACTTATTTATTACTCCATACAGTCATCATTACTCTATTTTCCTTCGCTCTTATTCTGTTGGGTTTGATGAATGTCATCGGGCTCGAGTACACTTATACTATCACTCAACACGAGCTTCACGTTATGACAGAATTGTCTGATATTTGGTGCTTTTGGTATAAGGTGGACAGTCCCCGTATTTCACAAGTTATAGCTTCCACATTGACCATACTCTGAAACTATCAGTGGTACAAGAAATCTTCACAAGCTGCGCCTATACCAAGCTTATCATTAAGAGCTTCTTAGACTTAAATTACTATGGCTGAGTCTAATCCTGGAAATTAGAGCATGGTTTTGAGACATAGTACCTTCGTTATTCTCATAGGTAGTGGTGGATTTCACACTTTGTGAGAATATCCATACAAAGATTATTTATTCAACATAGGAAGATAAATATACCAAAGGTTTGAGAGAGTCAAATGGCTCCCGTTTTTCATCCTGCATATAATCCTTCAGCTAGAGAGACAATCATTTATCTTCCACACAGTTTCTTGCTATGTCCAATTATAGACATGGTTTCCCTGAAACATTTGTCTCAGAAAGTACAGTATGAGGTACCACTACACACAACCCCTAATAGCTACATTTGTTGGCTACAATATATCTCCCTGTATGCTTTACAATGCTCTCTTTGCTAACTTAGTGGACCAGGCTCACCTAAGTTCTTGTCTCAAATCACGATTACTCTCAGGACAGAGACTGAATCAAACGAGAAGAAGGCCTTTCTTGCTTAATTAGCATTCAAGAATCTTATCAAGTACTACGAAACACTTCATTATGGAAAGCACTTGTGATTATCACGCTGACCCGAACAGGTAGGTGTGGTTGGATAGTGTCCGTTGATTACTGTGTATGTTCGGGTGTATATCACATAATATACATTCCGCGAAAATTACCCCAAATTGAAAATGTAAACAAAGAAGTTGTTCAACGGTTATTTGTGTTTATTTTTCTTGCTTTCTTCTTTGAATCCTCACCAGTGTATCTCTATCGAATAAACAAAGCTGGTGAGATGAGTGCAGAAGAACCTGATTACACGCAACTCCCCTTAGAGGAACGTCTACAACACAAAGTAAGTACCACCATTGTTACCGGCCGTCTTTTGTCTGAATCTCTCGGGTTTCTGCGTTGTTGTCTTTTTTTGTTTACATCACAGCATACTAACGCGTCACCCAGGTATGGAAAGCCCGTTTAGAGGCATACCAAGAACTCACAAACCAGTTTCAAAAGACAGCGGATGAGAATGATCCAGTCTTCAAACCGTACCTTGCCAATCCAGAATTATTCAAGAAGATTGTCACGGATAGTAACGTCGTTGCTCAGGAGAGCGGTATCACTGCTCTTTGTGCTCTGTTGGAATATGGCGGCACACCAGCTGCTACGCGGTTAAGACAGCAAGTAATTCCAGGTCTATGTGAAAAGGGATTGTCCTCATCGAGGGCAGGAACCAAACAGAAAACAATCGAGGCGCTTCTGTGGTTGATCGAATTGGATTCTCCTGATCCCGTTGTGGAGTTGATGGTACCATACTTGTCCGCTAGATTGCCAAAGCTTGTTGCCGGTACTGTTAAAGCCTTGTACGAAATATATTCTCAGTTTGGTGCACAAGTTGTTAGTCCAAAGTTGATTTTGCCGAGTTTACCAAAGTTATTCTCCCATGCTGATCGTACGGTTAGAGCTGAAACGTCAAACTTAACGGTTGAGTTGTTCTTATGGATGGGCGACTCTCTGGAACAAATACTCTTTTCAGATTTGAAACCAGTACAACAGAAAGATCTTACTGTGGCCTTTGAAAAGGTTAAAGATCAAAAACCAACACAGAAGAGATTGTTAAAGTCTCAACAGATAGCCAATGAACAGAATGCAGCTGCAGCTGGGATAGCAGACGAGGATAATGATGTTGTCATGGGTAGTACTGATGAGCCAGCAACAATTGATCCATATGACCTTGTTGAACCAGTTGATGTTCTAAGCAAATTACCATCCGATTTGACTACAAGAGTCACCTCTGCGAAATGGAAAGATAGAGTAGAGGTCCTTACAGAGGTTGAAAAGGAGATGAATGTGATGAAATATTTAGATGTGGATTATATTGAATTGGTAAGAATATTGGCTAAATGTATCAAGGATGTTAATATTCAAGTTGTCTCCTTGGCAGCAAAATGTATTGAGTTTATGGCAAAGGGTTTGAGAACGAGATTTCAAAAGTACATTCAAACAGTTTTGACTCCTTTGCTTGAGAGATGCAAAGAGAAGAAACCAAGTGTGTTGGATGCACTTAATGGTGCGCTTGATGCTATTTTCCAATGCTCTTCTTTATCAGAAGTGTTACCAGATACTCTTGATGCCATGAAAAGCAAAACTCCACAAGTCAGATCTGCAACTTGCCAATATCTCATCAGAATTTTAAAGGAAACAAAAATACCACCTACAAAGTCTGAAGTTGCTGAAATAATTACAAGCGCTGTGAAGTTAGTTGGTGATACGCTTCCTGATGTGAGAACGCGAGGTTTTGAAGCTGTTGGTACTCTGATGAAGATCTGTGGCGAGCGAGAGCTCAATTCTCATTTGGACTCAATCGATGATTTGAAGATGAAGAAGATCAAAGAGTTCTATGAGAATGCGGAGGTGAAATCGAAGATGAACTCATCTACAAAGCCTACTAAGGCTTCAGCTTCATCGGTAGTTTCAGCAACTGGTTCAAAAGGCTCCGTACCGAAGGCATCATCAACAAAGCGGAAATCCACAATTGGAAAACCTTCTAGTGGTATCCCATCTTCGTCATCTTTATCTTCGTCCTCGTTAGGTGCTACATCATCGATAGCCAAGAAGCGGACCACGTCCAGTATACCTTCTAAGCGAGGACCAACATCACCTTTAAAGAGTGATCCTTCAAACTCACGTTTGGGGTCAGTTGGTAAGAGTGGACTTACAGGAAGATCTTTACAATCGACCACTAGTTCAAGTCTACATCTGAACGGCTCAAACAATAGCCATGGATTAACAGATGCGGAACGTGTTGAATTGGAACAGCTTAGACAGGAAAAATTGAAATGGCAACAAGAGAGGGAAAAGCAAAAGTGGTCACTTGAAGAATCCATGAATGATTCCTCCAAGTTGATGAAGGAAATTCAACAATTGAGCAGTAAAATTGACAAGTTGAACGAACAACATACAAGTGATTTGATGACAATAAAATCGCGCGAAACTCAGTTACAAAGGGCACAAAGTGATTTGGAGATTTCCAATTTGAAGATTTCACAGTTAGAGAATGAGATTGAACTAATTCAAAAACAGAAGTCGGCAAGCGCATTTACAGTACCTTCATTTACGCTTGATGCCTCATCAATATCCAACAGTTTCCATGGAAGTTTGAACAACGGTCATCAAAAGCCATTACAAGATTCCAACGTATCACCATATGTGAACGAGTCCACAAGCTCTTCTCTTGGCGGTCTCACTACGGGTACTAAGAGTATCGACGGATTAGATCGTCGCGTTAGTGGACTAAGCATCGATTCAAATGACCAGAAGGAGAATGGCGCGTTATACACTCGCGCGACTTTGGATACGTCCGATGAGAGTTGGCGTCGTGCTGCTGAAGTAACATCTCAGTTGAAAGCACGTATAGAAAAGATGAAAGCAAAGTCGAGGGCTTCGAGCCAGAGGAATCTATAATAAATTCAGCCTAATAAGAAAAAAAAATAAATTAAGGTGGGATTATACGTACAGTTTTCAGGTTGATACGCGTAATGTACATACCGTCAACTTTTATGCACAGAGGATGAGGTGCAATGAATTAAAGCTGTATAAATTGGTGCATCTCACCAATTGAAATGTGTTTATTAAGCGATGCACATCGCAACTACACGACGTATCACATAATGACTAGACGACAGAACCATATTTTATTTGCAATTCGGAAGGTCAGACGGCCCAGTTCAGTATGAATGGTTCACTTGTAGTTTGGAAGAGGGTCTACGTACAATGACGCCGCGTAAAAATTGGCGAGCTGACCCACGTGGTTTGACTCAAAACCTACAACTGAACAATGAACTAAGCAGTCGACATGTCCAATTCGACGTTCAATCAAAGGGTAGTTGATAGAATCAATTGAATTGAGTGAAAAGGAACAAGATATGTCGTTCTGAGGCGAAATTCCATTTAAAGAGTGAGAGAGAGAGCCCTGTCAAAAGTTTAATAAAACCGAAAAACGGTAAAAAAAACCCTTGGCTGCTTTTTTTGCGCTGTCTTGTGATAAAATTCCCGTTTGAGTAATAAGCGATTGCTTTTTTTTTATAAAGAGGAAAGGAACAAAAAAAATTCCCTCTCTATTTTCTTCCTTTTCTCTTCTATCAACTTCAACTTCAACTTCAATCAATTTTAATACACGTCAAACACAATGCAAATTCAACAAGTTATTGCCTCTTTCCTCGCTTCATCCTCTGTTCTCTTCAACGGTGAATCTTCTGAATCCCAAGAGGTTTCATCCCCTAAGGAGGACTTTGTTGCTGTTGACTCCAACGATGTTGAGATCTTGAAGGACGTCAAGTACTCTTCAAACAAGTCCAACCATTCCAACGATACTTCTTCCAATGCCGCTGCTGGTGTCGCTGTCTCCAACGTTGGCTCATTCGCCGTCGTTGCTGGTTTGGTTGCTTTCTTGTTGTAATCTCGCTCTCATATTCATTGTTAACTGAGTGAGTTCGTGGTGTGTGTGTGTGGGACGCGTTTTTTTAAGGGGGTGCGTGTGGTTGTATATCAGGCAGCCCACATGGTTTTTTTAAAATTGATTGTTCTTGACACCTCTGTCTCTTTTCAAGTTCTATCATATGAATAGAGAAGATGGCAAGGAAGAAACAATTGAAGTCCAATTGTACGCGTTTTATCCTTTCCCCCCTCTAATATGCTTCTTTTTTATATACAATAAAAGTTTTATGAGGATAATAATCAAGTGGTGCAGTTCCAAGCTAATTCATCCTTATCAAAAACTATGGGTAATTGGCTTGAAATGTATAGCTTGTGCTGTCCTTAGTTTACACCTTTCGAATAATACATTTCTTTCATTTTCAAACATTGACTGTATAACTAGACATTAAAAAACGATGTACAGTTCCTGAATTATGCCTACCGTCTATTCGCTCTGTACGAAAGGCGGACTCCCTCAGCTTTTTATTACATGGTATTGTAATGCAGGTAAAGCCGTGACTGGCATTTTTGATAGTAATCAGAACGATCACCATCCATCACTACTAAGTCCACTGTTACAGGTACTTTTTGGGTGACGTTTCCATGGTCCACCGTATAATCAGAGACTACAGGACATGGGATTAAACGGAGGGCCGTTCAACCCCGTCACCTTATCGTGATAAACCATAACTATCTAATAACGGCCAGTTGATTAAACATCGTAGTTCCTTAAAGGCTCGACGCACGAAATGTCAGACATTTACATGACACTGGTTTTATGCTGTACAAGGGTTGTAAAAAACTGACGCCATTTATGGTACTCCTACCGTGATTAGAGAGCACCAAATCCATGTGGATGTGTCTGCAGCGTCGAGAGAGATAGGAGATAAGCAAAATTGGTGTATGGATTATTAGGTGTATGGATGATTTTCATTTCAAGGAACTTGGTGTTTGGATGTATCAACATATACTACAAAGCTCGACACTCTCTAACGCTTCAAAGAAAACGTCCATAGTTTGTCTGTGTTTGAAACGAAAGGGGTGATGTCACAAGAAGAACTTATCGAGCAGATAGAGGCCCTGCAAAGAGAAATAACCCAGCTGAAGCAGCAGACCGTGTTCTCTGATATTCAGCCATATATTGAAGAGAATGAACACAAGTTCAAGAAGTTGATAATCTCGAACGTTGGGCTCGAATATCTGGTCAAGTTTAACAAACCTGGCATACTGAAACAGATCAGGGAGAGAGTAGCAAATGATCTTATGCAGGAGTTGGAAAACATCCAGTTACTGGACCCAGTAAAGGGAACACTACTGACGTACAACGAAGAGTTTCAACAGTTTGAACAAGATGGTGTTTATCATTTGGATTTCCAGTATGCAAGTTCTTCAAGCAGTTGTGACCATCAGCATGGACATTCACACTCACATAGTATCGATGGAGATGACGATGATGACGATTTCACCGATGATGAGAATTTTTACAACAGTTGTAGCTGTTCACACCCATAGAATCACTCGAACCAAAGGAACAGTTTGCAAGGTTCCCATCGTTATATTTAATTCGACAGCTGACTATATATACATACAAGAGCCGCCTCTGTTGCCTCCAGCAGTCGTAATATTCCTGTCATAGTCCATAATAAAAGTAGAACATTAAGGCTGTTACCCTATCACGGAGTAATAACTAGTCGCCTTGGCCCCCAAACATACTGCCTTTACATATAAACTCACTCAGGGTGCTGATATCGTGCTGACGATATAACAATAAGAAAACCTAAATTACAACTCAGACTGAAGGCAATACATGTGATAATAAACATTATATAACCAAAGTGTTTCACCCACTGAAATAGCCAGCTTGACCATATCTGACCCTCACTCATGTCCACTACCGGGGGAGAAAATGCACAATTCGAAATATTGATAGGGCCCACAAAACGGTATGCACACAGGTTCTTGCGAACCGGTGGACAAGCGAAAAAACACACCGGTTCCCCTTCCCACTGTTAAAAGGAGAGGGAGGAGACAGGGAGAATAGCACCGCAAATTGAATCAAAACAACAGCAAGAAGAAACATGTCGAGCTCCAGACCACGTTCTTTCAGACTGCGGGAGCGTAATTCTTTAATCAGAGCTGCAAAGGCCACAGAGGCCTATCCCGGGTTGAACGACATAACAGATGCCTTTGAAGCGTTCCCTTCAGAGATTGTCAAGTATTTCACGCTCTACAAAGAGATTGATGCCAAATACATTGCACAGATCCCATTATTACACCATAAGATCGATCAGTTCAAGAAGCAACCTAAAACAGAGGAGAATTTATCCAAAAGAGTTAAATTGATCAAGGAAGTCAGTGAGTTGTTGACAAAGATGTTGCCCTGTATGGAGGAAAAGATGCACGTTGCTTCAATCGCTGCTGATAGATCTATCAAATATGTTGATCGAATCAATGATGACTTTGAACTCATTCTCAAGGGTGAAATTCCAGACTCGGTTCGTCTTGGACAGATTAACCATCCCGCCATTATCAACGATACCAAAATTCCAGAGATCAAGTCTGCCCAGACACAGAGAAGCGAGAGTAGAAGAGAGGCATTGGCAGCGAAGAAAGCTGCCAATGAAACAGATGGTGATGACACTGGAAATACCACCAACACTGCTACGACTTCCAACAGGGCAAAGAACAGACGCGACAAGGACTCCAACGCCAACCCAAAGAAGCGTAAGGCTACAAGCAACAACGCCACCACTAGTCACAGCACTTCTACCACCACCAGCAACAGCAACAGTGGCAACAGCGTCATCAATAACAGTAATAGGAATAACAACGGTGCAAACAACACTCAAAACACCTCAAATGCTCATCCACTGGTGGCACCAGTACCAACAACTGTTCGTTCAACCTCCTCATTGTCCCAATCCACCACCCCGGCAAATGTCCACGATGCTCTCTCGTCTCGTCAAGCACAAGGATCTTCCTTGAAGGAGGAGGTGAATTCACGTCCAAGCACTCCTGCAAGTAAACGTCAACGTACTGCTTCGAAGAAGAAGCAAGAAGAAGAGGAGGAATTTTACATCGGTGAAGATGGACAAAAGCGCAATTCCCAAGGCGAACCTGTGTACTGCTACTGCAATCAAGTTTCATATGGTGAGATGGTTGGATGTGATGGTGAAGACTGTAAGAGAGAATGGTTTCACCTACCTTGTACGGGACTGGCAACTCTGCCTAGAGGAAAATGGTACTGTGACGAGTGTAAAGCTAAGAAGAACAGGAAATGATGGCTTGTTTACTATATACAGATATCTCTATGATCACATGAAAGTGAACTAGAAGAAGGAGGGACCTTCGTCCTACTGAAACCATTCATTAGATAGAACAATCTTCACAAGAAGAACGAACGAGGTTGTCTTTAGCACCTCTTGTACAGACTATTGTTATTGACTGTTCATTTACACGGTGAGGCTGTGGCACTTCACATCTTGACAGGGGCGATCGATCATGGCTGAACAGTCTAGCACAGATTGATTCATACCTCTTGTTACAAAATGAAGGAACTGTATGTGCGGATGAGACAGATCTCTGGGCATTACAAAGGGAACAATAACAACGATTAACTCAATTCAACGAGGTATTATGCTGTGCGAATGCTCAACTGCTCAAATATACACAAACTGTAAGAAATCGTACGACTGAGTATTGGAATACATGGGCTTGTTATGTATTTTCAGCTTTGCCTATATATGTCTTCGCTTTCGTTTCGCTTTCGTTTTCGTTTTCGTTTCGCTTTCGTTTTCGTTTTCGTTTTTGTTTTCGTTTTTGTTTTCGCTTTCGCTTTCGCTGCACAGCCTAATAAAGTAACTGGAATGTTTATCTCTACGAAAATTGTTACCCACAAGTTTCCCTAAACGGCTGGAATTTCGTGCAAATACGAACGTTTTTTCCCTTTCCCTTTGCTGCAAAAAGTTTATTTCCTTCAACACCATAGGCAAAATTCACACAAAAGGGGGACATCCCGGTAATCAAATACTTTTCACAACTTATTCTCTGTTTGAAGTTTTGATCAATTTGTTCTCTCACACTAAGAACTTGTGTTATTGATACACTTCTGTATAACACAATTAGAAGAAAATATAATTGAGAAACAGTTATTATGTCTAACGTGAGTTACAGTGTGGGTATTGTGGACGATGCCGCTCATTCTTGCAGCCATGACAACGAACAGTACTAACAACAGACCACACAATTGCAATAAGAACCATACCGTGAAGGAATACAAGCTAGTTGTTGTAGGTGGTGGTGGTGTTGGTAAGTCCGCGTTGACAATTCAATTCATCCAATCGCACTTCGTTGACGAATATGACCCAACTATCGAGGATTCTTATCGTAAGCAAGTTGCTATTGACAACGAAGTCGCCCTTTTAGATATCCTGGACACCGCAGGACAAGAGGAATACAGTGCGATGAGAGAGCAGTACATGAGAACGGGAGAGGGTTTCTTACTGGTGTACTCTGTTATCGAGAGGGAGTCGTTTAACGAGTTGAGTACCTTTTATCAACAAATCTTGAGGGTGAAAGATACCGATGACGTTCCAATTGTACTAGTGGGAAACAAATCTGATTTAACGGAGGAAAGATCTGTCAGTTATGAAGAAGGTGAGAAACTGGCTAAACAGTTCAATTGTGAGTTCCTGGAGACTAGTGCCAAACAGGGGATAAACGTTGACCAGGCGTTCCACGACTTGGTGAGAAAGATCAGGGCCAAGAACGAATCCATCACCAATACAGTCTCCAGTAGACAATCTAGTACCTTGGGTAATGATACCAAGGCTGGCTTGAAACAGGATGCCCAAGGAACAGGTTCCAATGTTGGTGGAGGTGCAGGTCAAAGAGTTGGAGGCTCGTCGACAACAGCCACTGGTGGTGACGCTGGCCAAAGGGCCAAACAACAGTCAAGTTCCAATGCACCAAAGACTGAAAGCTCTGGTGGATGTTGTATTATTATGTAATTGAGGAAAAGAGAGGAAGGGAAAAGAAAGACCAACATGTATACATATTGACAATTCTACAGCTTTTTCGACGTACGTAATGAGTAATTCTGTCAAAGATTGTTGTTTTTTTGTCTTGGTGTTCTTCATTCTATTAACAGCTCTCAATTAATGAAGTGATACACTATGAAATGTAGAATCAAAGAAGCAAAGATGTAGTCACCAATTGCCCTCTCTGGACTGATTCCAGGGAATATCTTTGAATTCGACTGAAGAGATTGTAATCTCAACGACACCGTCAGCACAAATTGTCCCACAGTGGATATGAACCCACCCAAGAAGGCATTGAACGGGAATGTACCAACAAGGATAACAAACACGAATTGTACCAACGCAACAACCACTAGGAACACCAGAAAGGTATCGACAAGCTTTAAACGTGGTGTCAGGTTTTCAAAATAGGACTTGTAGGAGACTTCAATAGCCTGCTGGAATTCAGACCATGACGATTCCTTCTTAGCACCTTTCGGTGGAGCAGCTACCGGCTTTGCCATCTCTCTATTATCAATACAACGGGTATGCTATTCCGCCTGTGATAACACCTCTGTATTCACCTCAATGTGGTGATTTTGAGATTCCGCAAAGGACAACGGGCGCCTGGTGCAAACACCCGGACACCAACGAGCGAAGGAAGGAAACAGACACGGAAAAATTCCGATGGGGACGAGGGGGTCCGATCGGAATTTCTGTCTTTAGAAGGAGAAACGAATTTTGCTTTCAATGTTGGTGATCAAGAGCGGGTTTGCAATAAGAATAAACAGAGAACTACACGGGCCTTTGAGGGAGATATGGAGCCACAGACAGTGACGATAAGTAAGCCACCTCGTATGAGGATTGTTCCACCTTTGAACTTTTGTCCTGTTGAGAGACAGCTGTACAGGTCCGGACAGCCTTCAAAGATAAATTTTGAATTCTTGCAACAGTTACACCTCAAGACCATCGTATGGCTTGCGAGTGAAGATCCAATTGATGAGTTTCTAGAGTTTGTGGAGGACGAACAGATTGAATTACACTTTGCCGGTATAAATCCGGATGGTGGTGATAACAACCCATGGGACGGGCTAACTGAGAGCAGTATAGGCCAAGCACTCGAAGTGATTGTGAATAAGGATAACTATCCGTTGCTGGTCTGCTGCGGTATGGGCCGCCACAGAACTGGAACTGTGATTGGATGTCTCAGAAGATTACAAGGCTGGAACCTTGCGAGTGTGAGTGAGGAGTACAGGAGGTTCACTGGAAGTCGAGGTGGCCGTGTCCTCGTTGAGCTGTTGATCGAGGTGAGTACCGTCTACCCTTTGAGTTTTTGAAAATCTCCATTTTCTCCCTTCCCTCCTCCCTTTTGGAGAAAGAACCACACTAACACGGAAATTAGGCCTTTGACAAGAGCACGATAACGGTGGATGAGTCAACTGCGCCCGAATGGTTGTTGAAATGAGTATGAAATCACCAGCGTTACATACATACTACATGGCTCACATAGGCGTGGTGTGCCTGCAAACGGGTGAGAAGAAAGGGAAAAAAAGTTTGCAAAAAGCGATCTCGGTGATTAAAACACCCTACTTAGCATTTACATGTCCAATTTCCAACTCAAATGAGAACAGATACTCACTGTAAGTACGACAAGCTCGTCATAAAACCGACGTAAAATTAGCAATGGAGGCTCCCGGGTGAATGAGAGGGCAAAACACCCGCACACACATACTAATTCCGCACTGTTTGTTCTTTTCCCCAGATTTGGCAGTTCCGAGTTTTTCCGAGAGCCGTTTTTAAACTTTTTTTCCCTCTGTTCTTTTCTTCATATAAAGGGGGAGTTGTTCTTCCTTCTTCACCTTGGGCTTTTTATTCTGAGTACACACTTGCTCTTGTCGTCCCTTTCACAATTGAAGTCGATTACATTCAACAGACATGACCAAAGTTACTGTTCTTGGTGCAGCAGGTGGTATTGGCCAGCCTCTTTCCCTTTTGCTTAAGCTCTCTCCATACGTGGATGAGCTGTCTCTTTACGATATCAGATTGGCGCACGGTGTTGCTACAGACCTGTCACACATCAACTCCAGTGTGAAGGTGTCTGGATTTGAGCCAAAGGATAAGAACGACCAACAGGCCATCAAGCAGGCGTTGGCTGGGACTGACGTTGTTATCATTCCAGCTGGTGTTCCAAGAAAGCCGGGTATGACTCGTGATGATTTGTTCAACATCAACGCCGGTATCATCAAGTCATTGGCAAGTGCCATTGCAGAGACCGCACCAAACGCATTTGTTCTTGTCATTTCCAACCCTGTGAACTCCACTGTTCCAATCGTTGCAGAGACCTTCAAATCCTACGGTGTCTTCAACCCAAAGAGACTGTTTGGTGTCACTACTTTGGACATTGTCAGAGCCAACACTTTCCTCAAGGAGTACGATTCATCATTGCAGGGCGTTGAGTCTGTCAAAGTTGACGTTATCGGTGGCCATTCGGGCGAAACCATCGTCCCAGTGTTCTCCACTTCAAACGCCAGAGACATCTTTGCAAAGCTCTCCACTGACCAGAAGAAGCAGCTTGTTCACAGAGTCCAATTTGGTGGTGACGAGGTTGTCAAGGCTAAGAATGGTGCCGGCTCTGCTACTTTGAGTATGGCTTACAGTGGATACACATTCGCCGAGGCACTGCTCAGAGCCGTCAAGGGAGAACGCGGTGTTGTTGAGGACTCCTTTGTCTACTTGGATGCTTCAATCCCAGGTGCCTCTGAGGTCCGCTCCAAGACCGGCGTGGACTACTTGTCCTTGCCTGTGGAGTTGGGTCCACAAGGTGCAGTTTCTGTGCAAGGTGGTATTCTTACACAGCTGGACACAGAGGAGCAGAGATTGTTTGCCATTGCAGTGAACACTTTGAAGAAGAACATTGTCAAAGGTGTTGCATTCGTGAACAAGGTGAAGGCAAAGTTGTGATTCTCTGTGTATGTCTCATTCTAATGAATTGTTTTGCTACGTACGCGCTGTGTAGTTCTGGCAGCTCTGGTTGGCCTGTGCGTAGGTTGTAAACTCCGATCTTGGGGGTGAACAGAGAGCACGGCAGGAGCACAATGCTAGACGGAGACGCTAGACGGAGACGCTAGACGGAGAAGCTAGGCAGACACGCCCCTCCCCCTCCCCGTCCCTCCTCCGCCGCCGGACACTCCCTTAGAGCATCTTTCCTGCCTACGGGGCAGCGGGGCAACGGTGGGCGCGTCTCCAAGGGCTAACAGGTGATTACCACTCTAAACCGGGGCATTGGACAACTGGACAACGCTCACACAGAGGAGGAAAACTCTTCACGTTGCCCGATTCATGAGCTCAAGGAACACGACCAATTGTTCTTATACAAACACGCTGTAGACAGATAAATAGAGTAACCTGGACAACAATCCCTTTTTATCATTATATCAGATTACCGTAGCAATGACATCAGTAGACAGCAGGAAAAAAAAAACACTCAGGGTCACGGACACCACAAGTTGGAGAGACGCATCCAAACACCAGCGACAGATCCCCCCAGTGGTGGGCTCCTGTTTTTTTTTCTGTTTTCGCTGCTCTCCAGAAATTTGTCCATCACACACAAAATTGGCGAAACGTTGTATACAGCAACAGCAGCACCAACAACAGCAACAAGAAGGCTTTTATAAAGGGCGCTTAAGTATCAACGATTGAAACACATAACCAGGGCTGCTAGCGTGTTTCAGGTACCATTTACATCTGAAGAAGATACGAAAGGACAGTTGAAGGTAGGAGTTTGTTACCGCTGTGTACATTTAGTTCTACCCTTCAGGAAAAAAAACAAACAACTGACCCCCCCCCCTGGAGAAAGGACGGGACAGAGAGACGACAACAGAAACAATTTGAAGATCACATATATATGACATGGAACAACCAAACCAACCAAGTGCCACATCTGGTCATCACGGGTCTGTAAGTGCGACAGTTAAGGATTGCCACGATCATGACGTTACTGTTGAGTATGAGACTCCACAAAACATTGGGCATGGCTCATTTGGAACTGTTTCGAAATGCCAGCTGATTTCGCCAACGAATACCACAATCGCCATCAAACGTGTTCTCCAGGACAAGAGGTTCAAGAACAGAGAGCTACAGATCATGAAATCTTTGGACAATCCGAACGTCACCAGACTGTTCTATTACTCATACGATAACGATACCGCAACTAATTCTGCAAACAACTTGTATTTGAACCTGATTATGGAGTATTTACCAACCACGTTGTACAAGCGTAATCAATTCTTTACAATGAGGAAGCTGAACATGCCATTACAAGAGGTTCGAAACTACATGTTTCACATTCTGGGAGCGCTGGAGTACCTCCATTCCAGATCGATATGCCATAGAGACATCAAACCCCAAAACATCCTCGTTGATCACCAACAAGGTATAGCGAAGATCTGCGACTTTGGATCTGCAAAGATCCTCTCACCAAGCGAGCAGAATGTCTCTTACATATGTTCTCGTTATTACAGAGCTCCGGAGTTGATCTTTGGTGCCACCAACTATACCACAAAGATTGACATGTGGTCCACCGGGTGTGTCTTTGCAGAGCTACTTATAGGACAACCTCTGTTCCCGGGTGAAAGTGGTATTGACCAACTCGTGGAGATCATCAAGATTCTGGGAACACCAACAACCGATGACATAATGGCCATGAACAACAACTACATTGACCATAAATTCCCCCTCATCAAGAAGATCCCTCTCTCGAGGATCTTTAAGAACCTGAACAACGCAAACGACATCCACGTATTGAATTTCTTAGAAAAATTCCTGCTATTCAATCCAAATACGAGAGTCAGCGCTACAGAGGCATTACAGGACGGTTGGTTTGAAGGGTTAAAGTGATGAGTGCTTTGTATTTGTTCTCCCGACTCTTTGACGTTTCAACATGACCGGTCTTACTGACCCTTGTTATAATATTACTATACAGTATAACGTTCTTGCGATTTAACGCCTCTGTTGTAGCCAAACATTGTTCCACTACTTGAGAAAGCTTTGTATTGGAGGCCTTGGTGATGATACATCCAGACACCCAAACACCTGGACACCCAATCATTCACCCCACCCCACAACGACAACGAAGAATGAAAAACGTTGGAAACCGCAACCGAAATTGACTAAGAAGGAAAAATTAAAAAAACCACAAAAGTGAAAAAAAAAAACCGCTGAGGTCCGTCGCCCGTCAACTTCAACTTCAACAAGACACAAAAACAAATACAAACAGCTTCTCAAAACCCATCGAACAAGGGTAAACAAACAGAAGAAGAAGATGTCCGATCAACCAGTTTCTTTCTTTAAGAAGCATCAAGTTGCCATTGCCGCTACTGTTGGTGTTGCCGCCTCTGCTGCTGCTGCTTACTATGTTCTTCAGCAGACAAAGAGCTCTTCGACATCACAGGCCAGTGGTGACTCCCACGTGAAGAAGTCCAAGAAGAAGCACAAAAAGTCCTCCAAGAAGACCAAGAAGGCGTATCCAGTTGATGGGTCTGGTGATCCTTCAGTGACCAAGGAATACGCCGATTCTTTGACTGAAGAACAGAAGGATTCGATTGCGCTGGCGTTGAAAGAGGACGGTAATGAGTATTTCAAGAACAAGGAGTTTGAACAGGCTGTGAAGTACTACACCGCTGCCATTGCTTTGAAAGAGGACCCTGCCTTCTACTCTAACAGATCTGCTTGCTATATTGCTCTGAAGGACTTTGAAAAAGTGATTGAGGACACTTCCACTGCGTTGAAGTTGAAGCCTGACTATACCAAGTGTATGTTGAGAAGAGCCACTGCTTACGAGCAGCTGGGCAAGTACGAAGAGGCAATGTTTGATTTGACTGCTGCTACCATTTATGGTGGGTTTAACACTAAGCCAACCGAACAATCCCTCGAACGCATCTTGAAGACGTACTCTTATGAACTCGTTGCTGACAAGTTGAAGAACAGAGTTCCTCAATTGCCAACAGCCTCTGCAATTGCCTCATTCTTTGCTGGTTATTCCGAGGACCAGCTCTTCGATGGATTGCCAAAGTCCACTGATGGTTTGGATCCAAGCTCCGCTGAATTCTTCCTCGTTTCTGCTGTAAAGAAGATCTGTGAAAGATCTTATACAGGTTACGAAGAGGCAGATTCCTTCATCCAACAGGCACTCTCTGTTTATGAAGCTACAGAGGACAAGTCTTCCGAAGAATTCAAGAGTGGATATTCTCTTGCGCTGGAATACTCCTGTATCTTTGACTTTTTGAAGTCTGATCCTTTGAAGGCATTGGAGGAGATTGAGAAGGCATTGTCCTTGCACCCAAGAGCCAGATCATACGTGTTTAAGGCAATGATCTACGCTGACAGACAAGACGTTTCTGATGCTGAAAAATGTTTCGAATCCGCATTGGAATTGCAACCTGCAGCTTCAGATATCTATTACCAAAGAGGTCAGATGTACTACTTGTTCAGTCAGTTGGATAAGGCAGAAGAAGATTTCAAGAAGGCTAAGGAGTTGGACCCAAAGAACATGTATGCTTATATCCAATTGGCTTGTATTCAATACAGAAAGGAGGACTTTGCTGGTTCTGAAAAGGCATTCCAAGAGGCTAAGAAGTTGTTCCCAACTTCTCCAGAAATTCCGAACTATTATGGTGAAATCTTGGCTGATAGAGGTGAGTTTGACAAGGCTGTTGAGCAATTCATCATTTCTCACAAGTTGGAAGACGCTTTGCCAAAGATCTCTGTCGGTGTTACTCCATTGGTGAACCAAGCTGCTCTTGTTGCAAGACAACCAACTTCAGAAGGTTTATTAGGCGCAATTGAGCTCCTGGAGAAAGCCACTGATATCGATCCAAAGTCAGAGTTGGCAAAGATAACTTTGGCTCAGTTGAAGTTGCAAGTTGGCAAGACTGAAGATGCTATCAAACTCTTTGAAGAGGCTTCTAACTTGGCCAGATCTCTAGATGAGAAAATACAGGCCACCTCATTTGCCGAGGCTTCGAAGATTCAAGTTAAAATCCACACAGATCCAGTCTTGGGTGCGAAGATTAAGGAAATGATAGAACAACATGGTGGTCCTCAAGCCCTTGGAATGATGGGTTAAACAAATTTACATGTCAAATTCTCTCTCTTGTATATATTACAATGTCGACATCATTGATTTTGGAATATGAAACAAAAAAAAATGAATTGAACCACGTCTTTCCTTTACATTAACACTACCTGTAGCTAGTTAAATGTTCTTATTACAAATAATGTACGTATTGTGTAACTAAAGGTCAGATTATGATCATCAGCAGTTACAAGCGTTCGCAGAGGTGGCGCTGTCATTCTGAATGTTTAACTGGACGTTACCTGAACCTTCCTGTGTTTCACCGTTAGCTTCTTCTGCACTTGGGATCTTTGAGCCCAGTGCTATGAACACCTCCTTAACGTTCAGTCCTGATTTGGCACTCGTTTCGAAGAAGACCAAGTTCTCCTCCTGTGCTAATTGTTCACCCTCTTCCTTCGCAACCTTACGATTCTGTTCATTACCTTCCCCTTCAACTAAATCACATTTGTTTCCAACCAGCGCAATTATGATATTTGGACTGGCCTGCTCGTGTAACTCCTTTACCCAATGTCTTGCCTTGATGAATGAGGCAGGTTTGGTAACGTCATAAACAACAAGGGCACATTGGGCATTACGGTAGTACATGGGAGCTAATGAGGCAAATCTCTCTTGTCCAGCTGTATCCCAAATTTCAAATTTTATCGTTTGATCTCCAATGACACAACGCTGCGTTAGGAAAGCAGCACCAATAGTAGGTTCTTATCACTGTTAGTACATGATCAGATGGCGATGTTCTGAGTAAACTCACCTTTATTCTCTTGAAAGTCATTGCTCACGAAACGAAGAACAAGCGACGATTTACCCACCGCTGCTTCCCCAAGCAGAACAAGCTTCACTGCAGTGATTGGTCTGGACATTTTGTATAAGACGTAATCCAAACCTTCAATGAATCCAATGGAAAACTTCCACGTTGAATAACTGAGAGTACGGTGTATCTCTACTAAAAAGTTCTCTGTGCAAAAAGGGGCGTTATCTCAACACACCTGGACACCAATACACCTGGACATCAATACATCCGAACACTAACCCACCCGGACACCTCAGCTCTACTGATCAACCGGCGCATTTGTATACGAATATCTGAGTCAATTAGTACTTTGTTATATATATATGTAACGTGTGTGGGTATGTATATTTGCTAGTGACATGAGTAAATACCATTCAAAGTTTTGGTTGTGAAGACAGCCCGTTCTTTGTTGCTGGTGTATTCACCTCTAGTTTACCCGATTCGTCAACCTTGTCCTCACCAAAGAAGACAACGGTAACAGTTAAATCGTCCCTATACTTTCTAGATACAGAGCTAGGAATGGAAACCAGTGTTGAGACGTACTCCTTTGAGCCTCCAAGACTGAGTGCATTACGGATTAGATGCGTCGAGACGTTCTCATCTTCCAACAGATATTCATGTTCTTGGGTTCTCTTCTTGTTTCTGAAAGCAGGTCTTTGGAACTTCTTGTACTTGTCGTCGGTTAAATCAACAACAGTTGGTAACTTCTTCTCCTCTTCGCTTGTGAAGATGTTCCATTTTTTGTTTGCATCCTGTGGAGATTCCTTCTTTTCGAGCCATTTCACAACGAGCCCGACAATTTCCTCGTTACTCAGGAGTTCGTATAAGCCATCAGATCCAATAACGATGAAATCCTTCTTTGCAGGGTTGATCTTTGTAGTGGTGACAACGGGCTCGGCAGTGACATAAGGTGGTGTCAAACAATTCTTGGGTGGTGCACGGAAATAAACCTTCAGATGCTCTGGAAGGGATTCAATGAGTTTACCCTTCACTTCCTTCACCTTATATCTGAAGTCTCCAAAGGCTCTAGTAGGTTGTAGAGAACCGAGGACACGGCCACGGTTGACACAAGTAGGCTCTTCTGGATGCTCACCTTTGATTCTTGCAACTTCGTCAGGGTTGTCACCGGTTTGGTCAATGCTCAAAGACTTAGCGGTCCATTGGTTCTTATCGTCCAAGGAACCAAGAACCACTCTAGAATCACCAGTGACGGCAACTCTCAACAATTGGGAGCTCGAATCGTAGAAAGTTAACAGTCCGCAACTTCCACTAGCTGCTGGGAGTGCCTTTATAGCAGTTTCCTTATCATGCGGATTCTCCATTAGTCGTCCCAACCCTTCTTGAACGATTTCGTGGTCCATTTGCAAAAAGCCATTCTTTATAGCGTCGTCGATAACGTCGTTGGAAGGAACAATTCGAAGGCCATCCTCCTGATCCAGCTTATACGCCGAGCCCAGCGAGCCAACAACGTGTGAAATCAGCTCATCACGAAGCTTCAGCGAGGTATAGTAGCCCGAGTGGCCATCATAAATACCCCAGAAGTAAAAATCAGCGTTCCCGTCCTTCGTGGGAACAGTAACCACGGCCTCAGACCTATCATCCTCAATTGGGCTGTTAGAAGGCAGCTGAGAGATGTCGTACCTAACAACGCCCTTGCCTCTCTTGACGAAATACGACTCCTCCAAGTTACGCAGCTTACTGGTGACTTGGTCGTCGCTCAGCAGTAAGATGTTCTGCGACTTCTGCTGTTGCTGTTGGCTCTGGGTCGTCGAGAACGGCCTGAAATCACCAGAATCACTTAGATAATGCGTTTGTAACGACATGTACGACGCAACAAAGAGTATGCCACTCGCAAGGGCAATGTTCAGGTCCCTCATCGACTGCCTCTTCCACCTCAACTTCCGATTACCGCCCTGTGTGTTTCTCTTAACCAGCGATGTTGAAGAAAAGGCCCTTGACGCGGTGTTTGATACGTGGCGGGCGAGAAAAGACCTCTTGGTGATCTCCTGTGCGGAACGCGAGATCAGAACAACCGGGAACCCCTTAGCCATCGGTTGCTATACCTCTTTTATCCAGCAAAAACGACCCATTCGATGGTCAGAATGTGCTTGTTGATGCCAGTTGGCGAAGGGTGATGGAGGGGCCTCCAGCGCGCCCCTACGCGGGCGCCGGAGAGAGGGAGATGATTAGGTAAGCAAGGAAGGGGAAACGAAGGAGACGTGGCCGGACCAATGAAAGGTGTCACGTGATACAGCAGGTGACTGTGTGGTGTTCGGATGTGACCGTGCTCGAAGTGGCATCTACACCAATTACGCAGCTACTCATCTCAGAGTCATAGAGGTGTTGGTTCTAGGCTCTCTACTGCAGAGATTGGTGGGTTGTGAGTTGGCCTTCGATGGTCGTCAGTGGTGCAGAGCTGACTGCTGGAGATCCGCAGACAGATGTCGACAATGATACGGGCATTGGAACGCTGCTTCACCGCACAGTACTTTTATATATCATAAGATTCATAACCTATAAACCCAATCCAATTAAACGATAGTCAAAACCCAAGAGGAGGAACAGAACAGAACAGTAAACGAGACAAGACCTATAAATACATCCTTTCCCGCCTTTGAAGAGTGTTTTTGATGGTGTTCTTTGAGAAAGCCACCTTCCATGAGATCACGTTTTAAACCATGAATGAAAGACTTACAACAAAGCCAACCATAACCATTGTCAATGGGGTTGCCAAACCAGACGCACCGCTGGAACGATTCGAGGAGCTCGAACTTGAGCCAGAATCCGAATTTGACTCAGAGGTTGATGTGGACACTGAACCCAACACTCCGACAGTAGCACCGTTATCATTAGTCGCAGCAGTAGAGGAATAGCCAGTAGCAGTAACGGCGTTTGGTATGCTTGAAGTGATCACTTCAATGTCCGTCTCGTCTGTGAATTTCACCTGTGCCAATGCAATGACCAAATCATCCAAATCATAGACGATGTAACCGCTTCTCAAGAAGGAATCTCCCAAGATAACGGTATCGGAGGACATGATTGAAAACACACAAGTAGTGCCTGAAGTATCAGCCGCAAGGATGAAGTTGCTCAATGGACATGCAATTTGAGTACCGTCAAAGGTAAACGTAATGTTTTGATTGCCGGTATCATCGGGACAATCCATAATGTAATAGCCATATCTTGAAGAATATGTTGCACCGATTTGATCAGCTAACGCACTGACAACGGAACTAGGCAAATATGTCAAAGTGGTGCCTGAGTCTAACAATGCGTACTCCACAGAGTCAAGTACAGATGTTCCATCAAACGAGACATCCTGTAATGTAATTTCCAATTTGATAGCCTCGCTATAACCAGAGCTTTCCAGAGTGTTGATCACCGGAACAGAGGTTAAATTACCAGTGTATTTTGCATGGTCAACACCACCAAAGATTATGTTACCTTCTTCAGCGTCAACATCATTCAGGTACAGAGAGTAGGCTCTCTTATGGATCAAGCCATCTTCAACCATCTTCATGGGTAAATTGGAGTACGTGTAACGGTTGCTACCGGCTAATGAACCAGAATATGTAGTCTCCAATCCCTCCAATCCAATACCCAAGACTCCGATAGATGAGTTTGTCTCGTTTGCCACTGCAAATGATAGACCTGAAACTTCCAGTCCATCAATAACAACGTTATCATAGCCCCAAGTACCGTACGCAAACGTAGAATCACCATACAGGATAAAGAATTCCGTGTTGTTACTCACAAATGAGGTCGAAGATGAAGAGTCAAACGTTCCATACTCGGAGCAATCGATGGTTGCCCTTGAGTCTCTCGACGAAGATGAGCGTGTTCCTGCATTTGCCTTATTCACGGAGCCATCGACGAACGAAGTGTCCAGTTCATGTGTCAAAGACTCCAGGAAGGAGCTATCATTCAGCTGTCTATACTTCCCTTGGTGGTCCAATCCTAACTCGTGGATAATCTCAGAGTCAGACAACTGTCTATATCTTTTCTTCAACATCTTCTTCCTGTCTGACGTTGTAGTCCCTGGACTGCAGTAGACGTTATCCGAGCCCATCACCCACAAATCACTGGAGCCTGTATCCACCAGCACGATGACGCTTTGGTTGTTGGAGCCCAGCTGTAAGTCCACCGAGTAGAACGAGCTCTGGTTCTCCAGCACCATAATAACGGTGCCGTCGGGGCCTTCTCTCTTCACGAGTCTTGCCTGGGCGCCACGAGTACTACTCTCGTAAGTGTCACCTCTGGACACTTTGAACGGTAGGAACTGATAGCCCTGTGTGTTCTTCGCAGTACACGCTGGTACTATAAAGACGATATGTAGCACAACTGCCAATAGCCAAAGCATCTTGCACGACTATGAGGGGGGTACCAGTGTATACGACGAGTTCTATCCCAAAAACAGCAAACTTCTAAACCGAGATCAAAGCACAACGAGTCAACATGCAAAAGAGGACAAATGCTCTCCTCTATATACGCGATGAATGTAATAAATGTAAAACGAAAGACTCCAAAAAGGCCTAAAAAAAGCAACTCAGTCCAATCCAACAAGCCTCCAAACAAGACAAGTTATGATACAGGTCACAGTTCAAAGAACATACAAGTGTGGGACGAAGGACAGCGTCATAGCTAAGCCATGGTGAAGTTTTTAGCTGCCGAGAGTCCCTCTGCACGGAAATGTTTCTTCGCAAATGCGTGCTCAGCGGTGTAACAACGGCGCGCCCAAAAACACGTTTGTTTCAGCCGCATAAACGGTCTAGGCAGCGTTTTCCAGTGGAGGCAGGGCAGCGTTGAAGGGGGGACAGCACCAGAAGTTAGACGGGTTTCTGCCCAGTTTTTTTTCCGTCTACACGGGCCGTTAGGATGGTTTAAAAGGAACAGGGGGGCTGTGCGGTGGAAGCTGGGCGCTTGGGAGGGAGGGCGTAGGCAGAGGGCGTAGGCGTAGGCAGAGGGCGTAGGCAGGGGGAGAGCGGCAGCAGAGAGCACACCCAGCACGCGGTACGCTGGCCTGTGGCATTTTCAATTGGACAGACAGCCAAAGCGAACAGGCTCTGGAAGCACAGCACAGTGGGCTAAAGCTTACAACGTGTTTCACCGCCAAAAAGCATAACATCACCGTGTTTACATCACCAAGCTCCTTGCCCAGGCGGAAAACTACAGTGGCCAGCGGGTCCGGCATTGTAAAACAACCGTTTTGTATGGGAAAACTGAAGAAATTCGGCTGTGTAACATCAACTACGCCTATGACGTAATCATCTCAAATGATTGGTAATGGTTATCGTGTCATACATAAAGAAGAGGGTTCAAATAGAGAGAGACAGACAGCTTAATCAAAGGTGAAGAACACCTTGATACACTTCTCCTTCTCAGCGTTTGAGAACACGTCGTATGCCTTCTCAATCTCATCGAACTTGAAGTGATGGGTGACCAATGGGCTTGGATCCAATACACCGGTGGAGACCTTCTCCAGCAAGGAGGCTGTAGAGTTGGCGTTGACCAGACCAGTTGAGATGTTGATGTTCTTGATCCACAAGTCCTGCAACTGCAAATCAACTGGTTTACCGTGGACACCAACATTGGCGATACGTCCACCTGGAGCAATGATCTTCTGACAGGTGTCGAACGTCTGTGGGATACCAACGGCCTCAATGGCAACGTCAACACCTGGGTGCAGTTGGGCACGAGCACCGGTGTTCTGGACGGCAGTCAGCTTCTTGATCTCCTCGACGGCATCAACCTTTCCTGGGTTGACACCAATGTCTGCACCAAACACTTCCTTGGCTATACGCAATCTCTCCTCGTTGAAGTCAACAACGATGGTCAATGCAGGCTTGTAGGTCTTTGCCGCAATCAGGGCACTGATACCGACAGAACCACCACCGACAACAGCAACAATGTCACCTTCCTCAACCTTACCGTTAAGGGCACCAATCTCGTTACCAGTTGGCAGGATATCGGAAAGCATCAGTAGGGATTCGTCCTTGACTTTGCCAGCCAGTGGACCAACGTCGTACAAGGAGTAATCAGCGTGTGGGATCTTGACGTATTCCGCCTGGGTACCGTTGATTTCGTGACCCAACTTCCAACCACCTTCAAGACAGTGCGCTTGCAAGCCCTTCTTACAGTAGGCACAACTACCACAGGAGGTGATACACGAGATCAACACCTTGTCGCCCTTCTTGAACTTCGAGACTCCAGCACCAACGTCGTGGATGATACCGATACCCTCGTGGCCCAAAATGGCACCCGGACCGGTCTCTGGAACATCACCTTTCAGGATGTGCAGGTCACTACCGCAGATGGTGGTGGCAGTAAGCTTGACAATGGCGTCTGTTGGACGGGACACCGTTGGAATCGCAACCTGCTTAAGGGCTCTGATCCCTGGACCTCCGTAGACAAGTGCTTTCATAGACATTTTCGGCTGATATAACTGTATGCGTTCAATTGGCTGGACTCAATATGGCGAGACAATACAATGGACGGGAACTGAGAAGATGCTGAGAAAGGGTGTAAGAGGGAGAACGGCGAAAGACTGCCTTTATATACCAGAAAAGGCCACCCCTCCCTTCTCTAACACCATGACGTTAAACTTCTCAATGGCCCACCCGGACTCCCCCAAATATATGGTACCATCGCCCCTGTGGCCAGCTACAACTCCGAGATGTTCATACGTACGCGCAATGATTTTATGGGGAGAGATTCATGCACAGAGTGCGGGACAGGCAGAGAAACTGTGTGCGTGGTATCAAACTGAAGCCTTGGTGTCCCCACCGCTGTCTCGGACTTCAGTGGCGTGTTTCACGGTGGTTGGAGCCCGTTGTACTGAGCCAATTGGGCAGCACCAATTGCGTTGTAGCGTCTCCTTGCACCCACGCTCTCCCTCTCTCCCTGCGTCGATTGATTACGATTCGCCTTCACTCCCTTTAGCGTACTTTGGGAGCCCCCCCCCTAGAACTTATCATTTCACCCGACCTATGCGGCTAATGCCTGTGCTGACCAGGCCCACCAACACCACTGCCACTATTCCCACGGCTCCCACTGCCTAATATGTAAACATGCTGCTGCTGAGTTATTGTTAAGGCTGCCACGAACTCCGCAACACCCCAGAAGCACTGGCAACACGCAAATTATGCATATGACACCACCTGGAAGAGGACACATCTGGCAGAGGACGCACCTTGGAAACATGCTTCCATGGACACAATGTGCTAAGCCATTGTGGTACGGAGTTGCACGTTTGCCCCAGCCCCAGGCTTGTTGATATGCGATGACATGTGAATCAACAAAGGCGTGCGAGGGGAACTAGATGTCACCCAAATCTGTTATATCTTGTTTCCGATGTCGCCATACTGCTACAATAGTGAAGAAACACACCAGCAGTTCCCGAATGCCTTCGATTATAATCAACCGTGTAGTATTCTATGCGCAACAAACCTTCTAAAAGCGGTTGCCTGCGATGGCTGATAGTTCAGCGTTTCCCCCTCTGACAAGCATAGACAATTCATCAAGGTGAATACACCACAATCGTAGCCGTTCATCTGTTGTGGACAGTTGACGATTTGCTCGGACGTGAACCCATCGCTTAACGATTCGTTGCCCTGTTTCTTACACTCCTGCACTAGGTAGTCGTTTAACAAGTTCAACGCCATGGAGCCATGGGACGTTTCATGCCCTGCAAGACTATCCAGGTATAGAATTTTCTTATTCTTCAAGTCAATAGCACCGGTGACCCAATGGGTACTGTGGACGTTTATAGGGCACAAGATGAGGTCCAATTTGGAGATATCTCTTTTGGCCCTTTTCATCCATTTCTGCACTGATTTGTAACCTTTGGTTTCAATGTTTGTAAAGAAGAACGTCGAGAATGCATGGACCCTTTCGCCAGAGATTAGCTTGAGAAAGACGTCAATTACGGTATCGTTTAACCAGCGTGCGTCGGCCAAGCTCTTCAAATCGTGAACACGGACGTCAACATCACACCTTTGAACAATAACATCACGTTCACGACTTTTATCACTTTTCCAGATGTTTATGATCTCAGCCTCATCATCTTCAGTTAGACTCTCACATAGCTGAGCAAGTCTTGATTTTGTCTTGGGTCTCGTCGCTTCCAAGTGCTCTTTATGTAGCCTTTCACCTTGTTCTTTACGCTCCCGGAGTAACCTTTGGTAGGTGCTGAAGTCGTTCTTGAAAGTCAAGTTCTCTACATCAAACTTGAAAGATAGCGAAGACGAAGTTCTTGGAGGTGGAGGTGGTAGTCTGACCTCTTTGAGAAAGATCACATCGTCGTCTTGATACTTTGCTGATTTCTCTTTGAAGATCTTTTGTATGAAATTGCTCAACGATGAAATACGCTTGTGGATCTTTTCATTGTCAGAGGGAGCACTCAAGGGTGAAGATGGTCTTGTTGAAGAGCCACTGGAAGCTTGGCGAGGTGACGGTTGAAATTGGCCCTTATAAACAGACCTGAGATGTTCAGACACTGTGCTGTTGTTGCTGTTATTACTATTAGGGGCGTTCAAATTCTTCTTATGATGGCTCTTGGATTTGATGAAGCTGGTTCCATAATCATTAGATTCAACGCTTTGCGTCATTGCATCCATGTTCCACTCTATTGGCGATTTGGCAAATTTAACGTCAATCTTGGACTCATCAATCTGCGGCATGTCTTCCAAGTTTTGTCTTAGAGAAGATCTTGAGCCTTTAACCGGGGTTATGAAATCACTTGACAGCACTTTCCTCTTCTTCAGTTCATCGACAACGGAGCCCTGATCTGTGACATCAACGTTCTCCTTCTCAGTGGACACAACCAAACGTTCATCGTGTCCTGTGATCTTAGCCATTGTACGGGAAAACAAGCCGCGGGCAACACCAACAGCAGCTTTGACCAGCCCATTAGCCTCGATAGAAGTAGCATCCTGCTCACCGTGCTTATCCCTAGTCCAGTCACCTTCACTGCCGCCATCCCCGTGGCGAGACTGGTGGTGGTGATGATGATGAAGATTATGTCCATGGCTTTGGTGGTTGCTCGTTGAAGAGCTGGTGGATTTCGTTCTCGACAACCCACGGGTGCTTATAAAGTCCACATTCCGTTTACGCTTACGTGATAGTACCGGGGTTCCTCTGTCCAATGCCATCGTGCGAGGTGATTCGATGGAGCAAACACTTCAGGCCACTCGGTACAACAACAACAACAACAACAACAAATGAAGTAAGAGGAAAGCGCCGTTGTTGTCCCGACCTGTGTGTAAACAAGAAATTGCCCTTACACACACGCGCTTCCCCCCAACGCATTCTCACATCGGGTGTCCAGATGTATTTCCTTATTAGGATAGTTTCCTCTTTTGTGTAATAATTCCTGACGAAGAGAAAAAAAACTCCTTCTTCCCCTTCACGCGCGCGCGCGCGCGTGGGACACTTTTGTGTAAAAACAACATTGCAAGAGAGAAAAAACACAAAAACAACAGAGGAATAAACATCAACAAAGGGAGCGTTGAAGGCAGCGGCAAAGAAGACACCCACGGCGGTTAACAATCCGATAGGGCGCTTAAGGCATTGGGATCGAACAAGCACGCAGGATGTCTTTGAGCAGAGAAGTGGACGCCGATGCGACGGAGCTGGATGTGAACACGTCTAGTGCTAGCCAACCTGCTAAGGAGAACAGCTCCATGTACGCGACACCACACGGTTCGTTTGCGGAACACGGCGGCAGCTCGTTTGCTGAGGGAGATGGGACGATATACACGGCGACATACTCAGGGATTGATGTGCTGGAGACCGTTGTGAGAGGGATCTCGGTGATGAGAAGGCGTAACGACTCGAGCTTCAACGCTACGCAGATCTTGAAAGTTGCCGGTGTTGATAAGACGAAGAGAACCAGGATACTGGAGAAGGAGGTGCACACGGGAACACACGAGAAGGTACAAGGTGGGTATGGTAAATTCCAAGGGACCTGGATTCCCTACGACCGTGCGGTGGCACTTTCGCAGCAGTATGGTGTTTATGAGGACTTGAAGCCGCTCTTCTTGTTCAACGTGTCAAAGTGTGACGGTGCTGAAACGCCAACAAAGGAACAGGCCATTGCCCAAAAGAAGAAGTCGGCCACGGCAATATCAAGAGGCAACAGCTTCTATGCATCAATGTCAAGAAAGCCCTCAAATCTGGGAAGGTCATATTCAGTATTGACCAACGCGGACGAGGATAATGGCCATGTTGACGATGATGAGTCGCCTGGGAAGAAGCAAAAGTTAGAGAATGGCGAATCTGTTGCACTATACAACAACAATGGGAATAACAATGGGTCAATTGCCGCTTCTGATAATGCCATGGTTATTTATAACCATGATCTGGATATCGAGAATCCAAATGCCCCATTCACTTTACCTCCATTATCAGGATTCATACCTGAATTTGAACATTCCAAGGAGATTATCACCCAAGTTTTTCTTTCACCCGAGGTTGACTCCCTAGCAGAGGCAGTTGGTGGTGAATCCACACTTGTCGATGTTAACTTGGATGTTGCAATTGACGAACTGGGACATACCGCATTGCATTGGGCTTCTGCGCTGGCTCGTATTAGCATAGTGAGAGACCTGGTGCGTCGTGGTAGTGTAAGAATAAGGGGAAATAACCAAGGAGAATCTCCGCTGATAAGAGCTGTATTGGTGACAAATAACTATGACCAAAGTTCCTTTTCAGAGTTGTTAGACTTGTTATACCCGTGTATCCCACTGTTGGATCACCAACATCGTTCTGTGTTGCACCACATTGCACTCACAGCGGGGATCAAGAGAAGAAGTGCTGCAAGTAGATACTATTTGGAAACGCTGCTGGAATGGATAGTGAAAATCGGTTCTTCTTTGCCAAAAGGTTCTATAACCTTGGGTAAATTCATGAGTGATATTGTCAATGCACAAGATAAGAATGGTGACACATGTTTGAACATTGCTGCAAGAATAGGAAACAAGGCAATTGTACAACAACTGTTTGATATTGGTGCGGACCCTTCGATACCGAACAAGGCTGGCTTGAGACCAGTGGATTTTGGTATCACTGTGAATGGGCTTAACGCGTCCAGTGTTAAATCTCTGCAACAGAACCAGAGTAAGACGTACAGCAATCCAAAATTAGTACCTCAACAGAGTAGTGGGAAGATCCTCGAGTCTATGAAACAAGTCTTGAACAGGCTAGACTCTGATTTCAAGAATGAGATTGCAGAGAAACAGAAGACTATTGATGATCTACACACAAAGCTTCGTATTGCTACGACCAAGTTATCAGAATCTCGTAAGAATCTAGAAACTTTGAAAGAGTCTGAGATTAAATCGAGTGAGTACAAACAAAAGATTTCCAACCTTGATAGGGCAACTGCAGAGGAAGAACAAAGATTCCTTGACCAAACCACGGAGCTAGGATCCATTGGCAATTATGACGTTGATTTTGATGCGGATGAACCATTCAGGGTGTTACCTGTTTATAACGCTATCATGGAACAAGTTGAAAGACAAGGAAACAACAAGACTTCATTAGATGATATCAAGATCGATCCATCGCATATAAACGTCAACGAATTACCGCCAGTGGCGGTGTTGCAGGCGAGAGTCAGAGCATATAAGGCGAACGAGTCCAAGCTGAAACAGGTTATTAACGAGTTAAACGAGAATTCGAAAGCACTTGAGAATAAATTCCGTCGTGTTGTTGCTCTTTGTACCGGTGTACCTGAGGATAAGATCGACACCATATTGGATGGGCTGGTACAGGCCGTTGAGAGCGATCCAGATGAGGTTGATATGGGGAGAGTCGTTGGATTCCTCAAGAAAGTTGACGATAAACATGACGTATGAGATATACTGGGGATGTATTTATATTGGTCTAACCATCTACAGACAAAATTTATAACACACTCCCGTTTGATATATTATGAAAGATGATTGTAGGTACTGAGTTTTATGAAAGAGTTTAGGCAAAGTGAAGATATCGTATACCTGAAGGACAAGTTAGTAACCTTCAGCACCAACGTAGTGATAGACAGTGTTCAACACCCATTGAATCAAAGGATGTAATGGCTGTTCATCCAGAGTATTCAGACGTTCAGCTGCACTCTTGAAGCCAACAATGAAGTTGATGGTTATGGCAACCAAGACACCTGTCGCAACGACAAGAGGACCCAATGGCGCATCCAAGTGTTTACCATCTCTTGCTTTGATCAGCGACAAACGCTTGTTGTAGATGAAATAGCCCCAGCCCAAACAGAAGAGAGTCAAGGCAAAGTATACGTAGGCCAGCTGTGTAGCCAATTCTTCGTTTGCAGCCTTCTTCACAGAGGAATAAATGGAAAACGTCAGGGCAGAGAACAGGGAACAGACACTCAGCCATCTGTTGAAGGTTCTTTCATTAGCCAACCAGACTTTGGTTTCAACCTTCATCGAACCAGCCTGTTTCAACAAGGTCTTTGGCTTAACAACGCCAGGAGGTAATTCAACTTCTTCATCTTCCGAATCGACATTTGCCAGCTTGGAACCACCAGTGAGGAATGGAATGATATCAACGTGTTGCTTTGCTCTGTGTCTGACGGCAGTTTGGTGTTCACCATCGCTTGATTCTTGGTCATCATCGTCAATGCCGTTCCATTCACGCTCCAGTTGAACTTCACCTTTCGACTTTGTTGAGTCTTCAATACGACGTAGTCTAGATTGTAGATCAGTTTGGTGCTTCTTCTTTCTCTCCTCCTCTGCAATGGCATCACCTGGTTTCTTACGGATATCGTCTTCCAAGTCAGGTAACCAGAATGGCAAGACATCCAAACGATCATCTTCGATGAACAAAGAAGCGATACCTTGGATGAATTTGGAGAAGTTCGGAACCTCTTTAACCAAATGAGAAGTTGTCAATTCTTCAATCCACTTACCATTCTTTCTAGAGAATGGGATTGAGATTCCCTTGCCATCTGATAACTTCTTACCACTGGTGTTCTTAATTCTGATCTCCATAACGCTATAAGGGAATTTGACAAATTCATTCTTTCTCAGCAAGGAGTACGGATTATCAATGTTTTGATCTATATCCTTTCTATGCCATTCCTGTGGGTTTCTGATTGGACGCATTTCATCAAATGCATCTTCTCTGATGAAGAGGATATCACTGTCAATCGTGATACGGACTCTATCATCACCTGGAATTTGGAAGGCTGTTCTCGTATAGACGGATCTAACAGCAGGTTGCAGTTCGTACTCCTTGATCAAAGCAGCAACCTGGTCGACATCGTCTTCGATGCCTTTCAATACTTGATCAGACGAGCCCATCTCTCTGAATTTGTTCAACGTCTTCTGCTTGAACTGTTCGACGTCACCTTTAACGACAAAGTCGTTGACGTACTTCTCTTTCAACTTGAGACGAATATCGTGGGAGGACTCCTCCTCATTGGACTTATCCACAGTCCTCTTCTCCAGAAAGATATCCGGCTTATCAGCAAGATTACCAGACCATCTCAATCGCAGAGAAGGCGACGTGTTTGATTTCAACAGCTTCATGTTGTACAGTTCAAAAGAGCCGTTATCAAAGTACAATGAGGTGACTATTGGATCAACAGAATCCTTAGATTCGGCCTCATTCGAGTAGACCAAAACCGGCAAATGTCTCAAGATGGTGGTTTTAACCTCCATCAGGTTATCTGGATGGACCCAGAACTTGAAAGACTGGTAATCCAGGTTATCAGCGTTAACATAAGATCCCGGTGTTGCATTAGAAACACCAGCGTTCATCAACGAGCCAGACTGTGATGGTGTCATGGATTTTGAGCCCATATGCGACCCAGTTTGCATGTTCTCTCTCAAGAACTGGAACAAGAATGAGATCTTGTGCAAGAGAGGAGAATAGTCCTCGGAATGGAAAGGTAAGTCCTTCAATCTTATAGATAACAATGCCTTCACGGAGTTATAATGAGGGTGCAAACGATCATGCTTCTTCACGATCTTTTGAAACCCTGTAAAGTTCAGTCTAGCGAAGTGATCCAGCTCATGAGCCTCTGCAAGCACGTTTTCCACATTTTGATGAAACTTTGGCCATTCCACCGAGTCCTTCTTCTGGGATTGAGTGATTTCATCAGCCTTCCCTTGTAGAGCTTCGATTCTCTTGTTCAAATCCTCGTATTGGCTGGTTTGGAAGGTGTACACCTTCTCCAGTTCAGCATCCAGGGCCTTAACAAACTGCGACTCGTCGGCATCTGACCATTTGGACGACTTCTTAGACCCGTGGGAGTCCAATGCGTTCTCCTTGAGCAGCTTCTTCAACTTTTCATAGTTGATGTAGTTATCACTCCAGGGAGGATAGATCTCATTGGCCAGTTTAACACCAAACAGCATGTTTTCAAAGCCCTCAATTGGTGTTGAATTTGATCGAATGTAACGAATAAGGAAGAGAAAGAGAAAGAGAAAAGATTTTTTACGTCTATTGGGTTAAATCGTTAGTGGTTGTTTCGTATCGTCTGAACCAATTTACTGACAGCTAGGCACACGTGGGGGGATGGCTGTTTTTGGGTGTCCGGGTGTGTGCGTGGGAGGATTACATAAGATATTACATAAGATATTACATAAGATATTACATAACTTCTTAGTCATCGGGCCACACCAGAGTGTAAAGAAAAAGAAACAAAACGTCATGCCAGTGGTGTGCCCTCTGAATGTGCGCCATGTGTGTGACATGCTGTAGAAGTTGTGGAACGAAGTACGACGGAAAAGTTAGCTGTGTGACCATTGGGTGGGACAACCCTTCCCCGTAGAGGTTTGGCTGTATCACTACAACCACGAATATTTCCCTCGCCCGGTGCCTTCCCCTTAACCAATTGGTGCTGTGACCCTGCCTGCGCCCGCTGGACTGCCAACAACCTTCATTGAATACACTCATTTCACGGAGAAGCCGTTACATTCGTATCCAAGAGCACAACAGTCTCGGTGACCGTAGACTTCCAACATGTGTACATCATAGTAGTAATACCATCACACTATTGGCATGCAAAAGAAACGGTAAGGAAAGCACCGATCATGGCTGAATATGCTGTTCCCTTGAAAGATGATCCGGTCCACGCGAATCAAACAACGCCCTCACCCAAAATTAGACACTACGTCCCAAATTGTGTCTGCCCACCCACTTAATGCCATTTGTTCAGAACAGAGTTTCCTGCTGTTTGTCTCTTTTTCGTTCCATAGGCTCGCCTTCCCTGTCTCTCCGGGATTTGAATTTCTTTTTTTGTCCTCTTCTTTCCTTTTTTTTTGTCTGCTACCCGCATGAGCCCGCGTAAACGTAAACAGTCAACTCGATATAAGTTAAGTGTTATCTCTTCAAAGTGTCCTCCTTCTTCCTCTGGCACTACACGGTGATATACAACCACAGCACACAACACACGACCATAACAACAACAACAACAGCTACTGCAACAGCGCGTACGATGACAGCAGACACAGACTCACTCGAAAACATCGTTCCGTCCTTCCGTTTGGACGGTCGTATTGCTGTTCTCACAGGAGGTGCTGGAGGGTTATCCCTGACGGTATCGAAGGCGCTTGTCGCCCAGGGCGCCCAGGTTGCGCTCGTTGATTTGAACTTGGAGACCTGTAAGGCCGCAGCGGACGAGCTGGTGCAATGGGGTAAGACTCACGGGTTTGAACCAGTAGTTTCAGCTTGGAGCTGCGACGTTGGTAACGCCCAGAACGTACAGGACGTTGTGAAACAGATTAAACATCACCATGGGTCCCCAGCTGACCTGTTGATCCACACCGCCGGCTACTGTCAAAACTTCCCAGCCTTGGAATACCCGGATCAAAAGGCGCAGGACTTGGTCAACGTGAACCTCTTGGGCTCGTATTACATCTCAAAGTACATTGCAAAGGAGTTGGTTGAAAGCGGCAAAGTTGGCTCGTTGATCCTCATCGGCTCCATGTCCGGGGTTATCGTCAACGACCCGCAGCCGCAAGTTGCTTACAACATGTCCAAAGCCGGTGTGATCCATTTGGTGAAATCGTTGGCCTGTGAATGGGCAAAGTACGGGATCAGAGTGAACTGCTTATCCCCTGGCTACATCCTGACCCCACTGACAAAGCATGTCATTGGCAGCAACACTGAGCTGAAGAACACCTGGGAATCCAAGGTGCCAATGCACAGAATGGCGGAGCCAAAGGAGTTCGTGGGCTCCCTTCTCTATTTGGCCTCATCGACGGCTTCTTCCTACACAACTGGTGAAAACTTGGTGGTTGACGGTGGTTACCAATGCTGGTGATCCTCTGTCCGCTCTTCTCCTTCTAATTCTTCATACAGTATACAATAGATCTCTAATATATGTTCAACCCACAACTAATACGCATTAAGATTCGTCCTTGCGCACGATGTAGGCAAGGCACCGAGTTAAATCGATTGTTCCTGTTATGGGGGGAGAAAACCAGAAAAGCAGTCCGGAGAAACCACATCGAACCCCATTTGATCTTCTTTTACATAGACAAACAGCACAGCGGACAAACGCTAAAGGTAAAAAGAGAGGTAGATAATCCGATGTCTTCTGCTATCCAATCATTGGCAAACCGCCTCAACAAGGGCTCATCAGTGGTGTTCTTCGTTGGTGCCGGTATATCAACATCTGCCGGCATTCCAGATTTCCGTTCCCCTGGTACCGGACTGTACAACAATCTGTCAAAGCTGAACTTGCCCTATGCCGAAGCTGTGTTTGATATAGACTACTTCAAGAAGGACCCAGTGCCATTTTATACGCTGGCGAGGGAGCTGTATCCAGGGCAGTTCAAGCCTACAAAGTTCCACCTGTTCATGGCCCTGTTGCAGGAAAAGGGACAGCTGCATCGGGTTTATACCCAGAATATCGATACGCTGGAGAGGATTGCTGGTGTCGAGAGGGACCTGATAGTGGAGGCACACGGTTGCTTTGACGACCATAGATGTGTCAATTGTTCAAAAGAGCTGGACGGTGACAAGTTCAGACAGATAATCTTTAGAGGGGAGAAGGTGGAATGCCCCCATTGTGGTGGTTACGTCAAACCGTGTATCGTGTTCTTCGGAGAAGGTCTGCCCCAGAGGTTCTTTGAGTGCTGGGATGAAGATTGCGATGAGTTTGGTAATGAATATGTCAATGAAACCGTGGCTATAGTGGCAGGCACAAGCTTGAAAGTTCATCCGTTTGCATCTTTACCGGAAGAACTACCTGAATCTATACAGAGGTTCTTGGTCAATCAGGAATTGGTTGGCTCCTTTGAGGATGCTCCGAGAGATGACGATGAGGTGTATCTAGGGAAGATCGACGAGTTTGTAGATCTTCTGTGTAGAGAGCTGGGATGGGATGAAGAGCTGGAAGGGCTGGTCAGACGTGTGGAGGATAGTACCGAGGCTGAAGAGTTGGAAGGGGAGGACACCAAGGACACCAAGGACACCAAGGACTCTAAAGACTCTAAAGACTCTAAAGACTCTAAAGACTCTGAAGACTCTAAAGACTCTAAAATCTCCAAAGACTCTGAAGAAACCAAAGACGAGGCCAAGTCGAAAGACCTCAGGGACCTTGAAGATGAAGCCGAGGAAACAATCAACAAAGGCATCAACAGCTTATCCATATAACCCACTAATAACCGATGATCTCGTATATTTTCAATATAACATATATACAGGCCTATTTTTTCGTTATAATCGATTTCAACTTCTTAATTTGTTCTTCAGCATCAAGAATGGTCGAGTTAGAGCCCTCAATCTTATTGGCCAAGTATTGCATTCTGCTGTTAAACTCCCTCTTATTCGTATACCATGCTAAGCTCTCCAACTCCTTCTCCCATTTCTGAATCTTACCAGTCTCAAATGCTATTAAACGATAGAGATAAGCAGTCTCTAGCACACTATAAGTGTTGCTATCATCCAACAAATTCTTGAAAGCAGCTCTGAACAAAGGCTTTGCTGGTCTGATGTCACAGATGACACCACGGTCACGAGTCATGGAAATCAACCCGTGCTGCTCCAATGACACCAAAGAGGTTTCAGGCGAAGACTTAAACAATGGATGATTGATGAAATCCTTGTATTGGACAAACTCTTTGTCTGCTAGCATCTTAATCAAGACCCAAGCTTGTGCATTTGAGACACCTTGGTCCTTGTTAAGGAAGATCTGCGTGATTTGTTCAGCAGTCTGTTGCACCATACGACCCAGAGCCTCATGTGGACTCTCACCTGATCTAACACGACGTACAAAAGCTTGCAAGTCAAGCATTCTACCCCCGATAGGATCCAAAGATTGATCAACTTGCGTCTCTAATAGAGAGATCTTCTCAGCAATACGCTTCTTCATCTCAATGTCATCAGGACTGTCATTGGAGTCTTCTTCATCCACATCCTCATGTAATGAGCTCATGACATACTCCTTAGCAGCTGTTTTAGATGCGTCTTGCAACAGCACATACTTGAACACCTGGTCCGGTAAAGCCTCGCTCAGAAGTGTCTGTGAACCGACATCTTCAGTGAGGAAGATGATATGTGCAATGTTCATGGACGTCAGCAAGGCAGCCCAATCTGCCAGCTCCTTATAGACGAAATTGTTGGACTCTGCCCTATTCATAGTCGTGAAACGATCAATCACAATAACAGGCTTCTTTTCTGGATGTTGCTGTAGATAATCTTCCTCCTTGACGGTGATTTCCTCTGTTCCATTGACAATGACCGGCTTATAACCTCTTAGGGAGATGTCCCTAATGGCAACAAGGGCAGTAGAGAGCATGTTTCTGTATTGGGATTCCTTTGATTCGCTCAACCCAGATTTTTGACCAGTCAATGATTGTAATGCCAAATCGATGATACTGGAGATGGAGTTGAGCCATGGGAAAACAGGGAAATAGCCAATGGAATGCGCAGCATTGCTGATGAAGACAGTGTCATTTCTCGACTTGACCAGCTTGTCACAGTCAATATATAGCACATCCTTATGGTCATGTAACGCGTGTTGCATAACCAATTCATGCTTACCAGAACCTCTTGGACCACGAACCACAATGAACGTATTGACGTTTTCCTCCAGCCACATCTTCAGCTCCTTCACAATGTCCATACGCTCACTCCACAGCTGTCTTTGACTGACGTTAGAGACATGCTGTCCCAGCATGTCATGGATACGCGTCATTGTAACGTTTGTAATGTTGTTGAGCCATTTGACGACATGGTTATCTCCAATGGAGAACCTGTTTGTGATTTTGTTCTCGATGAAGAACTCTCTGATCGGGTCAAAAATCATCACAGCTAGTGCTGCCAAGAGAGCAATGATCAGAGGCATACTGATCTTGTTGTGATTGACGATGAAGTCCCACAAGGCGTTCTTTCTCGTGTTCTTATCATACTGAACGTGGAGCGTTGTTCCATCAATCGTGATACCGGTGATACAGTTCTTTGCACAGATTGCACCTCTATAGCTCTCAAATGACACTGTTGCCACCGAGCTGTCTGGAATGATATCTATGATGGTGCCGTATCTTCTGAAGAGCGAGTAGAGCTCTTCCTCACTCAGGGCAGGTCCTTCATATTTGACCTTGATGGTTTTGTTGGGGTATCTTCTGAGATCCTCCACCCACGGTTTACCCTTAACTTGGAATGCAATAGGCTGTTGCAGCCAATTGGCAATTCCATGTTGAGTCTGTTCCAGGATGTTCTTTTGGATCTTTTGATTGAACTCAGCAAGAACCCAGTGAGAAGGCACCCTAAACTTGATAAACGCGCCACCGTCCCTCTTCATGGGAACAACATCCGTAATCTCCAAGCCTGGAATGGAGCCCACACCGTTGGCATCCTTGGGATTGGCCAACTTCGCCACATGGGCCTTTATAGCTTCCGGTCTTTTATCAGCAACAAACAACGTGGCAAGCCACTGCTTCAGATCCCATACGCTCGTCCGGAACGGAAGGATGTGGTCAAAGTACAGCATCGTCTCCTGGTCGTCTTTCTCGACAACACCAGTCTCCTCGGCATCCATAACTTCACCTGTTTCCTTATCCCTTTTAGCAATCTCATCGGATACAAAGCGTCTCCCCATAATCGCACCGCTTCTTGGTAAGCACGCCGACGAGCGAGCCAGGGCCGTGGAGCGTGGTCTCAGGACCTTCAACGGGGCAAACAGTCTCATAGGGAAGCGGATTCACAGCTCAGCAGGTGCACTCAGTGGCTCTTTGCGATGGTTCTTGCCGTTGTTGATGTATGGAGATGATGGAACTGTACAGGAAAAAGCGTACGAGGGAGCAACAGTAGTGTGGAGGATCACGTGAATATCACGTGGGACATCACGTGAATAGACCTTTAGCAAGAACTTGCTTCATACTTCGGCTTCGCTTTTCCAACGAAATGGCCCTCAAGGAATGCTGTTGACAATGATTGTGCGTCTTTAGATGGGCGAGTCACGCCAATAGCACGACGACATAGCTCTCCATAGCACTGGCAAGCACACACTGGATGATATAGTGGTGTGCGGGTGTTTGGGTGTCCGGATGTATTGATGTCCGGGTGTCTACCCTCTTATCTATGCGCCCCCTACCGAAAGTGAAAATTACCTCCTTCGAGCCTCTTTTGGACATTTCATCCACCGTTGTTTTACCCATTGAAGTGGCTAAAGAGAGCTGTTTGCCAGTGTTGTGGAGTTACTACGATTGAGTCATGAAAGTGAGCTATAACTTCAAGTAATTAACTGTGCTTCACCCCTGAAGAGCCCTGTACTAACTCATCGCAGCAACGAGTCACAGCATTAGACATTGAGATTCTCGTTGCGGAACTCCAACAGGAGATTACCGGGTACAGATTGTCCAATATCTATAACATTGTCACCTCGAATAGACAGTACCTGCTGAAGTTTGCGATCCCTGATTCCAAGAAGAACTTGGTGCTTGATTCGGGCTTCAAAGCTCACCTCACACAGTTCACGAGACCAACGCCCCAGGTGCCCTCGAGCTTTGTTACCAAGTTGAGGAAGCATTTGAAGACAAGAAGACTCACAAGCATCAAACAGGTTGGCACAGATAGAGTCATCGTGATGAACTTCAGCGATGGTGCGTTCTACCTCGTTTTGGAATTCTTCAGTGCGGGAAACATCGTGCTGCTGGATGAGAATAGACGTATCATGGCCTTGCAGAGACTTGTGGAGGAGAAGGGCAATAACGATAGATATGCCGTTGGTGAGACGTATAACCTGTTTGACGAGTCATTGTTTGGTGAGACATCTGCCCAGAAGTCCCTGACTGAGTTCAATGCTGATGAAATCAAAGAATGGATAACTTCAAAGAGCCAGACCAATGATAAGAAGAAGGTGCTATCTGTGCAAAAGATTCTCTACCAGAAAGTTCCTCATCTCTCTGCTGATCTGATTGCTAAGAGATTAGTTGAGCACGGAGTGAATCCATCGGCTTCCTGTCTTGAATACCTCGATAAGACCGATCTTTTGGCACAGGCTTTACACGAAACAGAGTTGGATATTGATAGCATTGTCTCTAGCAAGCCGGTGAAGGGTTATATCGTTACCAAGACCAATCCATTGTATGATGCTACAAAGGATGACGAGGACCTGAAAACGCTGTATGACCAGTTTCACCCATTCAAGCCTCTGTTGAAGTCGGATGACGAACAGCTTATCGAGGTTGTTGGCTATAACAATACTTTGGATAAGTTCTTTTCAACTATTGAGTCGTCCAAATATGCACTGCGTATACAGAACCAGGAGAACCAGGCCAAGAAGAAACTCGAGGCTGCTAAAAATGAAAAGCATCAACAGGTTCAGAGACTCATTGACGTTCAAGAGGTCAATAAGCTGAAAGGTGAAACCATCCTGTTCAATGCCGACTTAGTCGAACAAGCCAAAGCTGCAATTCAAGCCTTGGTTGATCAAAAGATGGACTGGAAGATGATGGAGAAGCTTATCAAAATCGAACAGGGAAAGAACAGTCCAGTGGCCAAGTTGATCAACTTGCCCTTGAATTTGAAAGAGAACAAGATAGGCTTGAACCTGTCGACTGATGTTGAGTACGAAGACGGGGAGAGTTCGGAATCAGAATCAGATTCAGACTCTTCCTCAGACTCAGATTCAGGCTCTCATCGTAGAACAAGCAAGAAACCCGACTCAAAGCCAAAGAACACCATCAACGTCACTATTGATCTTGGTCTGAGTGCTTACGCTAATGCTTCAAACTACTTTACAGTGAAGAAAACGACAGTTGAGAAACAGAAGAAAGTCGAGCAGAGTGCATCGAGAGCTTTAAAGAACATCGAGTCGAAGATTGAGAAGGATCTGAAGAAGAACTTGAAACAGGAGACTGAAATCTTAAGGAAGCTGCGTAACCCTTATTTCTTTGAGAAGTTCAATTGGTTTATATCTAACGAGAACTATCTGATCTTGTCAGGAAAAGACGATTCCCAAACCGATATGATCTACCATAGGTATGTTGAGAAAGATGACATTTATGTCTTTGCAGATGTCGACGGTGCTTCCCATGTGTTTATAAAGAACCCAAACAAGGGTGAAGTGTCACCAAGTACTCTGACACAAGCAGGTATCATGTCACTGTCGACTTCGAAGGCTTGGGAAAACAAAATGGTAACCAGTCCATGGTGGTGTTATGCTGCTGATGTATCTAAAAACGATATCGATGGGAAGATGTTACCACCTGGGTCCTTTAGATATTTGAAGGAGAAGCAGTTCTTACCACCAGCACAGATGGTTATGGGATTCGCATTCTTATGGAAGATCAAGACTGAAGACAATCAGAAGGAATTAGAAAGACAGATTGAAGAGTTTGATAACTTGGAAATGAGTACAGTTGATGATTTGAAGGACCAGGGATCGGAAGAAGAAGGTGAAGAAAATGGATCTGGAGTGACTACAAATGAGCTACAAGAGACTGGCGAAGCTGATGAAGCTCAAAGACAAGGTGATGCTGACGAAGGTGAAGAAGAAGAAGAAGAAGAAGAAGAATCCCAGGTTGAAGCTGTTGAGCAAGATTATGAACATTCAAGCACCGCTTACGATGCAATGAGTACCACCTCTCAGTCCAGACAAAAGAAGCCTGTACGTGGTAAGAAGAGCAAGCTGAAAAAAATACAAGAGAAGTATGGAGACCAGGATGAAGACGAACGTCGTCTGAGAATGGAAGCCTTGGGTACTTTGAAGCAGCAAGCCAGACGAGAAGATGAGCTGAAGAAACAGCAAGAACAGAAAATTGCCCATTTGAAGAAGATTGAGAAGAAAAAACGTCAAGACGAGCTCGTTGCTCATAAGTACATGAACATGAAAGAATCTGTTGATTATGAGTCCATTTTGAACGAATTGACTCCTACAATCACCTCTGAGGATGAGATCTTGGAAGCCATCCCAGTGTTCGCACCTTGGAATGCCCTAACGAAGTACCGTTATCGTGTGAAAGTGCAGCCCGGTTCTACAAAGAAAGGTAAAGCTCTTCAAGAGACATTGCATTATCTCTTGACAAGGCCAGTCGATGACAGCGAGCGTGATCGTAATTACGATTGGCCTCGAGAACATGAAACCTTGAAAGGCTTGAAAGATACCGACTTATTACCTTCGATATACGTTGGCAAGCTAAAGATCATGCTTCCAGGCAAATCATCAGCACCAAAAGGAGGGTCAGGTAGAGGCGGAGCTAAAAAGAAAGGTAAGAAATGATTGTGAGCTCTCTTCTGCTGTTCTTTATACAGTTATATACGTCATTCCATACATTACAGATTACAATCCCTGTTGTAGTCTTTCAGCGAGTTTGCCCTTTGCGAATTGGAACGCGTTCATGAATCCCTTTTCACTGAGATCAATGTTCTTCAGAGAAGGTTCATTCTTTGGAGTGTTTGACACCCTGGCTGCGATGATCGAAGGCTCGGTCTCCAAGATGATCCCATCATCCACAGTCTCATCAACCGCGATACAGACCTTGTCGTAGTTCTCCTGTACGGCCTTCTTATCCACTTGGTAGTTGAGGATCTTATCCAATGCCTCTTTGAACCCATCAACTACAGAAGACAGCGCAACCTCGTTCTCACTCAACCCTCCAACAACGTATATCACAATATCCGCAACCTCCTTATACACCACAATGTGGCTCTCAAAGAGAATGATATCCCCATGCTGCTTGAACGTCTTCGCAAACAGCGCCTTCTCAAAGGCCTGCTGTTTCTTCAGCGTCGACAATGGCCCATCGTTCTCTTCATCTCCCTTCTGCTCCTTTGGTGGCGTGTAGTAATTCGTGTACAGCCTTTCACCTTCATTATCGAGTATGAGAAGCGCCTTTACTGAGTACAGTCCAAGATTGGCAGACATAGTTCACCTTCGTAAGTTGCTCTGAGCCGCTGTTTACGCCTTGTTGGCCTGTGCTGATTTGCTTTGTTGTGTTGTGAAGGAGAAAGCTCCGCTGTCCAAAATTCCTACGGGACGGGAAGTCGGGTCACGTGACTCTTTATGAGTATAGGCCGGGTAATGTTTCTTCCCTGTCGCCAAACCAAAACGTCTCTAAGCCATTGCAACTTGCCTGCTCGAGTAGTGAGAGGTATTGGGAGACACAGTCCACAAGATGTCTCAGTCTCAGTTCAACTATTCCCTTGTTCGGATAACCGTGATGCAAGTACGTTGAGTTTCCTTTTTTTTTCTGTTCAGAGAACAAACACATGCTAATACTGAAGCTTAGATTCTTCGAGGCATCGGATTCGACAGGTGTCCTAGCCATGTCATTGACATTTTAACAGATTTGTACGTTAGATACCTCCTTCTTCTAACCAGTGAAGTACAGTCACTGGCAGAACAGGCCCAGAAACCTTCGATCGAGATCCAGGATATCACACAAGCGCTCATCAACGTTGGGATGCTTAAGCCTGTTGACATATTGGACGTTTACGAACAGTACGACACCAGCAACAGAGCAGCACAGGATTTCTTGCTCTGGTGCGTGGGACACGTACCTGAGAATGCACGTAACGTGAGTAAGGTGAACCTGGAGATGATGGCGAGCGGGAAGCCAAAGATGGCACATTCAGCAATACCGGAATACAACGCACAGATACTTCAATCCTCACAATCACAAGTGTCGTTAAACCCTCTAAAATCACAAGAGTTTGAACCTCAGGTGGAGGAGGACTGGCTGACGTTCTTGATGAAAAGAGGGAAGAAACAGGAATCCTTCAGAAGCACAACGCTAATCAGGAACCATCTGCCAAAGAGCGACTACTACGTGAGTGGTCCCACACCGGACGAGCTTGTCGATAAACTACCGTACAATCAAAAACCAGAGGAGTTGGAGGAGTACCAAACAGAAGACCTGAATACCACTGGAGATCAACTCATCAACTCAGGGTTCATACCTCCGTCTGACAGTTACTGGAGCTCCCAACCGTTGAATTGAAACGAACCCACTTCACGATCCACAACACCGTGTAGTTATAGTAATTGATGTAGTTACCATGGTTACCACGGTAACTGCTCCTCTCCGCCAGAAAGAGGAAAAACCCCTTCCGGTACACACACGCATCACCAAGAAAATACGCGGAGTTTTGTGGTCGCGGTTGGTGTACAAAACTGACGAGAGGAAATCCGCCCTTTTCACGCTGGCATTCTACCCTCTTCAAACACGGCGGTAAACAAACAGAGCAAACCAAAGATGCCATACGACCCAGTTCACGACGCGGTTCAGTCAGAAGACCGTACCGCTGTGACAGATTCTGATACCGCCAGCGAGGACATCACACAACACCAGCCATCATCGTCAACGACGACGGATGGATTACCAAAGATGGCGACGATGAAGACCAACGGCAGTGATCCTCAGGAATCGAATGGCACGTTGCCACAGTTCTCGGTGATCACGATGAACTCGACGAAGCCATCCACAGCAGAGACGCCTGTTGCCGAGCAGAAGAGAGGCACAAAGCACAAGTTGACGCCTGGTAAGGGAGGCACCCCTTCGAAGAAGCAGAAGAAGGTCCATAACAGCGTCCTCAACTCAGTTCGATCACGTCACTTGAAGAAGTTCGACGGCCAACCGTTTTGGCGTAAGGACATTCAGTACTCGTTGCTGAAATCGCTGTTCGACAACGATATAAAGGCCTTCACAGATCCATTCCCTGATTCAGATGAAAATGTTTCTATGGATGATAGGGAATTGGATCCCAGGGGCAGGTTGAGCTTTGCAGAACTGTACATTAAGAGTATTGCACATAGCTCGAAATGCTCGAAGGTGTTGAAAGACAGGCTGCTGAACGATATGAAGATGAGTATTCCAACGTGTATGATTTGTCTGCTGGTGAACGTTGGAAGAATGAACACTACGATCAACTTTGTTCCTGATATGAAGTCACAGCTGAGAACTTATCATCCAATCCCTTCCTTACAGGTGAACTATGACAGTTCCACCACGGGGAATGATAAGTCCAATGACAAGCAGTTACAGGACACTCCACGTTTGAAATCCATATTGAAGGCTTGCTGTGATGATTCTCATGAACCTTCCACGTTAGATGCATTGATGAAACGGAAGGCTTTGCCCCTGACAACGTGTGTCAACATGATCTTTGTGCTTTGCAACTACGAAGATTTGGTCCAGAGCGAGTTCTTCGAAGATGTCAATTACAATTTCTACGATATCTTTATGAATGCGTCCTACAATCCACGAAGCAGAGCAGACTTGTTCCTATGGCTGTTGTGGAACTATTTGGAATCACATAGAACTCCAGAGGAGATTTCAAAAAACCCATTCGGATCTGAAAAGCCTTTACTGAAACCGGCTGTGATGGAATTTGACGTTGACACACCATTGGAGAAAGAATTCGGTGAGAAGTTATACGAACAGAGAATCAAGTATTTATCAGAGGAATCAAGTGATAAAAAAGAGAAAGTTTCAGAAGATAAGAAGAAAGATGGCGCCAATAGCTCAACGGCTTTCTCAAATTCAAACGACAGCTCTACAAATCAAACAAACTCCACATCCAATGCTCATTCAAATGGAGGTTTGACGGCATCTCAGCAGACCCCACAACCTTCTGTATTGAGACAGGATATCGATGTTGATAAAGTACGCACAGCTTTGAAAGCGTTGAGCAAGAATGAACATCGTAAGAGAATCAAACAAGGCATGCTTCAATTTGAAAACTCTGTGATCTTGAAGGAGGAAACAGGGGATGACGATTCATCTATGAGGCTAAGGCTAAAAAATTACAAGGGTGATTTCGGTGAGTATGCTACAAAGTTCAACAAGCTGTTCAACTTGCTGAAGAGCGATTTTGCAGAACTAAGCAAAGAAGACAAGCAGACCATCGAAGTTAACTACGCCTACAATGAGGGTTCTCTCAAGTTGAAGCACTTTAGCGTTGACCTTTAAACAATGACAGCACAAATAAACATGAGACATTTGTCTCTATCAAGAATGACTCACTGTATTTCCTCCATAGGATCGTCAAATGCCGGCAATGGGATTGGAATGAAGTAAGCAGTGTGTGCTATGGCTAAAGTATACGTTTTGATCGATGTGAAGTCTGAATTACAGCTCCAATCCCTTTCAGGGTCACCTTTACCCAAGAACAAGACGTTAGACATGTTCTGTGGTAAGTCATACCCCAACACCTCGAATGTCACACCTGAATGTGAGAAGTCCTTTAGTGGGTGGATTCTTGGAGGGAACCTCGTGATGAAGTCCGACTGATGAACCACTCTTATATATGAACCCTTCAGTATCAGCGAGCCCTTCTCTATCAGCTTTGCGAATCTTTCACTTTCAAAGAGTTCATCGCTCCATTGGCTCAATTTCGGGTTTGTGATTCTCAGCTGTCCAAAAGTGACCACCTTTGGTTGATAACCCATGACTCGATACTCCATTCCAGCTAATTGGGCATATGCACCTCCTAATGAATGTCCAGTTATCTCTAAGGAGTAACCATCATTCAAGTACGGTTGAACCATGGCGAACACTTTTGGTATGAACTTCTCAAAGGACCTATAAATTCCACAGTGTACCAGACAACCATCGCATGGCCTCATCTTATTTCCAATGCTCTTTATCTTGTGCTTTCTCTTGAATGAGTCCGATATTGTTGAGATGACTGGGGAGTACGAACATTGGCCAATGTTGAGGTCAGATTTCCAATCACCAGGTGTAATTGTACCTCTGAAGCTCAAATGCACAACCTTATCGTCATGATCAACTCCAAGTATACCCGTACCACTATGGATTCCATTAAATATTGGCATGAAATGCTTTTCAATGGCTGTATTCTTCTTTTGGAAGTCATAGACGATGCATGCTTGGTCTAGAGGACCTGTTTTGAAGTATGGAGATATAGTGCAATAAGCCAATTGCGACCAATGTACTTGCTCCTTGAATTGATCAAGTAACGACAGGTTCAACATGCTCTGATCAGGCAATTCTCTGCTCGGTTTCTTGAGAACATTGACGATTGAGGTGTTAACCGTCGTTTTGTCATCGAATGTTGAAGATATCACTGAGCACCTTGTTGATTGGAAGAGGAGCAAGCAAATGTATACGAAAGATAACATCCTAAAGCTGTTGATGGTCAATATCTAGAGAGAGAACGTATAGTAGGGTTCAGGGCTGCGAAGAGTTCATCGATTTAAATACTCATGATGCACCCAGTGAGTATAGCTGGTGAGAACATTACTACCGACGCAGTATAATCGTTATAAGAGCTCAACAAGTGCGGATATAAGAAAGTGAACATATCAGTACCATTTGAGCTCTTACAGGACCATGTACACCACTGTGGATAAACAAACTGTGGGCTGTTACTCTGTGTCACTGTGACTACACCCAATCTCTGCGTATGTTCTATACATATCGGCTTACTTCTTCTTGCATAGTGTTACACATCGCTGTGAAGTCCTAAGGTTGATAGAATGTTGTAATTATATTCAGGATTATTTGCACATCATCAGTAGCCAATGCTCACTGTTCAACCGATACAGGGAGTCGGAAGCTATGTTATTCAACTCATTGTGAGGCTCTCATGCTTCAACTAGGTGTTCTAAGCTATAAGTGCTGCCTCTTGAGCCCACAACCCGCACTTTAGTGAACATTGGATACAATAAAGCCTTGCGGATGTATCCTATCTGACTGCGACACTAACGAAGAGAAGGGTTGGATGCGTGAAATAACAGCACACCCGAGTGCCTTGAAGGTGCTGGTTTTGATGTCTTTGAGCTGCTGGCCTTGATACCTCTAAGTTGCTGGTTCTGATGCCTATAAGCTGGTCTTGATGCCTGCAAGCTGTTAACTAGCGCACGTACACGGCTTCTATCACCAATGTAGCAAACCATAGCACCAACCAGTGGCCAAAGAGTCACGAAAGCAAGCAGCCCACACTACTGTCTCATTATCGTATACCAAATGTCATTAAACCTATTTACATATTGAATACAGAGAACCCTCCGATGAGGCCACCAGCCAAGTTCTACGCCAATTCAATGAACAAGAAAACACACTCTTTCTTCGTGTTCACACACCAACTGCTGGTTTGCACGGAGACAAAGCTCCCTCCTCTCCTCCAAGAAGCCACCTGGAACAAGCGTACAGCTAATGGCCCTTCTCAGAACCAAAGGTCCGCCTTCTTCAACAGCTTCGTCACGCTCTCCGTCGGCTGCGCACCCACCGAGAGCCAGTACTTGGTTCTATCGAAATCCAGCTCAATGTGCTTCGCAGGCTTCTGCTTCTTCTCCCATGGCTTCAGCGGTGGCGCAATCGGGTTATAAGTCCCCAGCACCTCAATCGGCTTCTGGTCTCTGGCCAGTCTCTTCTTCGTAACAACAATGTTATACACTGGCTGGTCTACACGCCCAAAACGTGCCAGTCTGATTCTCACAAGCCCTTTAGTCATGTCTATGTCAATATCTACCAACAAAGCCCACGGATATCAGCCAGAAAGCACCTCGATTCCAACAAATTCTACCGAAATAGACCAATGTTGATGTTGTGTTTATAGGTTGCAACGTCGGTGATTGGGGGAAATTTTTCACCGCCGGGCCTCCTCCCGGGGAATTCCGAGGGGCGCCATCGCCGACTTCCCAAAAGGGTCAATTCCGACTCTGCTACCTCATCGCCGTGAAAAATTTATTTCTATTTAATACCCATCGCTTCTTTCTCTCTTGGACGGTTTGTTTGCCGTTATTGCTGGAAGAACGTGATCTGTGTGTGTTATTGTGCCCAGTTTTGAAGAGATGTCGGACGATAACGGTATTCAGCTCCTGGAGTTCGAGTCCAAGCTGCAAAAGATCCGTCAGCAGATTAATTCCAAGCTCGAGAACCAGAAGCACATTGCACTTGTGCTGTCTGCTGTGGAGGAGAACATCTCATCTCAGTCAGGGAGTGCCTCACCTGTGGCGTATTTCGTCTCCTTTCTGTCGCTGTTGGACCAGTCGATTGATGCTGATAACGATACCATTACAGATGCCAACCTGGTTGCCACAGCTGCGTATCTGTTGGACCTTACACTGCCTGTGATTCCGAAGGCTCTGTTGAAGACGAAGTTTGCGGAGATCTTGGTGAAGCTGGCGCCAGCTATCACGAGCTCTGATGCTGAGGCTCCGCTGATCAAATCTGCTGTAGGGTCGTTGGAGACGTTGCTGCTTGCTCAGGACATCAACTCCTGGAACAACTCTGCTTTGAACATCAACCCAAAGAGAGGTTTTGGTGGATTGCTGGAGTACTCCTTGGATCCACGCCCTAAAGTTCGTAAGAGAGCTCAGGATGCTGTTCACAGCATATTGGCCAACCCACCACCGGGGCCTTCCATGGAGCATCCTGCCAGTGCGATGGCTGCCGATTTCGCTATAAAATCACTCGTTGAGCTGATCAACACTAAGCCAAACCAAAAGACCAATAAGGAACACTCTGCACAGCTTATCCACTCTTTGCAGTTAGTTTCAAGTATTACATCAGCAAACTCCTGGCCAACGTCAAAGATCGAACACCTGTGCGACATCCTTCTCGAGGTTTCAAAGACAAATGATCAGTACCTTGTTTCCAGCGCATTCAAGGGATTCGAAGGCCTTTTCAACTCGATGACCGATGAAATTGATAGTGATAAGTTCCTCAAAGTGTTACAGGTTATCTTTGACTTGAAGCCATCTCTGAATGACAACCATTTAGCAGTGCCATGGATTGCTGTCGTGGCAAAGGGTATCACCTCTTATACAAAAGTTGAGCCGTTGAAATCAGTTAAGAAGATTCCAGAAGTATTCAAGATTCTGCTTCCATTCTTCAGTGCTGAGTTGCCAGAGATTTATATATCAGTGTCTCAATGCTTCATTTCCATCCTCTCGGAGGCCATCCCAGATAACTTCCTTCTATTGCCAAACAATGACGACGTTACTACTGAGATCTACGAAGAGATGGACGATGTTATCACCCAGATTGCTGAATTGCTTACAGAATTACTCAACGTGAAGTATGGTCAAGCTACGAAGGAGATCATGGAGGTGTTTGCAATGGCTTTCACTAAGTTCAGATCAAGATCAAACCCAGACTTCCTCGAGCCATTGGCTATCATTGGAGAATGGAGAACAAACGAGGAATTTGAATTCAAAGAACAAGCTGAAGAAGTCATTGCTGCTGCAATCAGAGAAGTTGGCCCAGAGACTGTCCTTGGTTCTCTTCCATTGAACCTCTTGGACTCAAAGAAAGCAGGTAGAGCTTGGCTCTTACCACTCCTGAGAGACAATGTACGTTTTGCAAGACTCGGATACTTTGTTGAAGAATTCATGCCATTGATCCAAGAGTTTGAAAAGAGAATCAGCTCCATGGATTCCAATTCTGTCACCACTAAGATCTTCCAAACTATCGTTGATCAGGTGTGGTCTTTACTTCCTCACTTTGCTGATCTACCATCCGATTTGCAACAGGCATTCACGGATGAGCTGGCCCAACAATTGGCCTCTTTGCTTTACTCTAACCCTGAGTTGAGAGTTAACATCTGCCACTCTTTGAGATTACTCGTTGAGAGCAACGTCACCTTCGCAAGTGGTGCATTGTCAGATGATAGATTCCTATTGCAACAGTTCAAGATCGAAACTGCACAGAGTAACGTTGAGTATTTGTCTTCAAAGGCTTCCAATATACTTGCTGTGTTGTTTAACGTGTTTTCTCAAACTTCCCCAGATTCCAGAGGATTCGTCTCGGAAACCATCGATGCTTACTTGGGAATCTCAACGCCGCAGGACCTGGAATCCACTTTCAACAAGGTCTCGGTACTGTTGAAGAATGCACTCGACGAGGAATCCTCTACTCCAGCAACGTCGCAGCAGAAGGGGGTTGCTAAACTCAGTGTCACCATGATGGACTTGGTCGTTGCCATGGCCAAATACGTCCCAGAGAGCTCTTACAATGCTCTGTTCTCCATCTTCACACAGACTGTTAACTCATCTGAACCATTGCTACAGAAGAGAGCCTATAGAATCATCTCCAAATTGACGGAATCTGAGTCTGGTGTTATGGCTCTGAAGCATTTCGCAGGTGATATCGAGAATGTCATCATTAGCTCAACAGATTCTAACAACTTGAATGCACGTGCTGCAAGACTACAAGCCATTTCATCAATTTTGCAAATCATTCCGGAGAATGACTTGTTCTTCATCCCTTCCATCATGTCAGAAATCATCCTGGCCACTAAGGATGCGAACGAAAAGTCAAGACAGCACGCTTTCAACGTACTGATTGAGATGGGTAAGGTCATGGCCAAAGGTGGTATCATTCACAACTCCAAGATCCCAGGATTTGATGCCAATACCCCAGATTCTCAGGCTTCTCTCGCAGAGTACTTCACAATGCTGAGTGCCGGTTTGGCTGGTGGTGATCAACACATGGTGAGTGCCACCATCACTGCCATCAGCTGTATCGTCTATGAGTTCCGTGAAACTGTCGATACGGATCTGCTTGTTGAATTGGCCTCCACTGTGAATCTGTTCTTGACCTCCAACTCTAAGGAAATCGTCAGATCCACTATTGGATTCGTCAAAATTGCCAGTATCAGTTTACCAGAGGAGATCGTCAAACCACAACTTCGTGACCTGTTGCAGCATTTGATGCGTTGGTCTCATGAACACACTGGTCACTTCAAACAAAGAGTGAAACATATTGTCGAGAGATTGATCAGAAGATTTGGCTTCGAAGTGATTGAGCAGAACTTCCCAGAAGAGGACAAGAAGCTCCTTGCCAACATCAGAAAGACCAAAGCTAGAGCTAAGAGAAGACAGGCCGAGGAAGAAGGAGAATCGCAACAGAGATCGAAGAAACACGGCAATGCCTACGATGACGTATTGTACGACTCCAATTCCGATGAAGACGATGATATGGATGACGAGGGAGCCGAACAAGAGAACGAGGATCCAAGAAGAAAGAAAAAGTCGTCGCAGTATATCCTGGAGTCCAAGGATTCTCCACTGGATCTTCTGAACCGTCAGTCCTTGGCTCACATCTCGTCCACCAAGCCAAGCAACAAGTCGAGAACCGTCAGCCATGCTAAGGCCTTTGAGAAGAATGGTAAGTTGCACTTCTCCGAGGACGCTCAGCAGGATGAGGATCCATTGAAGACAATCACAGACGGCATCAACGCATACGTGGAGGCCGTCAAGTCTGGTCCAGTCAAGGGCCAGAAGAACAAGTTCAAGTTCAAGAGAGGTGCTAAGGCCAGAGAAGATGATAACGACGACGGTGACGATGATGCCGATGAGCTCCAGAAACCAATCAACAGAGGAAAGATTGGCAAGGGCAGCAGAGTCAGCAAACCAAAGAAGAAGTTCCAGTCACGTAAGAAGTTCTGAGCACGCTGGAATGGAGAAATGTATAGATCTATATCGTATAATTGTACCATGGGAAGATAATCACATATTGGGCATTTGTACCGCTTTTCGGAACATTCCGAAACACGGTAGTTTCCGGGGGGAAACACCCGGACACCAAAAGTGAAAAATTACGCTCCGAGGCCGGCGAAAAAGGTGTCGAGAACCGTTGAGACATAAAGCGATGGAGGCATTCGTACCGGTTGAAGGACACTTTAGAAGGATCAGAAGAGCGTAGATGATTGTTGGTAACACTTCACGAGTCTCTAGGATTGTTGTCAAGAGACGGATATCCGTTTCCGTCGCGCCATTGATGGGTGGGACTGGTGGCTCCACGGCTTCTTTCACAGAGCAGAAAGACCGTGCTTCCCCAAAGAGTACGAAGCTGACAGTTTCGCAGTTCCTAGCTGGTGCTCAGAAGTGTTACACTCCGAGATATTCACAAGGTGGCTATCCACCGAAGACCGTGGAGCTGACTGAGGTGCAAGCCGTGAAGGGGTCTGAGCTTCGTGCGCTGATTCAAGAGAACGATGGTCAATCGCTGAACAACCTCATCGGAGAGATGTACACCACTGGTGATTGGACACACATCACTGAAGGCCTCACACGCCCGGAGGTGTCACTCCTGCTGAGAAGCCTCGTTGAAGCACACGGATCACAGATCAGACTGGCGAATCACCTGAAGAACCTCGTTCCAAGAGAGCACAAGACACAGTTCAGAGATGCGTTGGTGCTGGAGCGCAACATCAACCATTTATACTCCAAACTGATCCAGATCAAGCACCCACTTACAACGAGTGACGTCGAACTGCTTCTGAAGTACGAGACTGACAACCTCAACTTCAGAGCTGCGCAAAGAATTGTGGAGTATGGCGAAGCACATGGTGCTAACACCGTGAACTTCCACAATTTGAAGATGAGAGCACTGGGTCATACTTCACCAGAGGCCTGGATATCCAAGACAGGGTCCCAATTGACAATCAAGGGCCGTAAACTACCTGTTGAACCGAGGGAAGTGTTCTCCAAACTTCTACAAGAGTTCTCTTCGCACTCTAATGAATTCATTCCAAATTTGGAGTCTCATAAGCAGATCCTCTGTGGATTTGCCCATTCTCGTGATCTGATCCAAGTCCGTATTCACCTGGAACAGATATGGGGGATACCAGCCGATGAATCGATGCCAATTGAGCTGGTTTCAAAGACCTCGTCACTTTACCCGGACCAGGACCTCCTTTGTAAGATTGTTCAGATGTTCGGATACAACAACCACAGCCTTGAAGGGCTGAACTACGTTCTGAAGTTCATCCATTACTACCAGATGGATATGGCACGCTCGACACAGCTCTGGAGCATCTTGGTGAGCTTCCTCAAGCAGGAAACCAGAGGTGATAGTGAAACTATCTCACAGAGGTTCCTCGTTGTTTGGGACGACATGGTTTCCAACAGAGTACGGATATCTGATCAACTCTACAGACTGAAGTGTGATATTCTGTCCAATGCGTCCAAGCAGGAGCTATTGTTGAGTGATTTGGATACCATTCGTCGCAGATGCCTCACGACATCTTCAAAAGTGATGCAATTCAGAATGCAGAAGGTGTTGACACACTATCTCAAAGCTGTGGCTCTTTTCATCTACAAAGGCACAGACGATGTTGAAGAAGCTGATCGCCTGACCAATGTGTACTTTGAGCATTACAGTGTTTCAGATCAGCAGCTGAGCGATTTGCAAGACTGTATTCCAGACATCAAGGAGCTTGTTGAATCACAACGTATGAAGTTTGAGGAGCTACAACGACAATATGACGAAGAAGACGACGAAGAGTCGCTATGGTAAATATCTATATATCCGTGGAAAGGCTGTCAATGTATGATCAACCTGTTCATGTTCAAGTAATTGCTGAGTAGCAGCCACCCGTATCTGAACCACTCCATCTGGGAAGTGTGTCCACTAACCATAGCAGCCAATGCCAACAGATATCCACCCCAATTGGAGTGGATCACCACCTCGTTCTCATCCATGGCTCTCCAGATGAGCTCATAGTTGGACATGAACGTTGCAGAATACTTCTGCCATAGAGGATACGTGTGCAGAGCTGCCACTCGTTTACCAGTGGTCATTGCGGCGTGGTACAGGGATCTATGGTTAGGATGATTTGAAACACCACCGTCATCAAACGTCAAAATGACCGTGGTTTCAGGGTGAATGAACTCCACAATGTCCTCAGCATGCCAAATGATGTCCATTGAGTCCTTAAACCTGCTCTCGTCGTCCAGGAGCTCCACTTGATGAATGCCCATGATCTCCAGGCTTCTCTCCAACTCCAGCGATCTCACTGGGCCCAGTCCTTCGGCATTCCCCGTCGAGAAGCACGTTACTGATATGTTATTCCTATTCTGTGGCTTACCCAGCTCGATCAGAGCCGGTGCAAAGAACATCACCTCGTCATCCGGATGCGCAATGATCAACTGTACATTCTGTCCCATCAAAGAGCTCGGAACCTCATTGCTATGGTACGACGTCAACACACACCATAGAAGCAGGGAGATGAGCCACCACTTCGGCGATCTCCCCAGCACAAACAGCAGCTTGTTTCTGAGTCTGAAGGGTCTAACCATGGCTTGTGAGCGCTCCCCAGCCGTCAATTGGAGCAGCTTTAATAACCAAAGCACCGGGAACACACGTTTGTGAGTTTCTCGAGGATGGTTTCTCGGCGTTAACCGGGTGTATCGGAGGTAAGCTACAGCCATCATTGGGATTATTAGAACGATACTAAAAAACAGAGCAAACGGGCATTGGTACTTGCCCAAAGTATGCCATACTGTAAGTGACACTTGAGTTAAGTGACATACAAAGTATGAGCATGTAGTCTTCGATACAGCCTGAGATACAACAATTCATAGATTGTACGGTATAATCAAGCAAAACACATAAATTTGCCTATATCTCAGCAACAAAACAACATTTGGGGAATCTGGCAAGGAATACAAAAGAGCAGATCCATATCATCGCACTTACTGTCTTTCAGATTGATCAGATCCGTGGTTCTCTGAAAATAAATCACACCGTGTTGCTTTATATATGTAATTCTGGTTCTTCGTTGCCCCAGCAAGTGTAAAAATGTTAGGATGTTTCCAATTTTATGATATTGTTTACATTTTGAATTCGTATCAACACTAAATGGCACAAAACCAGTACCGTTTTATACACAAAACTGGAAACATCACAAAAGAATGGCCTCAACCTGAAGAAGAAGCATCAGCGGCTAATCCAGAACCACAGCGGCAACGTCAAATGAATGGCGGTACGACACCACCAGAATGCCCAGTAATTATCGAGACAGACTAACTGACCTGTTCTGGGAGGAAGGTACACAACCGTGAAACGTCCAAGTTCTGTCACAGAATGCCCATACAAAGATCGCAGATGTGCCACAACAGCCGCCTTTACCTGAACTCGAGGCTGATAACGGAGCTCTGGCTGATAGAATGAGAAGTGGAAGCAGCGCTGCTGCAGGCAGCAGAAAGAGCGTTGGAAGAAATTAGACGTGATTGTGCTTTTGATTATGATGCCGACTTTGAATACATCACTGAGGATGACACCAACGGTTTTAATGAGAATGATGGTCCAGTTTATAAGCAGCAACAACAGCGGAGACCACGGAGACCATGGGGACCACGGAGACCACGGAACCTGGAGTGAAATCCAGGTTTCCTTGAAAAGTGTTGTGACTATTGTCAAGCACTCCTTATCGATACTGAATTGCCATCTTTTTGTTGTGATAGGGCAAAAGTTTTACTCGGTGAGATAGCCAAAAAAACCTCCACGCTACAGGAAGGATGTCTTTTGGGATCCAATCACGTCCAAATATTCTCGAACAATGAGTACAATTCTTTCGCTACCGTCCTTGGGCTCTGACGGTACTGGTGATTTGAGAGGTGGGACCTATTCGATGAGCATCAACGGTCGCTTACTCCATAGAGTTGATGGTTTGATGGCTCAGCAAAATGGCGGAGGGAAATTTGCGGACATTTGCAAAAATTCATACACTAAATCCAGGCTTGGCTACAAATCTTCATTTTGAATTACTGAGAGGTGTTCTTCAAAACTACGGAGAATATAAACGACTTGAGCACCACATTAGCAAGATTGGTGAGTTTCTATCTCAAACAATCGTTATACACCGCTGTTATATACCTCTAGAGGAATTGTTCAACAGGAAAAGACAGAGATGGAATTAACCAGAGAAGAAATTGTTGTTGAATTTGCCAATATTGAACCAATAGCACCAACAAATTCAGAAGATCGTACTTCTCTATTTCCAGAGGTTAAAGAGTTTGCCTTGGTGCGCAGAAGTATAACAGCAAAACATCCTTCAATTTCAGTGCGTATAAAGGAAAAATCTATAGGTCGCTTCACTTTTATCTATACTATGTGAAAAGGTGTTTTTTGGCCTTTGATATTTCCTCTTTTGTTCTTCTATGGTGAAGGAGGTTGGTGGCCCGGTTTAAGATTGTCTAGAGAGGACGGAAGGTCACAGAAGGGAACGATTTCACCACCTCAACAGTGTCGCTAACATATCCAAAGAAGAGAAAATGAATGGAACCCAGTAGATGTGCTAGATAATCTCGCTGAAGAATTCTACCTGGCCACTGCTATAATCATTGATCAGCGAAGTATTGGTTATTTTCGTCTTCAACATCACATAAACAGAATGATTGATGCACGCCATACGAGAACAGAGCAGGGAGCTGAAGAAAGCTCATGGACAGAAATTACACCGCCAAACCATCACGATACTGCTCTATACTTCAAAGCCGAATTACAAGATCTGATGACCATATTCACTCAAGATGATTCACCTTCAACCTTGCTAGCTTTTACCGCAAATCCAAAGACACCATCGTTGTACAAATTGGTTGCACTATTTGGTTCCACAAGTGCTCTCCTCTAAAAAGAATCACGACCTGGTTTCAAGAATCTTTTTAGAACAAGCTCGAGATCTTATAGAATATGTCCCAATAATGTTCAGGAGGAAAGTTCTCAAGATTGTTTACATCACAGAGCTCCAAAATAGGGGATTGCCGCATATTCATTGCGTTATCGAATTCGACCCTGAAGGTGGTGAAACAACCGCAGAAGTTTTTGACGAGTGGATCAATGCTACAATTCCAAGCCAAGAAAACCCAGAACTTGGTGCATTGGTTCAGCAATGCATGACCCATCATGGTTAAAGTGTTTGAGAAGATGACTGAGACACTTAGAGAGCGAGACAAATCTATTCCATACCTAACAGGACTCAGATAAGTATCATTCTAACATACCCATATCCTACACACATGCTTGCGATTACATATACGAAATCTTACGCTACAGTTTTAGGAAACTCTTTGCGCGTTGATTTCGTTGGTTTCACAATCATCATCCTATCAAACGAGAGACGAGGAATCAAAGCAAAGACCCGACGGGCCGCGCATCCCAGGTAGCGGCGATTCGAGATTTACCGCAGCGTTAGCAAAGGTCCCGATCGCCTCTACCGTACCGAAGCACTACAGATCAACTTGTGTCGTACGAGAGCTTTATCTCTTCGTGTTGTATGGAACATTAACTCAGCATGAGTCCTGTTTCCCATTCTCTATGTACACTCATCCAGTCATCGTTCTTTTCACCAGCCTTGCGTCTTCTCCAAACTTCAAATATTATCTTTCTTGTTCCCCAGTAAGATCCCATGCCAATGTTACTTAAATCTTCAAACCATGCTTTGAATTTCGTTTGTAAATTGACATCCAAACATGAACATCCAGCAATAAAGGCAGGCCAAGATGTACTCAATAGCGATATATTGTGGGACCGACGTAGTTCTGCCATCTTTTCCAAATGGCGATAAGTCGATTCACAGTAGCTTTGTAAATGAATATCCGAATAATTCCTTATTATCTTGAAGTAATAGATGAGTAAACTGGTATAACGACTCATGATTGAATGGAAAACACAAGCATGCAAGGGGGAAATAAACGGCAAGCTTTCCTGGTCTTCATTCGAACAGATTCCCTGATAATCCACGAGTTTCCATTCCATTTTCCAATTGAGTAGTCTTTCTTCCAACTCCATGCACTTCAATTTGAACTGCTGTTCCAAGTCATCTGTAGCAGTTCTGCCATTTCTCTTGTTATTATCAAGGAACTGCTTGATTTTATAGAGCCTGACGACCGTTTGGAACAGATAATTGAAACTGTTAGGTAGGGCATAGAGCGTTTCAAAGGTGAAATTGATGTTATCACCATCGGTAGCTATTTGCAGAAATTGTGGTTCAGACTGAGTAAAAGATCCTTCAGTCCGTACAAACTCTACCAATCCTCTCTCATTCAAACTTTCTTGGTAGACCTCTCCCTCTTCAACCTTGCTCAAAAAGTTTTTGGCAAAATTAGCATCGACAGAACAGTTGTTGTATCCATTCGTAGATTCGGTATTTGTAGAGTCACTAATGTACTTCATGAAGGTGATCACACGACTCAACACCAGGGCCTTCTTACTTAGTCTGGGACGATTCTGGTATCTCTGGAAAGCGAGATCTTCACATATACCTATATGGTACTGACAATCAGCCATTATCCCCCAAACCACATCGATGGAGCTCATTGACAACAGTGCACAGATGACATCTTTATACTTTTCCTTCTCAAGGTTATCTAAAACGTCTCGAAGATACGTTGAAGCCTTCAGTCTGAACCTAACCCCTAGGTTGAGGAAGAATGACATCTCACTAGAATTCTTCTTGCACTCACTTTGCAGTCTGAAACAGGAGATTGATAATATGGCATATAAGAGAGACCATCTGGAAGATGGTGTTTCAGTGCAAGTGACTTCTCCTCCAATGCAGAGCAATGCTTTGGGCAGGAACAGTGTTGTCCAAGGATTCGTTTTGAATCCGACAGTCAGCATCTTCGTCGAAAGCGTATCTTTATAATAAGCGATTAAATCATTGAACAACGATGATATATGAATGGAATCGTTTCTGCCACAGGTTTGAACAAAACTCAAATGCCTTTCCATCTCATCATCATGTACTCGCTCGATTATCCTCTCTGCCGTGGTAAGTGCTATACTTTCCAGATCAGTGGCTGCAAGGTCCCTGGGATTATCACTAGCAAAATCACCAGCAGCACCGTCTCCGTAGTATTCCGTTGCACGGTTTATCAATGGCGTGAACCCGGAGGGGCTATCAATAGGTGCCAGCTCACATGTTGGCTTAGAGTGGAAGAGACCAAATGGGCCTCGCAGTATCGTTCTACCATCGATAACAGTAGAGCTCACCAGCATTCCCAGTAATCCCAGATCATTGTCCATCTCCTCGAAGGAGCGATAAGGCCTTCTGAATGGAGTGCGTGGGATGTGCCTTCTGCTGATCGAATCACTGCATCCACTTTTGCGCTTGCTGTGTATCACATTGCCGAACTTATCGTACTTTACGGGATCATTCCAACTCAGCTTGATGTCAAAGCCCTCACAATCAACACCTGCTTTGGCACATCTGCTGCAGATTGGCCTCTCGTTTGAGCACTTGACTTTCCTTCTTCGACACGTCCCGCAGCCAGAAAATCTATTAGAGGTGGATTTGGAAGCCATTTCCTCAATGGGAATTGTGGGAATCTGAAGAGTGGAAGCTTGATCTCACTCCATATATATATCTATGATAGCAGTGCTTCGCTCGCTGGACATTGCACATTTCTCTCGCGACGGAATGTTGTCGCGAGATAAGACAATCGCACACACAAAGTAGATAAGCGCCGCAGTCATTCAAACGCATAGCTTGATCATGATCGCCATTGGTGTTTATAATGACCGCTACGGAACCATGAACGAGGTCTGATCAGCAGGATGTGATCTCTGCAGGGCACAGATCATCATGTCGCAAAGTACCCAAGCCAGTAGCTCCGACAAGGGAGCGAAAACACCATACAACGTTGGCAGCTTCGAGTTGCAGAGCAACCAGGGGTCGTTAGACATCGAAGTCGGGGACGCCGAAGAGCTCGATGCTGGTGGAGAAGGGGAGCTGAAGCAAGGCCTGACGTCCAGACATATTCAGATCTTTGCGTTGGCTGGTATCATCGGAACAGGTTTGTTTGTTGGTTCCGGGTCTGCTCTGAGTGCTTCGGGCCCCCTGGGTCTCTTGATCTCGTACATTGTGCTGTCGTGCGTTGTCTACTTCATCATGAATGAGCTGGCAGAGATGGTGACTCTTTTTCCAAACGGTGGTGGTGCTATACATACGCTGGCAAAGCGTTATGTCGACGGATCGCTCAGTTTCGCCACTGGTTGGCTCTACTTCTACAACTACGCCATTCTGGTGCCAGCAGAAATCTCTGCTGCCACCATCGTTATCAAGTACTGGACTGATTCGGTCAATGTGGCCGTCTGGATCACGATCATGACTTTTGTTGTGATCATGCTGAACACGTTGGCCGTTAAGTTCTATGGTGAAACTGAGTTCTGGCTGGGTTCCATCAAACTGATTGCAATTGCCTGTTTGATCATCGTTGGTATTGTTATCTTCTTTGGTGGTGGTCCGGCTCAACACCATGTGTTAGGGTTCCATTACTGGAAGCACCCTGGGCCGCTGGTGAACCACTTGCATTTGAAGAATGAGAACACTGGTCGGTTTTTGGATATCTGGACAGCAATCATTAAGTCTGGGTTTGCTTTTGGTTCTGGACCAGAATTCTTCGTCATTACGACGTTAGAAGCTCAAGATAGAAGAAGAAATCTGATCAAAGGTACTAGAAGATACATTTGGAGATTGATTTTGATCTATTGCTTTTCGGTCATAGTTATTGGTGTGATTGTTCCTTCGAACAATTCCAAGTTAACAAGCGGGGAGTCGAACGCCAATGCTTCTCCTTTTGTCATTGGAATTCAATTAGCTGGAATCCGAGTACTGAACCATATCATCAATGCTGCTATATTGACGTCTGCCTTTTCTGCGTCAAACTCCTTCTATTTTGGAGCTTCACGTGTCTTGTACGCTTTGGCAAAAGACGGTAATGCTCCAAAGTTCTTGTTGACGACAAATAGATATGGAACTCCGTACTTCTGTACCACGTTTGTCGGTCTGATCTCTTTGATAGGCTACTTGAATGTCTCCAGTGGCTCTTCTCAAGTTTTCACTTGGCTGACCAATATCAGCACCATTGCGAGCTTCATTGGCTGGCTTATTATTGGAGCCATATACCTGAGATTTAGAAAGGCCATGGAATACAATGACATGTGGGATGTTATGCCTGTTAGAACCATCTGGCAACCATATGGGGCTTATGTCACCACTGTGTTCGTCGCTCTCCTGACCCTGACTAACGGGTATGCCATCTTTATGAAGGGCAACTGGTCTATTTCTTCATTCATGGCCGCTTATGTCACCATTGGTTATTTCCTCGTCTTTTACATTGGTCATAAGGTTTGGACAAGAAATTGGAGGCTATTTTATAAGGTTGAAGATATCGATGTTACCACTGGACTACAGGAAGCTGAGGAAGAGGCCAGAGAAGCTGAACTGCTTTATAAGAGTAACCCTCCAAGAAACATATTCGAAAGATTTTCAAACTGGTTGTTTTAATTGAGTTCAATACATATTCATTATGCAGAAGTTCAAGAAGAGTAGTCATACCTTACAAGTTAATGGGCGTGTTCTGATAGAGTGTTCGGTAGAGTGTTCGATAGAGTGTTCGATAGAGTGTTCGATAGAGTGTTCGATAGAGTGTTCGATAGAGTGTTCGATAGAGTGTTCGATAGAATGTTCGATAGAATGTTCGATAGAGTGTGCGAGATGAATTGCACTAAACCATTTACTAACGTCCATAACAAAAATGAACATGTAACTGTTGAGTCAATCTATGGTGAAGACGACTATCTACTGAATTGAGTACCAAAAATATAAATAAAATTTCCTAAGCTAACTATAACTCTGGTCTTCCAATACAAATTGGCCCTATATCAGGCTTCTCACAGCCATTGGATTCTCCTTTCAAATAACTTAACACAGCAGGCCCCCAGGCTGGACGTCTTTTGTACTGGCCTATGTGTTCTTGCATCAGCTCAATTCCACCAATTAACTCTTCGCCCAAACCTTCGTCCCTGATATCGGACATTGGAACCAGGAATTGTCTCACTGTGAAGATAATGGCACCAGTCTTTGGCAGACGTGTCAAAACCTGTCTTTCAGATCTGAAGAACACCTCTCTTTTGAAATCCAGTTTATCTGGGTCGAGAGACTCAATCTCTTCATCCTCCTTTCCTTTATTATCACCCATAGTGAAAATCTTGTTGTGAGTCTGTATAGCCCAATTGCTTCTGGTGACAAACTTGTATGGCTTCAGCTTGTCAAAGAACCTGTTCATTTGAGGTCTCAGCTTAGATTTATAATCTGGAACTGGGCCATGTAAGGAAGTCAGTGGAACTCCAAATCTCTCTAGTGGATCGAAACCAGCAGCAAACCCAAAAAACACAGCCTGCAAGCAATACTCTTCAGATCCATCGTGGTTGTCAGGATCTTGTAGTAAGACGACAAAGTCTTCTTCGACTGTATGCCCCAAATATGCAACCAGATTCTCTTTATCCTCAACACTATTTGGGTCCAGTGGAATGTACTCATCACGCAGAGAATTGTACAACTTATCCCCTTTGACCGAGAAATACTGAGGATATCTTCCCAAGAGAAAAGAAACTATGGTTTCATACAACTCTACCATGGCGTCAACGCCCATTTCAGATAAGTAAACTGTGTGCTTTCTAAGAAAAGGATCATCAACTTCACTTTTCTTCAAATCGGTGTAGTGCTTGTAAGTGTTCTCAATCAACAGCCATTCACTTGGATCCAGGTTCCGGATACCCATCACCATCTTATACTCGCCCTTCTTGAAAGGTCTGTATCTCAATGGCTCTTTCTCGCTCCATTGAATCTCGGGATCTGATGGAGTAATCTGAAGCTCTTCAAAAACTGGCGTTTCAATCCCACCATGGATCTTGGTAGTGACCGACACCGGCTTGGATGTCCCGTTAGCCTTTGACTCCTTCGAGCCACCACGGAAAGGCCCAGCAAGCGTCTCCTTCACCACAGATCTTGCCGACTCATCGAAAAGCTTGTAGACCAAGTAGCCTAGCAGTGGTAAGGTCAAACCTTTGTGAAGCAGTGATGATGTAGATAGGTCCAAGCTGGCAACGCTCATTATTTTTGGTTGTCTGACTATGACCAGCCCGCTTGATCAGGGAAGGCTACCATGATCTCTTAAATATAGTTTGGTTTATGCCCGTGATCTCATCCGGCTATCTCATGTTTGGCTGGTTGATCGGGGAGTCCTGCCTACATGGAACACAGCAGAAAGACAAACGCGATAACGAGCAAGAATTAAGAGCGAATCTTGAGTACGCATCTACGCAATGTGCTGCAACCAGATGACGTTCATCTACTTCCTTATTTAAAAACCTGGTCAAGAGTTTGCGCAAATCTCTTGACGCCCTCGGCCAGAGTTTCCTCATCAGTAGCTGCGAAAGTGCCTCTAAACATGATGAGAGGGCTTCTCTCCTCTCCGTCTTGAACAACTTCGAACCAGGAACCTGGGACCCAAACACTCTTATTGGCTATGTTTGTGCGATAGATGTCGTCTTCCAAGGCCAGCGGATCATTATTGTATCTTTCAGTGAAGTGTGGGTGGGCTGTGGCGTCAATTGAGATAGTGAAGAACATACCGGCATTTGGGATGTTGACGGTAACGAACGGCTTGTCTCCCAAGGTGCTCAAAGCAGTGTCAATGGCGACATTTCTCTTGTTTGAGTATTCTTCACGTAGGGCCTTAAGCCACTGAAGATAGCCATCCTGTCCCCAGTATGCCAAAGTCTCGTATAAAATGAGCGATGCAAATCCGGAAGGATTTTGAATTGTCGTTTCGAAGTCTCGAGCAAATCGTTCTATGAATGGCTTCTGCGCAATAATACTTCCAATACGAGTTCCAGGAGCCAGGATCTTCGAGAAAGAGTCCAGTCTAATGACACGGCCATCAACGTCGAACTTCAGAAAGGAAGGCACCAAACTTGCCAGAAATTCTTCGTCCGACGGTCTTCTCGAAGAGACGTTTCTGTTAGACTCCTCGACATAATCCTCCAATTGTAGGAAATAGTACGGCTCGTCCTCAACAATGATGATATCATACTTGGACGCGATCTCGTAGATCAACTTTCTTCTTTCCTCAGGAATCGTAGAGCCAGTAGGGTTCTGGCCTGTTGGAACAGTGTAAATCAGCTTCGGGTACTTGACTCCCTCTTCCCAGTTCTCCAATGTTTTTGCCAGTGATTCCGGAATGATTCCATGCGAATCAATATCCATTGTTACCAAGTTCAATCCTTTGGCTCTGGCAGTCTCCAGTGCTGAGGCAAAGGCGTACTTTTCGACAAGAATGGAATCACCCCGGTCGGTGAATGTTCTCAAGACAGCTTCCCACGCATGAGTAGAACCAGCAGTAAGAATTAGATCCCAGTCGTCGTTTGAGATATCTCCATGAACAAGTCTGGTGTGCTCTTTGATAAACTCAACGAGCGGCTTAGGGCCCGTTGCGGAAGCATACTGTAGACCAGATGAAAGAGGCAGCTTGTCACCAACCTCGACAACCAACTCATTCGATTCATTCGAAAACGCTTTCAGCCCATCTTCAAAGGGTGGCTTTCTGGTCTTGAAGCTAATCGATTCCCATGCGAAGTATTCAGGCAATGGTAAGCCACTGGCTAAGAAGGCAGTATCCGGCTGTTTATACTGTGCGATGGTCTTGAGGAGCGAATTGTTTCTTGCCTTTGCTTCAAGAGAGAGCAAATGGGATAGATCTTTTGTCATTTCCCCTTGAAACCACTGTAGCGCCGTAGTAATGTGGTGATCGCTATGTGCCTAGTACTCAGCTTGAAACTCAGCTAGATATATATATATATATATATATAGATAGATAAATAGATAATAGATAATGTAGATAATAACAGAAATATATCCTCGGCGCCTCTTTCCTCTGATCTACAGACAGGAAGCTTACAACGAGCAGTACGGAATATAAACAAGATGCGGAGATATCGATGTGTTATTGATCTATAAATGCAGTTCATGCTTCACTATAAACGTCACAAGTATGGGTAAGCTCAGCACCAAGGCTATGTACTGAAACAGGTAGGTTAATGCCAAATAGTTCATCTGCAGGTCCCCTCCGTCTCCCTTTCTGGTGCTGCTTCCATCAATCTGAGCTTCAGAGTCGTAGCTCTTCGAGCCCATCTCGTTGTCACTCAACGGCTGCGACATTGCAGTGAGGTAGACCAATATGGTAGCGTTAGGCAAGCCCCAGACGATGCAACAAACAAACTGCAAGATGTTATCACTGTTGAACCAGCCAGCGTGACTCATTCCATGGACCACCAGCACGCCAATTATTGGGAGAATGCATAATCTCATCACTCCTGTGAGCAGTGGGGGCAGTATTCTGCAAGATCCATCAAATGTGAGACTTGAAATGGTTGATCCCACCATAAGAAGACCCAGAGGAACACAGGCTTGCGATATGTATGAGACAAAGTCCATGAGGAAGGATAATGGTGGCTCACCATCTGGAGCGGTTTTCATACTGACATTTGCTGAAACAAACAAAGCCTTCGTCCATGGAATCAGACATAAGACAAACCCTACTATGATGGTTATCGAGACCAGGTTCTTGGTGTTATCGACAAAGAACAGCACACCTTGCCATATCATCTTGGGGATACTTTGCTTCCGATCGGCAGAAATCGTTATTGTATGTTCAGCAACACCGTCAGACTTGGAACTACTTGGACATTGCATCTCCACGTCATCTTCTATCCGTTCCTTGAAGTCCAGGCTTGTAAGTTTGAATCCCCCAAGGTTGAATTGAACCACCATCTGGAACGCAGTGAATATGACAATGTATGCTGTGCCCTTGTTCACCTGATCAGCCGTGAACAGTATACCAGACAATGATTGTAGATACGCAATTGGTAAGTCACTGATGTTGATGAACAACCCCGTTGAGAGACACCCACCCATCCAGCCCACAGGCTTCGTGAGCACAGCAATAGCTGCTGCCCCACTCAGTCCCACACAGTACAGAACAGTGCTCACCAAGATTATTATACCGATATCCTTCAAGTCGTCGATGGATATATATGAAATGAGGTTCTTGAGAATCAGACATGGGAAGAGCACCATCATGATAACTGTGGATATCTTCCTCCGTGCAATCGTATCGATAACATTGGTCTTACCCAGGTAGTATCCACAGCCAATGATGAGATAGATCTTGAAGATCGGTTTGACGGATATGTAGATCAAAGAGCCTAAATCCACCATCTCGAAATCTTATCTCCAACGCTCATCTCCAAAGCTCATCTCCAAAGCTCTCCGCCACTGCTGGAGAATGCGAAACGCAACGCTACTCTTTTATAGCACATCCATTGCACAGTGGTTTATTTGAAATCAGATTGGTTGCACTTAAACACGTTACTCCCAGGGAAGGGAAGGTCTAATCGCTTCGCTTGCCGCTTAGTCCGTTTGCAGGAAACTTTCCCCGACGGAAAGCCTCTTGCATCGATTAAGCGTCCTCGGCCTCTCCTGCCTCTTCTTCCCGCAAAGGCAAGTGTGTGGGAAAGAGTAGAAGCGAATTAGAATGATACTTCTACAAATATATGAATATATAAAGGTATGAGATCCTCTACGTTCTCGTCTTGTTCTGAATTCTCTCATCTATCATCTATCGTCTATCGTCTATCACATTAACTACAATGGTTGCTACTAAGAAATCCGACTTGATTGTCACTTTGAACAACGGTGCTAAGATCCCTCAATTGGGATTCGGTACTTACTTGGCTGAGAACGACGATGCGTACACATCTGTCTTGCATGCCTTGAAGTCGGGCTACACCCACATTGACACTGCTTCCATCTATGAGAACGAAGACCAAGTTGGTAAGGCTATCAAGGACTCCGGTATTCCAAGAGAGAAGCTCTTCATCACCACCAAAGTCTGGCCAACAGCTGCTGATGATCCTGCAGGATCCTTGGAGAGATCTCTTGCTCGTTTGGGGTTGGACTACGTTGATTTGCTTTTGATCCATTGGCCAATCCGTCTCTTCACCAGATACTGCAAGGACGATTCTCCAATCGATTTCCAAATTCCAGTCAAGCCTGATGGAAGCAGAGATATCGACATGGACTGGTCTTTTGTCAAGACTTGGGAATTGTTCCAGCAATTGCCAACCAGCAAAGTCAGAAACATCGGTGTCTCAAACTTCTCCATCAACAACTTGAAGGAATTGTTGGCTGCTCCAACTACTACTGTCAAGCCAGTTGTGAACCAGGTTGAACTTCACCCACTTTTGCCACAAACCGAGTTGTTGAAATGGTGTCAAGACAACGACATCTACTTGCAAGCCTACTCTCCATTGGGTTCCGTTGATTCTACTTTGTTCAACCATCCAGTCTTGACTGAGATCGCTCAGAAGTATGGTGTGTCCACTGCTCAAGTCATGATCAACTGGGCATTGTCTAGAGGATATATCGTTTTGCCAAAGTCCGTTACTCCTTCCAGAATCGAGTCCAACTTGGAAATCTTTGAGTTGTCTCCAGAAGATGTCGCCAAGGTCAGCAAGATTTCTGTTGATGAAGGTGAGAAGAGATTTGTTACACCAAACTGGGCTCCATATCCAGTTTTCCAATAAGTGTATCAAGTGTTCGCTAGAATAGAAGCTTAATATAGAGATCTTACTGTGAATACAGTGTAGGCATAGAGCTGTGCTCTCTATTGGGTAGTACTGAGTCATATGAGACGCACACTAATGGTCCCTGCTTAGTGACCTTGCATCAGCAAATCGAACAATAACAGGACGAGTAGAACAGTGCGAGTGTAGGTAGGAGTTACCAAGGGAAACACTGGGAATATACCATATATGCTATAAGTTAGGCAGCTGTTAAGGAAGTCCAGATTTGTGTCATCTTTTTCAAAAGATTTTCAAGCTCTATAATATCGTGAATGTATTATTTCGCCCCAGTTTAGGGTATAAAATGATCACTTTCGAGTTTCTGTCATCTGCATTTGGCTGTACAGACAAGAATGTAGCCACACTTCATTATATAGTGTAAAAGTATCACAGAGGGCATAAACATTCAAGTGCATGAGAGTGCTCCTCCGTAGCATTTGGATAGCAGAAACTGGCTGATTTATACTCAACGCATGCTGTCGGTTGAGATAATTCTAATTCTTTGCCGGTACTTTATGTGTAAGCTGCATGGCAGACACGAATTTTTATCAACACCTTATCAGGTTAAGGGACAATGTTAGAGCCGTAATTGACAAACAAAACTCATTCGAATCATCTATCGAAGATGGAGCAGCATACAGAAGAGACATCTAGAGTGAATGAGAGAGTGAATATTGATCAATTTTAATATCTTCCATGCTAACTTTTTCAGAAATTTAATTCAGTCTAGTTTCAGATGCATTTTAATGTGCAGGACTTGAAACTGAATAAAACCCCCTAATAATGAATATTATAGTACACTAATCATAACACGCATATATAAAACACATTTACTGAGACTTATTTAGATGATAGTATTGCTATGGAAGTACCAGTCAATGATAGGTCTGAGGGCCGTGTACAACCCGCAAAACACCCGGACACCATTACACCCGGACACCGTCACACCCGGACACCCGGACATACCTTTCAGCTGAGGCTGTGCTACGCAGTTTGGGTTTCAAACTGTTGTTGTTGTTTGAAGAGAGCACAAGAGATGCGCTTGTCAGGAGCCTTCTGAAGCCTTCTGAAGCCTTTGCTCTTGACAGACAGGAAGCTCAGATTCGTGTCCAGGAGGCACTCGAAAAGTCCACGTTTTACGGACATCTTTCGGGCTTCGTTTGATGCAACGGACCAAGTGCTGCATTATGTCTTTGGAGCCATTCCGTCTGCTTTGGTCAACAGTTGATTCGCTCGTTTCCCTCTCTTCAGTGCTTCTCGTAACAGATTGATTTGGTGCTTGCAGTAGCGCACGATGTCAATGCCATGTGACCGTAGATGTTAGGTGAGATTAGAGCTTGATCCGTGCAACCTGAACAACAACAAAGTCAAGGTGCAGCAGTGACTCGCATTTCACTTCATTGTATACTGTTGAAGTCTGCTTTGCGTCGATGTCACGCAGGCCTGAGAGGGAATGGCGTCCTTCGAGTAGCACACCCACAGTAGCTCATTGACTCCTCTCTCGCTCTGTGTCGTATTAGGCATCCTGATGGCTCTCGGCGCGCGAGAAGAAGGCAGCTCTGATACACCACAGGTAGAATGAAGAAGGGGACTACCAGCTGACGATACCGAGGTGCATAGTAATCTGCAGACCACTGTCACGATGCTTATCATGCCATTCTGTTTAGGTCAAGGCCATCGTCGACAAGGCCAAAATACCCTGGCTGAGTCCCCTTCCGTACTGTTCTCTAGGCAAGCCATTGCCGACAGATCGCACAAGGCATATCGGACGTCAACGTTGAAAGAGCCGGCTACGGAGAGGATAGTTTAGTTACGATCTTTAGCATTTGGGGGGGGGGAGAGATCATCAAGCGTGGGCAGTTTCCCAATTAGTCAACTAAGAATCGCACTCTGTTTCCGATTTATCACGTCTTCAACACTACAGCAGCCAGTTCACAGGGTGTTCGAACACATTGCACTGCAAAATGGTCCGATTGTCAAATACTCACTCACAAGTACTTAGTCGCACGGTTGTCGGGATTTCCTTCCCTCGGGGTCTCCTTCCCTATTTTTCGTCCTAGGCAAGGCCCACTGAAGCTAAGCTTCCGCCAGAACGCCTTTAGGGCAGCGTCGTGGGCCGATTCATATTCACACATCTATCTTTCAGCCTATCTATCAGCCTATCTATCAGCCTATCTACCAGCCTATCTATCAGCCTATCTATCTATCAGCCTATCTATATATATGTGTCTATCAGAGCCCAGAATGTTTGGTCATGCTTCGTAGATAACGAAAGCTCAAAGCTGCAACTACCATGCTCATCTTTGATTCTCTCGACCAGGTTATCTTAGGGGGATTGGCTCTTTCTGTAGCTGCCCACATCGTCAAGTTCGTTTCGAAGCCGGAGAAGAGCCTGGAGGAGAAGGCTAGATCGTCCGACAACATTTCCCATGTTAAGCCTTCCATCAAAGAAGCCTTAGAAGGGAACAAGAAGGACTATGCTGTTCTGTATTCTTCCCAAACAGGAACTTCACAGGATTACGCTTCCAAGTTCGCCAAAGAATTATCAGCACGCTTTGGCTTGAACGTGTTGCTAGGAAACTTACAAGACTATGACTTCGAAGACTTGAATAAGTTAGGTGAGAACACCGTTGTTTCATTCTTCATTTCTACTTATGGTGACGGTGAATTTGCCGATGATGGCTTTGACTTCGAGCAATACCTTTCGAGCAGCCCAGATCTATCGAACCTGAAGTACACATTGTTTGGATTTGGTAACTCATCATATGATTATTTCAATGGGGCGTGTAAGAAGGCTTCTCAATATCTGGAGCAGAGCAAAGCTAACCTAATTGGCAGTGTGGGACTGGCTGATGATGGGGAAGAGACTGTTGACGAGGACTACTTGAACTGGAAGGTTGAGGTATTTGATCTGATCAAGAGCTTCCTCGGGCTGACAGAGCATGAGTTCAAGTTCGAATCAGCTCTTAAACTGGAACAATTGTCATCACCACCAGCTAAGCTGTTTCTTGGTGAACCTGACAACTCATACCTAAATGAGAAGACAGATCTATCCTTGGGGCCTTTTGACAATTCTCATCCATACCTTGCACCAATTGTCAAGACCAAGAACTTGTTCTCCTCGCAAAGATCTTGTATTCATGTCGAGTTTGATTTATCGAAGACCAATCTACGTTATTCCACAGGCGATCACGTCGGTGTTTATCCATCGAATAGTGACGAGAAACTGGATGAGTTCTTCCAGATAACTGGATTTGCAAATAAGAGAGACTATATCTATAGCATCACGGCAATGGACTCAACATTCTCGCTTTCATTTCCTACACCAACAACGGTGGAGTCTATCTTCCGTTACTATAAAGAGATCAACGCCCCAGTCTCTGGAAACTATTTGAATACACTCAAAGAGTTTGTTCCAAACTCCAAATGTTTGGAGACAATTGACAGATTGATCAACGATAAAGAGCTATACCGGGAAGAGGTGTTTTCAAAGAAGTTCAACTTTGCAGAATTGTTGTCATACTTGTCGAACGGTGAGGTCTGGAACTCTTTGCCATTGGAATATTTAATCGAGACCTTGCCAAGTTTACACCCACGGTATTACTCAATCTCATCATCATCGCTGGCTGAAAAGACCTCGATTCATATTACAGCAGCCGTGGAAGATGACGAGAAGATTGGTGATAGACGGATCACTGGTGTCACAACTAATCTGTTCCATGAGCTCCAGATCAAGCAAAATGGAGAGGACGTCGAGCCTATCCTACATTATGATTTGCAAGGACCTAGAGGCAAGTATGGATCGCCATATAAGCTCCCTATATTTGTTCGTCGTTCCACATTCAAATTGCCCGTCAGTCTCACGACACCTGTTATAATGATTGGGCCAGGCACTGGTGTCGCTCCATTCAGAGGCTTTGTCAGGGACCGGGTTCATAGGGTCAAGAACCAAGGACTCACTTGTGGTAAGAGCTTGCTGTTCTATGGCTGTCGCTCTTCAGTGCAAGACTTCCTGTATAAACAGGAGTGGGAAGACTACAAGAGAGTCTTAGGTGATTCATTCGAGATGGTCACTGCCTTCTCAAGAGAGAGCGAACAAAAGGTCTATGTCCAGCACAAGATGATGGAGCATGCACAGGAGATTGCGCGTCTCGTGGACAAGGGTGCGTACATCTACATCTGCGGCGATGCAGCTAGAATGGCAAAGGACGTCAATAAGACACTGGTGAAGATCCTTGTGGAGCACAGGGGTGTCTCTGAAGAGGAGGCGAAGAAGACGCTGTTGGACTTGAAGAGCGTGAGAAGGTATCAGGAGGATGTGTGGTGAGGTGTGCCATAGTGTTGAATCATCTATTTCAGTTCTGTATCTTTTAGCATCAGCATTGTAGCGCAGGTTGGGGATAATCTTCCCGGACAGTTGAACGCAAGCACTGGCATGGGCTGGGCCTGGCAGGATGTATGGCACTGAAGCGAGATGTAGTGAGCTCAGGGTATCAATAGTCTGAGTTGGAGCTAATTTACTGCTGCCTTTAGACCGTTACCACACCTGTGAATCCCGAAGCTGACGAGTGGATGATACTGCTGGACTACAAAGAGGCCATTACGTCCTCCATAGTGCCGTTAGAATGAACATTAGAATGATGCTAATGAAAATGCCCAAACGGTCTCCAAATCCACACAGAAGTATACCACTCGGTCTTTGACACTTTAATCAAGAGACCCACCAAGTAGGGGCATGCGGTCTTAGACGCTTTCTGAGATATCACCTTTCATAAAGTGATCAAATTCGTCAGAAAAGGCATAAATTTGCCTATAGCTCAACAATCAGTCAAGATTGGGACAGCCTGGTCTTGTTGGTTGTAGAACTGATCTATCTGATCATATATACAGACTTTTGAATTGATTGAATGAGTAGTTCTTCCATAATGCTGTCCACTTTCTTCAAATATGTAATGCTGGTTCTTCGTTACCCCTAGCAAGCTCAACAATGCACGGAGGTTGTGGCTATGACCTTCAACGAGTCACACAGTCGCACATCCACAGGCAAAGCTGGTATCAACATGAGTCCGAGATGCGTTGTTGATGGTTTGCGTTGCCCTTTCGAGATTGACCAATATTGATAACGCTTACATGCTTTTACTGAAAAAAAAACTATACAATAATCAAGATGTTCACACTACCGTCAAGTGTTTGGAAAAGTGAACAATCACATGAACGACGAGATCAGTTCTTTCTTTTCTGTACTAAACACGACTTAGATTGGTATCATTCTGACATCCACACCGTATACACCCTTGCGACGATATATACCAAACCAATATCATCAACAGAGGACCAGAGTCGTGGAATCAATATACCACGGACTGCGTAATACAAGCTGATCACCAAGGTGCCAGTGGTTTCAAGACTCACATCCTGGAATACTCTGATAAATAGTACTCACTATACAGAGGCTTTACAAATCAACTTGCAAAGCATTGTATTACGAAGAAGATATCTAATTGAACTACAACTCTGAGCTTCAGAGAGATAGTTGGCAGTTAACAAGAGGAGACTGCCAATTCTGAGATTATAGAAAGCAGATCTTCTGGCTTGAAGCTGGCTTCCTCAACATGACTGGACTGGAGCCTCTAGTCTCACGTGCAAGTCTCTACAGTGCAACCAATGCCTCATACACTGCGACCTTTTGATCATAATGTTAACATGATCATTGGTCAACTCACTTGCAGATCATAGGAAACCACCATTATCACCCCATAGCAGTGGTTGTATAGGTTTATGACCAGAATTGGGCAAACCGTCAGCTTGCCTAACCAGTCTGAACCACTGTCTAACCTTCTGCAACCACCATTGGTACGAGCTTCTACGTAGAGTTGGTTCCTGAGAACCGTGTATATGTGCTTATATATGTGTGTTCCTACTCTTACCTCTAATATTGGTGATGTTTATGTTACAGCTGATAAGATGCCGCAACTACACACAGGCATCATCAGCTGTAACTGAGCTATCAATGCTTTCAGTAAAACAATCACAACGAGCTTGTATCAGCAGTATAACTCCCTGAAGCATGCAGACAGTGACCATCTCACGGTATCGTTATATAGCGAAAGCTGATGATGCTTCACCATGGTAGTTATGGCAATGGTGGCTACAGCAGTTGCAGTAATAGTAATAGCGTATCAGTCATTATCAGTCAATCTTGTTCATATATATAAGAGGCTTGAGAGGGAATCACTTGTTCCAGATCCACCCAGACTTGTTCTCGTTGGACAAGTCCTCCAGAACCGGAGGCTCGCCATCCTTCGGAATGAGCTTTCTGAACTTCTTCTTCTCCTTCGAGCCATCAGGGAATCTCTGGTGGATCTCCGTGATCTCCTCGATATCACCATTGTCCAGAGTACGGATGCGAACAGACTTCGAGGAGCTGGTATACCCGTTCTGGTACTCTGAAACCTTTGTATTGTCCTTCTCCACCGCAGGCAAGTCAAAGTCCAGGTCCTTAGCGTGCTCATCGTAGATCTGCTGGATGTTCTCACGCTCCTTCTCGAACCTGATTGTCTCATCGTACTTCTGCTTGACGAGTTTGCGCATCTCCAGATTCCAATCCATCAAGCTATTATAATCCTTGAAGAACAAGCCATGCTTGTTCTCAGAATCATTAGAGACATCGCTGTATGACAGCTCGTCATTGTAGTTCGATTTGGATGGGAACAGACATCTCCACCATCCCTTATCGTCCCAAGCGGATACGCCGTCACCCTCCTTACACTGCTGATACTCAGTGGTGGAAGGCGTAGGGTACGCACTGAGCCCTCTGCTGTTCCATCCACCTTTCAGATTACCGAAGTAGTCCCAGTTATCCAGCACCCTGTCAACGTTGAGGAAAGGCTTGAACCAGTATCTCCCGATGGAATCGACTGTATGGTCCCTCGTCAGGTTGAACCCACCATACTCAGACGCTCTATCGACAAAGCCCTGTGCCTTCTGTTCGGTGTACTCCTTATCCTTAGCAGAGCCGGTGTAAAATCCCATAGTATCGATCGTTTGTAGTTCTTCTCCAAGCAGACAGCTGTCTATAGAAAGCAACGGAAGGTGATGGAAGAGCATCGTGGCCCATAATTGAACAAAGAATATGGCACAGGGCTCCCGGTGGCGATACACGCGGTGGCGGTGGCGGTGTGCGGTGGCGGTGGTGTGCGGGTGTTGATGCTTACGTAATGCGAAAATAATTGTGTCATGTTACAGCCGTACACCTCACACACCTCTTTTTTGACAAGGCGCAGCTACGGCACTCAGCCACACTTCTCAGGTGAAGATAACAGCTCTTGGTGCCTTGCGAAAGAGCCACTGTTTCTGCTCCGTTGGGTTGCTCAATGGGCTTGATCGACAAGAACTGCAGGGCACAAGCACGCCCTTCACAGTTGAGCACATGACGACAGCGCATTGGCAAAATACTCCACGCTGAATCAGTGTCTTGTAGAGGTTCAAGAAGCGGGCCTATGGAATGAGGCATTGGAGCACTTGTTTCTCTCCCTATCATCATCAATTGATATATACACATATATATAATGTGGATATATAGATAATCATAGCCACACTGTAACCTCCACGTAGAAGTTGTCAGCTGACGCAGTGCCTCCCTCGCTTCACATCTACAGACAGCGTCAGAGAGAGGTTTAAGGCCCTTCATCCACACAGCTGGAGGCATCACCAAGAGAGGAATAAGACGGGAACCACACGAGAGCTGTATTAAGCCACACTTGTGAGACCCTCATTTCACACTCAAGCTGTATTATTTGGCGTATTTGACAGCTTACTTTCCAATTTACGACAAACAGGTGAGGAGTTAGGGAGAAATGTGGAGGGTCTATTATTCCGGCATTATGCGTATAGCGACATGTCTTCGTACGCAAATCATCCATTTCAAAAGTGTGTATGCACTTGTCCAGGTGCTGGCCACACAGAGCACTCGTTGTATATACCGTTATGGAAAGTTAAACGACTTCAATTGGCAGATGTGCATGAGGCACCACCAGTTTCATGTAGAACAAGACTGAGCCATAATGATCCAACACTTTCCAATGCAATGAGGAGAGGAGTGGTGTAGGCGTCACCAATGTGCGGTGGCTTTGGAACATGAACATAGACAGAGAGCCTCATATGTGTGATCTTCTCATATGCAACAGGGATAGTACATATCTTTGAGAATTTTGATCCACAGTCGCAACATGGAGCACGTCGTCGATATTCATCTCACATGCTGAGCTGCTGCCAACGGAACAACCATGCTTATATATATATGGACCTTTGCAGATCAATGGTTATCTCTAGTTATCATCTCTTCAGAGCAAGGAATACTTACACACGATAAAACAAACCATGTCGAAGTCAATAACACCTTTCGATGAGAAGGACGCCTTCGAGGTGGACATTGATCCTATCGAACACCCAACAGCTTCAGACACCGAGAGTGAGCAGCTTAATGCTCTTGGTGCACCTGTGGAGAAACATAACCCGTTGGGTTTACAGTTGAATTATGTCTCTCTGTTCTATATGATTGTCTCTGGAGTGGTGGGAACAGGTATCTTTGGTACACCTGGTTCCATCCTCAAACAGATCGGTTCTGTTGGTGCATCGTATGTGCTGTGGGTTGTTGGGTTCATCATCACCCTCTTTAGAGTGTTGATCTACGCCGAGTACGTCACGTATTTCAAAGATAGATCAGGTGGTGATGTTGCATACCTCGAGCAGGCGTATCCAAAGCCGGAATTCTTGGTGCCAACCACCTACGCTGCCATCAACGTGGTGTTTTCATTTGCAACCTCGTCAGCCACGGCCTTTGGCTCCTATATCCTTCAAGCTGCAAATGTTGAAAGAACAACGTGGAATCAAAGAGGTATCGGTGTTGCAGCTTTGGCATTCACCACTATCATGTCAGCTCTCAGCACCAAATGGAGTTTGAGACTGGCAAACTTCCTGGGACATGTCAAGATCATTACCCTCTTGTTCATTGCTATCTCAGGCTTTGTTGTGCTTGGTGGTGGTACCAAGGTTGAGAATCCGACAGCCAACTTCCGGAACGCATGGGAGGGTACGACGACTGACCCAAATGCCATAGCAAACAGTATCATCAACATCTCCTTTTCATACGGTGGTACTGGCTATGCGTTCAACTTGGTTTCCGAGATGCCGTTGAAGAAGAGACTCAAAGGCTTCAGAGTCCTTGTGCCAATCACCTTCTTCTTCCTGTTCGTGATGTACATCCTCTGTGTCACTGCATTCTTTGCAGGCTCTGGCTCTCTGGAAGAGTTGAAGCAGTCAAGTGTCCTCACTGCTTCTCTCTACTTTGAGAACATCTTTGGAGTGCCGGGGAGAAGAGCACTTGATGTCCTGGTTGCCCTGTCTGCCCTCAGTCATCTGTTCGTGGTCATAGTGGGCCATTCGAGATCCTTGCGTGAGTGTGGTCGTCAAGGTGTTCTCCCATACACAAACTTCTGGGTCTCTGTGAAGCCCTTTGACACCCCATTGGGTCCAATCCTGGTTACCTTCATCATCAACATCATTGTGCTTCTTGCACCACCAGCAGGTGATGCATATAACTTTGTGATTTCATTGGGGTCATATTCTGGTTACATCTTTGACTTCTTCCTCTCCTTAGGCCTACTGCTAGTGAGAAGACAGAGAAAGCAAAGAGGGCTTCCAAGTGCTGGGTTCAAAGTCCCACTGCCTCTAGTGATCATTCAAATATTGTTCCAGTTGTTTGTCATTGCTATGCCATTGGTTCCTCCAAGCAACGGCTCGTTGAAGGGGTCCAACGTCAGCTTCTTTTACGCAACGTACTGTATAGTGGTGATTGGCCTCTTCCTTCTGTGTATTGCTTACTACATCGTTTGGCAGTTTGTGCTTCCAAAGTACGGTAAGTACGCACACAGGGTTGAGCTCTACACTTTGGAGAACGGTGCCAAGGGACATCGTGTCGTCAAAGTGCCATTGGACCAGGTGGAGGAGTGGGATAAAACCAAGACCCATATTCATCTAAGTGCGCCTGCAGAGGACAGTGACTCTCACATCTCTTTGGACGAACTACCAACGGCATCAACGACAAAAGCTTAGATAACTATATCACGTGTGTTTCCAGTACTATTTGTGTTTTGTTTGTTCACATGATCAATAAATACAACGTTTCTCTCCCTTCTAAGCGATACACCTCTCATACCTTAGAGAAGTCAAAGTCAAAGCTGGAACCACAGCCGCAACTGGAAGCCATATATGGGCTGTCCACAACTTTGAACATGCTTCCAATCAGCTCTGTGGTGTAGTCAACAACACTTTCCCGTAGAATGCTCAACGATGCATCATCTATCATCACATGAGCACCATCTTTCTCAAATATACAATCATCCTCGGTCTTTTCAGCCAAGTTCGACAGATGGAGGTTGTATTGGAACCCATGACAACCTCCACTCTCAACGGCGATCCTGAGGGCAAGATCGGGATTCTTCTCTTCCTCTGCGATGGACTTCAGCTTTGCAACCGCACGCTCACTGATGTCGATAGTCAGCAGCTTGCCATCGTCTGTGTACTTCTTGTTATGGATCTCCAGCTTGCTCCCACTCTTGAAGTTTCTCCCAGTATTGGCCAATGACGTTGGAGCCCTCTTCTTCATCTGTGCTTGAGAAGAGTTGAAACGCATTGGAGGAAGATACCTCACGGTTCTTATGGTTCTGCCTCGATTAGCAACTCTTAATGCGTTCAGTGATAGCTTTAACATCGTTCAGTCCTCTTGATCACAGCACTTGAGTCGTTCTTGCTAGAGCAAAATGGAAAGGGTATTAGAAATAGCACTTTTCTGACAAATTCCGAAGCTCGGACGCGCAAGCCGGATCTGGCGAGAAGTCCGGCGATTGCGAACCGGAAGTTGATTATATAATTGTAATATAATTATCATTACTTTATGATTGTTGTGCCATGGTTCATGTGTTCATCAGTAATCATCGTCTAGAACAATGGAGTGAGGATAAGACGATGTAAGTCCAGCTGACGTGTTCGGTGGTTGAGATTCAGGTCCGAAAGTGTTGTCAAGCATCTCAATGTCAACGTCAGGTTCATCATCTTTGACTTCTTCAACCTTCGAAGAGTGAACCAAAGCGTGTTCGGTACCTGCTTCCTCAGCATTGAGATACCCCCGTTTGCTAGGTATTAAGTTCTGCGCTAAAGACGAACTGTTCTTCTTATGTGGGGGACGAGATACTGATTTGGCAAATTTTCTTGGCCTGGTCTTCTTCAAAGGTGTGTTCTTGTTCTTATCGTGGAATCGCCTCGTTGAAGACATCGTAACGGTTGTGTCCCCATTTTTTGCCGGAGATGTCTCTTCAACTTCTTCAAACGACGATATAGATCTGGAATCTGTTCCTTTTAATCCATTACCATCATCAGCAATTTGCTTTTGGACAGGGCCATCACTTGCTATACTGAAACTGCCCTTTCCTCTATTGTTCGAGTTTTGGCTCTCAATCTGGTCAATGGAATGGTCAGATTCAGCCCTCATATTGAGATATTGTTCAGGTTTATCTATATCGTCGATTTCCATCTGAGAGTCCTTGTCTGGTGTTTCTGCACCTGTGGGATTCATATCTTCATAGTTGGTGTTCTCAGACATTTCTTGAAACCCATCCTCTTCCATCATTTCCGAGCGATCATCAGTAGTATTTTTGTTTATACTAGAGGTTCCTGGATCCACATCCTTATCATCGTTTTGACCTTCCTCATCACATTCCTCCAATTTCGCATCATTTTCTCTCTGACCCTCGATTCCTGTTTCTTCGCTATGTTCTCTAGGTTTTTGAAATTCTTCGGGTTCTAAGAACACAATATCATCTTCATCAATATCTTCATCTTCTTTTGCTTCTTCATGCTCTGGAACATATCCTTCTTTCTCTATCATCTCTTGTTGTAAAGTTAAGAGTATTTCTCTCAACCTGGCTCTCCATTCATCTCGCTCCCTACTTAAAAACACCTTGTACATTTCACCACGTTTAGTGATCCTTGAATCCCAAAATGAGACGCATTTCTGTTGATCCTGAAGGAATTTGTACACGTTATAAATAACATGAATACCACAATCGTTGAAATTTGGTTGCTTTGGGACCTGAGAATTCATCAGTTTGATTCTTTCTGGGTCAATCTCTAATTTGTGCTTATCCTTTGCATATCCCAATATGAAATTGCGAATTGGTTCTAGTATGGAATCATGCTGCTGTGCCAAAGAATCAAAGCAATAAACAGTACAATCACCTTCATCTTTTGTCAATGAATCTATGTTGTACACAATCGAGCAATACCAGTGAAGACTTTCATTTATCGGTATTATGAGAAAGCGTTTCTTGAGTATATCATCCTTTGATAACCAAGATTGGATGTTGTGATAATAGTTTGGTGATGATGTCAATTTGGTAAAGAAAAAAGTCGAAAACACTCTGAAATCCTCTAGCGACAATGTCGATCGCTTTGTTTCCTCCTGTGTGAAATATTTCAGAAAGAAGTCAATTAAAGTGTCGTTAATCCATTGACTACCGTAAAGGCATTTGAAATCTGCATCACTGATTCTAAACTTGGATTGATCGGAAAATAAGTACTGTAGATCTGGTTTGAACGGTTTTCTTTCCCTTCTTGGTCTCCTTCTCGGAGCAGGTGTTAGCGGATCTTCTGCATCTATCTCGATGGTATCTGTGGTCTTTCCCGAAGATCTCAAGCGACGTGGTACTAAAGGTGTGGGAACAACTGGTGAATAGAACGCCTTTGTTGGTGTAACCGTTTCAGATGTTACCTTTGTGCTTGTCTTTGGAGCTGTGCTGATTGTAGAAATGGCAGGTGATGAAGATATGGACTCCAACCTTATAGGTTTCCCAAGATCTTTCTTTGCATTAGAGCTCTTTTGCGAGAGCGATGTACGTGGGTTTAACTTATCCAAAGATTTAAAAGGTTTCATAAATTTGGATATAGCTTCAGACGAGTTTTTCAGCACCGAGTGTAAATCATCATTTGATTTCTCATCGATGCGGATATTCACTTCTAGGTATCTGTCCAGTATTTCCAAGAACTTAACAAGATTTGATGCGCTCATTGAGAATAGAATGGAGTGGAATGTTAATCCGTCGTATCTCAATGGGTTCTTCAACAGAATCAACAATGCAGTCTTTGAATGTATCATCCTTCTCAAATCGGTCGCCATTACTTTTGTTACCACTCTGCCATCGAACTCCAGATTGAAGTGTGTTAATTGAGGATCAAAGCTTAATCGTACCTCGCCATCCTTATGATTGAATATTCTCATGTCTTTACCCAGACTTGCCCGTTCCGAAGCAATGGTCACTTTGTTGTAATCTTTGATTTGCGAAACATACTCCAAATCAGAAATATTCAGCACTTTGTACTTAGTAACGACAACATCGTTCGCCTCTGTATCACTAAAGACATCCTTCGGAGACAATGGTGGGAGAGGTGTATCGGTAGAAGATACCGCTGGCATGTGCAGCTCCACAGTGACAGGTCTCCGTACAGCTGTTGCTCTCCATTTGTTACTCCCGTACTTGTTCTTACTGGCACTGTAGGGATTCAGCAGCAAAGTATCATCAGATTCCACGTTTATGGGTCTGATGAACTTGTTTCGTATCTTTTGGGATGGTGAAGGAGCCAATGGTGAAGAACTGAGTCATCGGGTTAGTTGGATCATTATGGGAAACGACAACCGTTTGATACTCACCTTAAAGTGTTCAATGGCACAGTCCCCTGTGTACGTATCTTCTTCCTTGATCTCGCCATCTTTGTCGCTGTTATTGGAACCAGCGCCCTGTCGAGATCCTTAGCCGCCAGTGGTTTGTTTACCTTTTCTTGTTGTGCTTTTGTTTGTGTTGTAAGCGGTTAGTTGATTTGGTGTAGATTTTTTACTCTGTTGATCTTTTTTGGCGTGAATTTGTGAAAATGGGTTATCACGTCGCGCCAGAAACACAAAAGTGCTTAACAGACTGGCGAAAACTGGCGAAAACTGGCAGAAACACCATACAAACACACATCAAAACTGGGAAGGCCTTCTATATTTATTCTATGTTTACACCTTGCTCAATACATAAGCATTCACTCGATGAGAGAGTATGAAGATCGCTCTATAGTTCTGATACACCCATTGTGACTCCAAGGGTGAGTATTGACGCCCTAATGAGCAATAACTCGACAAGTCAATCATTGCGTAACATCTCAGTAATGAATGAATATCAATAACCGTACAGATCATCCAACTAAGGGGACAAAGAGGAAGCTGAATACCGACCCTAACAACAATCCCAGGGACAGGAAAACAGCTGTGAACCCACCGGCTGCTTCCCTTTCGTTCTCATCGCAGTATAATGGGACAGCCATGAATGCACAGCTCAGACAGTGTCCATTTGTAACACCAAAGAAGAACTGTAAAAGCAAATAAATTGTATCAGATGCGATGATTGGAGTATCGCTTGAGTCGATGTTGCACATCAACAGTAACGGCACTAGCACGACTCTCAGAATGCTATAGGCAAAGATCTTAACGTCGTTGGAAATGACAAAGGGCACATATCCACATAGCACTCTGCCTGTGAAATCACCACAGTTCCAGATGAAAAATGCTAGCGGAACAAAGATGGCATCATCAAAGATCTTCCCTTTATGAACAGATGTTGTGTTTGAAGCAAATATCGGAAAGACTAAGGACACCATGAAGACAAAAACAATGGTGAGAACCACATATTGCAGTTTGGAGAAAAGGGTCTTGAAAGGAACGTATCCATGAGTCGGCGATGAATCTATATTCTCTTCATCCGGGGCAAATGCCATGGGTGCCTCCATTTTATGTGTTATATGGAACACAAGACCTGCAACAGTGGTTATGATGCTCGTCATCACAAAGTATAGAACGATACTGGTTGATGATCTCTCGTTATCTCTTAAGTACACCAATTCACTCAGCAGTAGCGATAGAGAGGGCAAGACACCAGCGATAGCTTGTCCAACCATCACAGCCTGTGCATATTCTGGGCCCTTCACATTTGCCAACGCCATACATCCATTCTGCTGGAAACTTGTGCCGACAGCGCTTATCAGCACCAATAACATTATCCCCGTGAAGTAAAAAGGAGAATGCAGTGTTGGGTCTATAAGTTCAACAAACGCCAGAATTAAGAAAGCAGACACGTTCAGAATAAGCCCATTCATGACACGGCGTTCAAAGTTTGCAAACTGCCTCGTTGAAAGGATAGAATTCGATGCTAAGCTGGTCAACGTAGACACTGTCATCATCGTTGATGAATAGTTACGGCCAAGGGCGGAATCGGCACCAAACTTGCCTATGAAATAGCCAGATGCAGAGAGAAAGCAGTTCCATGGCCAAAGTAATGCGATTCCGATGCCCATAAACGATATATACCCCAGCTGTGAAAGCGTCAACGTACACCATCCAAGATCAACCAGTAGCCGATCTTCACCAAACACTGCGGGTTCCATTGTATCCTCGTCCGGCATCCCACGTCTAGATTGAAGAGATTGGTAAACCCCGCCTTCTATATGATCATCATTCTTCAGTGACATCAAACTGATCGCTGATTTGTCTTATCGCAGTAGAGTATATCGTTATCAGTTTGATTGGAGGAAAGAGAGAAGCTCACGAAAATGGCCTTCCTCAAATCCCCGGGCGCCAGATTGTAGGTATCTCGGATTGGTGTCCTGATGTTTGTGCTGCTGTAGTTACGTCAATGTTTACATTTCAGGCTCAGCTCTCATCGACTTGGTGTGCATTAGTTGTATTAACAAGTAGTAAGCTGCTGAAACACGGTGCTGCTGAGTATTAGCACGTTTATCTAGTGAGTTTGTAGTGGTACATCCCTTAAATTTGTTCAGCTCAATTTGTTTGATGATATTGCCATGAGTTGATGGTTTAACGGTATTCTGGTTTCTCATCATTACTGATATTTCAAGTTGTGCTGTGTTTGGTCTCTTCTCCATACTCATCATTGATAGTGGGGTTCACCTTGGGGACCGGTAAAGTGTTAGTACCATGTGCTTTAGTTGGCTAACGAACGTTTTAGTATAATGCATTCGTTAGAAGTTGGTTATTTCATAGCTCTGTGTTACTTGATGAATAGGCCAATATCCAACTCAAAGAAAACCATCCTGGGAGACTACAACCCAGCAGGTGCCAATTATCGGATGCTTAATTCGATTAAAAATTTCCATGTTATGTTGCT